AAAGAGACTCAGGAAGATTTGATGCAACCATTTCTATCGCATCGATCATCTGAAACAGTCAACAAATCGGTTCAGCAAAACTCAAACATCCCTCATCCTACTAGCAGCCAAACCATCAGCCATCTCTCCTGCCCACGTAAGTACTTTCTATTTACCTTCTTCTGTTTGACAATGTTTGCCTTTCAAAATGGCACTCACCTTCCTCTTTCGGACTTCAAGTTTTCAGAACTCCTTCACATGTCTTCCCAACACCCGACATCAACACGTCGTCGCAATCGAACCCCTACTTTCGCGGGTATCAACAGCAAAAAGAAAAAGGCCGGCGGCAACAAAGCAAGAGGTCCTTCAACTCCTGTGAGTTCCACGCTGTAATTCCCAGCAACCTCAAGGAAAGACGAAGAATACCCCTTCCCGGAATGTTCCTCAAGTTCACAGGCTTTTTTGAAAAGAAAGCTACCGGGTGTATGTACAACCGACGCAAAGACCACTCGTCAACGGCGTTAAACCCAAAGACATGATTGCCTTTGTTCAAGCCCTCGCTGACAAGCAATGATCGAGTGGGTATTCAAATTGGTGGACCCGCTTCTGCTGATGGGGAAAAGCTCCTAATGTACGAGGCCACCAACGGTACTGCTTATGACCAAAGAGGCTTTGTTATCATGTGCCCAGAGGTGAAGTTGACGGACAAACTGGTGAAAGTTTCTACCCCAGTTCCCAACCCCAGAAATGGCCTTGAAGTGGTTCAATGAAACTTTAAACCGGCCTACATGCAATACGTGTACGACCCGGCAAGAGAAGGATGAACCCTACCTAGTTCTCGACGAACAGGACAAGTGTACAAGGTCCATGACACCTGGAGTGAGCTGATCACCCACTCCGACATCATGACCCACCTTGTGACGGATTCTTGGATCGATCAAGGCGAATACCGCACTGTATCCGAATTCCTCAAGGACGACAAGGGCATGTGTACTCTATTTGGCCTCGTGGTCAACTCCCGGCTTCACGTCTACGTCCGTTGATTTCACCAAAACAACCTTGGATGCATCGGATTCGGTCGCATGCGGGCCAACACTGGTGCCCGTCGCAACATTATTACAAGCCACTACGCACGCCACCATCCCCCGCCCCCACCTCTCTCCACCAGTTCGCCTTCAAGCTGCCACCCTGGCCCTTCCCCATGGTTTTACACTACCCCCCGCATGAACTTTAGGCCTTCTTGGGAACTCTTCTCGAAAGCACCAGCAGGAGAACGGTGGTAAGTCTTCCTACAGTAGCTTCCCGTATAAAATCCCCCGTGCCCTCATTTCACAATCCTCAATACTGACCTCCCAATATTATTCGCAAACCATTCCCAGTTCCAAGCAACCAAATACGTCATCTTCCCGTCCCACCTGTTCACGAACCACGTCGGCCAAAGTGTCACCTGCGAATATCAGAATGATGACACTCCACAGGTATGAAGAAAGCTGCCGAACTTGCTCACGATCTATTACCGAATACCCCAGTCCGACGAAGAGCGGGAAACAGAGGAAAAAGAAGACACCAAGCTCCCAGCGGAAGCGAGCCAACCCTCCACTTAACACACGTTGACTTCAAAATTGCAAAACCTAAACCCTAAATATAAGCCACATGATTCATTCGATTCTATTCACCATTATCCTGTATTAGTAGACAAGTTAAACTAGTACTGGAAACGGAGACGACCCAGGGGGCATATGAATTTGTATCTTATTGTTGCTTTTATGCCCTGACCCCATTGACCACCGCACTGCCGCACAATTTGCGCCTTTTTCAGAAACAAAGAGAGAGAGAGAGGCATGGTGGATCTCCAGTACAACGAAGGAGCGTCCCTTCCGCCGAATGCTCCTGCATGGGCAGTCTCTGCAAGCGAGCGATTGAAGGATCGACGTGACAAGGGGATGCTGTTGGCAGAAGGTCCTCCCGAAGGAATCCAACGGATCTTGTTGCATTCGTGTTGTGCTCCGTGTTCCGGAGCCATGGTGGAGGAGATGGTGTCGTACAAACAAGTGGAAGTGGTAGTCTTCTTTTACAATCCGAACATTCATCCTCGTCGAGAATACGAAATCCGCAAAGAAGAAAACAAACGCTTCTGTCAAGACTTGAACGTGGAATTCGTGGATTGCGACTACGACGCTGACAACTGGTACGAGAGGACCAAAGGGATGGAAATGGATCCCGAACGAGGCCGTCGTTGTACGGAATGCTTTGATATGAGGATGGAACGGACAGCGCTCTACGCTCACGAGAACCGATTTGACGCCATTGCCACAACCAATGCAACCAGTCGATGGAAAGATTCACAGCAAGTCGATGCAGCGGGCACAAAAGCTGTAGCCGAGTACGAAAAATTGATCTACTACGCTCGGAATTGGCAGACTGACGTCATGACGTTGAGAAAGTATCAAATCAGTGCCGACAACAAATTCTATAAACAAGAATATTGCGGATGCTCTTACAGCTTGAGGGACAGCAATGAATGGAGAAAGGCCAATGGAATTCCTAAAATCAAAATTGGAGGAGAACAAGCAGGATTGGGAAACAGATACTTCTCCGATCCTCTTGCGGATGCTCTAGAAGAATCACAAGATGTCGTTGATGAATTCTTTCATCAAGCACAAGAAGTTGCTGCCGCAGGAGACTCCAAACAAGACAGAAAAAAGGCTCTGGAGACATACAAAGACCGACGCAAAAACCAAAAGGAAGCTGGAATTGAGTTTGGGTTAAACAACTGGTAGTACATACTCTCAACATGTTGATCAGCGACGTTATCTACAGTACAACACTTCAATCAATAGACAGGAGTGGCATGTTTAAATGTACAATGCATTGGGGCAACACACAACACTGATAAGGAAGCTGCATGATCATAGCAACGAGTGACTGAACTAAGACAAATTATGCTGAGACAGCTCACAAACTAACAAATCGCCAACGAACAGGCTGGGCTCTGTTTTGGATGCATGGCTTGACTCTTTCATCCCCCGTGGGAATCATCAGTGCTTACCGGTCCTGTACACCAGAGAGACTACGCTTCCACTATCTTTGGCAAAGCAAAAACCAATGCAAACTACATACGTATAGGGTGGGGTCAGATCATCAGATGCTGCGATGCATTCGCTGGACGTCACGGAGCGAGTCACTCAGGCCGCGAATCTGACCGTCAAGCTCCTCAAGCCGCGAGTCAATGCCAGGGTCAGGACGGACGAGCTGGTTCCAATCGGCATCATTCACCCTCGCGATCAAAGTGCTTCGGATCGCTTCCTTGAAACCTTGGTAGAAATGATGATTCAGTTGAAACTTGAACACAAACAAGTTAAACTCCAGGAGTCCAACAATGTACTCAAATGAGCGCGTCAGAATCATCTCGGTTTCCTCCTTGGTTATCATCGCAGCACGTTCATCAGGCAAAAACGACTTCTTGGCCGTAGCGCGCTTACGATTCTCCTCTCGCAAAAACGTCTTGGCGGAGCTGCTATTGTTCGTCGAGAACACGTTCAAACGGTTCTTGATACTCTCCATCCAACCCTTCGTTTCATTCTCCTCGACGTCTTCGTCTGCCGGGATGAACTTATCTCCACGCTTCACGTAGTGGTTTTGAGTCATGTCCACCGAGATACGCTTGCATTGAAAGGTTGGAAGGTTTGGATCAATGGAGGAGTACATTGGCTCCATGGACGAATGAACTTCTCCCGAAACTTTGAGCATCAATTCCCACAACATCTCATTGAATTCATTCTCAAGGAACCGCTCCAAACCAACTGGTAGAAGCTTGAACTCAGCGGAATACTTTTCGCCTTGCTTGACATCTTCCATAGCAATGCTGAACAGACGGCGGAAGATACAACCAATGTGTTTGATGAGGTAGTTCAGACCAGGGTGAGACACATCTTTCAAGCACACACGCGTAATCTCAACCATGGCACGTTCCCAGTTCTCGTGCTGGAGGCCGCCGCTAAGGAATCCTGTGACATTTGCAACCTTGTCCTTGAGCTGGTAAGGGTCAGGCAACGCATCAATCATAATGACACGGAAGAACTCCAAAGCCCTTTGGTATTGTTTTCCGCCCAGAAATTTTTCATTCGGACAGATCTCCGGAGGGAATTCCTCTAGTTTCGAGACACGGTCACGCCAATGGTTTTCTTTCTGGCTGTGAAAGTTCAACTCCTTGGAGCACCAATCAGAGTCTTCTTCCTCATCAATTTCGTCCTCGAGCGTCTGGAGCTTGCCTGGAAACTTGAGAGAGATGGCCAAGTCACCATCAAGATAGGATTCCATGCGTTTTTGGATATGATACAGCATGTGGCTTACGATGTTTCGAAGGTTTTGAGCATCATTGAACTTTTTACGGTCCAACAAGGTCTTCTGCTCTGCATTGCACCTGTCTAGATCAGCTCTCAGAGAGTTCAAGACCTCTGGGAGTCTCTCGATCGTGTCCTTTAGCATGATCTCTCTCATGGTCTTCTTTGCCGTTTCAAATCGAAGACGCTTGGAAACCTCCTGGTTCAGTGGCATCTCGGAGCCTCCATTGTCTAAATTGAAGCGTTCATGCCCTTCAAGCCACATTTCAAACTTGTCCTTTTCGAATTCGTCCGCGTCTCCAATGAGTTTCATGCGATTAGTGAAGAGTTTCTCGGGCGGCAGGTCTTCTCGATCCAAAGTGGGGGTGATGATCATATATGGGAAGCACCGATTTTATAAAAAACGAACCTGGTTACTTAGGGATAAGGCAGGGACCCAAGGTCGGAGGTCTGACCGCCGGTCTGTGTAGAACTCTGTACAGTACTACTACAGACCACGGTATCAAATACAAAACCTGCCGGTTCGTTCCTGATGAAATTCATCGAAGAACTCGTTTGCCTTCGTGGCAGTTCTGGCATCGTCGAGCTGCTTGTCGAACTTTGTCATTAGGAATGTGGCATCCTTGATCCATTTCTTACGTCCTCCAAGGCTTTCGTCACAGAAATTCAAGATAGGATTGGTGGCAAACTCCTTTGGTTCAAGCAAGACGCAAAGCTTGGTGTTTGGCTTGCGCATCTCGCTTCGCAATATGGTCTTGATCTCTTCACGGTTGTCTTTCCCAGTGCTCTGGTTGGAGATGATTCCCGGCGTATCCACGAATCTCATGTTCTGAACATTGGAGGATCGGTATACCAGATAGATGGGTTTGGTACTGAATCGATCTTCTGATCCAAGGTTTTTGTTGAAATCGGTGATCCTCTTGAATACGTCCTCGACAGGGACGTCTTTCCCATGGTAAGCTTCAGGAAGTTCTTCGCCGTACAACTCACATGTCGGGTTACGACAGTTGCTATCATGAATGCAAGTACAGTCGAGTGGGCAACGTGTGCCTGTACCTTGCTGCACAATGTTAAGTGCCGAGCCCAAGAAGCGCTCCATGATGGTGGACTTTCCTGCGGACTGCATCCCACACAATACAAACGTCATGAATGGGGCAGGGCGCTTGAGATTCTCTTGATACACCTTGTTCACTTTTGCGACGAACCGGAGCAAGTCATCTTCATTACGACTAAGCAACACAGCGAACCGATCGTCATCTTCCCCGAGGCCTCCTCCCTGTTGGGGGGGCCCGGTGGTCTTTACGTCCTTTGCCTTTCTACTGTCTCGGAGCTTACGACGCTCCTCTCTCGTCATCACGAGCCCTGACCCTTGAAGAGAAGAGTTGTATTGGAGGTCGTTTGGGTCTTCATTGTCTTCAAGTTCGGTCATGTTGGGAAGCCCACCTTGATGACGAACTACCGATACGCACCCAAGAGTGCGACAAAGTGAGTTTGCAATACAGTGAGCCGATGAATAGCTGCGTTGATGTGCAAGACAGTGAGCCAAGAACAACAAGCTGCGAGTAAACCAAAAGATATCAAGAGCAAGGTCCTGTGTGATACGAGTACCAACAAGGGAGCAATTACAGAGTGTATGATACGACTTGGCATTGCATCCTGGCAAATGGATTCGTGTGAAGCGATCTTTTTAAGCTGCAACATGCCAACGTAGGCATTAGCCATGCGGTACGTACCATAGCTGGGCTCCGACCTTCTTGCCCCGAATATTTCATGCTCGTGTACCCATAGTAGAGGCGAATGAAACATGTTGGTGCTGACACCGAAAACTGGTCTGGCAGTTTGGAAAGGTACGAATGAACGGCTCGAAGAGCTACCCGTGTTCTCTAGCTAGCTAGAGCAGCACAGGCACCGTCCGAGCGATTGAATCATTCGATTCGATTCTGATCAAGCAAAGATTTAGATTTCTAAAGTAGTATGAAGCTGTCTTATAGCCGTAACGGGGGGGAGAGAGTGTTTGCTATTGGAGAAACTCGGAAAGGTGAAGCCCATGAGCTCATACCGGGGTACCTGGTAGCTACGATGGATCCATACCGGGAACCTAGCAATAGCTTTACTGGTCGTTTCTCTGCAAAACCAGTCTGGTCATTTTGAGCTCGTGCAGAAGAGCAACGAAAATTTGTTTTGATGATCTTCTACTGTGATGGCTAGTAACGGAGCTCCTCGATGATGGAGGTTCCACTGCTTTTGTCTCCACTCGTCCACTGCCATCGTTCATGGAATCGGACTCTTCCATCAGTCAATATCTCAATGGTGGAACGACATTGCCCCGTCATCATTTCATTTTTCATATTGACATGATTGTACCGAAAGTCTAAGGAACCATCAGGTAGCATGAGCCCCGTAAGAGTCCCAAATCGAATGGATCCTCCCGCGTAAGTTGCCCAAATGAGATCTTGTTTATGGTGGTAGTGAAATATCGTTTGATCGCTGACCTCTCCCGTCCCAGTGTTGTCTACGGCACCAAACCGTCGTCCCTCCAAGCTTATCGATGGTTTCTCGGAGTCGGCCATCGTTTGCGTTCTGCTCCTTTTGCACAATCATCATTCAGCATTCAGGTTTATTGGCCGTTTGCCACGTCCACACGGGCCGTTGTTCGACGTGAGGAGCGGGAGGTCGGCATGTGGTGAATCGCGAACGCGTTTGAAGCCTATTTCCAACTAGAGTAGATCCGGAAGATCTTCGCTCTCGCGCGCATGTTTGCATCCAAGAGCCACAAAATGAATTTAGTTCAGAAAAACGGCAAACTCCACCACTTTCAAGCTTGGGTTTGACTACTGGTACTCGTTCTCGTTCACCAAGCTAAGTTGGTCTGATCTCATTGTTGCGCATCCTTTCATCATGAGGCGCCTTTCATTTTTATCTCAAACACACTCGTGTTGGCTCTATGGGTTGATGCTATTGATGGGCCTGGCGCCGACGCTGGTGGATGCACAGCCAATTTTCTACGCGGCGCAAAACCCCCAGGCGTTTAATGCATTGGCTACAGGTGTCAACAACATTGATGTCGTCCACGTAGACGACTCCTATTGGGCATGGATTACCAGAGATAATCCGCGAAACGTTGGCCTCATCTGGTATACGGAGCTCTGGTACGATGAACGTGCCTATTCCCCGATTATGCAACGGGTGGCCAGCTCGAGATACCCTGTGTTCCTCTTGGATATTCCTTTGAGCATGCCATTCTTGTCACCTTTTCGAGGGGATACAGTCTTGCGAGACTATCCTGAGATTGATACCTGGGTGGTTGGGGGGCATGGCATTGGAGGGGCTATGGCTTCCATCTTTGCTCAGCGACGACGAGAGGAAGGAGTGGATGGACTTGGCTTGTTTGGATCTTATCCGTTTCCCATATTCAATGACCAATCTTTGACCGACATAAAGGCCGTAAGTGTATGGGGAAACCAAGATGGAAAAACAAAGCGCGTTCAGTGGGAAGATGGCCGAAGATATCTGCCACGCACCGCCAAGTTCATTGAAGTGGATGGCGCCAACCACTCGCAAATGGCCAGGCTACAAGTGGACCTGGTAAACGGCGACAACGCTCCTGTGAACATGACCAGAGATCAACAAGAAACAATTGTTGTGGAAAACATACTTAATCTTTTGGAATGGGTTCAGTCGGGGACGCGACAGCCAACCGACAATCCTTCAAGGTCTCCCACTGTATCCCCATCAGCTGCACCAACTCCGTCGCCTTCCTTCCGACCCACAGTATCTCCGTCCGTCATTCCCACTACAGTGCCATCCCTGGCGCCTACCCTGTCGAATGCTCCTTCATCCAACCCCACAATTTCTATGATGCCTACCCTTTTGACCGTCAGAATCATTCCGTCCCGATTTGGCTACGGACTGGACATTGAAGCTGGCATCCGAGAAGCAACAGATGCAGAAGTTGAAGGACTGCTAGACGAAACGGAGGATTTCTACGAGGATATGTTCACGACAGTGTTCCCAGGGAACAACTTGTTGTCGGTCGAGATCACGAACGTTGAAGAGATCTATCAACCCGAGATTCCCCGGTTACCTTACGTATTTGATTTTGATGTCGTTGTATCGTTTGCGGACAACGACGACAACAGCCCGACGGACGGAGATTTGTTTACTTTGATGGTGGCCTACAACGAGAACAGTTACATTGCAGAGTATGTGCACGAGGCAGAACCAGAAGACAGTATCTTTCGCGAAACAGCTGACACCGAATTTGCGCAAAGGGGAGGTGTTGTGTAATTCCTTCCGTCCCACCTTTCTTCTTGGAAGGAACCTGGCCTGCTTTTGCCATCGTCAAGGCAAACCACTGCATCTCGCAAGCAAGCAAGCAAGCAACCAGTGAAGTAATGACGATGAGGGGGGTCAAGCTTGCGAGAAACCTATCCATACATAAAAGCAACTGGCAATAGTAGCCTATATATTTACGTGTATCTTCGTCCCATCCTGGTACAGCACTTTGACATCAGCACGGTCTCGGCTAGCGAAATTACGAAAGAGCAAGGAAACACACGTCCGTAGTAAAGCTCAACCAAGGAGCAAGGAAACAACACATGGCATACACGATTCTTTAACTTTTAACACTGAAATTATCCCATTTGGCCTCATGCCAGCTGAGGAATGAATGAAACAATGACAATGACGCAACTGACACCTTCGGACACCCGCCATGCTTTCGTTCCATCCGCGTTCCAATTCTTTCTTTTTAATAGTATTCTCAAACTCTCTCTCTCGACCACCGCCTCTTTCTCAAAACCAACCCGCAAATACCAACGGAGAACGGACCAGAAAACTTGCCTCCATAATGATGCTTCCGACGCACTCTTACGGAAAGGAAACGGTGATTGGTGGTGGCCAGAACGAAGCAAACTCAACACAATGCGTCTAAACGTATTCCCCAAATTCCTTGAAGACAGCTTGCTCCTTGGAACTCAACTTGGGTTTCCTGCCCGACGACTCTTCCTTCTCCATCGAGCTGTAGTCGTCAAAGTTGCTGGCGTCCAGCGCATCCTTGATTTGGGGTTTCCAGGGTGCTCGCAATTCTCGCTTCAGCAGTTTCTTGACATCGACATCGCTGAACCATGGATGCTTCTGGACATCCACGTGGCCACCCTTGAGGTTACCGAGACGCTTGGATTGATGTCTCTGCAACAAACGCTGGATGAGGTCGTCGGCGGCCTTGCTGACGGGGCGGGAAGCCGGGTAAGCGAATTTTCCTTGGACAATCTTTTTGAAAAGACGCATCTGATCGTTGCAGTAGAAGGGTGACTGTCCGACCAACATTTCGTAGATCAAAATGCCAAAGGCCCAGTAATCGACACCCTTGTTGTGTCCCTTACTTAGGATAATTTCGGGTGCCAAATATTCGGGGGTACCACAGAGTGTAAAAGTTTTGCTGGTGACGACCTTGGCGAAACCGTAGTCCACAACGATGCAGTATCCCTTGCTGTCGATGAGCGCATTCTCGGGCTTGAGATCACGGTAGGCAATGTTTCGCTCGTGCAAGTGTCCGAGACCTTCCAAGACACAGGCAGCATAAAAGACGGCATCCGCATTGGAAACTCCATCGCGAGTATCAGTGTGAAGGACGGAGAACAATTCTCCTCCTTGGATGAGATCCAAAAGCATCATCAAGTGGGCATCGTCTTGGTAGGACGCATACATCTTGAGCAAGAAGGGGTGATCAATGTTTGCGAGGATATTCTTTTCGCGAATGACACCCTCATGCTGTTTGTACTCGATACACTGTTTCTTGTCCATCATTTTGAGTGCGTAAACCTTTCCGTTGTTGGTCTTGTCCACGGCAAGCCAGACCTTACCAAAGGTACCGATACCGAGGATACGAATCTTTTTGAGACTCTTGTACTTGACGGAGATTTTTTGCTCCCTCTGGTTGATGAGGGCACGAGCTTGTCCGAGACGAATGACGGATCCAATGACACCTTCAATGGACTTCTTGGTGAGGAGACGACAAGTGGTGTCTTCAATGGCGGTGATGGTGGCCTGTCCGGGATCACCGGTTTTCAACTGCAAAGTGGCTTCACCAAAGTGTCCTCCATTCTGAAGATTATTGATTTCTCCCTTGTTGGAAACGATAGTGACACGTCCCTTTTGGAGGATGTGAAGCGCCGGCTTGCAGGGCTTTCCTTCCTCCATGATGATTTCTCCCTTCTTGAAACTGGTTTCCTCCATGAGATCCAAGAAGCGGTCAATTTCGTGTGGCTCAATGTACGACTCTCCAAAACTGGGAATGGACAGCTGCACGACAGCAAGTGAACGCAAGACAGCAAAATCAGAAGTGAGAAATCATTCCAAAAACAAAAATAACGTAATATTTTTCCTTTTTGTTTCCTTACCAAAGTACGCTTGGTCATTGCACGATCAATGAGTGCCTGTAGAGGACCAAGAGTGGCTTCAAAAGAGTCACGGCTGAGTGCCAAGCAGACACAATCACTGGTGGCGGAGACATTGGCAGCACGGGGCTCTCCCGTGAGCAAAGCACGCTCTCCAAAGTATGCTCCTGATTCGATGTTAATGTCGTCGAATTTGGTGTCACCGAATCCAATGTCATGAACTTTGGCAGTTCCCTTTTCGAGGATGTAGAACATGTCTCCAATGTCTCCCTTTTTGAAGATGAACTCTCCCTTTTGAAAGTGGATGGTGGTGAGGGCATCGATGATTTTGCTGAGCATTGTGTCTTCTAGTTCTGAGAGGAAAGGGACCTTGACGAGGATGGCGTTGATCTGCTTGTTTTGGTTGGCTTGTTGCTTGGCCAACATGTATCTGAAGGTGTGCTGATCGACCTTCCAGAGCTTACAGTCGGTGTCAGCGACACAAGTGGCAGCACGCGGAGAATCATAGAGCAGCGCGAGTTCTCCAAAGGAAGCGCCTCTTCCACAGTTTCCTACGGAATTTCCATCGACTTGGAAATCGACGCGTCCTTCTTCCATGACATAAAAGTAGTCTCCAATGTCGCCTTGCTTGATGATGATGGTGTCAGAAGGAACATCATGAGGAGCCATGGCGTTGATGAGGAGACTCAATTCGTCAGGAGACAAACTCGAAAAGAGAAAGTTGGAGTCACTCGTCAGAGCGTTGGTGAGGAATTTCACAGCTTCATCGCTCTTGTCGTAAGCTGGAATATGCAAAGATTTGCCATGCACATTCACGGCTTGCGCGCGCACCTTCTGCCGTCCTTTGCCGCGCTTGACGCGACCGCCATCGTCTTCGCTGCTCTTGGAAGAAGACGAACTGGTAGGGTCCTTCTTGGCATCCTTCTTCTCCATGCGACGCCGACGCACTGAAGCCAACGCCACTTCGATATCAGGAACGCGAACTTTGCCCATACTGACCAACTCCTTCAACACCTTGGCCGCCTCCTGCGGTGTCATCACCAGGTCGTCAATTGATTTCTCCGGCATCTTGATAGTAGATAGATAGACTGACTTTTAAATAGGGATGCTTTCGCTGGTCACAACCGAACAGTCACGAGTGCCTCCCACTTCAAAGACTACTGCTTCGTCAAGCTGGCTCGTTGTACTCAGACTGCAACGCGTCTCGCAACAAAATGGCTGATGATTGATAGTACAAGAGACGACGATGAAAGCGCTGCTATGCACCGATCACCCTCTCTGCAAACCAACAACAAAATAAGATAGATGGTGGATGGATGGATGGATCCAATTTGATTCAATCTTTCATTCGTCAACAAGGCTTCGTTCGAGGATTGGTGCCAGCCGCAGCCACAATGCCCCCGCCTGCCGCCTGCGAACCAGGGCAGACACAAGCATAAGATATTGCCGCCTGCCATCCTCCAAATACTCGCTACACAAGGACCGTACAAAAGCCGTTACACTTACAGTGTACTGCAATAAGTCGGTCTGTCCCTGTGTCCTTCAAGGTTCGGCATTGTTGTAAGCAGCCGGAAGACAGCTTTGACCACCCGGGTAGATGTAGTAAAACTACATGTATTTTGTTCTTCAAATAGTCAGATTAATTCAAACCTGTAGCCCTATATTTACCTCAACTAACCTTCTAAAGCAGTCTTGCAGTCATCCTTCTGGAGCTCGCTCATGCAGTCATCCTGCCAACACTAGCTAGGCAGTGTCCGAGCAGAGGACAAGGGCTTCATCTCCACAGATGGCTCATTCATGACATGGATCAGCTCATGGATCCATGGATCCTATCCAACTGGTAGCAGCGAGTGCTGTAGTCCAGTGAGTAGGGACTGGGCCAACTGGTACCTCTACTAGCTGGGAGCTAGTAGTAGTAGAGTAGTAGGTTGTTCAACTAACTCTTCTTGTGCAAGATGAAAGCAAGTTGGATAGCAATAGCTGCCTTGGCTACTACATACAAAGAAAACGTACATATCATAGCTTAAGCTCAGCTAGCTCCGATAAGCACGGCGCTGATTTATATGCCCAACTCTCTCACCCTTCTAGCTAGCCTTATAAAGCCTGGCCTCCCAAAACTCTAAAGAACAGTTCATGTTCTTCACTTCTTCGTTTCGTCATTGTTCTCCACCATGAAGTTGGATACTACGGTACGGTACCGACCACCCTTGCAAAACTCTAGATATACTAGTAGACGGAGAGCCGAATCTGCCCTCTCGATACCTAACCAAAGCTTTGATATAGCTACACATTGCTTCCCTTGACGTCATGTGCCTCAAAGGATAGCGCCATCACGGACTGCATACAACGGTCAACAGTAGTGATCTGCAAAGGAATCAAGTCAACCACAAGTGCAGGTAAAGGAGAGATCCAATTAGAAGCCATGCACGCGAAAATCACAATCCAATCGCCACCGTTTTCAAAACTCTTACCATATCCACCACACGCTTGCGGTCTGTTCGGGTCACTGCATTCTCACTCAGAAAACTCAGCTGCTCTGTCATTCGTTCCAGACGTTCCTGGTGATCCAGGAACAGAGCCAAGGAGATGGGCAGGGAAGAGGAAATGGCATTGTCCACTGGACAATCATTGTCTTCAAAGTCATCCGCCTTGGTTTCTCCTTCTTGAAACTTGTCGCCATCAAGTTTATAGTACAAAAAGCAATAGGTGTATTTCAACATGCGACGGCTCGCAACGAGGCGTTGATTTGACAAAGAAATGAAATCAGCGTCCGTACAGTTCTGCAGCTTGGAAACCGCCGTGAAATCAATGACACGTCCTGCCAAGCATTCACATTGGTTCTCTGCAAAGCATTGGCCTTGACCATGAGCATTGAACCTGTTCATGTAGTGAGCATAGCGGACGAGCTCCTGTCGCTTCTGAAGCACGTCCTTCACAGCCTTCGAATCACATGCAAATTGTGCGATCTGCACCGTCTCGGCGATATAGTCCAAGTCCATTCGTTGTAGTCGACCGATCAAGGCGCGTCGAGCTCGCATGATTTCATCTTGGCGTCGGCCTCTGGCTAAACCCTCCCTGCCATCACCGCCCAACCGTGTCGGCTCTCTTCCACAGTAGTGGTTCCAATGGTTGCCTGTTGTGTTGGTCATGCACAGCCAGCAAAAGTGTGTCCCGCATTTGCATGTCATATGATTGCAGCCCCCATTCTTTTCAATTGGATCCTTGCAACTGGGACACCGTCGAATCTTCTCGTTCGTCTTCTTTTCCATTGCGTTGTTGTCGTCTCCGGGAGGCAAGGCACCCATCCCCACGGCACCAGCGCCTTGGCGAAGCATATTTCGGTTTCCTCCAGCAACCAGTTGCCTTGGTCGTCCATTCTGCTGATTGCGTGGATAACCCCCGAAAACCTCGTCATTTTCCGTACCGGTAGTCTCCTCGGTTCGTTCCCCTTGTTGTTCTTCCGCATTGAGAGCTTGCTCATCGAGACGAATACATCTTCGACCATCATGTGCTTCATCGCCGCACTCAAAACAGTATCGTGTTCGACAGGCATCGCATCGAGCAAACCTTGCATCATATCCAAGTTCATGTAGGAACAAGCCGACTCGTGCACGGACGACGATTTGTCCGCAACCAGGACCAGGGCACCAGCGCATCGTTGTGTGGTGTCCCTGTACAAAGGAGTTCAACGCCATTCCATCATACATGTTGAGAAGTTGCGGCGCAAACAGCTCGATATGGCCTCTGGTAACTTTTTGGCGACATAGGCGATGAGGGCATATGCCTGGAATGGTTAAAATTCCACCGGCGGCTCTAGTTTCTTCAAGCATTGCCGCGATGAATTGTGCCCAGCAATCCCTGCAATATTCATGCCCGCATTCCATGGCTAGACGATCCTGCTCGTCGACTTCATCGTCCATGCATATTTCACACATCCAGCCACTATTGTCGGGAGCGACACTTGATGCGGCAATACCAGTACCAGTACCAGTACCAGTACCAGTACCAGTACTAGCACTAACAGAGCTACTAGCAGTGTGGCTTGTTGTTGTTGGAGAAGCGCTTTTCTTGTCTGAAGACGAGTCTGATATTCCCATCATCATGGCAAGTGGTTTGACAAGCAAGTTAACGAAAGACCTTGCCTTTCCGCAAGCTTGACAAAAATTGGAATGCTTTGCTTTTTCTGCATTCTCTCCAGGTGGGCTCTTGCACATGCAGAACTCGATTTGTTGGTTCATTTGTTGCGGAGATGTTGTAGCCATCATTGCAGAGGCTGAAGACGACGACGAGTTCGGCTCCTCACTTGGCAAAGGGATTGATGCTGCCTCGGCTGTAATGTCTTGCTGCGTACTAGTGTTTTCATCTGCTGGAAGTGTGGCAGCATTGGTGGAAACTGTGGTACCGGTAGGAGTAGGAGTTGTGGCGGCAACTGGAGCTGTTGCCATTTGGTATTCTTGGTTCATGGTTTCTCTGAGGAATTCTTCATGCTCTTGGTGCATTTCTCGAACGGCCTGGTCGAATCCTGGGTAAATTTGAGTGTCGTCGTTGTTATTTTGTGGGTTGTTCTCGCCGTTGTTATTATTCTGTGGGTTGTTTTGTTCTTGTGCAATAATTTCTCCCTGCTCAAATCCCAAGCGATCAATGGTTCGCCGAACCAAGGTTCTACGTAAAACGTCGGTTGGTGGTAGTAAATTCAATCGCTGTTCTTGCTCTGCCCTTTGACGAACGGCATCTTGCCAATCGGTGACATTCCATCCAAAACGTCTCAAGTCCACGGCGACGACTTGGGGAGATGCATTGTAAAAGTGGTCAAGCGTGTTTCCCTCGAATTCTTCTGCCATGGCCCGTAAGCGTTCGACACACTCTTGTACACGACGTTGCATACATGATTCTATACAGGAAGAATCGACCGAGACGATGCCGGCTGCCTTGTCTTGCGCCATTTCGAGCCACTTGGAGACCACTGGACAATCCAATACTGGAGAATGTTCTTCTCTTTGACAGGACTCACAGACTCTTGACTGGGCAGATTGAGGCGTGCTAGTCCAGAAGGAAGTCGGCTTCATAATGGTAGTACCGGTACTGGTAGTACATGTACCGGTACCGGTACCGAGGCTTTCTGGTGGAAGGCCTGTTGTCTTCAAGTTCGCCAAGGGAGCACTAGCAGTACATGTAGCAGCAGCGTGGCTTGGAGACAAAGGATTCTTGGAAGCTTTGCTCAGCTGCGGATCCATCGCAGAAGCACAAATCTTGCGCTTCAGGCCTCCATTAAGCGCAGGAGGCGTATCATCTTCGTTCTCTTCATCTTCATCTTCGTACTCGTACGAATAGTCAGACTCGTAGCGGTAACCATCCGAATCATCATCTTCTTCTTCGCCTTGCTCTTGTTCACTCAAACTATCACCGCCGTGACTCACATTCGCCACCGCGTCCTTCTCGTCAACCGACTTATCATGATCATCCACTGTCGGTGCAGCTACAGACACAGCCGTCGCCTTGGGAGATTCCATCATCATCGTGGACAGCACCGCCTTTCACAAAGATTTGATTTGTGGTAAGATTTGTGTTTGCCTCCTGAGTTTGGTCGTACCACGCTGGAAGAGCCTGCAAGACTGCTTGAACTGCAATAATTTCCAGGCAAGGCCAAGACGGACACCGGGCAACACGCTACCGTAGTATCATACCTCTAGCTAGCTACCACCAGTAGCACTACTAGAGCCGCTTGTTTTTCTGCTTTGTGAAACCTTATTACAATCGCAGCACATACATACATGTACATCTAGCTAGCTAGGAACTACGGTACTAGGCTTGGTGGTAGCTTTCATGTTGGCCTTCTCCGTCGTTTTCATAGGGCTTTTCCAGGCTCGATGGAAACGGCCCTTCCTGTCCTTCCTCCAGGCGAATGCTTTGCCCTCGCTTCAGCTTCTCAAATGCATCACTAATGTTCAGGGCTTCTCCAATCGACAAACCAACAAACTGAACCATTATCTTGGGATCCGCTGCTGTCCTCAACAAAGCATTTCCATCAATCTTGGCTTCGTAGAACTTGTGGGCAATGACTGACAACTCCTCTTTGTCAAACGGCGAAACATCCTCCAAATCTTTACAAGTAGACATCCATATTTTCACCTCTTCCGCAGTCAGGCTGGTGACAGCCTTGGTGGAAAGATCGATTTGTTCGTAGTCAACGGGCTCCTTTGGGGTGTCTCCATTGTCTTTGCCCTTGGAAAATGCGAGGTGAATGTCCCGTAGAAATTTGCCCAAAAAGACTGCTGCACAGAGACTACCGACCAACGGCCAGAGCCACGTATAGCGGTCTTGCTCCCCCGTCGCGGAATCGGTTTGGAAGACCATGACTGGTATGTACAGGGGAGTCGTGAGCAGGCCCAGTAGTCGCAAGTATTGAAAAATGGTTTTTTGGTGGTTGGCAATATAGTCAATCTTCCCAGTGTTCTTGGTGATGTTGATGAAAGTCATGATTGCTACAGCCGTCACATAGATCCCGGTCACAGCATAGGTCAAGTAGATTGTTTCAGAGACAATTGTCTGGTGTCCTGTGTACGGCTTCTGTGACCCGACAACGTTCTGGATGAGCAAGACAGACGTGATCATGGACGACGCCGAACAGTTCTCGGGTGTCGTTACCATCCACTGAAGTTGCGTTGTGAAGGCGGTGAACAGGAACGGCAACAAGATCATCCATCCAAAAGAAGCTTGGTTTCGGTAGACGACACGAAAGCTGCCTGCTTGGAAAGCCCTTTCGCTGATATCTTCGTGGGCCACGCTGTGTCCTGTATCCTGCAGTTCCATCTGTGGGTATCCCTCGTTAAACCACGGGGCAATGTGTACCACTTTCATGTACGGGATCAGTGTCAATTTGCCCTGATCTGGGAGACTTGGGATTGGCTCTTTGAATCCAGTGAACGGGCCATTAATGCAGAAGGTCGAGAGTTCTGGCGCTTGATTTGAAAATATTCCTGCGGGGTACGAGAACACCAAAATGTCTAGCAGATTCACCTGTTGTTGCCAAATCACAAGATAGTATAACTGGGTTGGCATGGTATTCCGCTGGCATACTACCCGTAGCACTAATACCGTAAGCTCCTTCTGTGACGTACCTGGAAGGGAAAGAACTTTCTATTGCGGGGTTGGAACTTGATGTGCAGACGGAAAAATCCAGGAAAGAGGAACGACATCATGTTGGGACAAGTACAGTACTTCACGAGCAGAGTAACTCCCATTGTCATATAGTACAGTACCAGTACATACCTTGAGAGGCAAAGCTTTTCCTTCGACGAACAATAGATTGTCATTTCCATCGCTGATCGGATTCAATTTGATTTTGAAATCTGATATTCCATCGACGTATATCCCTCCACTCAAGGCCCGGTACTCACTCATTGGGAGCGGCTGCATGGAATCATAGGCATCGTCGCTGCAGCGACCATCTGTGAGAAGAACTTGTTTTTCGTCTACGTTGTCTTTGACATAGAGGTATTCGTCTGGTAAGAGTCTGACATGTCCCTCGTCTTCTTCTGGGTCGGGTGAAGCGACGGTGGTTTGATTGCGACTTGTCCACATTGCATTGATGGCACTCCGAACGTCGTGATGGGGACCTCCCACCTGTACTTTGTGGATATATATTCTCAAATCTACCACGAACTCTCCCTTCAAATAGTCAATTTGGCCAAGATCGTTGATGACAACTCCCAAAGAGTACATTCCAACGGTGACATCAGGTCCTTCAATGGTCACCATGAGAGTAGTGGCTGTTTGTACCTCATCGTACTGCTCGACCAGAGCCTCAGACAGCACCAGAGCAAGATCATCCAAATGCATCTTGAGCCTCGTCATGTACCTGAGGTAACCATCCTTGAGGGCTTGTCGTTCACTTGGGTTCAGTGTCGCGGGATTCTGGCCGAACTCGGGGAGATGAGAGAATGTAGCTACAGGAATGCAGTATGTTGCCTGAGCCAGACACCGGTCTACTGGGCGAACCACATAGTTCGTCTTATTCAAGTCGTCAGTAGACGTTTCCTCTTCCTCTAATGTTGCCGACTCTCCAAAGGTAATGTCAAATATTTGAATGCCACCAGCTGATGATGCTTCTGATTGAGATTCTTCTTGGCCTGTCACCACCTCGACTTGCAAAGCCACAAGGACAACCACAATGATGACCAGAAGACTCGGCAATGAAACTCTATTGCAACACATACTAGTACCGTACTATTTATTACTCCTCTCAGATTCTCGGATTGTTGACCTATGGAGCCCACACCATGAGCTCAAGATGCATCGGTTCCGTCGTGGCAGTCTTCTTTTGAAAGAACGAAGTTTGGGAGTTGCGAGCTGTGTCCAAGAAGTCACAAAATGCAGGGACGACAATGTCGCTGATGACGCAAGAAACAGGAAGGATCTAAGGAAAATCAGTCACTCGGTTTGGTGTTCTACTAGTAAGAAGAGTTAATTAATAAGAGTGAGAGTGCCTGGTACACCTTTTATTAATAATACCAAAAAGGGAGGACCATACCGTTCGGTAATGGCAGTATTATTAATAGTCGTTTGAGAATTAGCTGGGTCTGTCCGCTGGGTTGCTCAGGTGCACAGTATGGTATGGAGGAGTGCCGTTGCTGTTGCATGTACTACCTATTAGTAGTACGATGTACGTGCTTCCACTTCTCATCCATTTGTCTTCGTGTCTCCGTCACCATACCCGTACCGTCAGCGCGATGTCACTTGAAAAGACCCCGTGAGAAGTCTCCAAATTTGTACGCATCACCACCAGATCTCCCGCTCTTTTCTTTCCCTTTGGCGACCACTCCCTTCGCAAAATCACCAAAGCGGTAGCCTTTCTTTTGCTGTTCTTGCCGTTGCTGTGGTTGGTGCTGAACAGGCGCCTGTTGATAGGTTGTCGATGGGGGAGCATTGGCCATTCCCGCAGAGCCAAAGTTTGGGTTGACGCCAGGTCGGTGAGGCATCGGCATTGAGGGGCTGACAACGGTTCGTGTGGTTTGAGACTGATGTGATACCGGTAGGCCAAGCAGGTCTACTTCATTGCTCGTGGCCGTTGGTTGCCCTAAAGATGCCGACGACTCGGCCGGAGATGATTGTTCGGTGGTTTGGGAGTCGCCAAGGGCTGCACCGCCGAACTTGCTTCCAATTATGCTTCCAGCAACTAAGCCTAATGGACCAGCGACAGCGGCCCCAATGATCATTCCAGCTCCAGACCCCCCTGCGGCGCCAAGGCGAGATTTGTTCTGGCTGGCATACTTCACCGCACCCTTGGAGGCGCCAACTGTGAAGTCGCCAACTGAGTATGATTCGCTTTCGCCTCTCCTCGTTTGTGCGCCTGACGTTGCCGCCTGCCTTATCGAATGGATAGCTCCACGAGAAAAGTCGCTGGGAGAAGCAGGAAAGACAATAAGTAATATGTATGTGAGGGGCATGCTGCCATCATGATAATGAGCGTGACACAGAATTTCCTGAACGCACCCGAATTTGTATCCTTCACCAGTCTGGGCGCCTCGAGACTCCTTGCCCGCCGTCACGCTCCCCCTGATACCGTCGATGGCGGCCAAACCAACAACAGAGCCTGCAGCAGAGCCGGTTGCTGTAGATGCCGCCAACAACACTCGGCCAGCTGTTTTGGCTGTCATTTCCGAAACATTCTCTCCCAAAAAAGCGGCATTGGTTATCATTGCGGGAACTCGGTCAAGCATCGCCTTCTTGAGGTGTTGCACCAGGTCAGACGACGAGGTATTCGGACCACCTTGAAGCGCCGGTACGTTCACTGAGGTCTGCTGCATACCGACAATCGTTCCTTGGTACTTCAAATGTGCGACAAAATTCTCAACGAGGCAAAGGGGCAAGGCAATGGGTTTCTTCGCGTCTTGACTCTTCTGGTTTCCAAACACACTGGCCCAGTCAACTGATGACAAACCAACGGAGACCTCTGCAGCGCCCGTCGCCAGTCGGAACTGATGGATTGTTGCAAGGTCGCTTGGGAATACTACGCCCGATGCAGTTGTTTTTGCCAATTTCAAAAGCTTGTTCTCGGCTGATGTCAAAGCAAGATGAAAGAATGCACCTTGCGTCGCGTTCTGGGCAAATGGGTCTTGCTCTTGTGGTCTCAAATGGACCGCAAGTTGAGAAAGGACTGTGACCTCACCGTTTTCCGAGAAAGACCTGATGTTGACCCGCTGCAGATTGAGGCGCACTGGAAAGGGAATAGTGCCCGCAGCAGACGATTTAGGTGCCAAGTCTTGTCCCACCTTCTGCTGTTCACCCTCGAAGATGACCACATCAACAGGTGGTGTTTCAATACTCAAGCCATCGTCGTCGAATGAAACCATTGTCTTCTGTTGGACTGGTCTTCCGATTGTACCGAAGGCGGGGAAGTACAAAGCATCAATCGTTGCAATCACACCATGATACCCAGTGACTGTCTTCTTCTCAACGTGAAGGCCGGAAAAAGCTGCTGCGACACCGCCGTCGTCCTGCCATCCTAACCGGGAGCAGGAAAGACCTGTCATCGCGCTGTCGAAAGTAACATGTTCAGCAACAACTCTGGTCTTCATTGATTCAACAGAAACGATGGCTTTCGGGATGCTCCATATGAAGGGAGGACTGCTTGTACTTTCCGATGGGAAACAGTCGTGCCACAGAGCCTGAACCTCCTGTAACACATCGAAAGACTCGAAGGACCCCGTAACTTCATCCGTTTTGATTGCGGTTGAAACCATTTCAAACTTCGGAATTGAAATGCCAAGCTGCCCCGGAGAGCAAGGCCCGATTCTTATCAGAGAACAGGAAGCATTGCTGGGCATTCCAGATGGCTCCAGAACCGCGGAGATGGGGGAGATTGAGGCTTGCAGCCACCGACCATTTGCCGAGTCCACAATGCGAAGGTTTGTTCCCAAGTCCGCATCCACGGACATCAAGCCCTCTGCGGGAACAACCAAGATGTCGACTGGGGACGCACCGACAATAGACGCAGTGCTCTCCTTTGTCGCCTTTAGTGACAACTCTTGTACTCTGACGTGAATGGGGCAGGCCAACAACGCGCCCGTCGTATCATCGTCTGCTTTGCTCGTCGCTGTGTTTGCACCCAGTAGCTTGGGGCAGATTCCACACAGTTTAGCCAAAGTTATGTCGATCAGCCCATCCGTAAAACTGAATGTTCCTCCAGCAGTTGGTTCCTCCAGCTCGAACATGCTTGGAACGACAAAAGAATCGACCAACCCTGTGACAATCGCCGTCGCGGGACTCTCCAACTCTGCTCTCATGTCAGACATAATGAGTGCGATACCCGAAGGACCGCTCAGTGAGGCCCCGCCAAAGAATACTGTTGCCTTATGAAAGCCCGGTGCAACTGTGACGCTTGCATCGGTGGAACGGAGGGAAAACGGGCCGTACGAAGCAGCGTGTCCATCAATAGAAACTGTGATAGTCGAAGCGCGGGCGTCATTGAAACGCAGGCAAACATTCTGGGCGTGGCCTTCCAAATGCATTGGTTCCTTGACAACAGCCTTTGCCTGTGGCAAGACCATCTCTATTTGTTTCCAGAGCGGCGGAATGGAGGATAGCCCGGCCTCATCGCTGGGAGCAGCACATTCCTTTTCACTATCAAGGCCTATTGCTTCTTCCAACAGAGATTGTACTTCTTTGGCCACTGAATCTGACTGCAGCAAGATGGTCAGCTCACCGTTGGCCTGCACCCGTGGCTGTCCGTCTACTATAGAATATGACAAGGGAGGAATGGAAACATCCAATTGCCCACATGATGTACCAAGAATGCGGGCGCCAGTGCATTCAAGCGCTTCCACTTCACACATACTCGACAATGTAACCTTCGAATTGGATGCAACAGATGCCTCCAACCAACGACTCTCTACGCTATTTTGATCGTCGACCTGGACGCGAACGGTGCAACCATTGCCCCACAAGCTTGCAGTCATTGCATTTCCGTTGCCATGTGAAGTAATGGATAGTTGGAGTGGTTGGATACACAAAGAGGCTCGACCCCTGGATAGCTGAACCTTGGCGAATCGTGCCTGCACCGAGACAGGGAGCTGCATTGAAGAGGGTGGTGCTGGAGCCCAAGTGTCTCCCTTGCTTGGTACAGTAGGGGACAAAGCCAGATGTAGGAGCGATGGAACATCTAGTTGGACCTTGGACTGTGCCGAGTTATATTTCAGACGAACATTTTCGAGTGGCACAACCATGCGATCCACCAGCCCAGGCACATGCACCCTGTTCAACCACTGCATTGTCACGAGATGAGCGTGGCCAGGGCTGAGCCCTAATTGGACAGCCACATGTTGCGCAGACAAAACCTCCACCTCAGGACCTTCCACCTCAAGGACGTGACATACAAGAGCTTCACTGCTGATTGTCGTGCCATGGGGCGGGAACCGAACAGAAACGCCTACAAACTGCACTTTCGCACACTCTTCTTGCAGTGTCAATTTCACTTTTGCAATAGTGACTGGTGGTAGTGGCGGAATGGAGGATAGCCCAGTATCATCGCTGGCAACGACACATTCCTTTTCAGTACCAAGGCATACAGCTTCTTCCAAAAGAGATTGCACTTTTTTGGCCACCGAACCTGACTGAAGCAAGACAGTCAACTCACCGTTGGCCTGCACCCGTGGCTGTCCCTCTACTATAGAATATGACAAGGGAGGAATGGAAACATCCAATTGCCCACATGATGTACCAAGAATGTGGGCGCCAGTGCATTCAAGTGCTTCCACTTCACACATACTCGACAATGCAACCTTCGAATTGGATGCAACAGATGCCTCCAACCAACGATTCTCCGCGCTATTTTGGTCGTCCACCTGGACGCGAACGGTGCAACCATTGCCCCACAAGCTTGCAGTCATTGCATTTCCGTTGCCATGTGAAGTAATGGATAGTTGGAGTGGTTGGATACACATAGACACTCGACCCCTGGATAGCTGAACCTTGGCGAATCGTGCCTGCACCGAGACAGGGAGCTGCATTGAAGAGGGTGGTGCCGGAGCCTCAGTGTCTCCCTTGCTTAGTACAGTAGGGGACAAAGCCAGATGTAGGAGCGATGGAACATCTAGTTGGACCATGGACTGTGCCGAGTTATATTTCAGACGAACCTTTTCGAGTGGCACAACCATGCGATCCACCAGCCCAGGCACATGCACCCTGTTCAACCGCTGCATTGTCACGAGATGAGCCTGGCTAGGGCTGAGCCCTAATTGGACAGCCACATTTTGCACAGACAAAACCTCCACCTCAGGACATTCTCCAGCAGTTCGATCAAGGATGTGACATACAAGAGATTCACTGCTGATTGTCGTTCCATTGGATAGGAACCGGACAGAAACACCACCAAACTGTGCTTTTGCGCCCTCTGCTTCCAGTGTCAGTTTCACTTTTGCAATAGCGATTGGTGGTAGGCTGTCCGCGACGGTTGCCTCTCCAATGCTGGCTTTGCTAGCGGTTGAGGATTTGGCTCCGTCCTCCGGTTGGAGACCGGGAAACTTTAGCAGATCTGATCCCAAAGCTTGCAATTCTGACAAGACAGTTTGGGATTCTATCGTTGCATCGATGCATTCTTGTATTCTTATGGTCTCTAGATCAGAAGTAGGAGTAAGAGAATGCGCAAATGCAAGCCGAGGAAGTCGGATAATGGAAGACTTTTTCGTTCCGAACGAAGTCGGACCAAATTGTGCTCCTCCCATTTCAAATTGAACCTTCTCCAATGCTCCTTTTTGGTTCATGGTAATTGTCAAGGCAGGCGACTCCAGAGATGCCTGAGCCCACCCGCGGTCGCTTCTGATGCGGACACCAAGCGATGCTCGTGTCCCCGATTCAAATCGCCATGTCGTGTTTGTCTCGTCTCCTGTGGTGGCCAGGACGGTCTTGACTGCCGTCTCCTCATATTCGTATATTGTCGATTCGACTTGTTCCATGATATCCTGTGGCACAGATGCCTTGAGTTGTTGACATTCTCGGACAAGCTGTTTCACGACCGTATCATTCCATTCCACAAAAGCCGATGACTGATGTAGAGAGACGACACGTTGTACAAAATCTAATTTCCATTTGGTGTTTTCCTGGTGGGCTCCATTGCTGTCGTCTTTTGTTTTTGTATCGGCAAAGTTGAGAAAGGGCTGATCACCAATCCATACACCTTCGCTTCCTACTAGTTGCGACGTTGATCCATCCATGTGATAGAGCAATGTGCATTGCGGTATACGAACCGCCGTACCCTCCGGCAAGATAAGTGCAACAGAGGGCAACGGCAGGGTAATGGTGGTTGGCGTAATGGTGGTCGATGCTCCTTCGTCTTCTTCTTCTTCTTGGTTTGTGGGTGTTACCGTCGCTGCGGTATCATAGGCGGCCAGGGGCTTGAGTAAACGACAGAGTGTTTTCAATTGCACGCCACCGGCATGTAGTACCAATGCATCCGGCGACTCTCCGACAACTTGCAATCCATTCCTCCAACCATCCAAGAACCTTCTTCCGGTAATTCTCTTGACAGAGGCAGCATATCCAATGGGTTTCAATAGTGGCAGCTCTTGCTCCTGTAGCAGGACGTCAATTTTGATGGCCTCTAGAGATATCCGTTGGGACAAGGGTGGCGTGGGTGTGTCTGCATCTGTATCTGTATCTGTAGTATCAGACGTGTCGTGTTCTTGATGCTGTTGCTGCTGTTGTCTCCCAAAGGACAACAACTGAAGAGATTTGGCTTGCACTCGAATGTCTCCAATAAGTGAATTGTCGGAGTGACAGCCATGATCTTGAATGAGTAAGGTAAAGTCAGCGATATCCAAGGTCAAATGGTCCACGATTTGCTGTATTTGTCGTTGAATGTAGCTGCTCTTTTGCTGCTGAGTTTGAGCGGTTGTGGGGGGGTGTGAGTGACAGTCTGTGGTCGTTGCAGTCGTAGTCGTTGTTGCTGCCTCTGCTTGTTCTTGTGGTGAGAGCTCTTTGCCAATGACAATCCGAAAGTTGGCTCCTCGGATCGTCAGCCGTGTATCTCTGACAAACGTAGCAGTACTAGTACTAGTAGTAGTAGTACTCTTCTTGTCCGAGGAACCTCCCCAAATCCAAGAGAATTCAATCTCATCGACCTCTCCCATCAGCCAAGCCGTCTGGGAGATTTGTCGAGGTCTCACTCGAGCATGCTTCAAGACGATCTTGGTGTCCGTCAACAAATTGGACTCAATGTCCTCTTGCGCATCCAGAATAAACACATCGTTGAGCGTTGCCGCCACATGCTTGGCAAGCCATGCTTTCGGAGACAACGATGTCTTGACTTTGGAAATCCAACGGGAAAACATGCTGTACTTCTATTTTTACTCTTAGATCTACTTACTCGCTTGTGTCTAGTCTGGTGCTTTTCCAGAGAATGATATCTAATTCTCTAGCTAGAGCTACATACATGTAGCAAGCCAGTTTTGTATTTTGTGAGGGTCTGACAGAGGGATCTTCCAATCAACCAGCTTACCCATGAATGATTGAAACATTGGCTCCGTTGATGGTGTGTTGGATCTGTTCCATGTCGCAAGACTCTCGACTCGACTCGACTCGACTCTCTTCGTTTCGTCTTCTTTTTATTCCAGGATCTTTGGGACGACCCAACTCGACTTGACCCTTTGGTAGCTAGAGTAATAATAGGGTTCTAGCTACCGGTATTGGTGTGTCTTACCAGTAATCTTCAACTATCTCGAATGTTTTACCGCATCTACCTGAATTCCAGTGCCCGCTTCCTGGGTTGAGAAGGCTGTTTGGATCTTCTCTTGGTGCGACAATGTAGACTAGTCGTGGATACGATTTTCCGTACCGTACAGTTGACGGAGGTAATAAGTACAGTTCCCGTAGTGGTTTGTCTTCAAGCACCACCGGCTGGTCAGCTACATAGTCTCCTCCACTATCTGGCCCCTTTCACAAGCTAGCAACGCTTCCGTGGGGTTGCCTTTCTCTCAAGTAGAGCAAATTCGACAACAGTCTTGTTTTAAAATTAAAATGTATATATTCTATCTGCTTCACAGCCGAGATCAACACCGTTTGGCCGAGATCAACGGCGGCAGATCGATAGCTAATAATGATATGTACCCGCACGCAAAGAGATCACTTCGTCCGAAGTTGTGCCGCGGTGGGAATGTAGTTTGTTTGTCTGTCTTTCTACAGCCACAAAAGTTCACGTAGATTGGTTGGTTGGTTCACACACACACACAGTGAGCAAAGTGCCCATGCTGTGGAAATAGCACTAATGTGAGTTGTGGGTCCTCCTCTTTCGAACTGGCAACGAGTTTTAGTTGCATTTAGTCCTCCACCAGTTCGCACCGTTGCAACAGGAAGAGCAACTCCAAGAGAAACAAGCGGTGCCGCCTCCCCAGCAAGGCTCGTTACCACAAGCATTCGCAACTTTGCCCTCCCACCATTCCCAGGAATTGCAGCAGCTGTGGCAAGATGTACCCGCAAGACAAACCGTGCCATCGCCCCAGCAGCCTTGTTTTCCGCACTGCAAGTTGAGGGAAAATAAATGAGTCAGGTTTGATTAATCCTTAAGAGATGGAGGATCGAACGGAAAATCCCACTGCCACAAGCAAACATCAGTAACTCACCTTTCCAAACATATGACCACCGCAGCATTTGTGACAGCTGATGCCGTTGACGCATGTGGTGCCGTCACCCCAACAGGGCTCTTTGCCACAAGCACGGCCGGGCAAACTCGTCGTCTTCAACGCCATCCAATCCGAGTCACCATTCTGGCATTGGTGGCAGCTGATTCCATGAACACAAGGGGTTCCATCTGGCCACTTCGGCTCCGCACCGCAAGCATGGCCGGGCAAACTCGTCGTCTTCAAAGCCATCCACCATGTGTGAGCATGCTTGCACATGTGGCAGCTGATCGTTCCAAAACATTGCTTGAGGTCAGAGAGCTCAGGGTACAATTATGATTGATAGACACAACTTGTCATCGTTTGCTTACCTGATTCCATCGACACAAGGTGTTCCGTCGTCCCATTTTGGCTCGACGCCACAATGGTCCCATGCAGGTCCGAACCAAAAGTTCGAGCCGCTGCAACAGTTGGGGCACGTAGCTCCGACAGTCTGTCCGGCAAGACACTTTGTTCCGTCCGACCAGCAGCCTTTCTTTCCACACTTCGTGGACATGTGTCCGTTACAACACTTATGGCACGAAATTGCCAAAACACAGGTGGTGTCATCCCCCCAGCACGGCTCGTCTCCACAGGCTACACCAGGCAAACCACCCAGCTTTGGAACACTCAACCAACTTGAATATCCTACCAAGGCAACGCAGCAAGGAGCAGGGGGTGAGTGTCTCCGTCGTAGGGATCAGGTGCTGAATACTCCCATCTTCACTTTTGTGCTTACCATGTTCGCACTGTCCGCAGCTGATGCCGGCAACACAAGGCGTTCCATCTGGCCACTTCGGCTCCACGCCACAACCCTTGCCTGGAATTTTCTTGTCGGTTCCGAGCCACCATGTTTCATCATTACAGCAATTGCAGCAGGTACCAAGCTTCTTCTGGTCGAAGGCATTGACACACAATGTGCCGTCTTTCCAGCACTCTTTACCAGTGCACAAGGCAAGGAGTTCATAACCGACCGACGCGATTTTAGTCCATTCCTCCTCTGGATTCCATTCGCCCTCCAAAATCTTTTCGAAAGTCCCAACCATGTTTTCTGTGCTGAAAATATCCTGCAGCTTCTCGCCAGCTTTCTCGAAGGACAGAGCAAATGCTTCGCCAAGCGTGTTCAAGTGCCTGTCGGCCTCATGCAAGACCCACATGACGCCGTCTTTGACCTCCTTCATAATGGCAACAAACCACTCAGAGACATTGTCAAGGCCCATCTTACAACCAAATGTTTTGTAGTTAGAGGAACACTGCAAGGAAAAGGTTGTAATAGGAAGGCCAACAATTATCGGGACATTAAGGATGAATCCGGCGTTTCCCTCGTTCAGCGTGACCCCCCAGCCGTGGTGATGTTGGGTGCCGATGGCCTTGACATTCAAATGTTTCAAGATGCCGTCAATATCCATCTTCCATCCTTTCTTCTTGAGTACAAGATTCTGTTGGTGATTATCCCAATCGAGGAAAGAGAGAGTCTCTGAGTCGAGTCTGCTGGCGACAGACGCAAAAGATCCTCAAGAACGGAACTTACCACCATCCCTTCAAAATGCCGAAGAACCTTTAAAGTTTCTCTCCTGATAACCTGGGCGTTCCCTGAATTCCCCATGAAAATAGAAATTCCAGGGTAAATCTTCTTGACGGATTTATCCGCTAGGACTGCGTGCCTTTCTGCTGTGGTGATATGAACCGTGGCCCTACCCACCTCAATATCAAAATTTGGAAGTGCTTTCCCAATCACCGGAACATTCTTGAAGCTCATAATAAAGTTAAGTCTCCCATCAATCACAATCTCGAGCCCAAACTCGTTCAAGAACTCAGCAAGGTCGACCTCGCCTGCTGCGTTGAAAGACATCATCTTTTTGGCGACAGCTTTTTCATCCGCAGGTCGGCCGTCTTCCAATGACAAGCTGAGTCCTCTCGTGGCAGTTGCCTTGAGTGTGAACCAGTCCTTGAACTGCTCACGAATTTTTTCAGATTTGATAGAGAAAGCAAGTTCGTCATAAATAGTGGGACGGAAAATGTAATCGAAAAATTCCACGCCATTGTACAGAGGAATCTTCATTTCGAAAGCATTCGTGGTGGACAATCCAAACGAAACATGGTTCAAGCCTAATTGCACAGCAGCGGCAATTATTGTCGCAATACCATATGTTTCCACTCCACCCTGGGCGACAAGTCAATGGCATTCAAGGATTCAGAGGCTGTGTTGATATGAGCGGACTCTGAATGAAAGTTGTCACTGCGTACCTGTGCAATTATACAGCTTACGAGTCCCGTGTCCATGGCGAAGGCAACCGAGGGCAAAACTAAAATCGTCAAACCGATGTGTTAGTAAACAAAAACGAGTTGCGAACAAACACGAGTTGCACCCATTCAACCTATTCAAAGACTGCTTACCGTCGCAGAAAGAAGCCGCCAAACAAAAGGAAAATGTGATACTGGTTCCCAGGCCTTCACAAACTTGGGCGGCAATTGCAGGTGGAAGAGTAAGGTGGCCAGCGATTGCAGACCATTCGGCCTTTTTGCTGGTCGCTATAGGAAGTTTGCCGCACATCGGCACCATGTGGTCCGTCTTTTTGGGCCATCTCATGGTCGCTCCGGGGAAGTCTCCAACACACATCTTGGCTTGGAAACCACCAATTTGCTCCGCGAGAAACATAGCCACCCTTTCAATTTGCTCGAAAACAACCTTTACAATGTCGTCTAATTGTTCGTTTGCCCCCGTCTGTTTGAGAAGCTCTGCCACAATTGCATGGATGAGGCGAAGAGGCGAAGCCACCGCATCGACGCACTCGGGAATTCCTGCTTCCTCAAACTCTTTCTCGAGCGCATCTGGTACGAGTCCGATTTGCTTACGACCTCCATTACACGTCGTTAAGGGAAGCTGGAGAGATGCCGGTCTAGGGGCTGGTTTAGGGCGATCTGGCAGTGTGACTGCTAGAAGTCCAGGTCCTGGTCCCTCAGCCTTTTCAACGCAAGACTTGCCCTTTCCACAAGCAGGCACATTACAGTATTCCCATCTGGGTAGACAATGGAAGAAAAGTTCAGTTTTGGAACCTCGTGACCAAGACAAAGCACGTGCATTGGCCTCACCTCTTGTCTTTCTTCGTTGTGTAGCACCAGGACTTGTCAGCTCCATCTGGGTTGCGACCTGGTGATAAGGGGAGAAACTGAACTGTAAGAGAAGCTGTGCAAAACGAGAATGGATGTCATCTTTATCTTCACCAAGACTCACAGTAGTTTTTGGTCAAGCCTGATTGGGGGAATTTTTCTGGTGTCTTGTCATGTTTCTGGGGTTCTTGGGCGGCCCAATCTTGGCAAGGAATACCTGATTCAGTGACACTGATTGTGCCTCTATAATCAGCCTGCTTCTTCTCTGCCACCCCACATTTGTCTGAGAGATCGCCACAAGTGGGTACAGCACAGAACTCCCACCTAGCATGAGAAAAAAAAGCGTCAGTTTTGGAATCTACTGCCGAGATTCATTCCACCATCAAGGAACAAGAGTGCATTTGCCTCACCTCTTGTCTTTGTTAGTTGTGTAACACCATGCCTTTTCAGCTCCATCCGGGTTGCGACCTTTTGAAGAGGGAAATCAAGCTATAAGACGCGGCACCCAGAACAAGGCATCAAGAAGTCCCTAGGAACTCACAGTAGTTTTTGGTCAAGCCTGATTGGGGGAATTTTTCTGGGGTTTTATCATGTTTCTGGGGTTCTTGAGCAGCCCAGTCTTGGCAAGGAAGCTTTGATACAGTGATGCTGATTGTGCCTCTGTAATCAGCCTGCTTCTTATCTGCCGAACCACAAGTGTTTGGGGTATCCACATAACACAACTCCGCTGCTGCCTCAAGGTGCCTAATGATGGTAGAATTGGAGTACGCTTTTCCGGTCCTCACGTGCTGGTTGAGATTCGCCGATGCATCCTGTTGTCGGACAAGGTTCAACACATGGGTGACAAGGTTCACGACATGGGTGAGAAGAAGGTACAAGGATTGATTCGATTCGGACGAAGCCGATGGGACGTACCGCCCAAGCACCGCTATCAGTTTCGATTTCAACACCTTCCTCGACGTCCAACGAGGCAAAGCTCTGCCACACCATGTTAATCTCCAAGCCTTCGGTGCCCGCACCAAGATCTTCCTTGCCGGCTCTCAAACCCTGTCAATGAAAGAAACAAAGAAGAAGGTTGAATCCGGATGAACGAACAAACACTGTGATGGGCCAGGCCAGAACTGAACATCCCATCGAATGAAACGAAGATGGACCAATGGCCGAACGGGTCTTTCAGGACGTACCGTTGCATCGCTGCAGCGCACCGACAAGCTCAGTGTCGCGATGAACGAGACAAAAAGCTTCATGGTCAATTTTTCTTCTTCTATCCTTTCTTGGTGGCTTCTGTTGTCAGATTTCCAAAAAAGTGAGCTCTGTAACTGTGCCTCTCAGCCCCTCCGAAGATCTTCCGCTTTGGCACCAAGATATTTGATGACCAAGCTACATGGATGCTTGGACAAGACTACCCCCCGAAGATCCTCCAGCCAGGAACAAGATACTCGAATGACCAAGGCTGCCTGAATGGAGAGATGATGCCTTCAACCTCCGAAGATCCGCCTTTTGCTCCGAAGATCCTGCATGCTGACCAATCGGAAGATGCTAGCTAGTGCCTCCTTGCCCTCGCTCTAGCAAGATCTTCTTGCCCCCGACCAAAGCAATAAAGGTGCTCGACAATTGGGCCCAACCCTCCGAAAACCCACGAGCAACATTCTGTCCTTTGAAACTCGCGCCTGATCATCCGGCACAAGATTTGAGCGCATAGGGTAGATCTAATTGGATGGGAGTGACAATCGAGAACGGTACCATTCGACGGTACCGGTACCGGTACCGGTACCGTACCAACAAGATCTGACAAGATACGCAAGACTGAGCCGTCCCCTTCCAAGAAGCCCACGCTGCAAGAAGGAACTCTTCGGGCGTCCCTGAAGTACCGGTACTACATTAATAGTAGTATTCACAGCACAGGCTTTCCCAACAACCATACTCGTACCGGTACTGTACCGGTAGTACTAAAAGTACTGATATCAATGTGTTGTGTGTGGACGCATCACTTTCCCTCGGCCCTCCCCTAGAGTAGTATTCACAGCAACGACCTCCTTGGGCTATCCGAAAAGGTGCCCCCACAGATGTCCTACTGCGTGTGCAAGGGCCCTTCAAATCTTCAAATACCCTTCTCACAAAATAATGTTACACTGATCCATTCGATTCGCGAACTTTGATAGGGAAAAGCATCGCCAACAGGACCTGGTGAGGCCCAAGTGACAAGGACACGAGCGAGGGACTTGTGTGTGTTTTTGCGAGCAGGGAGTCCTGTAAAAACCGGAATAAAAAACCGGGATAAAAAGTCGAGCCCAAAATAAACCTGAATAAAAGACGACCATGGCGTCTTCAAAAGAGACGAGTCGAGCCGAGTGACAGTCAAACGGAAGAAACTCGTGGGACAGATGCTGGATGCTGGTATTATGGACTGAATTTTCAAGAGACTCGGCGGCTAAACTGAACGAATCGAATCGAATCGAATCATTGAATCGAATCGAACCCATTCCCATGCTTGGAATCGAATCAGTCTGCACTTTTACATCGTAGCTATTAATACTAGCTAGCTAGCCTAGCTAGTACATGCAGTGGAGGAAAGGTCGGCTCATCGATCGAGGAGTGAGTCCCCGAAAGCACGCCGCTCTCAGGCTCATCTTTTGAAAGCAAGAAGAAGAGGAACTTGATGATGAAGAGCACCGTGTCCGTCATGGTGGATCTGGTCGCTGAACTCCAAAGATCGGCTGCGTATTTTAATATCGCTGCGCGCTGTTTGCTCAGTCGTGGATGTTTCTCTTATTACATTATCGCTTGATACCGTAAAGATTTAAAGACCTTATTCGTGAGGTCACCTCACGATTTAAACATAGAAGGGGGTCTGGGGGTGGCTCGTGCAATTTACTTTGGCTCTTTTGAATAGGGGCAAAAAGTACAAAAGCTGATTCTGCAATTAAGAGGCCTTCTTGAAGTGCTTTTGGTGTGTTAAAGCATGCACTAGTAAATTAGTAAGGATTGGTTCATAGGAAATCCTTTCACATACTTTAAACCATCACTTCTGGTTATGGTTTGAAGTGTACCAAGAGGGCTAGATGATTTAACGCCGGATACATAAAAAGCTAGTAAGACATTTTACAAAACTTCAATGAACTCCTAGGAATGCCTTACAGAGGATTACGGTGGAATCTACGATTATTTGGCAAGCTGGTTGTGCATGTACAGTTGTAGAGGATTTGACCAAGTGTAGCAATTTGGTGTAGAACATACGGCTGGGACAACCGCTTCAGGCTGGGACAACCGCTTCAGGCCGGGACAACCGCTTCAGGCTGGGACACTGCTCCAGCTCCAGGCTGGGATAACCACTTCAGGCTGGGACAACAGCTCCAGCTTCAGGCTGGGACAACAGCTCCAGCTCCAGGCTGGGATAATCAATTCAGGCTGGGACAACAGCTACAGCTTCAGGCTGGGACAACAGCTACAGCTCCAGGCTGGGATAACCACTTCAGGCTGGGACAAACAGCTTCAGGCTGGGACAACCGCTTCAGGCGGGACAACAGCTACAGCTTCAGGCTGGGACAACAGCTACAAGGCTGGGACAACAGCTATACTACAGGCTGGGAAACAGCTCAGGCTGGGACAACAGCTTAGGCTGGGACAACAGCTCCAGGCTGGGACAACAGCTACAACAGCTGGGGGGTGGGGGGGGGGGAGGGGGAGGGAATACAACAAGCTGGGATCACAGCTACAGCTACGGGCTGGGACAACAGCTCCCAGCTGCCACCCTACTACCGGTACCATACCAGAGAGGTGCTGGCCCTCATTTTTGCTGAGTTGGATTTCCTATTGCTGTTGTTGTAGAGAGGTATAATTTCCAGTGCATTCTCGAATCAAGCAGTGGGCATTGTGATGAGTAACTTGCTTCCAGCCGATTCTTGACCACAGGATTAATTCTATCAGGCAGTTGCTGTATCTCTTTGCGTATGAAGCCGTTTGGTGGAAGCACCATTGGTACGATTCCCAGCCCTTTTATCATGATCACGGAGCATGACAGGTGGTACTTCGTTCCTTGGTGCTTTTTCATGCTGAGAATTTTGACGGTGGCAACGCTTTGGGAGATGGTGTTGATGCTGCTCGGTGAACGTTCTTGTGGTTCTTGGATGCCATTATTGGTCTCTTCTTGTACTGAATTCACTGAGAATGGTATTGGTTCATGTGGTAGTCCTCTTGTAGCTCCACTGTTGACTGACTACTCCTGTTGCACATTCTTCTGATACAGGGTACCATACAACCACTTCCAACTTTGTTTTCACCGATCTTGACACAGCTTCCATCACCAGTCCTCGGTTACTCATCCTGTACCAGTAGCCTTCTTCGATCCCTGCTATGCTTCAAGAGAGAGTAATAGTACACTACTTGCAGTTCTTGGTAGCTAGGACTACTGTAGTAGTAGTAACACCACTTCGAAGCTTTGTTTGTTTTAATGGACCGCCAATGACAGCCTCATCAGTAAAGCATCGTGTGAAGCACTGACTGGGCTCTGGGAGCTGCTTTGAGTAAAGCACTCACTCGTGATCTTTTCATGGCCAACGGTGCGTCAAAAGATCTCTCTAGCTAGAGGTTGGCCTCAGACCGAACCTTCCTGCCCTAATTTCTTCCACTTGAAAAGAAACCCGGAAAAGGCCATCAAAAATGGTTCGATCAACGTCATCTTTTCTTTCTTCAACCTCGGCACTTCAACTTGTGTTTGATCGGCAGGGGTTGATGATGGATGAGTGTGCCTTGTGCCTTGGCAAATCAGGATGGAATTGTATACTATTTCCTTTTTATTCAGCACTGTACCTTTCAAGTAGTTTGTTGACGATGAAGATCCAGTGTCTGCAATTAGCGCTGCTGTCGTTGAGCACGGCCACTTCTTTGGCATTTGTGAATCAGCCAACTTCGTTTGCTGCTTCAGTCAAGTCCGTCAGTGACAATAAGAGCAAGAATGTGTTGTTGTCCATGTCAAGCACGAGCGAAATGGAAGACGCTGCGACGTTCGAAGAATTGAGTCTCCCGGCTCGTGCGGGACGTCCCCTGAAGGTGGCCATTGCGGGAGGAGGCGTGGGCGGATTGACGGCCGCTCTTTGCATGCTCAAAAAGGGATTCGACGTCACGGTCTACGAAAAAACCGCCGCCTTTGCCAGATTCGGGGGTCCCATCCAATTCGCCTCCAATGCACTCTCCGTGCTCAAAGAAATTGACGATGAACTCTTCGATAGAGTCATGGAAAAGTTCACTTTTACAGGAACTAGAGTGTGTGGAATCAAAGATGGTCGGTACCAGTACAGCAGACACCACTTTTAAAAATTGGGCGTCGCGACAATTTCTAACTGTCTTTTCCCTTTTTCTTCCCCTTTCATTTTCAACATTCATAGGACTGAGATCCGATGGTTCTTTCCGAATGACCGATGATGCCTTGGATTATGTCTTCAATCCTGATGCTCCGGCTGATTGGTTTGTCAAATTCCCACTCAAGGTAAGCACAAGAGAAACAGGAAAACAATCTATCTAAAAGATTTTCCTCTTGTCCTGTTGTCCTGTTGTGCTAACTCTTTGCAATCCGCAAATTTTGATACATACGGTGTAGGAATGCGCCGATCTCTATGGGCTGCCATACACGGGAGTCATTGATCGACCTGATTTGCAAGAAATCCTCATTGATGAATGCACCAAAATCAATCCAAACTTTATCAAGAATGGGAATCCGGTCGAGAGCTACACGGATCACGGAAAGGGAAATGGTGTCACGGTCAATCTCGCCGATGGATCTACCGCCGATGCCGATGTCCTCGTAGGAAGTGACGGAATCTGGTCCGCCATTCGATGCCAAATGTACGGAGAAGGAGACATCAAAAAGACTAGCGCCAACAAATTGAAACGACAAGGTTGCGATTATTCAGGATACACCGTATTTGCAGGAGAGACCGTCATCAAAACAGAAGACTACTACGAAACAGGATACAAGGTATACATTGGACCCAAGAGATACTTTGTCACCAGTGATGTCGGTCAGGGACGTGTCCAATGGTACGCATTTTTCGCCTTGCCACCTGGTTCCAAAAAGGCACCCAGTGGTTGGGGAGGATCCACACGAGACGAACAAGCAGATCCCGGAGAGAACCTCGTCGATTACATCAAGTCATTGCACGAAGGATGGTCTGACGAAGTCTTTACCATTCTTGATGCCACTCCACCAGAGAGTGTGGAACAACGGGATCTCTACGACCGTGCACCAGAGTTCTTGAGAAGTTGGGCCGACGGGAACGTTGTGTTGATGGGAGATGCCGTTCGTGAGTAGCTAGCTTGTCGGTGGAACTTTGTATGGCTGTCTGATGGTGTCGGATCTCTCAATGGTGTGTCTTTCTTGTCCTCCCATTCTCTTTTTACGATCAGACGCCATGATGCCCAATCTTGGTCAGGGTGGATGTCAGGCCATTGAGGACGCCTACGTGCTTTCCGAAAAGCTCGCTGCAACCAAGAGTACCAAGGATATCCAAGGCAATCTGCAAAAGTTCTACAGAGAGCGAATCCTCCGTGTCAGTATTGTCCAGTTCCTGAGTCGTTTGGCCAGCGATCTCATCATCAATGCTTTTGATACTCCTTGGAGTCCACACGATAACCTTGGACAGACATGGAAGAGTTACTTAACGTTCTTCTGGAAGGTAAGAGCCCATGCAAACGTTGTGGTAGTAGTGTACTAAACTTTGGTCATATATATTGCACCCCGCTCAACCAAAATCTCCTCCAAACACTGCTCATAGCCCGTCCTCCAATACATGATTTTCCCACTGCAATTTGCCTACTTGTACTCCTATTACCCGTCAGGAAGCATCCGGGAAATTGCTGCCGAGCTCAACGAGAAGTGGAAGACCAAGCACATGGAAGAGGCAGAAGACGCCTTTGCTCTGGTACGAGAAGAAGGAGTTCAAATCTCTGGTCCATCGTTTTTCCAAAAGGCGGAGACCCCCGAAACTGTTTTGGCTGCCAAGAAATAGAAAAAGCGGCGGCAGGAAGGTGCCATGCAACGTGGAAACAAGAAGATGCTAGGGGCTAGAAACATTGAGTTCATTGTATAGCTAGCAGTTCAATTTATTTCAAACTAATGAATAACTGAATGACCATATTCATTGAGTGAAGCAATGAAGTGATGCCGGTATTACAATAGGGAGCTTCCCACTGCTTTCTTGGAGGATTGTCAGGGTGGGTGGTGCCACCACCAGCTCAATACTCTTGTGATGCCGCCACCCCCAGTTCATAATGTCGCTGCAACCATTCCACCACGATGACGGATCGGGCCGTTTTAAAGGCAAGTTCAGTGGAGCTAGCACCAGGGACGCAATGTCTCATGAGGATGATGGTCCAAAGCGTGATGCCATCCCCCCCCGAACACTAATGAGATGGAGTTCGTTGTTTACTGGCTGTGGAAAACAATTTGCCTTCCATCGGTTGCACCAACAGATGGGCTCTACACTTTCTATCCCGAGGTTTTCGGATACCAGTGGTAGGTTTGTCTAATGACATACCGTACATGGCACTATAGCTATAATAGATGTTTTGCGTTTCAAGTTGCGTTTTATCCAAAACCACCGCCACCACCTCGGCCTCTTTTCTTGTTCTTTTTGGCAGCCCTTCTTGAGGCACGATTGCCACTCATGGCCGCCATGTCTTGCATATCCGGCGGGGCACCTCCTCCTCCTCCCGCCATGGCCGCCTCCATGGCTTCCGGACCTCCCATTTGTTTTTGCATTCGACTCATCATGGTTCTCATTCGTTGGAATTCACTCATGAACTGCAATCCGTCCTCAAAATCATTGCCAGAGCCTTTGGTGATTCGCGTGATGCGTGATCGTGCCGTGGGATGATTGATCAACAGCTCCGGTTCGGCTCGTTCCGTTTTTGTCATGCTGTTGATCATGGCTTCGTTCTTTTTGAGTCTGGCTTCAACTTCTCTCATTTTGTTCATGTTGAGTTGTCCGGCCATGCCGGGCATCATTTTGGCGACTCCGGCAAGGTTTCCCATTTTGGAAACGAGTTTGGATTGTTTGACAAAGTCATCGAAATCGAATCGCGCCTCTAGCATTTTCTTTTGCATTTCGGCGGCTTCTTTATCGGAGACTTCGGCGGCTGCCTTTTCGACGAGACTTACGACATCTCCCATGCCCAGGATGCGACTAGCCATTCGGTCGGGATAGAAGGGTTCCAAATCTGCCGTTTTTTCTCCGGTTCCAACAAATTTGATGGGTTTTCCACTGACACCTCTCACACTGACGGCGGCTCCTCCACGAGAATCACCATCCATTTTGGTGAGAATGGCTCCTGTAATGCCGACGGCCGAGTCAAATGCTGCCGTCAAGGACGCTGCTTCTTGTCCCGTCATGGCATCCACCACGAGTAGTGTTTCATCCGGTTTGACAGTTTCTTTGATTCTTTTGAGTTCCGTCATGAGATCTTTGTCAATGATTTGCCGACCAGCCGTATCGACAAGCACTGTATCGTATCCTTCATTGGCAGCCTTTTGTAGCGCTTCTCTGGCAATATCGACGGGGTTGGCATCGGTTCCTTTGGAGAATACATCTACTTGTATGGATTCTCCAAGAATCTCCAACTGTTTGATGGCAGCTGGACGGTAGACATCTGCGGCGACGAGCAATACCTTTCTCTGTCGTTTTGGCAATTTGGATGCCAATTGTGTTTCTTGGTCGTCTTCTGGATTGACAGCATCGTAATCGACTTCCCGTTCTTTGAGGTACAATGCCAGCTTTCCTGCAGCAGTGGTTTTACCGGCACCCTGCAATCCTGCCAACAGCACTACGGTGGGTTTGTCTTTGGTGAAAGCCAGAGTGGCGGCCGGCTTGTATGTTTGTTGCGTACTCTTTGCTGTAGCGGAATCTCCTCCCATCATGTCTAGTAGTTCGTCGTACATGGCTTTAATGAATTGTTGTTCCGCCGTGACGCCCTCCATGACTTCCTTTCCTAGACTTCTGGATTTGACTCCATCAATGAGAGTATCGGCCACATTGACATTGACATCCGCATCCAACAAAGCACGACGGACTCCTCGAAGCGCTGGCTTGACACTGGCTTCCGTGATCCTTCATACATAATAATGTACATTTTATGGCATGGGTAAGATGAGAAAAGGGTACAGTTGGCTAGCTAGTAGAGTGAGTGAGTGACTGACTTACTTCTGTTTGGGTCCCAACTGTTTGGCAATGGATGAAATGGCTTCAGTGAGCTGATCAAACATCATATTCAGCTGAGTGCCACTGCCACTGCCACTGCCACATCTGCTTGGGCTTTTGCTGTGTGATTGTGACACGGATGCATATGGTGACAAGAAGGAAGAAGAACTGGAACTACACAAGGAGAAAGCATAGACGCCATTTGTGGCTGACCAACTCCACATCCACAGCAGCCCCACAAGCAACGCCACTGGCGACTTCATCTTGACTTGAAGAGGTTCGATTCCTCCCCTCTTATTGCTTGCTAGCTTGCTAATAACCCTCTTTGGATTGATCCACTGTTGGCTAGGTCCAGTACAGTACTGTAGAGGGAGCTTTGACTCTCTGACTAAGCTTTGAGTTGGGGCACCCTGCACCCTTGGTCCTACTAGCTTGGTGAGCCTGATTGGAATGATGGATGATCTGACGTCAGTGGTTGAAACACGGATAGTGCTGGACTCGTGAGTGATCATTCACCATTGAGATCTTTGGTGTCAAGATTGCTGTGCCGATGTGCCGATGGTTGGTTGTTGTTGAGGCTTCGAAGATCCATAAAAAAGATACCATTGCTCCATTCATTCCATTTACCTAGACTATCTAGCTAGTCTATCTCTATCTCTTGTATCTATTTTCAACAGACAGTAACAGTACTAGTATCAGTATGCCCCCTTATTCCAGTTCGTGTCTGGTGTTGTTGTTGGCTGTCAGCAGCCTTGTGTCTCCGTCGAGTGGTCTGATTGCCAGCGAGCCAGTGTCCGCTTTGTTGAAGACTCATGCCGACGGGATCTCCAAGCTCAAGTCCATTTGTGCGGAGCAGTTGGGTCCTGCCGCTTTGGAATCAGAGCCGTACTCCAATGACGTCTTTTTCTTGCGTTATTGCTTGTCATCACCAGAGGAATCCGAACAAACTGATCGCTTACAAACCAATCTAGCTTGGAGATCGTCTTCTGCCGGTCAATCCATTTGTCAAGCTGCCACTACCGCCTTGGCACAAGCTACCCAACAAGGTGGATGGGATAACGCGCCCGTAATCAACGCGGCTCCTCATTCCGACTTGATTACCAAGTATATCACTCCTTCCAATGTCGTTACTACCACATCCAATCAACAAGATCTCGTTTATTGCATTCGGGCCGGACAAATTGATGACGTGGCGCTCATGGATGCAGTCTCCATCCCACAAATGGTCGATTTTTTTCTGTACGCCAAAGAAATCAATGCGCAAGTCGCCAATCAACGATCTCTCCAGTCGGACAAGCTCGTCTGTGTCGTCACGGCCAATGATTTGGCCGGAGTCAAACTCGTGGGGGGATCGGCCGATTTCCGAAAGGCACTCGGAGAATCTAGCAAACAGGCCAATGACCTCTATCCAGCCACCAATGGTCCCACCCTACTACTCAATCTACCCAAATTGTTGTCGGCTCTTGTCAAGCTATTCACGCCACTCTTTTCACCAGAAGTCAAGGCCCGTCTGAAATTCGAACAAGGACCGTTGAAAGACGTCGACGATCTACAGCAAGTGGCATCCACTGCTTCGGGGGCTGCACGATCCACATTCGTAAAACAGCTCGATGATATTGTTTACAGTGGCTGATTTGATGTCATGAGTGATTGATGATGAAGAATCGAAACAAACCTCACGTGGATGCATGGTGAGAAACCCTTCTGGTGCCAACTGCTATAGCTAGCCGAAACTACTTAATCTTAATGCTTCTTACCCTTCCATGCCCTCCCATACTCATCGGTGTCCTAGCTAACTACATGTACTAGTACAATCTTCTATTATGCAGTGGAGAGAAGGCCACTATCGGTACAGGTGATTATACCGGTAATAGCTTGTTGGGACACCACGAACCTGGCTGATCCCTCGAGAGTCCAGTCCATAAAGAGCATTCATTATTGCATGCAGACTCTATTTGTCCCACGGAACCAAGCACACCCACAAGACATTGCTCCAAATAGGCCCTTCCGAAGCTTGAATGTCTTCTTTCCGCACTTACATGTTAGTCCATGGCCTTTTCTTTTCCACAATGGCATATGCAAGACATCCTTGCATTGCTGAGCCGTGACAGCCACAACACGGTACGAGGTACGGTACCGTAGCAGTCTCTTTGCAGTGTCTCGCGGACACATCCAATGGGTTTCTCGAGAACTCTGCCAGAACACCAAGATCTGAGACCCGAAGCGAACGGCGCTCCCGGATCCCGGAGTCGAGTCCTGTTTGCTACTTAGAGTGCAAGAAAAGTACCAAGAAATCAAGTCACGATCTGGAGTCACGAATATAACAGACAAATCAAAATTGCACCGACTAGCTTGAGAAAAGCCTTCATTTTTCGTCCCGACAACCACCTCGAACACTCCCTCGACGATCAACCTTCTCCTCTTGTTGTTGCTGCTGCTGTTGCTTTCTATTCGGTTGAAGAGACAATGGCGAGAAAGCAGTCAGTACCAAAAAACCGTTTTTGGCACCACGTAAAGCCACCCAAAGCGAAACGTACCAGAAAGCCACGGCGATTTGACAACAATCCCTCTCCAGACAAACTCGTAGTCGAGAATTACGACCAGTATCAACCATCGAACCCACGAAGATTGATCGATGAAAGCGGATTGAATGGAATGTCTTCTTCTCCCGATGGTTGTCCATCCCCTTCCTTTGGCATTCCCAGTCTCGCCGAGAACCCCAGCGTCGCGTCTCGAGTCGCGGCGCCAGAAAAGGAAGTCGTTGTCGCCCCCGAGACGCCCAAGGAACCATCTCTACCATCAAATGAAGATGTTGTCCAAACTTCTAGTACATGTAACCAGAATGGAAGCGCTCTTGTCGCTGCAGCTGTTGCCGTCGCCTCGAAACCTCCCAACGAAAGTGAGTCGGACGAAAATGACGGTTCCAATGGCAAGTTCTCCGCAGACCCCAAGAGCAAGAGTCCTCACAGAAGTTTGGATGACGTCGAGTCCAAGACCCTACCAGCAGTAATCTTTGCTACCGGTATGAGCGACCGTCAACAACCGACTTCGCGTCCTCATCAAGAATTGGAGCAACCCGTAATGCCATTTTCGGAGGATGAAAATTTCGATATTGCTAGTCAGAATGGAAGCGTTCTTGATGGAGCTGGTGGAAACGGCGCTGGGGCAGACAATGCGACGCACGACAATTCCAGTTCGATGCTGGACGGTGGAAATAGTGACGACGGAAGCGCTCACGAGTCGACCACAAGCGGTGATGAAACAAAAAGTGCCATGGAATCACCGCCGGGTGGCTCAAGCGGTGGAAGCGCCAACCAGAAGAACGACAGCCCCAAACACCCAACGACATCTCCCTCTCCAGTGAAAGCCAAGGCCGACGAACCGTCACCAGGTGCAGGCCGATCGCGTCTTGCCCGCTCTCCTTCCTCCACGTTGTTGGTACCTTCCGAAACCGGAGAGGAACAGGATGAGGGTCGAACTAGTATTACTTTGGAACCGCCTCGGGAGGAAATCGTGACTGTCCCTCACACTGACATGGAAATTGAAGATGGTTCGGAAAATCATGGCAACGAAGCAGTCGAGCAAGCAGCTGGAGGGGGACTGGTAGATGAGTATCAAGAAGGAGCAATCGAATCCTCTTTGGGTGGCTCAAGCTGTGGAAGCCCACCCCACCCCCACGACAACGACAACGACGAGATTCCTTTTGTTGCTGACGATGGTGCCGATGATGGCCACGAGGATACTCCTTCCTTTGCTGACGGTGGTGCCAGCGGTGGTGCCGGCGATGCTGCCGACGATGGAGAAGAAATGGAGACTCAGAGCTCTTCCGGTGCCGAGGAGACTCCTGCCGCTGTTGAAGACGATGGCACCGGCGATGTTGCCGACGATGGAGAAGACTTGGAGACTCAGAGCTCTTCCGATGCCAAAGACTCTGCTCAAGACGATGGGAGCGACTTCGAGGAAGACGGCGACAAAATCCGAAAGTCTCGTCTCAGTCTGCGCATAAGCACACAACGGATCAACGAAGCCTCAACGGCTGGCGACAGCAAACGGTTCAAGTGCTCGTGTGGCCATCCTGGTTCCTTCGAAACCAAGAATGGGCTCAAAAAGCATCAGCGAACCAAAACGTGCGGTGGCCAAGTCATGGAGGAGGACAAGAAGGCCAAGAAGGATACGAAGGCTACAATCGATCCAAAAGATCCCGCAACCAAGGTGACATTGACGGAAGTGGTCGAGCATTGCCGAGCGAAAGCGAAGAACGGCGGCATTGTGGAGGATGGCAAAGTACAGTGCCCGGAGTGCGAAAAGCACTATAAGGAGTCTCAGTCTGGCATTTGCAAGCACCTCCGAGATGCCCATGGTACTTTGTACAAGTGGGAAGTTGGAGACCCAACCGCAGCGAAAAAACGTGGACTTGCCGCATCCAACGAATCTCAGGCTAGAAAGAAGCCTCGCCAGAGCAACGAAAGAATGACGAACAGCGCGCTTACGAGAGCATTGCAACCGGGCAAAGCGGCAGTCAAGATCAGCTTTCGTCGTCTGGCTACATTTCTGGGTGGTACGGCAACAGATAAGAAACTCTGCTGTCATATCTGCAAATGTGTGACCACGGCAGGCCACATCCAGCGACATCTGTCGGAAAATCATGGTGTGGCTTTTTCCTTGACGCGAAAGTGCTAGCGAGCAACGCAAAAGTGAGTTCAAACCGGAGCAGAGATCTCCACTTGACCGTATCAAATCCGTGCTTGCAAAGGGCAAGCCGTTCTCTCTTCGTTGTGAAGGCTCTCTGGTCGGCATTGTGGTGGATGGAGTACATGGTTTGTTGTCGTGCTATTTTACGCTTTACTGTACGATAGAAACTTGCTCCGCTTTTGAGTAATGAGTGATGATAGTAGCCATAATATGTGCGAAAGAAGCTGTAGACCCACTCGCAGAGGCCACGTAGAATGTTCATAGCAACTAGATCTAGATGCCTTCGCGCGTGTGTGGCCGTGGTACGGTATGGATTCGATCGCTACCAAGGTTGTTAAGGTTGTTGAGATTGCAATCAGCTCATGGCTTCGTGTGTGTGGCTTGGTCTTGGTGAAATGCGACTTGTGAGACACTTGTTGCAACTCTGGGATTGCCGTGGAGCTTTGAGGTGTTTCCTCTTGTTATCTGTTGATCAGGTACCGCAGCCACTTGTGGGTCTATTCCTGTCTGCTCCAAGCCGTCGTAATGGTCTGCTCGCGATCTCCAGGAGTCAGAGTCGCGGTGTCGCCGGATTCGATTCGGTGGAACGGTGGTGGGAGCGACGACACCGTTTTGGACCTGAGGATACTTGTCGAACTTCTCTTGTAGTCGACTCGACAGTCTTATGCGCTTGCAGATGTCTGTAGTCGTGACATATAGTTATTGGATGAGTTTCATCAGTTAGAACAGGCTTGTCGTGAAGATTCACTGCTTCGTGTCGATGCTACTACTAGTAGTATAATAGGATTCTTATCTCGGCTTACAAGCACCTGCGACACGATCAAGCGTATCTCAGTCAAAATGTGTAGTTTAAAGGCCGCCATCGACCACTGCATATGCGTCAATGTGTCCTCATTCCGCTTTGGGATGGTGTCTCTTAGCTATCGCAACTGTGTCGATAGTTATCTCGGTTCCCGTCGATGGACCTTCGCTGCTCGTCAATTGAGCGCCTGACGTACTCGATCGATCGTAACTCACTCGTTTTCTGATATTTGAGGCCAGCATGGAACAGATGCGGCTTGATCTTCTCTCTTCTTGAGATGGTACCGTATGCTTGGATGGGATCGGTCGTTTCGTCGTGTTTTAGATACTCGTAGAGCCAATTTCGCGCTACCGGTACGGTGAATTTAGGGAGTTTTCAGCAGCGATTGTACGATCGAACGACGCCGCCGCCAAGGCGACAACAAGGACAACAAGAACAAGACGAAGAGCGACCGCTAACACTAGCCGTCGCTACTGATACTATGAACAAGAAGAAATCATCGGTCGTCGATACAGTACCGATCGGCAACAGCGACGGCACAGATGTTGGGAGAAAAGGTGGCGAAAAGGCAGTGCCAGCGAGCCCGTCATATCTCAGACAACAACGCCACCTGTTCAGCGGACCAAGCAGTCACTGAACGTCACAAGAAAAGAGCTATCTTTCCTTTGCCATGTCCAGATCCAAAGCTCTCTGTACTGGGGCCACGGAAGATCCAAGCCGGTTACCGGAGAGGCAGTACAGTCAAGCTATGAAACACAGCAGCCCATCTGGAGTGTGTATTGTACAGCTGATCCACAGCACCTCCTCCCCTCATTGAGTTATAGAAAAAAGTAAACCTGAGGCAACAACAGTCTCCAGGCAACAGCATTGCCATTACATGCCCCTTGCCCATATGCCCATTGCCCATGCCCAATGCCAAAGCCATGTACCAGGATATCGCTCAGTCTTGGATGGCAGGATCAGAGGTGCATGCGCAGGAGCAAGAGAAAAAGCAGCAGAATGATGAACTCAATCCAATCCTGCCAAGAATTGGAACCAAGAGTGATATGGGGTGTGTGTGCACATAGCAGAGGGGATGCATGCCATAAATCAGCAAGCATGTGTGCACTGTGGGATGAAGAAGAAGAAGTCCACAATGCTAACGGGAGAAGGAAAATGGATTGTGGAGACCAAACTTTTCTTGCAGCCATCAGGTCCTCACCAAAACTTGTTAACCTCATTGATGGGAGGTGGGCCTTTCATTACCCTACGAGTACTTTCTAAAGAAGACAAAAGAGGGTCCAATCCGAGAATGTCCACTTTATTTTTGTCTCAAAAAAGAAAAAAGTTGTCGGTCCAATCCGAGAATCGAACTCCTACGTTTCGTGATCGGGCTTGCAGTTAGAGACGGATCTCAGTGTCAAGATTGGGGAGACATTCAACACTTACGGGACCTCATCCACCCTAAAGATGAATCATGCCACTAGACCAATTGGACTCCTGCTGGTGCACCAAACATTTAGTTACTTGTAGTCTGATGTTATGATTTGCCACCGGAGGTGCGATTTTCCCCCACGCGGAAAAGAGGTGGAGAAGTTTTGCCGCCGAAGGCCATACTGGTAGAGGGGCGGATATCTTTCGGTGGCTTGTACCGGTAGTAGCACAGCCTCCAGCCGGAGCACTTGGTGTAGTATCAGCAACCCAACCAGCAGCATCAACGCTTTCCGCTGGGCACAAGAAAAACTCCCACCCTGCACAATACCCGTAGAAAGGTGCAATAGAAAGGGCATACAAGGGTTGCCTGTTGTCACCTCTTGCTATGAGATCAAGGAGCGATATCAATGCTGCCAACAAATCCAGGACCATGATCAAAACCGCACTGGGTGTATGAATCAGTCTTTGCCACTACTTTAGTTGACGTGGGCTTTGCTTGTGGGGAGATATAACTTTGTACTCAACTCTGGGTATCGTACGTAAAGCGGGAGCCAGCGTACAGACTAAAACGAGCCGATACGAAACTGACCTACAGAGGTAGGATTCGTTTCGTTTCGTTGTAGTGTACGTTTACGTTGCTTGGCAATAGTAGTACCATCCTTCGAAGATACTGTTGCTTGGCTGGTTCCACCCTCCTCGCTCCTCTCGTTTGTTCACGACGACAAACAACCCCAATCGAGTGGCCGATTCCAAGACGGTATGGATTAGCACTTGGACATGCTGTAAACTCTCAGCATTTGGTTGCGCTTTAGTCCCTTGATGACTGAACTTTCTGATTGTTCAAATCCAACAGGTACGGTACATGTTCAGCACAAGAATTCGCCGGCGATGAGGATGATACGGTCGCGTCCATTCCTCGCAACAACAATCGCCGCAACCGCAACCGCCCTCGCCCTCGCCGTGGAGTGAAACGTCGTGATGCGAAGCCTGATGCTGTACCGGTACCGGTAACACCACGTCATTGCTGGGAGCCTGGGTGCTTTCTACCTCTAGCTAGTACATGTAGCTACTAGTAGGGACGTTGACCAAAAGATGCTTCCTTCTAATTATAGTCCAACAAAAGTTGCGGTCCAATCCGAGAATCAGACTCCTGTTTCCAAGAAGGACAGCTGATGATAATGAGTTCAAACAAGCACTCCGAAGCGCGAAAGTTTACGATACTGGTCGCATTGCGGATGGATTGCTTCTCTTGAAGGAAACTTACGGGACCGCATCCACCCTAAAGATGAATCATGCCACTAGACCAATTGGACGCTGAGGCGCAGCTTCAGAGAGCAGCATATCCAATTCAGTGCTCCCATCTCAATGATTTCTTGTGTTGGATGGGCGAGGGGGGCCTTGGCCAGTCGGAGGCTTGACGCTTCTGCTAGCTGGCCCTACGAGTGAGTCGTCACAATCCTTTCTCATATGAAATGTTGGCTTTGGAAATGGCACCGTAAATCCTTGCTTTCAAGTCTATCATTGCGAGCCAGGCAACTCCAGGAGTCACCAATATAGTCGGGTTTACTCACAGCGAGACTTACGATTGCCTCGACACGCATAATATATATTGCTTTGCCATTTGGCACTTCTGTTCCAAAGATAGACGCCCACCATGCGAGATTGTGGTATGATCAGGAAAGATAGTTTGTTGTTGTATCAATTGTCTGCCAAAGAAATCAAGGAAGTGCAGTCTTCCGATTGTGAAATGAACTGCGGTGGTGCCAGTTGATGGAATCATTCTCTAGTCAGCTACGATGCACTCGTTCCTTCCGGAAGAGAGTGACAGACAACTTAGACTTGTCCTCCATGCTATGGTATCAGTTCACCTTCGGATGTCCTGTCTGATACAAATAAATAACTGTAGGGGTAATACCAGCCAATGAGAGTGTTGATTGAATGCGGATGTGCGATGGAATGTATGAAGCTGGCTGAAGCTGGCTCGACTCTTCTACTAATACATGTAGATGGCGACTAGGTTGTGAATGGTCCCACTGCAGCAACTTTGCTGTGACAGTTTGAGCAATAGTGTTCCGTCTCCAAGCAAGCTTGACAACAGAAAGGAGCACAACAAAGGCAGAGAGGCCAGCAAAAGAATCCTAGAAGGACCACAAACATCCATGTGATGATGTTGGCATGGTGCCTGGTCCTGGTTCTCATCTGTACCTGACAAAAGGGGCAGATGACTTCAGCGCGATGTCTTCCAAGGTACCGGTACCGGTATGGTGGTAGCGGTTGGGTAGGCTGTGGCGGCGTCGCTGATGTTGGTGTCGGTGTCACAGGTGCTTGTGGCGGCTGTGGAATGGCCGTGGCTGTGATAGTAGGAACATCATCGTCATCATCATCCATTGCATGATAGTTGGGACTCACGGAAGGAGGTCGCACGCTATCCAACACATTCTCCACGACATTGATCGGAACTGCTTCCGCCATTGGGTAATCGTCCACAGGGCGGGGATTCTCGGCATCTTTGTTTTATGAAAAAGCCAAACGAAACATAGAAACAATCATTAGCAAGCAATCGTGTCAACGCACTCCGTCGGCCATGGTCTCCCTAATCAGGAAAACCTCGTTCAATTCAGCTTGGATCCAACTCACCGTATCGGTTCATGCGGCTCATCTTCGTGCAATGTCGTTATACAATTAGCTAGCTATCTACTACTAGTAGAGCATGCGAGGGATCAAAGGTTGGGCGAAGAAGAAACAAACAAATGAAACATCCACGAAAAGCTGTGGGCTTGTTTCGTGCCGGCAAAGGAGAAAACATATTATCGTTGAGTACCGTTTGATCTAACAAAAAGAATTATAATAATTGTGCAACGAGAGCCTTCGCAAGCAAGAAGTGGTTGGGAAGGGCAACCTCGAAAGGTTTTAGTTTGGCCCAACTTGGATCTGGCTACCTGGTACCGTGACTTTTGCTGCTGGTGAATGATGTAGCTGCCATGCTGTCATTGGGGGTACCGGTATGCAAAATCAAAAGGTTGGAATCAGACGAGGAACATCCTCGTTTGCCTTTTTCGAGGTGCCACTGAAGACTCAACAATGACCGTAGGACCTTGACGCCCAGCAAAGGGAGGAAGACTCACATGCTAGCGATCATCGACCTGACTGGCCTACTGTTTGCGTCAAATTCTATACACTTTTTTGATGATATTAAACAAAGCTAGTACCGTACCGGTACGGTACTGACCTGGCAGAAAGCAAAGCATGATGGTCCTGGGTGAAACTCTTTGAGCAAAAGACACAACTAACTATCGCACTCCAATTCCACAACGAACGAAATGATTACACTTGTTTCTTGTTGGTGGCAAAGATCTTTTCCAAACAAACAGTGGCAGCTTCCTTGACACCGTCATCGTGTGCATGGTTTTGAAGAGCCGTCTGAACGGCCTCCGCGACGCCTTGTTGCACAAACCCTTGGCAATACATGTAGTACTCATCATGCGCATCATACAAGTTATGAAACAGCCAAGAGCTGCAACCCAGGATAAATGCATTCGCGGGGAATTCCTCCATGGCCTTCACCACAAGCGCCAATCCATCCACCTCGACCACAAATCGTTTCGTAGCCTCGTCAATAGCATGATGATGTGGCTGAGTAGTAGCATTGCCGCCACAAAGCAAGTTCTGCATGGCCCAAATGCCAGCCGCTTGAACATTTTCGGACTCTGGGAATCTTTCAAGAGCAGCGCAAATGGACTCCATCCCTCCCGAGAGTGCCAGATCAGTCATGGCGACTTCATTCTCGACGAGCAGTACGGCCAGGCATCGACAAGCAAAGTGCTGAATGTTGGCATCATGTTTCCACTTGCTCATGACAGCCAACAAGGTCCTATGAACTCCTAGAAGAGTCAGTGAATCCTTCGCTTCCGTCTCGTCCATGACTGTTTCCTGCAACAAGATATCCCAAAGGCGCTTGAGCGAGTCGACTACCTTATTGGCATCATCCTTGAGGACTTGTTCGACCCATAGCCCAAACATTGTCTCTATCTCAGAAGGATCATTATTTTGAGTCTCCATATTGTTGGTGGTACTATATGTAGTATCAGCGGGGGTAGACATGGTCAATGGTTGATAATGGGAAGAACGATAATGAACCATGCGCAATGGAAAGGCATTGAGAAAACAGAGAGCATTTTGACCTTTGAGCCCCTATCCTAGCTAGCTCGGCTTGCTCTGTAAATGAAGAAGAGCCTTCTCATGATCCCCTGATATTAAGTAAATTAGGGATCCTCTAATCAAGTGAGGCTAAAAGAAGAGCCTGTATCTGAAGGTACTTCTGGTACTCTGGTACCCTTTTAAAATTAATAGTATTAATAGTACTATTTTAAATAGTATTAATAGCACATTTGCCCAAGTTTTGGTTAACGCTTTACATGATTAAATGTTAAATCTATTTTGATAAAGCATTAACATGTACGTTTCAAGCCTTAACCCTACGCTTGGAACAATCTTGCAAGCTTGACGTCACTGACGGAATGGTTGTTGATGGCTCTTTGATGGCCACCCTTTTTCAAAAGATGATCTGTATCTTCTTTCTCGGTCAACCATTATTTTCTATTGTTTCATAGCAAGAGCAAGATGACAAAGATGAACCTGGTAACTGTCGTTTCAGCGGCAGCCGCCCTGTTGGCACTGTCCTCATTTTCTGTAGAAGCCTTTCTCCCCGGCTCCATTGAATGGCGTTCCCATACAGCTACCGCCAGTAGGAGAGTGTCGTTGGCCCGTTTTGTTCTGGCAGATCCTCCCTCATCGACGACCACGACAACATCAAGCCAAAAGGAAGAAGGAGGTCTGCCGCCCATTCGCCGACTCCGCCGAGACAAGAAGGAACCGTTGATTGCCATTGTGGGTCGTCCAAATGTCGGTAAAAGTGCTCTTGTCAATCGAATTGCTGGAACTCAATCGGGTGGAGCCATTGTGGCCGATGAAAGTGGAATCACCAGAGATCGAACTTACCGACAGGCAGAGTTCCTAGGAGAGGTAGGTCGTGTCATCATTTACTTTACTTACACCAGTTGGTTGTACAACAAATTCCATCGTGGAGCTGATCTGTCATATATTTTTATTTCTCTATTTTTATTGTTTTGTGTAGAAATTCCAAGTGTGCGACACGGGTGGTTTGGTGTTTGACGACGACGAAGGGACTATTTTCGCCAAGGAAATCCGAGAGCAAGCCATGCTGGCCATTGACGAAGCTGCGGCGGTTCTGTTTGTCGTGGATGGACAGAAAGGACTCACCGCCATGGACTCTGCCATTGCCGAGTTCTTGAGAAAGGAAGTCTCCAATCACATTCCCGTACTCGTCGCCGTCAACAAATGCGAGAGCGAACGTACAGGCGCCGTGGCAGCCGCGGAATTTTGGGAGTTTGGACTGGGGGAACCAGTAGCCGTATCGGCATTGCACGGGTCCGGGACAGCCGAGTTGCTCGAAAACATGTTTGCCAAAATTGACACACAAAAATCTGCCATTCAAGGATTTGGAACTAAAGTCAAAAATCTAAAAGCGGCCAAACAAGCCATGAATTCCAAAGTGCCGCTGCCAGGTGAAGATGAGGAGGATTTTAGACTCCGAAAAAAATATGGTCTTGGTGATCTGGCTGTCAAAGTGGAGGAAGATTATGATGCTGCGCTGGCGGCATTCGACAACGAACAAAGACCAGAGGAAATCAACATTGCAATCATTGGAAGGCCCAACGTGGTAAGTCAACCAACCATCCATCCATCCATGACTTTCCCAGCGTCACTAAATTATATTCATATCTCTTTCCTATTTATCTTGTTGTTCACAACACAGGGCAAATCTTCCTTTCTGAATGCGGTATTTGGAGGTATGAGAGCTATTGTCTCGGATATAGCTGGAACCACACGCGATTCCATTGATGCCGTCATGGAGAGACCGCCTCCTCCTGGAAGTGACGAACAATCCACCATTTATAGATTCGTTGACACTGCGGGAATCAGGAGAAAGGGAAAAGTACACTTTGGACCTGAATTCTTCATGGTCAATAGGGCTCTTCGGGCCATTCGCAGAGCTGACATTGGTAAGTTTCGCTTACTTGCAAGTTACAAGAACAGCGACGGCACAAAAATATTTTTCTTTCGTGTATGGAAGTAGAAATGCTGGTCAACTTGACTCACTCCAACGTCTTTTTCTCCCTCACCAACGTTGCTCAGTTCTGCTCATGCTGGATGCCACGGCAGGTGTGACAGAACAAGATCGAGTATTGGCGCAAAGGGTCGCCGATGATGGACGCGCGTGTTTGATTGTATGCAATAAATGGGATGCGGTTGTAGATAAGGACTCGACAACATACGACAAATCCGTCAAGTACATGCGGGAGGAACTCCCGCAAATCAGGTGGGCTCCCATCATCTTTGTTTCGGCAGCCACTGGACAACGTGTTGGAAAGATATATGGAGAAATTGATGAAGCCATCCAGGCACACAGGAAACGAGTATCAACATCCATTCTCAATGAAGTGCTTCGTGATGCTGTCCTCTGGCAGGTAAGCTAGCTTTGTAGAAGACGCCGAAGGAATGAATCGAATCTACCACTAAAATCTTACCACCGCTTGATTTCTTGCAGCCACCTCCTGCTCGCCGAAATGGCGCCCAGGCCAAGATATATTACTGCAATCAAGTCAGCGTCCGGCCCCCCACCATTGTCGTCTTCTGCAACGACCCAAAGTTGGTCAACGACAACTATCGACGATACCTCGACAGAAAGTTTAGAGAAAATCTAGATGGATTTGAAGCCACTCCTATCCGTTGGATATTCCGAGGGCGACGTGCTCGAGATGTCATGAGAAGTCGAAACATGAATGGAGCACCCGGGGACGGTGGCACTGGAACTAGCTTTCCTTACCCTCATGCAGAATAAGTTTATAGCAGCAGCTTCGTCATTCCTAATAAACGAGCTTTTAGTGGTGGCCGACATGTTACTTGCCCAGACAATTGAGTTTTGAATGTGCTGTTGTTCTAGCCAGCTACGGTAGATCACGCACACGTACAAGGTCATCTTCCTCCTTACACAAAGTCAGCAAACAACGGCAGAACATTTGATGCCGGTATCACTCCCAACAAGCACGTTGGATCTTGCATTTTGACAGTGCCCGCTTGAATGATTCAATCCATCAGTATTTATTGAACCACGCGGGTCCCTGGCTTGTTGCTTGTTGTGAGATTTCTTGGATGTTTAGAGCGAGCTACTTGACGCTCCTGTTTGAAATGACTCTTAGTACGAATTCCGCAACGCCATCCAGGATCCATTCTTACAACTGCCCGCAGCCAATCTGTTTGCTGAAGTTGTCATCCAGCAATGGTGCCATACCCAACTACCCAACACCACATCCTCATTCAATGTGGTCCGCTTTGTGGTTGGTTTCGGTCTTCGGTCTCAGCTTCACACACGTTTCAATATCCACGGCCCACGGTGTGGATCCTCAGTCTTGCTTTCATGCTTACGTTGTTGAAGGTGCTTGCTTGAGGTGAACAAACGAACTTCGAAGAGGGGGGATGTGTTGTACAAGATGGCTACCATGTTCATTTCTTGTAGGGGTAGTAGTATCCTGTTGGAGGAATCGATTGGGCTGCTTGCTCGGTGTTGTGGCCTGCAAAAGACACCCCTTTAGACTTCTATCGGATCATGTTGAGCAAGCTACAAGTCAAGTCGTTGCTGGCAGGTCCCCTCGAGGATTTTATCAATCCGTTGGCAATGCCGTCGATTGTTTCGTTTGAGAATAATGGTTTTCGGTCCTTTACATTCGACAAGGCTCTGTCGGAACATCACGTCAAGGCCATGGAGGCTCTGCTGGATCCTGACTATATGAAGAACGAAGAGCAAAAGTTGATGGACTTGTCGCCTCTGATCCAGCAGTTCAAACAAGCCGTGGAGTCACAAGACCCTAAAGAAGTGAAGAATGCTCAACTGGCATGTTTGGCTTCTGCCATTTTCCATTGGCTTGCCACTGACCTCGTCGAGTCTGCCCAATTGGGCTTTCGACGAGCGCAAGCTGCCGAAAAGGAACGCTTCCTGGAATTGCTTGACCAAGGTGATCCTCTCTATCTTGTGCTACACGCAGATGATGTTCGCTCGTACGAAGAAACTGCTAATGCTTTGCAGAACATCTTTGCCCCGTCACCATCTGAAGACGGAACAAGGAACTGGAGCCCGGCCCTGTTTTACTTTGAAAATATTTCGGAGATGCGGCAGCTGGCCAAAACCTTACAAGCCACAGGAGAGTTGGTCGTGCAAGGCAACTTGGAGATCTTGGCCCGAGAAATGGAACTCAAAACTGTTGTACCATACCTGACGGAACAGGCCAAGGCCCAGGGGTCTTCCGAGGGTGAGCTCGAGGCTGGTGTGAACAAACTCTTGGACAACATGGCCAAAAACCCCGATCTACATGACGATATTGCCAGAGGACTCGTGCACATGACCACCGAGATGGAAAAGCACTGGCTCCATGGAAGAATCATGACTCGTGCCGAGCTTTATCTGGAGCAGCAGGCCATTGCCTTGGTTCAGTGGCTGCAGATCTTAGCGGACGATGAAGATCCTAACTTTTGTCTAGTCATGGCACATTCGCTTCGTCAAGAACAACACCTTGTACCTCTCCTGCAAGAAGACTTTTCCTTGGGACCACGTTTTACGAAGCCTTGGCATCAACTTTTGACCACAATCACCAAAAAGGCATCACCGGACTTTTCCTTGAAGCTTGGTCGATCGTACATGGCAGTCTACGATACTTTGATCGAGCAGTATGCTATTCAAGGCCGTGGAGTTCAGGCACACAGTGTTTTTGGTTTGTCGGAACACTTCTTGTCCAATACGGACTGTGTTCAGGATCTCATTGACAATCACTCTCTGTTACCACGCTTGTCCCAATGGATTGCTGACTATGTCAAGCGTGATGGACACCAGGAACCTTGGAAGCGTCTCGAGTCCGAAGAGTATGTGACACTCAAGTATGATCGATACAGCCCAATCCTGACCGATGTCGATCATCTCTCCAAGTTGGAATGTTTCACAAGTCGAATTGAATGCCCTTTACTCAAAGGCGTCGCGGACATTATGGTACACAATGCCAGCGGACAGAGCTGCTGCAATACAATGGAAAAGGATTATGAAAAGGCAATCCTGGAATATTCCGATGCGCTGGATCTCACTGTTTCACATCTTGGCCAAGATCATCCATTGGCCGTGGCATGGCAATACAGTATTGGCTGGTGTATCTACGGCAAGGGAGATCACCCGGCGGCTCTGGAAAAGTTCGGGGAGGCACTCGAACTATCCAAAACAGCTTTGGGATATCTTACAAACCCATTAACGGCAACCATACAAGTTGATATTGGGCGAGTCCACTCCAGCCTTGGCGACTACGGAACTTCCTTGGCGGCTCACGAAGCTGCGTTGTCCCTCAGGGAGAAAGTACTGGGTGATAGCCATATCGAGACGGCCAGGTCATACTGCGAAGTAGCCGGTGTGCTCCGACGCCAGGGCGCAGCCGACAACGACGGACGACATGTTGCTTTGTACCGCCAGGCCCTGGATGTGTTCGAAAAGGAACCAAACTTGGCGGGTGAGACAGCTAGCATCATGAGTCTTCTTGCTGCTGCTTTAGCAGAGCAGGGTGATCATAGCGGCGCCATCGAGCAGCATCGCAAGGCTCTCACACTTTGCGTGTCAATTCACGGAGAGGATCACTTGGAGACAGCCAACATACATGGCAACCTTGCAAACGCCCTCAAAGATGCGGGTGACTTCGAGGGTGCAATGACAGAGTATAGAGCCGGTCTCCAGATTCGACGATCATGTCTTGATGCCAGCAATCCGGCTATTGGAACATCTCTCAATAACATTGGCTTGTTGCTACATGAAAATGGGCGGTATGACGAAGCTTTAGTGGAGCTCAAAAAGGCAATTGACATCTATGTGTCGTCCCTTGGACCAGACCACCCCGAAACTGCAAATGCCCACTTCAACTGCGGTCTTGTTCTTTGGAAGCTGCAGATGCACGACGAATCGCTGGCAGAACATAGAACGGCGCTGGCAGCGTATTCGTCTTCCGGCAATGAGCCAGGGATTGCCAAGACACTCGATGAAATTGGGTGGGCTCTGATCGAGATGGAAGATTTGGATGCTGCCTTGACAGAATACCAAAAACTGTATACTGTCCGCTTGTCAATGTTGGGGGAAGATCACCCCGATACGATGGAAGTCAAACAGATCGTTTTGGATTTGCGTGGAGAAGTCCCTGCGATTTCCAACGAAATAGATGCTGAGCAGGACGACGGTAGCGCCACAACTGTTGACGCAACTGTGGACACAGATCAAGTGGAAGTTGTGGATTCGGACAAGGACCTTCTTGGCGTCAGTGTTCACCATCTGCAGCATGGGCTATTGCATGAGGTCAAAGAAGCTGGGCTGAGCCGTGAATCCAAAATCTATGAGATTGAAGACCTCCGGTATCCAGCGCACGGAGTGATTCGGAGAAAGGGTGCATCAGTGACTTGCCCCATTGATGGCCAACTAGGTGCCTCTTATGTCCATTCTTTGGGCGACGATCCTGACAAGGTGGGGCCGTCACATTTTATGATTTCGTATTCTTGGGGTTATTGCATAGGAGACATTGTGGATACTCTTGTGAGCTACTGTGATGAGCAGAACAGGGACCCAAAGTCAACCTACATATGGATCTGTTGCCTCTGCGTCAATCAACACAGAGTGCAGGGCGAAGACGTCTTGCCGGATGAGTTAGCCTCCATCTTTGGGAGGCGTGTGACCGGAATTGGTCACGTTCTGTCGATGATTACGCCCTGGAAGGAGCCGGAAAACCTAGGCCGAATTTGGTGCGTGTTCGAGTTGTTCAAGGCCCACACAATGGGCTGCGAAGTCACCATTGTCATGCCTGCAAAGGAAAAGGTGTCCTTGGAGAGCGATTTACTCGGAGATGAGCCTGGGAGTGGAGTGGAGTTGCTATATGGAGCCATTGCCAAAACGAAAATCGAAGAAGCATCTACCAGCAAGGTTGCCGATCGCATTGCAATTCTGGGATGGGTAGAAGAACATCTTGGCTATTCCGAGTTGAATCGGCAGGTAAATCAATTCATTCGCCACAGTATCCACAGTATCATTGCATCGATATTTGAAGCAAAGACAGCCCAACTTCTTCTTTCACCAGGCTCAAATGATGGGAACTTTCTAGATTTTGCCAGGTGCTGCATGAAGGTGGGAGAGCTCATGGCGAGAGACGGCCGATCGAGCTTTGCCAGTCGCGTTTTTGAGCTGGGCCGGCAAGTATCTGAGAAGGTGGACATTGAGAAGGCACGGGCGGAAGCGGTAGACGACCTCTTGGGCTATTCACCGGAAACCATCGAGTGTGCACTTGCAAAGGTGGCCATGGAGGAAGTAAACGCCCGTATACTATCTGCTAGCGTCCAAATGCAGAGTGGGGAGCTCGAAGGAGCCATAACGGAATTTCTTGCTGCTTTCGATATCTACGAGTCACAGCCTGTACTGCAAAGCCGCGAATTCTGTACGAAGCACAGCAACGTCGGCGCTGCTTGCCTTGGCGGCATTGGATTGGCATGGCGCATCATTGGTTCACTTGAGTTTGCTTTGAAGTTCTTTCGAGCCGCCGTGTCTGAGCAAGAACGTGTGTTCGGAGACGCACTCGAAAGAGAACATCTCGAGGCAATCGTATTGTACAAAAAGAATATAGGTGAAATACTCGAAGAACTTGGCGAAACTGACAATGCCCAATTGGAGTATCAAGAGTGCTTATCGAGCACGGTTGGGGGTGACAAGAGGGACGCTTCGGACCTCGTCGATACTGGGGGTCTGCGAGTAAAGCTTGGCGATTTGGACGGCGCGTTAAAGGCATTCATGGAGGCTCTAGCAATCTGCGAGTCGGAAAATCGAGACCAGGATCTCCAAGCAGCGCAGATACACTTGGAAGTTGCCCGGGTGTTGGAACAGAAAGGGGACTTTGCTGGAAGCCTACAATCGTTTGAGAAAGCATTGACGATAAAGCGGATTCTCTACGGAGAAGAGCACAGCGAAGTCGCTACAATCTACATCGACATTGGGTCCCTTCAGGAAAGCCACGACCGCCATGATGACGCTTTGGCGTCGTTCGGAAAGTCGCTGGACGTTATGGAAGCACCAAAGTACGCCGATTATCCTCAACTGGCTTGTGCCGTTGCTCACAAGCGAATCGGCTTCCTGCTGGAGAAACAGGGCGACTTGGAGGCAGCAGCGAAGAGTTTCGCAATAGCGTCTTCCATCAACCAAAAGCTGGGGAGGATTTCAATCGATGGCGATGGCGTTGGTTCCTCTGACGTCCCTACGGCGTGTGCCCTGGAACAATCGCGTCCTCCCTGTACCCACTATGAACGCAACTGTACCATGATTGCACCTTGCTGTGGTGCCGCCTTTGGCTGTCGCATCTGCCATGATGAATGCCCCAACCTGCCCCCCAAAATGGAACTGCAGTCGGCTTGTTACAAGGAGTCTTAAGAATCAGATTATTCTTAAGAATCAGGAAAAAATCTTTGGAAAATTATGATTCTTAAGAATCAAATACTGGGTAGACAAGGATTCTTAAGAATCAGACTATTCTTAAGAATCAGAATTTTCCAGATTCTTGGAAATTGATGATTCTTAAGAATAGCAAATGATTCTTAAGAATCAGTTTTTTCAAAATCAGATTCTTAAGAAAAAGCTAGATAATTCTTAAGAATCAGCAATGAAAAATGCTGATTCTTAAGAATCATTGAATGGAATTTGCTGATTCTTAAGAATCCTCTCCAAATTATGATGATTCTTAAGAATCCTCAATGCAAATATGCTGAATCTTGGGAATACTTGTAAAAATCAAGAAAGACTCCATTGCAATGGTTTTGGTATGCACTAATGCATCATTACAAGACTTGTCTTATCAGCAAACATTGTTGTTGGTTAGCAGATAGTATCAGGGGATAGCATTGCTAGCTATGAAGCCCATATTGCTAGTATATTAGTAAAGGTTGCATACTGGGTGCCTGATGATTCTTAAGAATCAGCAAAAAGAACAAAATGATTCTTAAGAATCCCCATTCTCCAGATTCCTCACACCAGGCTTCACTTTCCAGCACTACGGAAGAGCAGGATACACATCACAACATTGATCGCTTTGCAGTGAAGGAGATTATTTGTCGAGTGTGCTCTGCTCGACAGTCCAGTAAAACGTAAGACAAGTTCGAGCTGGCCCTGGTCTTTGGTGGCTGATGATGCGATTGTATCTATCTGCCATTGTGATTCTTTCGGGGAGAGCAAAGGGTTCTCACTCTCGTGCATTGTTTTCCTTTCAGAAACAACTGTATCAAGTGTGGCATCCAGTTTGGAGAATACCACTGCAGCGTCTGCAATTTGTGGACGAGCCAGGAGAAACAGCCTTTTCACTGTGCTGGCTGTGGATTTTGTCGCGTGGGCGGAGCCGAGAACTTTCACCACTGTCACGATTGTGCCATGTGCATTCGTCAAAGTGACTACGCCAGCCACAAGTGCCAAAACGACAAGTACAAATCCAATTGTCCTGTTTGTCAGAAATGGCTCTTCAATTCCTTAGGTGACTTGCATGAAATGTCCTGCTGTGGGCACCCGATTCATTTGGAATGCTTTCAGCAACTACCGGACTCTTCTACTTGCCCCGTGTGCCTGTGCCAACCACAAGGCACCCAAGCGCAACCAGAGAGCGATCAGACGGTGGATCTTCTGACACAGTTCCGTGTCCTCGTGTCAAATCCTACCTTGGAAGTGTCTACGGTGAGCTACTTTCTGGAACTCTGCAAGAAGGATGTGGAAGCAGCGGTAGCGTTGTATCTATCACAGAGCCAAGATATGTAATCTACCGTACGGTATGGATTGGTTTGGTGTCGAGAACAGAGTAAAGGTACCGTCACCACTTCCAAGCCCGGGTCACTTTTCTACCCGAACAGAATTTTATTAAGTACATGTATCCGCTAGCTAGCGATACAGTACCGGTACAGTAACTGAAAGAAGCTGCCAACTGCTAAAAATGGTATGAAATCATGGTTTTTCCTTGAAAAGACTTGCGTAAAAGTTGGGTGTTGGGTGTTTAAGTGTTGGGTGACTCTTTTTTCCTTGTCGATCGGACAACCTTTTTGTATCTTAAGTCCTATGCATAAGCCTTATATAAAAATGTGCACCTGTGCACCCTGCATGAAGTGTGTTCTTTCTCTGCTCTCCGAAAATTTGGACTCTATATGCGTTTGGAAAGCTTCTTGGTTGAAATAATGAATGAGCAAGTGACGGTTTAACGTATCGCGGATTCTTTTAGAGAATTCAAACGAAAGTTTAACGTCCAGGTTTGATCATCTAATTCTCAGGGTTGAAAGAGCACGAAATTGAGACGGTTTCTTTGTCTCTGTGACTTTCTGCTCTTAATAAAACAGTAGCCCTATGCCCTATGGCAACCCTCATACACTACACGAGGCACAAGGCTACTTAATGGATGTCGGACTCTTGTGACTGTGCGAAGAATTGCGACGCTGTATGAGTGTGTGTATAGTAAAATAGTAGACCTTTTTGTAATTCCTCATACAGCACCGGTACCACCATGCATGGTGAACAGCGTACATGTAGCGCTCGTGCGTGAGAGGTGAGATTGCCATGAACGATGGCGGACCAAAAAGAAAAGCACAGGACCCTCAAACCGAGCCTTCTTCCTTGAAAACAAAAAGTGGACCGCATAATAATTGATTGCCTTTACGTTGTTGAGTTGTGTTGCGTTGTGTGTTGTGGACTGCCATGGCGACAAACCCGTAAGAGAGTGTTAGAAACAAGAGAGAGCGAGAGAGAGAGAAAAGAGAGGATAGGTGAACTTACAATAGCCCCGTGCTACTAGAGCTAACCAGGTCACCAGATCACGATTTGATTGAGACTTGCACAGTTGGTGCACTTTAGCGGAACAGGGAGTCCTTCCAGTCAAGACGAGACATCCACATCATCACCAGCTAGCATCTCTATTTACACAAGAAAGAAAGAGACGCAGCTCATTCATTTTTGGTCAAGAAAGACAAGATGGCCGCTGCGAGCGCTTCCGTCGAAGATGATGACTTGTTGACTCAGTTGCGTCAATTGACGAATGATCCCAACTTGGACGAAGAGACGGGAAAGTTCTTCTTGGAGATGTGTGCAGGAGACCTCGAGAAGGCAGCCGAATTCTACAAAGAGCAACAGCCAGCTCCGGCTCCAGCGCCTCCTCCGGCAGTGCCGTCTCGTCAAACGAGTGGTACGACAGCAACGGGCATGAGTACTACTACTACTACTGGACTGAGTGCTACTCGCATGAGCATGAGTATGAGTAGTGGCAGTGCCAGTGCCAGTGCGGGTAGTAGAAGACGAACGTCTACCGTGTCGGCCATTCCCAAGAACATCAACGCGACGGTACGACGATTGGAGCCTGGCATGAGCATGAGCATGAGCATGGGCAACAGCAGCAGTCACACCATTGGCAGTGGCGCTGAACCAGGAGTGGGCTTAGTCACGGGACGACGCAATCGAGGATTCGCCAACAACGTAGAACTCCTGGGGTCGGCTGCGGAATTCGAATTCCTCAATCAGGCAACCACCAATCCATACACAAGTCCTCCCGCGCCCAACAAAACCGTCAACGTAGATGTCTACGGATTCTCCTCTCCTGGGGCCTTTCATGAATACCAAGATGGATCCGATGGCATGTACGCCAGAGAACGGAGAGAATCTGCCGTCAGCAATAACAACAATAACAACAGAAGATCCAGTGCCTTGAATCCTCCCATCGAACCACTCCTCGCGTCCAATCATAGACCCGTTCGAAGAGTCCACACCGGAAACGATGCACCCAACAAGAGACCATCAGGATCACTACACCGACAACGACAAGATAGATCCAACTCCAATTCGCCTACACCGGGACTCATTTCGGCAGATCCAAGAAGAAGGGCTCATTCACCTCCTCGAAATCGTCCATCACACATTACTAGTAGTCACTCGCACCACAACAGCAATCACAACAACTCACAGACGCGCTTGAGTACCGTAAGTGCACTCACCGATTACGATAGTATGGTCAGCAGCAGTCGACTCTACGATGATGAGGATGCTGATGATCGGAAGAAACCTGCCCCCAGTCGAAACGAAGGATCGCTCGACCACAGCGATCGAGATTGGACCGGAAGAAGTTTGCTCTATGCCGACAGTAGACATCGCATGAGTACGGCCAGTACCCTGTCGGCATTCTCCGATGAAATGGGAGTCAGTCAAAGCTCACTCATGACCGACGACAATGAATTCCTCAAGGATCACGATCAGCCCAAAAAGAGAGCTCCCGATTACCACAACAATCACAACAATCATCATATTGATGGCTTTGACTACGACGACGGCGATCTCAACAATGATGATATTATTGGCAACTCCAATTGCAGTTCGTCTTCCCGTAGAAGGGTCAGCACGAGAAATTACGCCGTCGAACCATGCTCCAAGCAAATTATTACCGGACAGAATGAAGATATCGAAATGATGCGAATTGTCCAACGCATTGCCATGGAGGAAGACACCAGCATGTCCAGTCTGGGAGACGATTTTTCCGATTCAAATCTCGTAGGTTTGGGAGGAAAGAGAATTTCCCACAGCAGTTCGTCTTCGGGTGCTACATGTACAGGCAGACGAGATTCCAGTGCTCGTAGAGTCTCGGCGGCCATGATGACGCCCTCCGAACCAACCATTACCGAAGAAACGGAGCATTCGGGTGCCTTGGATACTTCCTCGGCTGCTTCGACAGATAGACCAGATCCACCCGGGGATACCATCAACACGCCCTGGCTCTATGATCACAGCAACAGCAGCATCAACAACAGCAACAGCAACAATTCCAAAAGCGGCAAGGCCAAAATGACGCGTGCCACGCGGCCTGGGGCTGTCAGCATGGCGATGAATGGAACCAGTAGTGAACCGCTACTGGGAAAAGTCAAACGAGCACCCGCCACTCAGCCAGGTGTCGTCAGTGTCGTAGGTAGTGCCGCCACAGAACCACAACATGGCAAGGGAAGGAGACTAACCCAAGCCACTCGTCCGGGAGCTGTCAACGTGAGTGTAACCGAGGTTCAGGAACCAGGAACACTTTCGCCGTCATCACCATCACCGCGGGAAGCGGTGATGGATATTGACGATATCAACCAAAATTCCCTCTCGTCCATTCCAGTGCCTCCTCTCCTCCCACTGTCACAAAAACAACAAGGCAAAGCAAGACGGACAACTCCGGCGACGAGACCCGGTGCCGTCAGTGTTCCAGCATCAGACGAAGACTTGACTTCCCACCACGATTCCTCCAACAACAACATGTCACTGGGAGACTCGACGTCATCCATGCAAGACGAGCCAGATCGCAAAATCAGACGAGCACCCACTTCCAGACCCGGAGCTGCCAGCGTCATGGCATCCTCAGAACCTTCCTCGGGTAATAATCCACCACGGCAAAAAGCGAGCGTTGGCGTCCATACAGCGGATTCCGCTAAAGCAGACCCCGATTGTGGAAAAGGACTGCGACGAACGAATGCGACGGTTCCAGGAGCCGTCAGTGTTTCAGCAGACGACAATCAGGAAGAGCCACGCTCCTTCCAGCACTCGAAAGTTCGGCATCGAGGTGCTTCACAACCAGGTGCAGTAAGTGTGCCGGGCGGTACTAGCAACGAAGATCAACAAGAGACCAAGAGTGGAGCGAGGGGACTACGAAAAACATCGAGGCCTGGAGCTGTAAGCGTCAATGCCGACAACCAACAGACCCAGGAAACGGCAAAGGAGGGGAAGTTGTCTGGCTTGCGCCGTGGCAAAGTAAAGCCGGGTGCTACGAGCGTTAGTGGCACATCGGAACAAGATGAGGCCGAACAAACTAAAACTGGCAAGTTTCGACTGGGGCAGAAACCAGGGGTGGTTCGTGTGGTCAGCAAAACTTCCACAGACGATTCCTCCAAAGCGTCGGACAAAGATGGCAAGAAGACGGAAGAGAATTGGAAGGTGAAGAAGCCGGGTGCTGTTAGTGTGACGTCTTCCGAGGACGACTCCAATTACTTCGACAGGCAAAGCCCCACGCCCGACACGGAAGAACCAGCCATGGACCCCGGTGGAATTATGGTGTCGGAAGTTGGCGTAGACAGTGACGATGTGATTCCAACAGCAGGAACCAATGAGGCAAAGGAGGTCCCTTCCGCGTCTGCTCCCCTACCCCCAATCGCACCATCACGCCCGCCGCAAAGACGTACCAATGCGCCCACCAAGCGAGTTGCATCTCGCCCTGACGCACTGCTTCCAAATGCCCCCTTGCCCACTCCTGGGAATCGTGGCAAGACCGACGCGGGGGCATCTACCAAGAAGGAAAAGAAAGGAATGATTCGTCGTATCTTTTCACGAGGCAAGCACAAGCAGCCAGCAGACAAAGCGGAGGAAAATATGGACTCTTTTGATCCAGACAACCCTATGCTGAGGAGATCGGGCACGGGTCGAACCTATCCGGGGAGGTAGAGCTCCACCATGATGTCGCTAAGTTAAAGAGTCTTCATCACAGCAGCTTACTTGTATCACTCAAGCTGCGTTGTCATTGGTCTACGCACAGTGTTCGAAGTGGACATAGCCTTTGTCAAGAAATGGGTGGTTCAGCCAGGGCGGAGCCCCTGGCCCAGCGTCTGGCCCCTTCCAGGCTGGGGGTGTTCCTTCCATCGTCGCAGACCTGGTCGTTGGCTTTTCCAGCCAGACCGTTTTCTGGCTACCGCCATGATTAGAATGTCTCCGGAACGGCGTAGATCGTCACAATATTTTTTGGCGGCAAGGTTGAAAACTCTTTCAAAGCAACTCGAAACAAGCCATTTCATTCCTGTCTGCTCGGAGGAGAGATCACAATGAACCTATCTCCAGCAATTCGAGGTCACTCGGCACCTTGTTCGTCCGAAGTTAGTTGGACAGGTCCTATTGCATGGTATGGCTACGTCCATCTAAGGCAGCTGGCTGCGTCCGGGAACCTGGGCAGTGCTGGTTCACAGGCCCGATTCTAGCTGGAAAGGAAACTTTAGCTGCAAAGAATTAGCTACTACAGTGATGGCGGCTTCTCGGCAGAACGACATCTCCTAGCTAGGCAGTCTACTGTGCCGGTAGTCGTAGACAGGCTGGCCTTTGGCTCATAAAAAGCCATGTTAGCAACTTTAGAAGGGGGTTTAGAGCAGGGAGCTTATCTACTGTAGATCTAGTTGCAGCAGCGGTAATGACTTTCTCTACATTGTAGCTACTAGTAGCCAGTATTGTATCGCATATCAACCTCCAGTTTCACCCTGTAAAGGTCCACCGCAAGACAGAAACACAGAAACATGAACCAGCATTTGCTTTCTATTTCAAAATGATAGAGAATCGAATCTCTCCTCCTCTCATCTTCACTGGTGGAGATTCGTGCCTCCAACTGTTGGAAGTATGCAATGGGCTTTGATTGTCAATCGCAGCAGGAACACACCGGTACGAGCCGAGTCGAGTCATGTTCCGTCACTATGTATGTGTCAGTCCTCTCTTACGCTTTACTAGTACTAGTACTGGTAGCTAGAGTACCGTACCGGAAGGTGTCCCTTCATTATTTATTTCGCTTGGTGGCTTTCTTGGTCGCTTGGTTGCTTGGTTGCTTGGCTCTTGGCTTGGCCTTGGCGTTTGGTGGAACCTGGTCACTGGTCACCACTGCAGCACTGCAACCACTTAAGGGGAACACTGCCAAACTGCGTGCCACTTCTTGCACACTAAATAAACGCACTGAGTACGAGTACAGTACAGTAGTAGCAAGAGAGAATCAATCGAATAAAGGAAGGCCCTGAATGTTAACTATTCTGCGGCCATCAAGAGGAAGAACAATACCACAAGAGTCTTTAGCAGTCCAGGTAAGGTGAGGCTTATGTTTATTTTTATTAGTAGCCAAACCAGAATACCGTACTCTAATGCCATGAGAACTGCGTAAACTCAAACTGACTTGATCAAATTCCCCTATCTCTGCTTTTAGTTAGACCTATCATAGATCTATGATAGTACTCGAGTACCGTAACTGATTTGCAATTGATATTCACTCCCGCGATACCTGGTGGCGCGATATCAATGGTTACGAGTGATGGCATTATTTGCTTGAAAAAGTGCGGATAAACACCTTTATGCAGCTACTGTAGTTCCGTATACGGAACTACAGTAGCTGCATACTGGTACTTGAGTAGACTACGGTACCTGGACAAACCTAGCCAACAATCTTACTAGTACCCCGGCGGCTCTGGCTGTAATCTCTACTAGCTAGTCTAGACTCTAGCTAGCTATGCTAGTAAAGAACGATCACAAAAGAAAAAAGAAGCCTCACAGTAGACTAGTCTATTACCATCATCCATCATCCACATCAATCCAGAACAAAGGCAAGGTTGCCAGAGGCCACCATAAAAACCGAACACACCTGTTGATCACTGTACAAGTCAACCAGCCGAATCGAATCGATACTAGCTAGCTAGCTACTTGGAGGTGACTATGGGATACGAATCGAGCGCGATGAGCATGACCATGAGATCTTCTTTCAACAACGATCTGAAGCATTCAGATTCTGCTGAGCAAGAGCTGCGTCTCCAAGATGTCTTTGAGTCGACTACTGGTATTAATAGCAGCACTGGTACCGCCAGCACTTCGATGAGCCCCGAAAGCCAGGGCAGCGAGCATTCGTCTTCTAGTGGAGATGGTGGAGGTCTCTCGGAAGATCTCGTCCGACAGTTCAACGCCTCCGTGGGCTCCGCGTCGCTGCATCGATCAGTGGCAGAGTTCTATTTGGAAATGTCAGCTCACGATGTTGGCTCTGCCGTCAGCTTCTTCAAGCAAACCCTAAACCATCCTTCTGCAAAGCAACAGCAAGAGCAGTCGCAGGAACAGTCTCCACCTCCACGCCGATCCCTTTCACCTCGGCCATCCCATTCAGCAACAGCAAGACGCCTCAAGTCCCATGACCATGACATGTCGGGCGATGGTGCTGCGATCCGTCCGCGCAGGCAGACTCCCAAACGAAACAAGTCCTTTGATGCTGCTGAGGCTCCCACTGTCACGGCACCTCCCGCGGAAAGAACCAATCACCAACACTACATTGATCGTACATGTAGTCCTGGTCTTCTTCCGCAGAAGGCTACCACTACAAGTATTCCAAGATACACGTCCGTTGCCGTCACTCCTGCCGCCATGAAGGTCCCTTTCCGAGGACATAGATCCAAGCCTGCCATGCCGCTGGTACGCTCCAAGTCGGAGCGCAGGGTTCGGGAGTACACTGCAAACACCGCCATGAGCACCACTGCCCACACTCACCCGGGCCATCCGTCTCGTCAAGGTCCTGATGTCCGTCAATGTCCGCCACGCACCCGAAGCAGCGACAGCAGCGTTTTCTTCAAACAACATGATTGTACCACAGGAACAGGACATTACTACCAGTACCAGAACGATTCTGCCGCCGTCACTCGCCCACCGACAGCCCAAAACAACCACTACCAAAGGGCCATTTCAGCTAGGCAATTGCACTCGTCGTCTTGGGAACCTCCCTCAGGGACTCCCTTGTCATCCAACCCAGCTGCTTAACTAGCTAGCTAGCCATATTCTTTTGCGCCATGGTGTCAAAATAGCATAGCCCACAGTTTAGAAAAAAGACACCAGATTCGATTCATTCCGTTGGCTGCAACGGTGGTTGCTTCCGGACCGCATGGTCGACCAAATAGCTCAATAGTTACAGACCCTGGAGCAAAAACAGCAGCGACAGGAGATCTTGTCACAGCTAGCAGTCATCGTATACGTATCAAGACGACAAACCTCCTCCGGCATCGTACCGCGAATATTGTTGCAATGTATGTTGAAGTTGAGCAGATTGGTAAGTAACCCAATTTCTGCAACGTACAAGCAAACGACTGTGAGACGGACACATTGGAAACTCGTTGGAGAATCGAATCGAATCCATCCAAACTCACCACTGGGCACCGAACCTCCCAATCGGTTGAAACCCAGGAAAAGAGAAGTCAATTGAGTGAACAATCCAAGCGTCGTTGGTATGTTACCGACAAGGTGGTTGGCAGAATACGAAAACTCTCGCAAGGACGTCATGCCAGCCAACTCGATGGGAATCATAGCTGATAGCGTCTGGGCCAAATCAGTGCCGGAGATTCGAATCTCTTCCAATGACGAGAGGAGAGATATTTCTGGGGGCATTGTTCCAACGAGTCCCCGAAGGTCAGTGGTCGCAGTACCATCCAACGATAGCTGCGTGTAAGCACCCTCCTCATTGCATTGACTGTCCACCAGCGCCCACCTCGTCTCGCCCCATTCACATTCATGGACATCGTAATCTAGATAGTTTTCAAGATCAGAGTCAAACCAAACACCTGGAACGTCTCCTCCAAAGGAGTAAAAAAACGTCACCAGGGCAAATTGTTGCTGTCGGCGCCATTGCGGAAGTTCGTCTAGATACGGATGCCACTTCATCCATCGGTAGGCTTTCGCCTGAGGACTGTCCGGCGACACCTGCAGAACCCCGATTGTAAAGTCTGGCAGCTCCACAATTTGATATGACTGGCTGGCACCGCCATTTTCACCGTCCATGTCGCCGTCCACTGTTGATTCGTCTGTGAAGGTCGGAGAATCGGTTTGCAGCGGTTGCTCCTCCACGGAAAAACAATCAGGATTGGGTCCTGTTTGAAACCTCCAATCGGTTGACACGGTCACTTCTGGTATGGTTTGGACTAGCAATTCTTCGTCCTCTTGGATCAAAGTGGTCCCTTGGTTGAGACAAGTAAGCCATCCGAAAGGGCTGCCAGAAGGATTTGTTTGGGAATCCATGAACGAGAATATAGTGTCCATTCCACACTCGATGACGCTATCATCGTACAGCGTATCTTCGGCACATTGTACGCCCAGTTGAAGGGCGAAATAAATATCGGTCACAAGAAGTGCAGCATCCGGTTGTGCGCACACGGTCGTTCCATTATTCATGGATGCAACGGTGGTGGGGATATAATTTGATTGGCAGGAATACTGAATTGACTGGAACTGATTCACGTAGGATGCCTCCAGAGTCGGTAGTGAAGTCGGCAAATCAATTGCCGTACAATTCAACACGGAGTCATCGATATATCTGCAGTTGACAGAATCACGGCTAGGTGATGATAACCACTCAATTATCCCGTTGTCACACGTCAACAAGAAGCTTGGTGCGGATACAATACAAGTAGCTCCGGATACTGATTGAAAGTCATCACTCTTCAATAGCCAAGCAAAATTGACTGTGAAATAAACTGTCTGTAGGTGATGAGGCGGTAGTAGAGAGCTTGTTGCTGGTTGTGTTGCCTCGTAAGGGCCTGAAATCTCCGGTTCCAGTTGCAAGATACATGCGGTCGGAACATGATGAATGTCGGTGAGCACTTGGAGAGGTTGAAAAGTGACATTGCAGTCACCCTCACACAACTTCCCGTTGGTGCACCAAAACTCGTTCGATGGGTGTTTATTGTCAGGGTAAAAGTTGTGGACGTTTTGGCCTTGGCATTCAAAGAAGTAATCGTCATTGACTGCCGTTGAGAGGGAACCGTTTGTGATGCTCTCAGCAGCAGCATCGTTGGAAGAATCTGCGCAGAGAATATTCAGCCGGCTCAGGTGCCAAATTTGGTTGACTGCTCCGTCTTCTGTCTCGAGGCAGTAGACGTCTTGCTCAGAAGAGTCTGTGTAGACAAACGTCGACTGAAGGTCATTGGAAGAGTTTCCCTCACAGGCATAGAAGATGGAGCCAAAGGTGCTGTTGCTCTTGTAGACTTCTTGGAGTGTCGTGGTACACTCAATCGAGCTTCGATTGGTTTGCACACATTGAATGCTTTCGTCGGAAGTGGCCTCAAAATCGATCAGTCCTTCTCCTTGACAAACAGCTTCAAGTTCTGCTGGCTCATCTGGTCCACAGAGACCTGAGACTTGCAGCTGAAAGTCCCCTCGATACTCCAAACGAAACAACGAGGAGGTCCTTGCTTCGGCCACGGTTCCAAATAGTTTGAAGCTACCGGTACGAATCAGGCAACAGAGAAAGAGTACCAGGGAAGATAAGCCTATGGACCGTCGCATGGTCTCCTCCGTACATGTACATGTACCAAGTACAGGAATAGAATCTATTTGCAAGTTGTGAGGGGTGGAGATAAAAATTGATGTCGTGAGTTGTGAGGTGTTGTGTGTTGTGTGGTTGTGTGTTGTGAGAAGGTTGGGAAAGAAAGAGACCTGATAGTTTAGTAAATTAACTGGCTTAAAAGAGGCTTTGCAGGCTTCTTCATTTGTCTGCTTGGCGATCCTTTTAGTTGCCATGGCGGCATGGCTTGAGTTGCTGTGGACTTGCTTTCAGTTGCTATCCCAAGATGAGCTGAGAATTGGAAATGCCACAGCATTCCTTTTGTCCTCACATTGTTTCTGTAGAGCCACAGGTTTTCCGGTATCAAAACCTTTAGGTAACGGTACCAGCAAGCTACCTTTGATCCCCTTGGCAGCCACCCGCCTCCACAAGCCACCGGCAGGTGACACAATAGTTGTACAGTACAGTGCGATAGGCTACAAAGAATTGGAGTGACGACCAGAGCATGAACGACGCACGCGAGAGAGCCATTGTGGAAGCACGCGTACGGGAGCGACAATGGATGTACTGGGGGCCCTTGGCCGTCGCTCCAATCCCCTACATGTGTGTCACGCTTTATCGATCGGCCAAGACACCACAAACCAAGCAGCTATTGCTGGGGGTGGGGATGATTGGAATTCCAGTGGCTACATATGCCACAAGAGTGTATCTGATGCAGAATCCTGGAGATGTGTCCAGAATTGGATTGGAAAAGCAAAGGCAGGAGGTCAACAAGCTGCCTTGATGGATGCGTGTCTGAAGAAGGAGCGATTCATGATTGAATGTGATCATTCTACATCGTATTGGTGCCCTAACAAAAAGCAGCACAAGTAGTCCAGCTAGTAGATCATAAGACCACGCATACATGTTTCTAACAATGGTACAAACAGTATCGTATCCAACTAGCTATTAATAGGCTACAACATCGTCACTCCTGGCTCTTGAAAAGTTTGTAGTATATTGAAGGGAAGGGGCACGGTACTTGCGACTTCGTACATTGTATTGATCCTCGCCCTCGCTCAGATTATCCAGCCACTTTTTTGGAGCCAACACACAAGCTTAGAATAAAGGCAAACCCAGAGATCTGATTCCCCAGGAGCTTGCCTCGTTCTCCCTCTCGCTCATCCCTCATCCCTCATCCCCCACCCCAAGCCTGCAAGCAAGCCCTTGTGTACCGGCGTGGTACCGGTATCTAACTTACTGACTAATCCAAGGACCTGTGAACATGCTTCGGTCCTGGAGAGTGGAGACGAGAGTGTGATTTCAGGGGAACCTCTTCAACGGCGGTCTGGGATGCAGTACACTTGTACAAGTTAAAAATGTAAACATTAGACTGAAGGTGGCCTTCGAGTCATGCGAGGAGTATGGTACTTACGTGCTTGTCGGTGGTCGATCTAAACCCGTACAGTACGGAGTACGGTACTCTAGTACTTTTACTTTTTAAACGGTGTAGTTAGGTGCTCGAGGTACGGTACGTTGATACGATACGTGTATTCGATCAGAAAATTTAATATGAAGCCAGCACCGGTATGTCATACCTGAAGTACCGATACAACTTCGACAATCATACTTACAGTTACTGGTATTGAGCGCAGCTTGAGCAGATATTATTCTAGCTAGTAGCTATTAAATAGTACATTGTATTCAATTGTCTCCAGCCTTCTCATAGGAAAGCAAGTTGTTAAAGCGGATTCTCCAGTAGTTAATCCTTGTTGTACTTTGATTCAAGATCCATTATCGCGTGATACTTCAACCACAATCGATGGTTAAAAGAAGCCTGCCCCCCCTGCTGGGCAGCTCTATGTGGTTCTTTTGATGGTCATTAATTGTGATGCGGCACAAACCTTCCTGACGTGGCGCAGATGATAATAAGTATTTGGGTTCTTGAAATTGGCACCAAGCAAGCAATAAAAATACACCGTACATTACTACTAGTAGTACCGGTACCTGGTACTACATGTAGCTAGTTTGAGACTATCATCGGGTACTGTACCTCACTACAGACTACAGTACTACCGGTTCCAGTATTGAGCTGAGTAGTGAATCGCTAAATAAATAGACTCTGAAGCACGATATAGAGACACCGTATAGTAGTACCGGTATGATACGATTAATAGCTAGTACTGTAGTACCACTCGTAGCTCATGCAAGTCTGAATCGAATGATTCATTCAATCTGACCCTGTCTTTTTGGCCACAGCGCTACAGCAGAGCTCAGGCCAGACACTCCACTTTCGAAAGCGATACTCGAGAGTGACAATCCCTCTCAGTATTCTTTAGTTACAACATTTGGCCATGGTTAGGTTGGAGCTCCAAACATGGTTTCAAAACCGCATTGTCAGGAGAACCTCTTCGTTGCTGGTGGATCACAAGCAAAGTATTGACGTTACGGAGGACGCTAGCGACGTCGACGACACATGCGATTGTGACAACTACCAGGAGCCAGTTGTTCCCTTGCACAGGAAAGAGATCCAGGTTGGCAAGCTTCTTGGCACGGGCAGCTTCTCGCAGGTACACGAAATAACAAATGTGAGTCTTCGCGGAAAGCTGGCATCCTTTTGCTCCCAAGAGGAACAAGCATCGCGGCAGCTCTTTAGTGCTACATTTCAGGCCAAAGCAGGCTCGAATAGCGAGGATACCGGTTCCCGATATGTCATCAAGCATTTGAATCGAAAGTTGTTAAGGCGACCAAGGCAATTCCACCACGCAGCGCAGTCTCTGATTGAGGAGGCCGATGTCATGGCCAAGCTAGATCACCCTAACATTCTTAAGATCAGAGGCAAGGCCCTTGGTGGAGCGTCCGCATTTGCAGAGACGGGGCGCTTTGATGGTTTCTTCATCATCACGGATCTGCTCTCGGGGACGCTGAAGCAACGCATTGAAGAATGGAAGCGCGCAAAGGAATATCAATCTTTAGGATCCCTCGACAAGATACTGATGAAGACAAGGCACGCCATTGGGCTGTCCTCGGCGTTGGATTACCTGCACGATAGGAGAATCATCTTCAGAGATTTTAAACCTGACAACGCCGGGTTCAAGACGGATGACACGGTCCAGCTATTCGACTTTGGCCTGAGCCGAACGTTACCAGAGCCAGGGCAGGCGAAAGAAGAATTCTCTGGTGGCAGTAATGATCTTGGACTGCTTGGTGAAGATGAAGTTACGTATCTCATGTCGTTGGCTGGAACTACAAGGTAGGTGGCATGATGGTTGTTTGACTGAGGATCCATCTTTTGATGGGACACACAAATAACTCAAACGGATGGACTCGACTCGTTCTGCGTTGTTTCGATTTGTGGCAGATACATGGCTAGTGAAGTCCTATTGACTCGTCGATACAATCTCAAGGCAGATGTGTATAGCTTTGCGCTTGTGTTTTTTGAGATGCTGGCAGAGAAGACTCCTTTTGAAGGCTTTGGCTTTGGATGCTTTGAAGAATATGTATGCAGATTGGGAAGGCGCCCGGAACTCAGTCGATTGGGACTGCCCTCCGGACTTGAGGGTCTCCTGGAAGCGGCCTGGCACCAAGACATTGCGGAACGTTTTTCCATGAAGGATGTTTGCGAAACCTTGCTACTTCTGGTGCACGATATGGAGGCTGGGTTGGTTGAGCCAAAGGAGCCAACCAACTAGTTTTGGGCTGGCTGGTATATACCGATAGGAACCCTTGAAGCACTTCTGGCTGGATTAGATTAGATTAGATTGGATTAAATGAGATAACAACCCTACCAGGTACTCATCCCCTTCTCCTTCCAGCTCCCGTTCATCATTCGATTGATCATTCCTCCTTCGTCGACCTGGTCGGACAGTGTATTCGTGTAATTGGGTCGGGTGTGGCAGGTTTTTTGAACACAGCAGAGCTGAGTATTTTCAGCCGGGAACTTCTTCGAAAGCAATCCTACTGGCTAGCTAGCTAGGAAGACTGTCACTCGACTCGACTCGCATCTCCCATCCCCCATTCCTACTAGCTAGTTGACGAAGCCGCCATCGCTGGTATCGTCCCTGTTATCATATCATATTGTAGTACCTTCGACGACAGTTGCTGTGTTTTGTTGTAGCCATAGCTTGCTGATCACCAAGCAAACGAGAGAAAATAGACAAGCAGTAGAGGGAGATCGAGATTGAAAGTACCATTGCATCATGTACGCAAAAGACGATGAAGATTTGATTGATCGCGTCTCGGATGACGAGGATGCCATGGTGGAAGATGACAATGGCGGTGGAAGAGCTAAATCGCGCAGCAAACGAGACGATGCAGATGATGAGCCACCATTGGAAGGATATGAAAGGTGTGTTGGATTGGATGAATGTCCGTGATACTGCAAAATGGTTCCATTCGAATCTAGGCGTCATATCCTGAAAGATTTATCTGTGCTTTTCTATTTACTTGTGTTACTAACTAGATATGATTGTTTCTGAATTTCCTTTCCTGTGGATTACACTTACACTTACAGGACAGCCATGATTGGCCAAGGAGCATACGGGATTGTGTACAAGGGGAAGAAGGAAGACACTGGGGATGTTGTAGCCATTAAGCGCATCCCTTTCTCGGATTCCACGCCAGAAGGAGGTGTGCCGTGCAATGTCATCCGTGAGATTAGCTTGCTAAGAGAACTGGATCATCCCAATGTGGCAAGTTTAACTACTTTTTTTAGGTGGGAAATTAAATTGGTATCTAAAAAGATTTTTCATCTTCCAATTCCCACCAGGTCCGGCTTTTGGATATCATCCAAGCTCAGCCAGGTGGTCTCTACCTTGTCTTTGAGTATGTTTCTCACGACTTGAAGACATACATGGATCAGTTCCAGCAAAGTGATGATATCACTGAACGGGTTGGATTGCCTGTTCCCACGGTCCGTTCTTTTCTGAGGCAAATCATTGCGGGGGTTGGATGCTGCCATACCTATCGAATTTTGCATCGTGATCTCAAACCTCATAATGTACGTACTCAGCTTTACTGGTGGGGTATGAATCAAGTTATCGAGTTAACCAAACTAATCTCTTGACAATGAACCCAATGGCATGGGTATCCAACCTGCATGATCATTTTGGTCTTTTTGACGATGGTGGCAGTTGCTGATTACTGCTGACGGAAAGCAGGTTAAATTGGCCGATTTTGGTTTGGCACGACTGTCCGCCATTCCCAATGGCCCCTACACATTTGAGGTTGTCACATTGTGGTATCGTGCTCCAGAGCTACTCTTGGGTGCCAATCGATACTCCACTTCGGTAGATGTCTGGTCCATAGGATGTATCTTTGCCGAAATGGCAAGTGGTATGCCTCTCTTCCCCGGACGTTCGGATATTGATCAGCTATTCAAAATCTTTCAACGTCGTGGAACACCCACATCAGGTATGTGGCCACAGGTATTGAGATTGCCTCATTACAATGCCGAGTTTCCGCAGTGGAGAGAACGTCCCATTACTGAATTTGTGCCCATTCAGGGACTGGGAGGAACTACAGGTTCTGATTTGTTGAACAAACTATTGTTGTACGATCCTGATCGACGCATTGCCTGCAAAACTGCTCTTCAGCATCCATACTTTACGCAACAAGACTAAGGAAGAGCTCGCCTTTTCAGTTTTTTTGAGCCTGAAGCAGCAATCGTGGCTCTGTGCAATCAACAAAACTGCTGCGTATTGACTAGCTAGAGAGGTTGAAATGGTACTGTAACCCTGGTTTCCCCCGTTGTGAGGTACTGGTTGTCATGAAATCAAGGAATCGACTGGGGCACTACTACGATTGATAATTCTGTGTCTCTTGCTTGCCAATTGTGATGTTCCAAAGGATTATGAGGGTTCATTCATAACTGTCAAAGATTCGGCAGAGCTTATTAGAGGGCACGGATGATGGTCTTCAACGCCACGGGCACATCCGCAAGCGCCCCTGCCGCTGCAGATCACCATTGCCGCGAAGGCCACATGCGTCAAGATGTGAAGAGTACCCGTGTGATCACATAACATTGCAGGGTTTTGTGGTACCAGGTACGTCCGTTTCTAGTAGTAAAAAATAGATACTTTAGTACTTCACAATGTCGAGACATTAATGCGACTCGTTGTACTGCAGTAACTTGTTCAAAATGCAGTAAGTAGTAGTAGTTGTTGTCGTTGGGCTTCATATAAAAATGTGCGGTTCATAGGAAGAACAATTGTCTGGTGTGGTCTGGTTCAAAAATTGCAAAACATAAAATCAGCACACTTGTTTGGTCGGTGAGTCGAATCGATGGAGCCTACGCGGAGACCTCCATGCGCAAACTTTCGTCCTTTTGGATCTCTGCAGAGTCGTTGATTTCTTCCGATTCAGCGTCGCCGCCAGTGGGGATCTTGAGCGTGGGATCGGGATCCTTGTTGTCGTCATCAGCCTCGTCTTGCGCGTCGTTGCTGGGTTCTTCTCCAAAGGGGTAAAATTGAGGTTTGGGGATTCCAAGGAACTTGAGCAGGAAGAAGGTTCCTTCCATGATGAGAAAACTGCCAATTCCGGCGATGAGTCCGTTAGCGATACTGTAGGTCAAGGGCATGATGATGACAGTCAAGAAGGCACTGGTTGCGTGGGAGAGGTTGTACCATTTGACATTGGCCAAGGACTTGGACATGATGGCCCCGACAATGATGAGTGCACCTCCAGTGGCCCACGGGGGGATGGCGGCAATGATGGGAGCAAAGAAGATGCTCAAGAAGAAGAAGAATCCACAGATGCAGGCAGCCATTCCAGTTCTGGCTCCAGCTTTAACTCCAGCACCAGATTCAATGTAGGAAGTGACAGGAGAGAGTCCAAAGATGCTTCCAAACATGGTTGCGAAGGCATCACTGGCAAATGCCCATCGGCTTCGTGGGAAGTCTCCAGCTTCGTCGGTGTATCCGAGATCCTGAACGAGAGCCAGCAAAGTACCGGAGGTATCCAAAAAGTCGACGTACAAGAAGGTGAACAAGGCAACACCGACACTTCCCAGATCTGAAGTGTAGTTGGCCAAGAGTTTATCCAATGGTTCAATTGACACGACTTTCTTGAAGTATTCAAAGCGTTCATTTCCAGCGGGGGTATCAGGGAAGTAGGTAATAGCAGTGCCACGGAACCAGGAGATGAATGTGATGAATCCAATTCCAATGATGAAGGCAGAACGATTTCTGTACAGGAAGAAGGAACAAGTAAGTTGGTTAGACCGGCATCTCAACACCGCCTTCGTTTTCAGTTGTTTTGTTTTTCTGCTTACTGGTAAGCCATGAGGATGAGCATGATCATCAGTCCCAAGATTCCGACCCAGGCAGTTGGGGAAGTCATGACACCGCCAAGATCATCGCAAGTGTATGCGTCGCTGATAGTACAGATTCCCTCATTTTTACAGGCGTCGGTGTATGCCACAATGGGTGTACGCTTGTCTTCGGGGCATGCTCCCAGAGTGACAGCAGTGGCGATATCACTAACCACGATACCGATACCCTCAGCGGTCTGAAGACCCAAATGAGCCAAGAAGAATCCAATGGCGGCGGGGGTAGCGACACGAACAGGTTCAGGGATGAGTTTGGTGATCGCATGGCGAACTCCAGTGAGGGCCAAGAAGGAAAAGATGACACCCTCAATGAGGACGGCGGTAACGGCAGCTTCGTATCCGATTTTTCCAGTTCCACGCCATCCCACCACGCTGTAGGTGAAGTATGCGTTCATTCCCATACCAGGTGCCAAGGCGATGGGCAAGTTGGCCAATAATCCCATGCACAAACAACCAAAGAGACTGGCAATGGCCGTGGATGTAACAAACTCGCGCTTGATGGCTTCTTGGCATTCCAGGTAGGTGTCACCAAAGATACCGCCGTCGTCTTCGTTGGGAACACAGGGACCTCCCGAGTCAGCCAAAATGCGTGGGTTCACAGCCAAAATGTACGCCATGCTCATAAAGGTAGCAGCGGCTCCTCGAAACTCCGAGGTAAAATTCGTCTTGCGACCTTCAAAGTCAAAGAAACGACCCACAGGCGAGTGGTGGACTGCCGCGTTCAGTTTTTCAATCATTCCAGATGCCATGGTCGAAAATCGAAAATCGAAAATCAATGTTGGTGCTTCAAACAAATTCAATGGATTAAAATGAGGAGGAGGATGTAGCTCTCTTTTTCTTCTTTTGCGTTGTTCTTGTTGAGAAGTGAGAATTGTGGGAAAGAGGATCAAAAGAGGAAAGATTGATAAAGCTTCTCACTCACCACAACATGGGTGGGTGGATCTCGTCCAAGATCTTCGCCGTCGGTTTCTCGCAAAAGAAGCACCGAAGCGTGACAAAGGATCCATCAGCGGAACATCCTGTCAGCTCCAGGAGGCGCTTCCAATGTCGAAGGTGCTTTACCCTTTAAGTAAAACAGTTAAAGGTGCGGTGACGGCATTTTAAATTTTGACACCCAAGGTTTCACCGACACATCTCTTGATCCCAATTGCTCCAAGCTCCCGTTGACGCAGTTTTTTGTAAGCCTGAACCTTTCTGTTGTTGGTTGTCGGGAGCACATCAGTTCAAACGTCTTTTAAGGTCTGGCCGTCGCTAGGATTGATTTTTCTTCAAATTGAGCCATTTGTTGGTGATAACGACAAATCTGACGCAATATTCGCCTATTTGACACGAATTCGCTCAAATAAAGCCATAGAATTGTCATTTTTAGACCTACCACGGCCAGACCTTAAAAGACAATTCATCGATTTTGAACTGATGTGGGAGCAGTTGGCAACTTGGACCCAACAAAGAGGTTTGGCTGAAACCTGTACCACCTGGCACCGGTACCGTGGGTGGGAGTGTGGTGTGGGGGGAATAATGTAGCTGGTCGAGAATTTCACTCAGACATCCAGAAGGGTCCTATTGCTGTGTCTGGAGGGGATGTGCTTACTAAGGTTGAAGAACGTGTCTTTGGAGGCTGAAGCATCTCCGCCTATCCCGGTGTCCAGAAGTTGATGATATGGCCGATTGCCGATGACCCTACCGTATGCAACAGCAATCGTCAATGCTGGGAACCAGCTGCCTTCGTCTGAGGCTCGGGGCTGCTGGCTGGAAAAGGAACGTGCCAAATGCCAAGCCAAAGTACCGTTCGTAGCCAGCCACCAGCCACCAGCCACCGGTGAACATGACAGGGTAGCATCTTCCCTACTAGCTAGAAGTGGCTGCTTGATGATAGCTATCCAACCTCACGTGGGAGGAGGAGGTACTGTTGCTGCATTTGTACAGTACCAGTGCTGGCACCGGTAATGCTATCATGGTACATGTACGTACTAGACCATCAGCCAGCCAGCTTGGATCCGCATTAGGATGTGCACAACGGTAGATAGCAAGCCAGTGTTAGCTTCAGATCCTCCGACATGAACGCATTTTGTCTTTAGAATCTTGACAGACTAACTAAGCGGGCATCTCTTCATCTGGGCGTTGCAATTCTTGGCCACACTTCCTCTTTACGCAACCATACTGCAAGAGAGACTTCTCCGCTCCAAAGAAAGAGGTTTGCTTCGTACGGTACCGGTAGAGTGGTACCAACCCTCCGCTCTATTGCCCACGTTGCGGTACCGGTACATGTACATGTACCGGTACGAGGGACCGGAATGGGCTCTTACTAGTATTAATATACCGAACGCTTCCCAAATCAAAGCATTAACAACCGTAATGTAAAGGATTTAATAAGCCGCTTTGACGCGGTTCAAGCCGTTCCAGTGGTTCGACCCTGCTCCAAAGTCAAGACACAAGAGTCAAGTGGTGGCAAAGTGGTATCAGCAAGCTTGTCATTGTGTACCGGTGACTTCTCTCCTCGGCTCGACATAGAGACTTACGGAGAGGAATGCGATGGAGGCCCGCGATGATGCTACTAGCGGCAGCAACGGCGACGATGGCAACGAGTCTGATGATTCCATAGCCATGCCAGCGTCGAATGTGCAGGACGAAAATCAGGACTCCGAAAGAGTAGAAGTCAACGATACGTCTTCTTCCATGTTCTCCAATCAGCACAGTTTCAATAGTCGCATCATGTTGAAAATTCTTCGTGATCAGCAGCAACCACAACAACGACAACGACAAGACAGTGAAAGAATTGAGGAAAGCAAGAGAGAAGAAGAAGAGGAGGAGACTGCCAAGTCCCTAGCACTACATGTAGAATCCACCGACGAACCTGACGACGTTGTGCCGGTTCCTGCTCTGCACACAAGTACTATTACGAATATTATGAATACGAATTCTAGTAGTGGAGACCCACGTCGCGTGCGTCTGAGGCCACCAGACGATGTGAGCATCAAGGACCGATCTGCCATGGAAGCCTTGAGAGCCAGTCAGACTCCTGGTGCCATTCGAGTGGCCGGAATTGACGGAGCTCCCCCCCATGCTAGACGAAGACGAATCGGGGGTTCTAGCCGTTGGCGAAAACAGCAATGCCCGAAACCTCGCCTCTGCTGCTAATCTTACCGATGCCGAGGCACGGGCTCTGACGCAAGGGGCCATGCTAGAGGCAGCTAGGATCAGCATGCAGGTTGCTCCCGGGGCTGTCAGTGTCGAGGGCATGGGATGCATCAACAGATTTCCTCATTCAACTACAACGCCACAACATGACGCCGACAATACATGTACTAATAATGATCCAGAAATGGCTGCTAATGCAGAACTACTGGATCTTGCCAATTTGAATCCTGAAAACGATCAAGTCCTTTTGGAAGCTACACTAGTCGACAATTTATATGTAGAAGCAACACCCGTCAACAGTGTCGCTGGCGGAAGTGAACACACTGTTGGGTCGCAAAAACACAAGAATATGGAGGAGCTCGAACTCACAGATATCGTCAAGAGTGGCAAGGCCGTCCGGCAGCTTGTTTTGGTTCTGGCACTTTTACTTTGTTTGGGACTGGCAATTGTGGTGCCATTGGTCCTGGTCGGTACTACCGCTGGTGATGGTGACAATATTGATTCGAGTGTCGAACAAACAGCAACAGTGCCTCCAACGAGACGTCCTCCCTTTCACAAAATACTTCATCCGTATGTTCTGGAAGAAATCAAAAGAGATCCCTACAGCACGGAAGCACTGGCCAATGAGTGGATGCAGGATGACCCTAATCTGGAAACATATTCAGAAGATCGACTGCTGCAAAGATTCACACTCGCTTGTTTTTGGTATGCCACAAATAGAGAAAACACCTGGAAACGAACGGATCAATGGATGAGCCATAGTGTATCCGAGTGCGACTGGTATACGGTGCACCCCAACAAAACAATCTGTGATGAAAACAATGTTTTCAGAATCCTCAATCTCACCGGGAATGCATTGAAAGGAACCATACCTGAAGCGCTGAACTTGTATGGACAAGTAGTAGTCTCTGATGTGTCGCACAATAAGCTTGCAGGAACAATACCATCAATATCGGAGAGATCCAAGGTATTTGAAGTCATGGATTATTCCTACAATGATTTTGAAGGACATTTCAGTGTCGACTTTGGTATTTCCCAAATTTCTCTTCGAATCTTCAAAATTCAACACAATCGATTTGGTGGAACCATTCCGATAGAGGTTGCATTCATGCCAAATTTGACCCATGTGGATGCCACAGGGAACCAATTCCAGGGACGGCTACCCGATTTCTTTGGAGTTGTCGAGGAGCTGGAAGTTATTCGGATGGGTGGTAACCTCCTTGGGGGGACCCTGTCACATACCATTGGTGAACTCAGCAATCTACGGGAACTTGATCTCTCCGGCACTAGCCTTAGCGGTGCCCTGCCGGTCCAGTTGGAACAGCTGCCGCATCTGGAGGTTTTGAATGTTGCAAATACAAGCATCACAGGGTCCATTCCGCAAGGGCTTTGTGACAAGAAAGAAGCAGGTCATCTGACTCTGGGTTGTGGTGATGGGGATACTGTGCAGTGCTGCTGAATCTAGCTAGCTTGGGTGGATGAATACCGGTACCGGTAGCCAGCTACTCTAGCTAACTCGTAGCTTATAGCCAACTATCCAGCTACTAGCTAGACTACTCGTGCTACCGGAACGGTAGGCGAACAGATCGAATGATTGAAAACGATCATTCACTGATGGCAATCACGACAAAGCAAAGCAAAATAATAATGCGATCGGAACACGGCGTCAGGCAGACAGAATTGAGTAGTTAGGGTAACTATAGGGTTAAACTTATTTATTACATCGAATTTATTTATTCTGCAATATATTTACCTTATCTCCTGTCTTCCGAGCTGGTTTTGAATTTGCACCGACGATGGCGTTCCACACTTCCGAGAAACCAATTCAAATCACACAAGTGCCACAACAGAAGGAAGCCATCACACGAAAAGCCCAGAGTACATACTACTACTATTCATAGCTAGCTAGAGCCTCATCAGTGCTACTAGTAGACCGATTGACGATGTACGGCAGTGTGTTTTTTGGGAGTAACAAAGACAATGACGATGACAATGGCAATTCAAGGCCTTTAGGAAGTCAAATCAGTTTGCCTGTCATTCCTCCAGGTGAAGCAGACAATGCTAGAAGTACATGTACTACTGGTAGTAAGTCTTCTACTGTGGGGCCTTCTCCCCTCTTAGACGAGTGTGCTGAAGTGTCCAAGAAGAGAGGAACTGCGACAATGATGAGTTGCATCGTCAACTTGGCCAACACCATTGTGGGCGCTGGAATGCTGGGACTCCCAGGTGCTTTTGGAGGAACGGGTTACGTGGGTGGGTCCATCTTGATCGTGCTGGGGGCTTTTTTCTCCTCCATGGGATTGTGGTTGCTCTCTCGAGCGGCACAACGAGCTGGATTGCCCAGTAGCTTCTACTCGGTGGCTCATGCAGCAGTTCCTCAGTACACTGTCTTGATTGACTTGGCTGTGGCACTCAAGTGCTTTGGCGTTGCCACGGGATATCTCATCACGGTAGGAGATTGTATGGTCGATGCACTCGATCACATCCTACTCAATGACAAGGACAACGATACTCCCACTGGAATCACGAAACTCATCCTCACGAGACAATTCTGGGTCGTTGCCGCCGTACTGGCTGTACTTCCCATTTCATTTTACAAGACGCTCGATTCGCTCAAGAAAACATCCGCCATTGCGCTCATATTTGTCCTTTTCCTGGCTTTTGGAATTGTGGCTTACGCCAATGGACTCGCGGATCCATGCTTGGATACTGAAGAAGATGTCTGTCGAGGAGAAATTCTACCCTTCACGGACATTTCCACTACCATCTCCAAACTACCCATTTTTGTATTTGCCTTTACGTGCCATCAAAACATTTTCCCCGTTGTCAATGAGCTCGCACAGCGCACACAACAAAGACTCAATATCATCATTGCGGCATCCATTGGAGTGGCACTCATTCTATTCTACATTGTCGCCACGGAAGGATACAAAACATTTGGATCCATGACGCGAGGAGATGTACTACTCAACTACCCAGAAACTGGCAAAGTCACTATACTACGAATATGCATTGCAATCATGCTGTCACTACACTATCCACTCCAATTGGATCCTTCCAGACGATGCATCAAAAGTTTGATTCGGGAAATTCAAAGACAGTGGAACAAACCAAATCAGACTGGCAGCAATCCCACCAGACTCTTTCATAGAAGAACACCCGATCTGATAGAACAAGAAGCAGAAGAACAAGAAGGCCAGCCATACCAATGCGCAAGTGAAGAATCCAACAGTCATTATAAGCAGAACCAGGAGTTGAAGCAACAATCTGCCAATGACAACGACGACGATGATGACACTATGTTCTACGTCATTACAATTTCCTTTTTACTTTGTTCCTTTGCTCTGGCCATGATTGTCAATGATCTAGGAGTCATTCTGGCAATGGTGGGTGCCACGGGATCGACTCTAGTCAGCTACGTGCTACCCGGATTGATTTATCTCAAGTTGCATCCATACCAAGATCTTTCCAAACGATTGGCCTATCTGCAGTTGGGTTTGGGTTGCCTCATTATGCCCCTTGCGCTCTATTTCGTTGTCATGCAAAGAATCAAAACGTAAAACAAAAAGAAGGGGATCGGCGCCAATGGTGGTATTGAACGTTCGCCAGGTTCGTGAACCTATTCGTGTACCGGTTAGTAATAGTGAAGTGCCGGCACAACAAGGAAGCAAACGTTGCAATGAATAGAATGGAAATAGCTCCAAAGAAATTAGCAGCATATGTTCCATACCTGCGACATACGATTTGATTTCAGGGAACTACTACGTAATACATGTAGAGAACTAGCTAGTAGCCAGCCAGCCAGCTGGCTAAGGTTTACTCGGAGTACATGTCATAGCCACATACCCGGTACCTACGACATAGATCTACATGTGCACTGTACTGTACCATTATTTCAGTGCCTGCACTTGCTAGTCAAAGCTTCAGCACGCTAGAGCTAGAGTGCATGTTGTCACTGATACTAGCTAGTAGTCTACATACATGTATGTACGTAAAAGGTAGACTACATCAATAGCGAAAAACTAATTTTAAAAATAAATAATGATAAACAGACTTGCCGACTAGAGTCTACAGGAGTGACATGGGAGAACAGGCTCGAGTCACAGGTCACAGCAGACAGGTAGATGGTAGTACTCAGTAGACAAGAAGCAAGGCCCACTAACCAGAAGGTGAGACATGCAATAAATACGATCTATTGGATACAGCTTCTGATTGAATTCTGCACGGAGGAGGAGTATTCCAGAAACCAGAAACAGTTCTTCTTCAATCAAAAACAAAATAAATTGGGTCATTACGAAGAAGAACCTCGTCACTTGGTGCGTCTAAGGTGATTGGATACTTGGATACTAGAGACCCTGGTTTTGAGCATACTATTTTACTATTTTGCCCATTCATCACCCATAAAGAAATTGACCTTCAGCTGCTGAAAAGTCCAGGTTAATGGAGCTTTAGTGGTGACTTGGGGTCGAGTCAAAATCAATCAAAAATTGAGCGTTTTCACTCACTCTTTACCTATTTCTAACAAATAAAACAGTAGACTAGCAGATTTGTTTTTCTGCAGTTTTTAGTGATTGTGGCTCCTATCTTTAGAGCTTCTCTCTACTGGCCAGAGCTACCGTTGCTAGCTGGCCACTTGGTTCATCTCTCAGACCTCCTGGTAGAGGTTTCTTATTATCAAGTGGAAAACTAAATTTGCTTTGCTTCTGGTTCTTTTCTGGACGAATTATTATTGCCCCCAAGAGTGCACCAAGACTTAAGACTTTTAATACGAAACGATGTCGGCCGATTAGGCTGATTCACCAGAACGTGACAAAGCATTATTCTTCGCCTTCTCAAAACAGTTGTTAGGCCTAAAAAGGAGTACCAGGTACTGCTTGGAGTAGTCTAAGGTCAATCTAGCTGGTACGAAGGCTCTAGAACCCCTTCTGGATTCCATTCTGGAATGTGAATATTATGAGAATCGAATCGAATCAACCCAACTCTGCTTTCCACAAGTGCTGCTACATGTATTTTCCCATTCTTTTGGAAAAAGGAAAGCAACCCACATCAACAGCTCCCACACCAGAGTACGGTAACTGCTCAACCCGACAAAACGCTTAGCCAGCTAGCTACTAGTAGCCACTGCAAGATCAACATCAACATCATGTCATCGCAGCAAAACAGCACCATGCGGCCGTGCCAAAGCTCTACCAGTCACTACCATGACCACTCGAGCGACTTGCAGGTACCTAATGTTGGGGCCGCGGAAGGGGCATGCTCTAATCCTCCTCCGGAAGTGTCATTTCCTGCACGGCTTCATTACATGCTTAATGAGCTCGAGAAGGATGGTCTCTCCCACATTGTGTCTTGGCAGCCTCATGGAAGATGTATGTGTCCCTTTCTTTGACATGGTTAGCCTGTCTCTGGTGTTCTCATGTTGGATTTGTCTTATTTTGATTCCTTGTCGGTGTCCGTTGCCTTTTAGGTTTCCTCGTCCATGACAAGAAGAAGTTTGTGGATTTGGTGCTTCGAAAGTAAGTTGATGGTTTGTGGTGGCTGCCTATCAACTCCAAACCAATCCTTGGCTGACATTGTCTCTTGTCTGTTTGGTTGGCTCAGTTGGTTCCGCCAGTCCAAGTACCCAAGCTTTCAAAGGCAGCTAAATCTCTATGGGTTTCGGCGAGTAACGAGAGGTAAGATGCCTGTGGCGGTACACAGTACTAGTACCTTATTACTACTACAGCCAAGTAAGAGTCAACATTGTGTGAAATGGTAGCCTCTTATCATTGCCAACCCGGTGCTTGCTTTTCAGGCGCAGATAAGAATGGATACTTCCATGAGCTCTTCTTGCGGCAGCGTCCACATTTGGCCTCCCGTATCCAACGCGTCAAGGTCAATGGCAAGGGAACGCGACAAGCGTCTTCTCCCGAATCGGAGCCGAACCTGTATGCCCTCCCGTTTCTTCCGCCAAACCCCTCTCAACGAGCCCATGGCAAAGAAAAGTCATTGACGACGATTCGGTCAAGCTCTACGCCTTTGAGTCTCCAGAGCTTGTTGCCTTCTGCATTGTCAAGTGCTCTCCCAGACCTTCCTCGTCCTCCCGCTCGCGCCTGCCGCCAGACGTCGATTCCACAGGACAGCGTCTTTCGAAGCTGGATGGCTGGGGGTCCGCCTGTCGTGCCTTTGTTGATCCGCGAAACCCAAAGGGCGGCATTTGAGGCAGCTTTGGGCCCTCGGCGGGGCAGCTTCTCTGATAGGGCTGCGTCCTTGCGTCTTCCAGCCGCCACTACTGGGATGGCCGCACAACGCTTGCCCGCAGCGCCTGCTTGGGCATCTACAACGGCACCGCAAATGGCTGACAACGTTGCATGCACCCGACAGCCTTGGTTTCAGTGAGGAACATGCCGCTTGTTGACGAGCCTTGATTCATTTGACCACCTTCTGGACGGCCTCGGGCCTCATACCGGTAGCGAGGCTCACTGGAACGGCGGCTGTATATGTTCATGTCGTTTCGCTCCTGCAAAGTTATTCTCTTTGCTGGGCCTTCATCGTTTTGCACTTTATACCTCGAATTGCCAACTACTCTATGTAGTAGTCTACATATAGTTTATGACGACATTCTTGCCCCAAAGTTAGAAAGCCTTGCCTACTATCGACATCTCTTAATTTTAAAAATAGCTACCAGGTACCGTAGCTAGCCAGCCAAAGGGGTGGAGAGTGGAGACGGTGGACGAGTGCATCCCTTGTGCCCTTCGTGGAATTGGACCGTGGAAGATTGTTCGTGACCCGATGGGGTGGATGACGTGGTGTTTCGAATTGGCCGTTGTGTTTGATTGGCAAAGTAGCATACGTCAGTGCAAACAACGATGTGGAGGCAGTTTACAGGTGGAATGGCAGTTTTGCCGCCTCCAAAGAGCTCGGAAGCAAGAGTCCAAAATTATCCATGGATCGGCGGTGCCATCATTTGTTCATACGCACGAAATTTAATTGCAGGAACTGGGGAGAAAAAGCAAAGGCATGAGTTCTCAAGAGGTTTCGTGGCGAATTTGATTGATTCTTGTTGAAGTTGCGGCAGCTCGTGAGTGAAAGTATGATGGCTAGTTCTCGATCGACGTTCGTAGCGAGCGGAGCCAGATCTTTGACAGACAACCGTTGATGTGTTGATGTGGATGATGGCGGGTGATGTAATGTTGATGCAGCTCCTCCGATGGTGCTCTTTGGGTCTTCGATTCCCGTGGCGGGAAGTCTGGAGTCTTGGTCTTCCTCTCTTGTCATTGGGTACACGACGTGTCCATCACGTCTGTCTTTGGCTGTCCTCCAGACATTGTCTTTTCCCGCTACGATCACTTGATGATGGCCGTGATGGAATGACGGCGATTGATGGCGCTGCTAGCTAGCAAGTCCTCTGTCTTCGACCTCATCACTCGGTGCGTGTCAGCGAAGCGAGAAAAGGTATCTTTTGCGCCTTTTCCAGCATCCAGAAGCCCCAGATTCCCGTTGCTGCTCACCCATCACTCAGCTGAGTTCATAAATTTATTCGAGCTACAGCCAAGAATCCTTTGGTTTGCAGCTCTGATCGGATCTGTCTGGAAGAAGAAAAAACATTACAATTATGCTTCATCGTGGTGCTGCTGCTGCCGCGATTGCGGTCATGGCGGCTTTGTCCTCCACAACCGCTTTCACCACTACGCAAAAATGTAAGTCGCCCGACTCCATAAGTCGAATCAAATGGTTTTCTGCGCCTTGGATATTTTTAGATATCCAAAAGTTGGAAGCATTTTGTGTCCGCATTTTCCATGGTTTTGTCCGGAAAGATCTTTCCGGATTCGAGGACCGAGGACGGCTAGAAGAAACAGAAACATGATGACTTGTCGCCTCGTCTGGCAACGATGAAACATGGAAGCGTTTTCTCACCTTGTTTTCTTTCTTTTCCTTTCCGGATCGCAGCCGCTGCCTTCGTTTCCAACTCTTTGGGAAAAATTGTCGACGGAGGACTTGCCTCCCAGTCTGATGTCAAGGCTTTCAACAGCCCTCTCTCCATGGCTGCCACTTTGGATCAGTCGGATGTCATGGCCACGGCTGCCAAGAAGTCCGTCGAACAATACGTAGAGGAACGTGGAGGAAACCGTCCTATCAAGAAGGTCTTGATTGCCAACAATGGTATGGCTGCAACAAAATCCATCTTGTCCATGCGCAATTGGGCATACATGGAGCTTGGAGATGAGCGTGCCATCCAGTTTGTGGCCATGGCTACCCCTGAAGATTTGAAGGCCAATGCTGAGTTCATTCGCTTGGCTGATGAATATGTGGAGGTCCCAGGTGGTGTCAACAGAAACAACTATGCCAATGTTGATGTCATTTCCAAGATTGCCCAAGAGCAAGGAGTTGATGCTGTGTGGCCTGGTTGGGGACATGCTTCTGAGAATCCCAAGCTTCCCCAGACACTTACTGACCTTGGTATCAAGTTCATTGGACCCACAGCACCTGTCATGAGTGTCTTGGGAGACAAGATTGCCGCCAATATCTTGGCCCAAACTGCCAATGTGCCCTCTATTCCATGGAGCGGTTCGTTTGGAGGAGAGAACGATGGTCCTCTCCAGGCTGATCTTACTGATGAAGGTACCATCCCTGATGAGACCTTCGAGAGAGCTACCTGTCGCAATGTTGAAGAAGCAATTGAGGCAGCTGAGAAGATCGGCTACGAAGAAGGTCTCATGATCAAGGCCTCCGAAGGTGGTGGTGGTAAGGGTATTCGTTTTGTTGACAACGAAGAAGATCTTCGCAACGCTTTCATCCAAGTCCAAAATGAAGTTGTTGGATCTCCTATTTTCATCATGCAACTTTGTAAAAATGCCCGTCACTTGGAAGTACAGATTGTTGGAGATGAGCATGGAAATGCAGTGGCCCTCAATGGACGTGACTGCTCCACTCAGCGTCGATTCCAGAAGATTTTCGAAGAAGGCCCCCCGATCATTGCCAAGCCAGATAGTTTCAAGGAAATGCAGAGGGCTGCCCAGCGTCTGACCCAGTCCATTGGTTACGTTGGTGCCGGTACTGTGGAGTATCTGTACAATGCGGACACTGACAAATTCTTCTTCCTTGAGTTGAACCCCCGTCTGCAAGTGGAGCATCCTGTCACTGAAGGTATCACTGGCGTTAACATGCCTGCCACTCAGCTGCAGGTGGCCATGGGAATTCCATTGTACAACATCCCCCAGGTCCGCAAGCTCTACGGCAAGGAAGATGTCTATGGCTTTGACAAGATTAATTTCTTGGAAGAGGACTACATGCCCATTGATTCTCATGTGATTGCTGCGCGTATCACTGCCGAGAATCCTGATGAGGGATTCAAGCCCACTGCCGGAAGTATTGAACGAGTCAAGTTCCAGTCCACTCCGAATGTCTGGGGCTACTTCAGTGTTGGAGTGAATGGAGGTATCCACGAGTATGCTGATTCTCAGTTCGGTCATCTTTTTGCGAAGGGTGCCACTCGTGAACAAGCTCGCAAGGCGCTCATTCTTGCCCTCAAGGAAATGGAAGTGAAGGGAGAGATCAGGACTACTATTGAATACCTTGTGAAGCTTTTGGAAACCAAGGAGTTCATTGATAACACTATTGATACTTCATGGTTGGATGGAATCATCAAGGAGAAGAGTGTGAAGATTGAGATGCCAAATGACTTGGTTGTTGTTGGAGCTGCTATCTACCAAGCATTCAAGCATGTTGAAGAAGGTATGGCTGGAGTGAAAGAGTCCTTTGAGAAGGGACAAGTTTCCACTGGAGCAATCCCAGCTATCAACTCCTTCAGCACTGAAGTTGCTTACCTTGATACCAAGTACCCCTTTGAAGTGGAGCGTACAGCCGGTGATGTCTACCGTCTTACGCTTGGCTCTAACACCATCGAAGCTCAGGTTACCAAGACGGCAGAGGGAGTTCTTCTTGCAACCTTTGGAGGAGAGACTCACCGAATCAACGGACAGGAAGAACCCCTTGGTGTCCGCCTTCAATTGGATGGCAACACTATCATGATGCCTTCCATTGTTGATCCTTCTGAATTCCGTACCGATGTCACTGGAAAGGTTGTGCGATACTTGAAGGAGAATGGTGAAGAAATCAAAGCTGGAGAACCCTTTGTTGAGATTGAAGCGATGAAAATGATCATGCCAGTGAAAGCAACTGAGACTGGAAAGATCACCAATGCCCTCTCCCAAGGATCTGTTATCGCTGCTGGTGATCTCTTGGCCAGCATTGAACTCAAGGATCCTAGTAAAGTGAAGAAGATTGAGACTTTCTCTGGAGAACTTGATATCCCTGCCGTTGTTCTTGAAACTGAGAGTGATAAGGCCATTGCCAACATCCTTGCTGGTTTCGATGGGGATGCTGATGCTGTCGTTCAGCAGGCTTTTGATGGAGTGTCCTCCATGGCTGATGCTGCTTCTGTTGCCATGTCTGCTCTTGAGGAATTCCTCCGAGTGGAAACCATCTTTGCCGGCAAGCTTATGGATGATGTTGTCCGTGATTTGAGCAAGGCCAACATCGATGACCTCAATGTTGCTTTCTCCGAGATTCAGGCCCACCAACAACTCAAGTCTCGCTCCAAATTGGTTCTTGCCATGCTCCGTCAACTCGAAACTTATTCTTTCCGTTTCGGAGAATCTCTCTCAGATGATGTGCTTGAGGTTGTCGAACAGCTTTCCGAGTTGGAAGGCAAAGAATACGGTGAAATTGCTGTTGCTGCTGACATGTTGATCCGTGATGCCAGGGTCCCTTCCTTCGAGAGTCGTGTCGAAGAGCTTCGTGCACAACTTGTTGATGCTGACTTGACTGAAGTAGCCATGAGCACCACCTTGTCTGCTGGTGTGGATCTTTTGACCTACCTGCTCTCTGATGACGATGCCAAGGTCCGAGCTGCTGCTGCTGAAACCTATGTGCGACGTCTCTACCGCGCCCACCGCATGCAGGATGTGTCAGTCAGTGAGGAGGGAGGAAGCCTTACCTGCGCATTCAGCTACAAGCTATCCGAGGTCCCTGAGGGCGAAGCTGTGCTTCGAAGTGGTGTTTTGACTGTTGTTGACAAGGTTGATGCTACACTCCCCAGCATCATTGACACATTGTCTTCAGCCATTGGTGACAAACCTGCTCGGGTTGGAGGAGCAGCCATCAACTCTGTCCACCTTGTCGTGAAGAGTGAAGGAGCCAATGTTGCTGATATCGAGGCTGCCCTTGCTGGAAAGGAAGAAGAACTTAAGAAGCTTGGTGTCCAAACTGTTAACCTCTCTGTCCCCAATGAAAAGGCTGACCCAAGCTACTTCACTTTCCCAGAATACAGTGGATACAAGGAAGACCCTCTTCGCCGCAACATGAGGCCTACCAGGTACCAACTGTTGGAGCTTGAACCTCTCAGTAACAACTTTGCTCTTGAGCAGGTGCCTGCTATTGGAAAGAATAACCAAGTGTACATTGGCACAGAAAAGACAGAGAAGCCTGTCAGGGGAGGACCACAACAAGTGGTCTTCGTCCGTGGTATCTCTCACAGCACTGGCATGGTTACTGATATGGAGGCACTTCGTGCTCTTCAACAAGGGCTTGATGAGTTGGAACGAGCCCGAGCTGACACAAAGGTTAAGGCCCAGTCATCTAGCCGAATCTACCTGCACTCTCTTTCACTTGTGGAGGACATGAGCGCAGAAGAGCTGGCAGCCCGTTTCAAGAGTGTTATCGGTGGCATGAAGAGCAAGCTTGCCCAAAGGCTCTTGAAGCTCAATGTTGACGAAATTGAATGCAAGTTCCGCGTTGCCTCTGCTGATGGTTTGACACAGATCGTCCGTCTTGTGGTATCGTCTGCCGATGGAGAATGGTTGAAGCCCACTGCATACCTGGAGAAGACTGATGGAGTCACTGGTCTTGCCACTGAATACTCGGCTGTTGGTGCTGAGACTTCTGGTGCTCTCAACCCCTTCGCTAAATCGAGCATTCTCCAGACCAAGCGAAGTGTGGCTCGTCGTGTTGGCTCCACCTATGCCTACGACTTCTTGGGACTCATGGAAGTTGGCCTTGTCAACGAGTGGGAGGCTTACACCAATGAGAATTCCGGCATTAGCATCCCTGCTGACATCTTTGAAGCTCAGGAACTCCTCGAAGGTGAAGACGGCGAGCTCTACCTTGGATCCAGACCTGTCGGAACCAACAAGGTTGCCATGGTTGCCTGGGTCGTTAAGATGAAGACTCCTGATTACCCTGAAGGACGTGATGTTGTTGTCATTGCCAATGATGTTACTGTCCAAAGTGGATCTTTCGGTGTTGAAGAAGATGAAGTGTTCTTCAAGGCCTCAAAGTATGCTCGTGAGAACAAGCTGCCACGTGTGTACTTGGCTTGCAATGCTGGTGCTCGCATTGGCCTTGTGGATGAGTTGAAGTCCAAGCTCAAGATCAAGTTCGCTGACGAATCCAACCCTGCCAAGGGATTTGACTACCTCTACCTCTCTGATGAAGATTACAAGGCTCTTCCCGAAGGATCCGTCATTGCGCACAAGACTGAGGAAGGTTGGGCCCTTGATGATGTCATCGGAACTGTCCATGGAATTGGCGTTGAGAACTTGCAGGGAAGTGGAAAGATTGCTGGTGAAACATCACGCGCCTATGATGAGATCTTCACTCTTTCCTATGTCACTGGACGAAGTGTTGGAATTGGTGCCTACCTTGTCCGTCTTGGGCAACGTGTCATCCAGAAGAAGGTTGGCCCCATCCTCCTCACTGGTTATTCTGCTCTGAACAAGTTGCTTGGTCGTGAGGTCTACAATTCTCAAGACCAGCTTGGAGGTCCTCAAATTATGGTTCCCAATGGAGTGTCACATGAGACTGTTGATGATGATCAAGAGGGTGTTGCTGCCATCTTGAAGTGGCTCAGTTTTGTCCCCAAGGAAGTTGGAGCTCTCCCTTCTGCACGTGCCACTGCAGACCCTGTTGACCGTGCTGTCGCCTGGAGACCTACCCCTACGCCATATGATCCTCGTTTGATGATGTCGGGAACCCCTGACATGCCTGGTTTCTTCGACCAAGGATCATTCAAGGAATATCTTGCAGGATGGGGAAAGAGTGTTGTGATTGGACGTGGTCGCCTTGGAGGAATCCCCATGGGAGCCATCGCTGTGGAGACACGTCTTGTTGACAAGGTTGTCCCTGCCGACCCCGCTGATCCCAACTCGCGTGAGGCTGTCCTTCCACAAGCTGGTATGTATTTCTTGTTCTCTGCCTTGTTGCCTTGTTGCTGTGTGCATTCTGATATCTCACTCATTGCACCATTAAATTGCTGCTTGACTTCACAGGACAAGTTCTTTTCCCTGATTCTTCCTACAAGACTGCTCAAGCCATCCGCGACTTTGCTAAGGAAGGCCTTCCAGTCATGATCTTTGCCAACTGGCGTGGATTCAGTGGAGGCAGTCGCGATATGGCTGGTGAGATTTTGAAATTTGGATCCATGATTGTTGATGCTCTCCGTGAGTATGAACATCCTGTGTTCATGTACTTGCCACCCCACGGTGAACTTCGCGGAGGATCTTGGGTTGTTGTGGATCCCACTATCAATGAGGAGAAGATGGAGATGTATGCTGATCCCGACTCTCGTGGAGGTATTTTGGAACCTGCTGGTATCACTGAGATCAAGTTCCGCATGCCAGACCAGGTCAAGATGATGCATGCCAATGATGCCGAATTGAAGGTGTTGGATAGTGAGGTTGAGGCCTGTGAGAGCGAGGAGGACAAGGATGCTATCAAGGCTCAGATTGCTGCTCGTGAGGAAGCCTTGAAGCCTGTCTACCTCCAGGCTGCCACTGAATTTGCTGACCTCCACGACAAGACTGGTCGCATGAAGGCCAAGGGAGTCATCAAGTCTGCTGTTGCCTGGGAGGAATCTCGTGAATTCTTCTTCTTCCGTGCTAAGCGTCGCCTCTCTGAGGACTACTATGTTGCTCAGTTGCAAGCCGCTGATGCTAACATGAGCAAGGGAGATGCCACAGGTGTTCTTCAATCCTTGTTCAGCGGAGATTGGGAGGATGACAAGGCTGTTGCTGCTTTCTTCGAGGACGACACTGGTCTTGTGGAAGACAAGGTCAAGAATGTGAAGGCTGCAGGTGTTCAGGCAAAGATCGAGTCCCTCAAGGCGCAGTTGGAGAGCTTGGACTTCATGTAAATATCTGCCTTTTGGTACGACACGAACGGAAACGAAAAAGGACGCCGTGTCACTGCATGCATGCTACAGAACAAAACAATTTAGGTAGCGATCTATGGTGATAAGAATAGATCCAAATTAGAGTTATTGGTTTTTGATTATTCCGACTGGCCAGCTATAGCTATAGATAGCTACGGCTATAGCTAGCTATAGGTACTACATGTAGTAGTTGCAGGCCAGCACCGAAGCCGGGGGCGACTCCCATCTTAGAGGTGCACGGTACATGTACGGGTTCGAGGACGAACAGGATATGGGTCGTTGGAGTCTCATGCAATGAGAAAAGTCAGCTATCTGCTCCGAGATGATGCGGAAGCTGCATTTACAGAGATACCGGTACAGGAAGACCGATTGATTCGATTCGGAGGACGGTTCCTCGCCTCCGATGGGCTTGCTTCTGTCGGTGTGGGTGGGAAGGAACACCATCATTGCATGCGAAGGCAACCATGTGACTTTCCCATAGGTCGCGCTCTCCTCTTCGATGTTCCTGATCTTCCGTCCGCCTAAATGCTGCTTCAAAGCAAGTTCTGTTTCGTTTGGTTGCTTGCCAGGAGTACTAATCGTTGCCAATGTTCTTTCTTTAAAGGCTCGCCCGTGAGCTCTTTGTACGGTTGATTCATTGGCCAGCGCATAGTGCAAGACGGATGCCCAAAAGCTCAAGGGTAGAGTTTGCATGCATACAGTGACATAAGCAGAAAGGCACTATACTAGTAGAAGTTATTTCAAAGTAAGTGCTTTTGCTCTGGCAGGAATTAGCGATTGAATTCCTTGGAGCCACACAAGGACTTAGGCCATGTGGCTACCTCCCAGGCGATTGCTTTCCAAGGCCGACTTTTTGGTGTGATTGACCGCCTTTGCCCGTTCGGCCGCAAACTCCTTTTCAAAGAGTTCCTTCTCTTCCGCTAGACGCTTTGCCTCCTCCAACTTCTTGGGAGTCTCGGTCTTGTTGCTTTCCTTTTCCAAGCGCATTTCCTCCAACTTGCGTTCACGCTCGGCTTCTCGACGAGCTTTTTCGTTGGCTTTTCGTTCCTTTTGCATGGCCTTCTCCTTTCTCTTGGCCGCCTTTTTGGCTTCCCGAGCCTTCTGTTCTTCCAATCGCTGGAGCTGCTTGGGCGAGAGCACTTTTTCTTCAGCGGGATCGACATTCTCCGCGTTCATGCTTTGGACCAAAGTGTTAGCTGCGACCATGATGATGTTGTTTTCGATAGATAACGGGGTGGGGTGAGTGGGTAGTCTCGTGTTTTGTTGTGATCTCAAAAGAATTTTGTGAAGATATTATGTCTAAAATCGTGGGAGATGGGTCTAACCAGTCTAACCCAGGGTCATCAAGTGTTGGTCTTGATGGTTGTGTTCCGCACTGGACAAGCTTGATATCCTGCTTCCGCCGTGTCAACAGATACCTTTGTGTCAGCAAGTTCTTGTTCTGATTGGGTGTAGCTAGCGTGAAAAGATCGTTGTGGGAGTCGACCTGGCTAATCGCTGGCGAGAAGAATTCCCAAACCTAGCAACCGGAAGCACGATCTTTCGCATCCAAAGATCTCTTTTTGGAACAGAACCCTGCAAATGGTCGTGTCATGCCAAGATACTAGTAGGTCCTGGAATGGATACGATTCGCACCCTAGCCCTCGCACACAAGCGACATACCGGTAGGAAGGACATAGTCACATGGTCTACATCTAGCGGTAGCTAGCTAGCCAGCATAGCGGATAAGGAGATCAATTACGAATTTGCTTCAATGGTCTGTAAACATGGTCCACGAGGAGCCCGTTGTGCGAAGTTATCGTAAGACTCTTGCATTTGAAGCAAATTGCTTCACTATTAGCTAGCTAGCTGGGTTGCCTGCTGTTGGTGCTTCACTCGAGCGCTTGACTTGGCCAGAATTTGGTTGTCAGCAAAGCTGCGCTGTTTCCATCTGTGTCATCTTCGACTAAACAAAGACACGACGATAAGGAGGGATGCACTGACGGCGGCACCTAGCGCCAGCGATGGCGTGTGGAGAGAAAGTCCAAACAATTCCACCGTCACGTCGTCATCAAGTCCTCGCCTGGAGGAAACTGGAATTGTTTGTTGCTGTGTACTAGTATGGTCCACGGTGTCAGCGGTATCTTTGCTTTCTTTTGCAACTTGGTCCGATTCAACAGATGGCTCGACAAGTAGACTACTATCTGCCTTCTTCTCTTCTGGTGTTATTGTTGGATCACTTGGGTTTTGGCTCTTATTGAGGAGCAACAATTCTTCCATATGCTTTAGTCGCTTCATTTCTCTTGCTTGTGTAAAATACTGTCCCACAACGAATACCATGGTATTGATGGCAATGAGTGACCAAGTTCCATAGGTTCCCAACAGTCTCCATTTATCTTGCCACATTTGTTCCTCGTGATATCGTTGTCTCATGATGTCCATGTAGGAGTGCTGGCATTGCACGGCCCTTTGTTCGGCCTGTTTGAGGGAATTCTGGGCATTCAAGAGTGCTTGTCGTGTCGTGACCTCCACTGCCGTCATTTGTACAAAATCCTGAGCGTCTTCGGCACTCCATTCTTCTCGTCGCATCAGTAGACTCACGTGTTTCTTGTGAGCTTGATCATGAGCAGTCTGAGCTTCTGCCACAGTCTCACGGCACTGTTGCACCATGTTGGTGGCCTCGTCGAAATGTCCAGATGCTTCTTGGACTTTATCCTTCAGTTTTGTCAATTCCATCATTCCACTCGATTCTTCAAAAAGAGAATGCAGTCGTTGAAACAAGAGGGACATGGAAGAGGAGGAGGCAGACGATACTCGTACCGGTACCACATCCAACTCTTCGTTTCCCGATGTTTTCACATTGGACAGGCATCGGCTCGATACCGATACGGATGGGCCAAGAAGATCTCGTGGAATTCTTCGGCAAGACGACACAAGGCTGACCTGACGGAGATGCTGAAGTACTACCGGTACCGGTACCGGTACCGGTAATAGTAATGGTGGTGGCATGTTGGCAGAACTACATGCATGTAACAGTGGCTATTACTTCAATGCAACACACCCTTCGTGCTCTCTGTTGAGTTACTAGTAGTTTGTGATGAGTTCGTTGGCGGTTGCTTTTGGTGCCATCGGCGTTACAGTTAGGGTTAAGGAGCAGTGACGTGGTATATGAAAGATTTAAGCGAATTTTGCCCGCTCGAGAAGATTTAGAAGCGAGCTCCTTCTTCCAGCCAGCTGGCGCTCTCTTCAAAAGGGTCGAGCTGTCGAGCTTCCAGCGCTCGAAGCACTCCAACTCCAAAACATCACACCATGATCCTCCGCCGTTCACTACAGTACTTGACTTGTTGGTATAGTTTAGTTTAGTGCGATAGAGAGCAGCCACAGGCAGCAGGCAGGCAGTGTGTGGCTGTATGCATGGTCCTTGGAGTGACAGTCATGTCGGAGACCGCAGCAGGAAAAAGCTTGACCAAAGAGAGACCTCTAGCCAACAACCGTTTGTATCATCGAGAGCAGTTGGTTCAATCTGTGCGAAAGAGTGCTGCTGGAAGTGGTCAGGCAAACTTGGCAGCAAAAGGGAAGAAGAAAAAGTCTCGTCGCAACGCTCACGATGGATTTGAATACGCCATTCAGCCCGATGGACAGTTGCTGGGAGAGCATTTATGGAAGGAAAATCAAGAGCAACGCAAGACGAACGGCTTTGGAGGAAGACAACAACAACAACAACAACAACAGCCACCCTTGGCTGCCTCTCAAATGAAATGGACTCTCAACAAACTCAAAGCCGAGCTTGGAGCCTCGCAATTGAGACACGACATTCGAAGCAAGCTTCCTCCAGAGCCTGTTGTCAAACCAAAACAAATCATCTCGCTCTACGAACCAACGCCAAAGGATGTTCCATCTTCTTCTTTTTCACCGACCAAAACACACTCACAAAATCCACCACTAAAGGAAAATTCTAGAGAAAACTCACAACCAGAAAAGTCGTTCAATCCCTACAGCAACAAGGCTCGTCAGTCGAAAACTCCAGCGGACGTTGTCTCTTCTACATCATGTAGCTTCAACAACTCGTATTCGTATTCCAAGCCAAATCCGCAACCATTTGCTGCGACAAGCCAGCCACACCCACAGATCAATCCTACTACATGCCACTCAAATCATCAAGTCCAATCGAGACCAGCAAGAGTGTCAGACGCTTTCCAAGACGATGAGTTTGCCGACGACTTGGATGATGTCCTCGCAAATATAGATGAAAATTCACTCGTCACATCAAAGCCAGCAACACAACCTTTTCGTCGAGTCACAACATCAGATGAAGTTATTGACGTTGACGTTGACGAAATCTACAGTGGCAGTAGTGGAACTGGTCACGTTGGATTCGACTATGGCGATGCATCTTACTCCGCAAACAAAACTAGCAGTAACAACCACTACAACCAACCCGATCGCTTTGTGAACGACACAGATACAACAGCAGCGCCACTTTGCCCTGGTCACAATCTACCATGCAGAATACTCACGTCTCGCACTGAGGCAAACAATGGACGCCAGTTCTACAAATGCTCTGTACCAGCACAAGAAGATCAATGCGAGTTCTTTGAGTGGGCTGACCAACCGAATGATGGTGGTTTCCAAGGAAACAACTCTCATCAACCACCAAATCCTTCCTACAACAATGGCAACACCTCTTACAATACCAATGATCCCTATGGCGATGCCACAGGAAGCGACAGTGCTCCGCTCTGCCCCGGACACAACCTACCATGCAAGACACTCACAGCAAAAACCGCAGCAAATTCAGGGAGGCAATTTTACGCGTGTCCTGTCCCAGCACAAGATGATCGATGCGACTTTTTTGAGTGGGTAGATGGTGGTGCCGGTACAGCAAACAACAGCACAACAACTGAATTCTCCTCCAATTGGGTTCAAAAGTCAATGCCTGGAGGACCGCCTCCTACGCCACTCGCCGGCTGCAAAGATATTCATGCAGAAAACAAACGCGTCTTTGGACACAAGAGCTTTCGGCCAGGACAACAAGGCATCATCCAACAGGCTGTTAGTGGCAAAGATGTCTTCGTCTTGATGCCCACGGGCGGAGGCAAGTCACTGTGCTATCAATTGCCTGCTTGGTGTTGTCCTGGCTTGAGCGTTGTCATTTCCCCTTTGCTCAGCCTCATTCAAGATCAAGTCCAAAGCATGACAAAGCTGGGTGTCACGTCAGTCTTCATCAATTCATCCCAAGATTACGAAACGGAGCAACGAGTCATCACACGTCAACTCAACGCGACAACTGCTACAAGTGGCGTCAAGCTCCTCTATTTGACACCAGAAAAGCTACGACATTCCACCATGATTCAAGGGATACTGTCAAGGCTCTATCAAAACAACCTTCTGAGTCGGTTCGTGATCGATGAGGCACATGTAAGAACGAAAGCATGCTCACCTGATCTGATGCTACTCGTCGTTGCACAAAAGAACATTCTCACACGCTGATCGGCTCACGTTTACAACCAGTGTTTGAGTGATTGGGGCCACGATTTTAGACCCGATTACTCCAATCTAAACATCTTGCGGGAATCGTATCCAAATGTCCCGATTATGGCGCTCACAGCGACGGCGAACGAAAAAGTCGTGCTAGATGCTATTCGCGCTTTGAGAATGAAGGAGGATTGGTAAGAATGTACATTTGATTCGATCGTCAATTCCGTCGTTTGTCATCGATCTTTGGCATCTCATAAGGTCTGCAATGCACTGTCGGGATCGGAAGCTACCGCTACAAGTCAAGCTTCAATCGCCCAAACCTGCATTACGAGGTCCGCAAGAAGGACAACAAAGCTGAGGATTCCATTTGCGACTACATTGTTCGGCAGTACACAGAAAACTCTCATGCTAGTGGAGTCATCTACTGTCTCAGTCGGAAAGATTGCGAGAAGCTGTCAGAGTCCCTTACGAAAAAACTGAGAGAGCGGAGCTTGCCCCGCATCAAGGTATCCTTTTATCATGCCGACTTGGACGCCACTGAACGACAGCGGCGACATTCACAATGGAGCAACGGCACGCTGAGTGTTCTCTGTGCGACGATTGCCTTTGGTATGGTGCGTTTTCCAACCGTCAGCCGATGTTTCCTGACCTAAAGACTTGAATCGCGTCTCACCCTTCGTTGACCCCTACTCTACGCAAACTATGCCAGGGGATCGACAAGCCAGGTAAGAAAGAAAGAAGGTGGTTCGTGGAGCTGTTGTCCCTTCTTCGTCTTCTAAAACTGGCGTCACTTGTTTCAGACGTTCGCTTTGTCATACACTATTCGATGCCAAAGTCTATCACCCACTACTACCAAGAGAGCGGCCGTGCAGGTCGAGACGGTGAAAGGGCTGACTGTATCCTATACTACTCTTACAAGGACAAGCAAATCCTCGAGGGCATGATAAAAAAGTCGGCGGCAGATCCCTATGGACCAAGCACTCGACGCAAAATTGATCAGCTTTACACTTGCCTCCGCTATTGCGAGAACGACTTTGAATGTCGACGGACATTGCAACTGCAGTTCTTTGGCGAGTCCTTCTGCAGGACCAAATGCCGCGGAACGTGTGACAACTGTCGTGCGGCGCGTGAAATTGACAACCGTGATTTGACCGACGCTGCGAAAGCGCTCCTCAATCTGCTAGCGTCCGTTCAGGCTCAGAAGAAAAAAGGCTTGGGTGTTACTCTGCTGCAGCTAACAGAGCTTTTTCGAGGTTCCAAAGCGAAGAGCGCAACCAAGTTCTTGAACCTTTCTCGGCTTCGAGGGTACGGAGATGCTGCCAAATTTAACCTGAAGAAGAAACAAGACATTGATAGAGTGGCCCATGCCATGATCTATGGGCGCGTCATCACAGAAGCAAGCGAGCAAAACGGCCAAGGGTACTCGACGGACTACGTGCAACCGGGGGAGCACGCAACTGCAATCTGCAACGGTGGAAGACGCTTTTACGTGGAATTTGCAAAGGATCAGAAGAAGGCTGCAGCAATGCGATCCAAGTCACCTAAGAAAAAGGCAGCTACTCGAAAGAAGAGATCGTCCAGCAGCAGCGCCAAATCTGAGAAGAACCCTGAGGTGTACGCGTTGTTTGACGAAGATGATGGCGACGATGACGAGGACGCTGGTGTAGATGGTCAAGCTAGCGGGTCGGATCCAACCGGGATTCCTGCTGTACTTCCTCCGGACGCCACCCTGGAACTCCAGAGACGAATTCGAAAAGTCGTTACCATGTGGGCGGACGAGGAGCGCCTAATGGGCAACAATGTGTATTGTGAGTTCGATGAGTGTCTCCTAGCTAGCTAGCTACATGCACTTGTTTTGGGCGTGGTAATTCTGACAGTTGAAGTTTTCTTTCTCCCGATTGCATGCTGCAGACTGGCATATTATGAAGAACGAAGTCATCAAAACCGTTGCCCACCAGTGCCCGACAACTCTGGACGAGCTCAAGGCACTCGATGGATTGGGAGAGCAAAAGTTCAAAGAGTATGGTGAGCGGCTGATGAAGATCATTCAAAACTTCGTACAAACCGAAAACATGGAACCTCATCTCGAGAAGAAACGAAGTGCTCAAGGACCTAAAAAGCGCAAGGCAGAGCTCTCGCATCAGAATCCTCCATCCAAAGCCGCCAAAGGATCTGTTGCGTCGTCCAAGTCTGCACCTGCCAACCCAGACGATGAATTTCCCATGGATGATTTCCCAGACCTTGACGGTGTGGTGCTGCCCTACTAAGCTAGCTAGCTAGTCTACTAGAAACTGGACCAGTTGCTTCTTTCCTGGGAAAGAATTGGTTCCGTGTCAATATAAATGGCACCAGGGCCGCAAAAATTTTGGAACTATTATTATTACTAAAATACCGCGACTTTTGAAAGAAAGATGAAAATTCAACGTTAAACTTGGTGCCTTCCAGAATTGGCGGTCTGGATGTGGAATGATTTATGCATGCCGAACTCTGAAGCGCCAATCCATTGATTTTGACATTTTCACAGTTAAGAAAAACGCTAGTTGGTGTCTCAAGAAATAGTTTTGTTTTTTTATGGTGAATTTTCACAAATAGTTGAAACGGTACCAGTAGTTTCATACTTGTGAAACTATTAAAATACGTAAAAATAAAAACGTGAAATTGATTCTACAGTTTCACGACTCGGTAAACCAGCGGTTTCCCGACGTCATTGTAGCTGCGTATTAGGTACTTAAAGCTTCTACTTGAATCAGAACGTCACGGTGTCACGGCTTCTTCTTCCTTTTCCTCCTTTGCTGGGTTTGTCCGCCTCTTCGTTCTTTTCTGAGGACATCAGATTCTCACCTTCGGCAAAGATTTTTTCTTCCTTGCGCCCTTGCGCATGCTTCTCGTTCCATCTTCAGAAGCTCTTCTCGTATTGCTACCGCTTGTAGACTAATTGTTTGCGTCCTTGCCCTCTCCGAAGTGGCACTTTCGTTTACCTTTAGCAACAACAATATAACCACCTTTGGCACTTTGGCAGTCCTTCATCACCCCGTTGAGCTCCTGAACCCAATCAAAACGTACTAGTACAGTATCAACAATGGAAGCTTCTCGTCCTATTCAGAATCTGTTGACAGACGCACCTTGGCAACGAGACTCTTTCGTGTTGACGCAGTGGAACACCAACACCGAAGAGAATCTGTTTGCTTCCGGGATTGGAGTTGGTCTGCCCCCTTTCTCCTCCTCTGCACTTGATTCCAACAACAACAATCCCACAAGCATCCTTGGGAGCAATGTCACGAGCACTGGACAGCGTGAAACAAGATTCACATACAGGGATCATATGAATGACCCCGATGGTGATTACGCAGGCAATGTGAGCGTGCTAGCCCTGACCGGCGGCCATGGCGGTGATCAGTCATTCCCTGTTCGCCTTCATTACATGCTTAATGAGCTCGAGAAGGATGGTCTCTCCCACATTGTGTCTTGGCAGCCTCATGGAAGATGTAAGTGTCCCTTTCGCTTTGACATGGTTGGCGTGTCTCTTGTGTTCTTATGTCGGATTTGACTGATTCGATTCCTTGTCTGTGTCCGTTGCCTTTCAGGTTTCCTTGTCCATGATCAGAAGAAGTTTGTGGATTTGGTGCTTGGAAAGTAAGTTGATGGGTTGTGGTGGCTGCGTGGCTACCTGTCAATATGGCCTCAACTCCAAACAAAACCAATCCTTGGCTGACATTGTCTCTTGTCTGTTTGGTTGGCTCAGTTGGTTCCGTCAGTCCAAGTACCCAAGCTTTCAGAGGCAATTGAACATCTACGGCTTCCAAAGGCTCACAGCCGGACCTGACAAAGGGGGTTACTATCATGAACTCTTTCTCCGCTCTAAACCGGGCCTAGCTGCCCGTATCCTCCGTCAGAAACTCAAGGGAACTGGGACGCGCAAGGTAAGCCTGTCAGCTACAGTATCAAGGCCCTCTTGTACTACTAGTACTTGTGCAGTCACCATTGAACAAAGACACTGACAACCTGCTTGCCCCGTTCCTTACTTTTGCTATACTATACATCGCAGGCTGCGGTCGCTGCCTTGGAACCAAACTTTTATCGAATGTCATACTTGCCACACTCAAGTAGTGCTCGCTTGCCCGTCACAAGCTCAAACTTTGCCGCGTCCTTTGTCCCAGCCACAAAGGCGGCCTTCTCTGTGGTCACTACAACGCCAGATGCGTCGCCTACCATAGGTGCTTCCTCTGCCTTGACCCTCAAGAGTCTCGCTTCAACCATTCTGGGTCCCGCCGCTTCCGCTCAGGTTGGCTTGGTGCAGCCATTTCATTCAACGGGGGCTAGAAATACTGATCAGTTGGAACAAATGCGCCAATCCATCGTGCCCATTCAGTTCTGCACAGCACTGACAGAACGGTCCTCAGTTTCCACCTCCATTACAGACTACCAGGATCTGGCAAACAGCCTCTGGAGTGCTGGTCTGCAGTGAGAATGAAGTCATCTACTGGATGCATTTTTGAAGTCATTCTATACTACATGTACTAGTAGTAATTTATTTTGTGGTATTCTAGACTAATGCAAGATTGCAGTATAGAATCGAATCTGATAGACTACTGTATGGTTATTCTGAACACAGCCTTTGGTCAATGGCAGTCTGATAGGGCCACCCGCTAGCTAGCTGGTAGACCTACCGTACTCCAAGAAACAATTGCTCCTAAGCCCAGCTACACGAGCTGCCACACGACAGTTTCTCTGCATATCTCAGGCCCTGCAAGTAGGTGGCAAAACAGGCAGATGCTGTTAGCCTCGCCACTCAGCACATTGGGCTAGCTCTCTACTATTTTAAAATAGTACATAAGATTCTGATGCAGCTGGCGGGATCGAAACATGTGTCCTGTAACTATGCACCTCGCCATCGCCATCCAAGTTGCCAAAACTACTTCACTTTCGCAAGCTGTTATTCCGCCAGTTACGAGGTTACGCTTACATCTCATGTCTCATGTGTGAATCAAAGGTTCCATGTGCAAACCTGAAGCGGGATAGCAGGCGGCCACACTCCGGAAGTTTAGATGTGCCGTGGTTCTCAAAGAGTGACGATTCGATTCGATTCGAGTCAGAGTCTCCATGTTGTTTTCATAAATGGCTGGACTGGTGCACAGTCACTCTTGATGAGTCCTTGCTTCTGGTTTCTGGTTGTGTTTCATTGCAACTTCGCGTGTGACGTTGGTGTTTGTCCATGTCACAATTGTAGAATCGAATCGAATCAATAAAGGTTTAAGTTTAAAAAATCCGTCGTAACGGCTGTCGCTGGCTGTCCCTGCTAACAATGAGAACAAGGATGGAATGGGAAGCCGAATTTGCGCCAGAGCTTCCCAACATTTCAAGGCCGTTATTGTGCCCTCCGATTCATAGAAGGAAGTTCTACTTTCTGTTCTGTGAGTCTCCACCAATTGCTGGGTAGTTTCCCCACACACAACATCGCATTCCACTAATATTATTAATACTGGTAGCTGCTCTGCTAGACTAGCTAGTACATTGAGCCAAGTAAGCAAGTAAGTGGTGTACTTGATTTGAGTAAGTTAGTTTTGTACCGTACTGGTATCCTCCAAGATCGCGACCTTTGCTCGCTGGCTCAAGTCGGATTCAGATACATGTAATGCTTTAGAGTTTGGAGAAGGCCTAAGCATTTGTAGCTTCCCGATTACACCTTGGAAGTTGGAGGCAAGCTAAGTTGACGGGCAAGATAGAACGATAGAACAGAATCAGAAGATGAAATTGAAATGAGAACTTGCCAGCAAGCTGCTGAAACGGTGTGGACAAGCAAAGACAGCTTGGGGTCCACGTCCTCCAAGCCCTGAAGATGGTTCTTTTGTTTTCTGCATGCAATCTTTTTGCTCTAAAGCTCTGTTTTCGATTGTTATTGTGTACTCGATGCATGGTGTAGCTTGAGAAGCGGTGGCAATTATTGGCCATTGGCTTTCGCCATTGGCTTTCGGAGGGAAGATAGTACCGGTAACCAGTTCCGAAAAGCAAGCCCACGACCGAAGTAGCTGGTGGCCTTTGGTTATGTACATGTCCTCAGTATCCGTGGTCAGCAACCATTCTACCCTTCTGCCTAGAGTTTCCACGATCGATGCGTAAGTTTGGCGGAGCACTTACGGGATACTGGCTTGCAAGCTACATGACATTATGTGGGTCCAATTGTGGGAGCGGTGCCGCGGTCTGCGCAGCCTCACCTGAAAAGAACAGGCAGGTGTCCATTGTGCATAACACCATTCGATTCTTGACTTTTCAGGCCTGGAAGCGAAAAACAGCCTAACGTCTCTACCTTGATTATTAGAAATTGGAGAGATAGAGATTACAGCTCATATTCTTGGATCTGCACTGGGGGCTGGGGGCATTCTTTGGTTGTCCCGGGTACCGGTACAGTACTGGTTGGCAGCGCCACTATCGGTAGCGCTAGTTTAGTGGCTCATCTCCTCATTATGAGGAGCTCATGAAGTTGGAGCTCTGCTGAACTCCGTATTACGCAGCATACCGGTATCTTTAGAGTCGAAACGATTGATCATTCGATTCTGCTAACTAGCTCGTGAAGCTACTACTAGTATCCAATGTTTATCCTTGGTTATTGTCCAAATGGGTTGACCAACAAACTATTAAGGTTAATACAAGTATGGATGGAAAGACAGATCATCACCTGCCTGAGGGTACAACAATATATTATTGACAATCTTGTGTCAAATTGTCTTTAAAGGTATGACCATACCGCGCAAGACTAGTACGTCAGCTTGGATATGTTGTGCATGCAACATGCAACGCAAAGGGTTTTGATGCTGGTGCCGATCAAGACTACTAGTACTGTATCGTAGAAGCAGGCCTTCATGCGCATGCTTTTGGAACCATCGGCTGCGAACAGCTTCCAGGGCCTACAGGAACATCATTTGGGAAGCTGAGGCTTGCGGGTTCTCGTTACACATTCTTAAAACCAAAGAAGGCTCCTTGTAATTATGAGTGACGAAATAATCACCTCAAATGCGTCAGAAATACTGGCCTTCACGGCTTTAAGTACAGGTTGAACAAGAACATTCTTTTTTCATGTCTCTTTTTAAAACTTCTGCTTCCCTCTTTTCGTGATGACGCACGCCCTGACCCACTTCTCGATTTTCATTCTTCGCTTCCTCTTGGACTTTCCTCCCAGAGAGAGGGCGAAGAAATCAGGGCGAAGAAACAGGTTCTTGATCCACCAACCACAAACCAGCAGCTTGACAATCATCATTGTTAGAAATAATTCAGAAAGTTGATTGAGGCCTTCTCTAGCTAGCTAGATCTACTGGAGTGGATAGCGACACTACATTAATTTTAGTAATACCGCAGCATAGCAGAATAAAGATGACACAAGCCAATGGTAACCAGATGAACGCTTTGTACCTTCCAACATTCCCAACGCAAGTGGTCCAGCGTGGAGCGAGGGCTCCTGCTCCTACCACCGCTGGACCTGCGGAGGCGAATTTGTCCACGATGCTTGTCCCATTTGTGGACGACTCCGAGCACAAGGTCGTTCACAATTATCACGATCACGCCAGTGATCCAGATGGGGACTATGCCGCCCAGCAGTTGGTGCAACAGAGAGGGGGGCCGGGGGTTGAACAGTCGTTCCCAATGAAGCTTCATTACTTGCTCAATGACTTGGAGCAAGATGGGCTCTCGCACATTGTCTCCTGGCAGCCTCATGGAAGATGTAAGTGCTGCGTGGCGTTGTTGTTTTGCTGTCTGTTGTGCCGTCTCCGCAACTTGTTGACTGACTGATGCGAACTATTGCAATCGTTCAGGTTTTGTGGTCCACAATCAAAAGGCGTTTGTCGATCAGATCCTCGGATGGTAAGGATACAACTGACTGGCTGGCTGACAGACGACGACGACCAAAGACAAGCCATTTTTGTTTGCTCATGTTGTGCTGCGCGTTCCTTTCCCCACGCCTTCATCAGTTGGTTCCGCCAGTCCAAGATTGCCAGCTTCCAAAGGCAGCTCAACATTTATGGATTCCAGCGGTTGACCACGGGTAAGTTCCACTTTGGTGGATTGCCTCCTCGAAGTAGTTCGACTTTTTGGGTGTGCACTGACGTCAACCCATGCCGCTCCCGTCCCATTCTATCCACACAGGCCCTGACAAAGGTGGTAAGTGATATACAGTCATTGATTGATTGGATCAAAAGTCCATCTGAGTGTTTCCATGCCTTGCCATCCATGTCATCACTCACCGAGTTTGATTTTCCCTTTTGTTTCAGGCTACTACCATGAACTCTTCCTACGATCCAAACCGGGGCTTGCAAGTAGGATTCAGCGTCACAAGGTACGTTGAGAGCACCAGGACGAGTCGAATCCATCGGATCGGCATCACTCCATTCATATCAACTCATCTCTACTCGTCTGTCTGTGTCGCTCTGTTTTCATTCCATTCCAGCTCAAGGGCACCAAGACCCGACGCGCAGCTTCTCCCGAATCCGAGCCAAACTTTTACCTCATGACACCCATGCCTGTCCAGAAGAAACCAACTGTTGTGGCACCAACGGCGCCAGTAGCGGCAACGGTTGTCCCCAAGTCATGCTCCGTGTCCAGTTACGAGTTCCCCTCGTCGACATTGGACACCAAGACGTCGTCGGCATCGGATGCATTGACGCTGCAGAAGATTGTCCCATCCTTGTTCTCGCCGGCTACGTTTGAAACCACGGTGCATCACCAATTGGTGCCACAGTATCAACGCCAGCAGCAACTCAGACAGCCTCGGGGTCTTACTGTGACATCGACATGTTCTGTCACTGTCAAGCCCACGGAAGGCTTTGACATGGCTTCTGCCGGGGGCGTTTCTGGGCCGTTTTCCTTTCCCTTTACACTGACACAATCGTCCCAAGCGACCAACTCGAATGGAGTTGCTGGTGGTCCCACTACCAACAGAAACAATGAGGCTCTGTGGGCCGCACTCAGTGGTGGTGCTCCCATGCCTATGGCCCCAAGCACAGATGCAGGGAATCACAACATGAACAACAATGCCCACAACACGGGCGGCAGTTCACTCTGGCTGTTGCGCTAGCTTGCGCTCTTCTTTCTTCATCGACCATCATCTTGCATTGCATACCCAGTCCTTCAAGTTTTCTCTTTCCGTCTGTCAAATCCAGGACAGATTGTGCCCTCCCTCGACTCGACCGTAACCCTTTGCGAGTTTTTCTTCATACATCGTACTTCTTCTTTACAAAGCAGAAATAGTATAGTCTCCCCTGTGTGCATGAATGAATAGCTGTACTATTATTACGCCTTCCCCATCCATTCGATTCATCATTCGCAGGTATGGCGGGTAAGCCAATGTAGCGTAGCACTATTAATAGCTAGCTAGAGAGTTCCAGGGTCAATCAGTTAGTTCAGGAAGCTCAATGGCCCTGTCGCAAAATTGGAATGCTTCGTCTTCCGCGTTGGTGTGGTACTAGTATCTAGCAGCCTCGGGATTCCCTCGCCACCTCTTCACATGCATACATACATACATCTTGCTCCGAGATTTCAACGAGACAGACAGTCCTCACACACCCAAAGCTTTTTATTTCCAGGCGGCAATGACGATGCTACCGGTATGGGTTGTCTTTTATTAGCATTTGTTTGTTAACAATGAAAGACCCAAACAAACATGGACGGCGACTACGGTATGCCATATGTTAGTATCATTGGACATTGGAGGATACCATGGATATGTACTTGGATTGGGCCAGTTTACTGGGTTGGGTGTCAGAACTCTGGCTGGCAATTCGCCTGTTTGGTTCTGAGCCCAAAACCGGTACATTTATCCGAAATACAAAAGACCAAACTGAAAACCGAAACCAAAATAAGAGTAAAAGCAACCGAGCAAACAGGGAAGCTTCAACGAACCAAACAGAAATATTTAATCCAAACAAACCGAATTGCTAGTAATCGTGATTTTGGGGTCCTTTTGTCGAAACCCAGACCACAGCGACAAAACCAATGCGCTTGAGACATGTCCTGAGAGCCACATCACAGCACTCCAGCTGGCTACGCTTATGCATACGTGTACCAATGGCAAACGATTGTACGTACGAAGTATGCATACATCTAGCTAGACTAGGAATTCAAAGCCATCCTGGCAACATTTATCAATGTGCTTTCACTGGTTGTTGGTTGACTGTTGACTGAGAAGGCAATGTGCTTGGCATTGGAAAAGTGGGTGGCGCGCCCAGCCGGCTGCCTCTTGGTCCCACTGATGGTCCCACCCCTGGGCCTTCTCGAGGTCCCACACCAGCACCAACACCTCGAACAACCTCCAGTCTATCTCCAGGCTCCTCACCAGGACAATCACCGGGAAATAGTGAGGGACTATGGTGCGTATTTGGTGGAGAACCGTTGAGGCCGCGTCGCTCCTAGTGGAGTCTAGTCTGGCCTGGATTCGTAGAAAAATAGTACCGTTGGCTAGCCTACTTTCTGCGATTGTGCCTACGTTTTAGCGTTGCAGGTCTATCGGTGTTTCTCATACGAACGATCAATGCATGTTTCTCCCCCAAAATCAGCCAGTGCCTTTCGTGCAATCATCCCTCCTTTTTAAAAAGGCAGCTACGTAAAATTTGCCACCGACTGTTTGTGCAAGGGACTCCGCAGCACCGATTGTGCGCGCTCCAAGTCGGTGTCAATCGACGTCTCGAGTTGGTCCATTTCTGCTAGCAAAGCGTCAAACCCGCCACTGGCAATGTAGCTAGCAGATATCTTGAGGCCTCTGAACGTTGGGGGGTCTCTTCTTTCGATAGCTGCTTCGTAGTCGTCAGACTCATGCTGGTCGCTTATTTCAGCACCCAAACCATCAAAACCACCACCAGCAATGCGGCTAGCAGATACCTTCATGCCTTGAGATGCTGGGGAGTCACTTCCGACTGTTTCGTCTTCGTCTTCGTCGTCGACTTCCGACTCGTCGACTTCCTCATCTTCCAAACTCTCGTGGAAGACGTCGACACTCATTTGTTCTGCACCGAAATCGCCATTGTAGTCTGCCGCCGTAATGAACGATTTGTCGCACCATGTGGAATTGTCTTCCGCTGTTTGAGGCACTTCTACTGAGCGAGCGAAGCTCTGCTCTTCTGCTACCGCGAGATCATCTTCTCCGGACTGAGTTACGGTCATTGTATCACTCGCAGTACTATCCATAATCTTGTCCAGATTCTCATCGTCTTGTGATGTCCACGAAACTCCCCTGGAAGCAATGCTGACTGGCACAGCAGAGTCTTCCTGGTCTTCTTCGTCTTCTAAGACTGGCACAGGTGTGCTTACAGCCTCTTCTTGCTCAGACTGGAGTGGTCGATCTGAGACGAACTCAGGGGTGCTATTGGCCTCCTCTTCGTTAGCCTCGAGAGATTGATTCGTTTGTTGGAGCTGTTGATCCGAATCAACATCCTTGATTCCTTCTTCTTGGGGGGAGGCATGGGCAGGGGAATCATTTGCCTCCTTCGCTTGCTCAGCTGAGGGCTTGTTTGAGCAGCCGACGAGCTCGGTTTCATCCGAGTCGGCTTGGGGGACTTCAGAGGTTCCAACGTCCCCGCTGCCATGAATTTGTGGAGGTGAAATCGACTCCGAACTGGTTGGTTCAGCAAGAATTTGTGCCACAGCAAGATCATGATTTATTTCCTCGGAAAAGGTGCAATAAGACGCGAACGTGGCGTTTTCCACACCCGGGGGCCCACCCGACAAATTAGACTTGCTCTCGTTCACCTTCACCCTCACGAGAAACCGAACTTCCGTATCGCTCTTTTCGTCACTTGAAAATGCGCGAATCGAACGAAAGCCTGCCTTAGGAGCGATGGCGGCGTTGTTCAGTTCATTGCATTCAGGGTCTGTGGATGCGCCCAAGAGAGACGTATCATAATCCTGGATGGAAAACAGGTCACTGGAACCCTTGTCGACGGCGTCATTTGACATGATATCATCACTGTAAGCAAGGGTTGACGCGCTGGACTTGGCATCTTCCGGCACGACATCCAATTTCTCTGGAACTACGAGTGAAGATATGGTTGGCTGGGATGCAATTGTTGTCTCGTCATCTTTCGACCATACGAAAAGTGCCCCACTCGTAGCTTTATCCGTGAAAGCTTCGCTGGCATTCGATGCCGAAACCACTGTTGCTGCAGCGCTAGCAGGATCGATGGCGTGCTCAAGAACAACTTGCTTTGTTTTCGGTTGACCTTGCGCCAAACGAGCTTCTTCCATAAGCTGCTCCAGTCTCCTGTGTAAGTCGGCCGAGGAGGGTGTTTTTTCGTCGTGTAGTACAGCTTGTGACATCATGCAATAGGATTGCGATGTGGGATTTCCATTTCTGTCTGCATTGCATCGCCCCACACCATCATCATCGGTGGAGAAGAGATTTCGTTGCAGCACCTGTGGCTGGCACATTCCAAGCGTGGAATAGCTGGACCCAGTAGGCGATTGATACATGTAATTGTCGTTGCTTTGGGTGCGAGTGGGTACATCCGGAAGGTCAGTGAATAGCAAATTCCTCTCCAGGTTCTTTAGAACTCGACTGAGTTCACCATCGGGTGCTACGCTCGAAGCCTTCAAAGAAGAATTGCTATCGTTGGATAAGATCGACCTTGATGCCACCACTTCCGCGGTTCCCGTTAATGTACTAGTGGTCCTTGTCTTCGGAATCCGATTGGCACCAGGAGGGAGTCCGGTTGGATTAGTCTCCTCGATGCTGTTGTTGGCTGACAGGGCTAAGGTATCACCGCCTTGCGTCGCAATAGCGATATCACTGCCCGAGTCTGATTGATCTTCCACGGATTGCTGCAGGCCTTGCACTGGTTTTGAACGTCCATCTGGCACGTCCGTGAACAAGAGCGTTCTTTCCATCTCCTTGCAGGTCTTTTCTACTTCTTGATACGCCTCCAGGCTGGAATTATAGATTTTGCTTCCCACAACCTCTGGAATCTTCCATAAGGGAGCCAGCATATCTGTGGCAGAGCAGAGTCCAGACCTAGATTGTGATACCATGGCCGAACTGGAACTGATTGTGGATGCAGTCATGGTGGGTGGTGGCGGGCTGCGGTCGACGACATCCGTGAAGAAGAATATGCGCTCCATTTCGTCGAGGAATTTCGTGTCCACATTATTGCTGGACGATTTTTGTCTCTGCGCTTGTTGTTGTTGCTGTTCTTGATAACTCTGTTTTTGATTCTGGGACAAATGGTCGTCAATGTTCTTGAACAAATCTGCTGCGACCAGTCTTGGCTGCTCCGTGCTAGAAGCCGTTTTGACCTGATCAGCGGAAGGAACAACTTGCTGCACTCTGGGAGCATGAGTACTGGTAGCACCATCCTTACTCCCACTGGTAGCAGCAGCAATGGCCGCCATGAGAGCATCTTGGCTGTTTTCAGGAGCTTCTCTCTCTTCGTCTTCGTCTTCCTCCGAGCTGTCATGACAGCTGCATTTGTCTGCCTCGGAAAAGGAGACATGAGTGCCTAGCAACTCCTCAGAGGACCCCTGATCGTCCTCATCATCGTTGTCGGCAGTAGCGTTTGTCGTGGTCGTCGCTGTGACGTCTTGTACTTGATGATCCTCTTCCTTTGACTCCGTCTTGCCCGTGTGTATCTGAACCTCAAAATCCTGTTGTGCGTCTGGATTGTCGATCCGAGTGTACGTGGTCAAGGTGCCAGTAGATGAGGTGTTTGTCGTGATGGTGCTTTCGTCGGAAGGACGCGACGCTGCAACATCAGAAGCTCCGGTGGGCTCCTTGAGATTTTGCACACACCGTGCAACACGACTTTGGACAAACGAATGCATTTTCGACTCTCTGTCTCTTTCTCTCTTCTCTCTTCTATCTTTCCCGCCTTCAGCACCTTCCTTGTCAAAAAATGAACGCTATTTCCATTCTGCTCTTTCGTCCCTGGTATGATACTAGTACCTTCAAGCAATGCTTTGAATTCTTGGCACAAATTTGTCGACCGTGGGAGCTGCAACGGCGCCGAGAGCCGTGTCCCTGGTGTGAGCACATCAGCACTGAACGTCAGCCCGCATCTAAGTACACTATTTATTAGAAACGTGATTCATCCATTCATGAACCCATGTCTAATTAACCTAACGAAATTTTTTTATCTCATCCTCAATTACGAAGACAAACATTTTCTCTCATGCGTACGGTACACACATGAGCTCCCTCACATTTTCCTAGACTACCTAGCTAGCTAGTAGCTGGGAAAAATCTGGACTCGGAAGCTGCATGGTCCCAAACGCCACCCATGGTTTCTGGCTACCAGTACTACAGTGTACCGCCGTACCGTACAGTACAGTACAGTACGGTACTGGTAAGCTACAGTAATGGAGTTTTTGCCACTATCCTTACCGTACCCGAAAGAGCCAAGCCAACTCCCCTGATTGTCCCTTACAAAAACAGAGGAGGCAATGAGGGAGTCCTTTTTTCCACATTCAATACAATGGTAGTAGCTAGTACTTCAACACTCAATACTCAAACTATTCTACAGGATCCAGCATGCAAACAAGCCAGCCACATGGCAAAGCGCAACGAGTCGAGTCTGTGCACCCTCAATGGGTAGTAGCGGTATAGGCAGGGCACCCGTGTTCGATGCAGCTCACACCACCTCATCAGAACCCGCCAGACAAGAGCGACACAATTTTCATGCCCCCTTCTGGTTTTGCTTGGGGGTCTTCGTGTGGTGCATCCGTGCTAGTTCGCTCGACACAACATTTCAGCGCAACCAGCTTGTCCGCTTTGATGATTTCCTCGGGCTCACTCTCGACCTGCTCTTCTACAGAATAGTCGTCGTCGTCGTCGATGCTGCCAACAGCAAGCACATCAACTTCGATTTCCTCCTCCTCGGTCTCCTTTTTCTCTTCGGCTTCCGGATCGGGTGATGTGCTGTCTCCCTGGGAAATAGACGTCTCGATGACTTCCGTCTCTGTCGGGGAATCAACTACCTCTTCCATCCTCTGGAAATGCTCGACCTTTTTAGCTTCAGGTGCAGCAATATCGACGTCGGCATCCTCCTCCATCTCTTCTGTCAACGGTGCCTCAGATGCAATAATCTCAGTTTCGACGGCTTCCTCAAACTCATCAGTGGGTGTTTCAGGCCCAAGCTCCTTTGCTGGTTTCGCGATAGAACCAACTTGCTCGATTTGTTTTTCAAGCTCGTCATCTGATTCTTCGAAATCAGTCGTTTGGGTTTCTGGTTCTGCTTCAGGCTCTATCACAGGCTCAGGTTCCGATTCAGATTCAACTTCAGGTTCAGGTTCAGATTCAACGTCAGGTTCGGGTTCCTCAGCTGGAGTATAGAAGGTATCCGCTGCCTCCTCTGAAGATGGATCAACCAGCGCGACCGGTTCCTCAGGCTCGGCGTCCTTCTCCGTGGGCGTTGTCGGCTCCAAATCTTTAGCTGGGGTTGGCTCAGAGGTGCTTGTTACGGGATCTGCCTTGCTACTCGCATCAGTTTGGCTGGGAGGAACCACGTCGAAGCTTCCTGTGGCAAGATTTTGAAAGCGTATCGGGTTGGGTGTGTCCGGCTCAAATTCTTCTGCTGGGCCTTCTGTTTCTTCATTGGTAGGCAGAACCTCATCCTCTGTTGGAGTTTCCATATCCGCCGTCTGGGCCTCGGGGACTGTATTTTTTCCCTCCTCGGAGGTGCTTGGTACAGGATCTGCCTTGCTGCTCGCATCGTTTTGGCTGGGAGGAACGTCGCAGAAGCTTCCTGTGGCAAGATTGTGAAAGCGCACCGGGCTGACTGGGACGCCACGAGCATCGATGCTATCTCCGCCTTCCACAGTGGACAAGCAGGGGGACCTGTAACCATCTTCGTTTGCCAAGGCCGCTTCATCTTTACTCTCTGCTGTCGACGACGGCGCTACTGGATCCAAGACGACCTTCACGATAGGTTCCTCATCGTCGGCATCCTCTGCTTCTTCGTCCACGAAAATGGTTTCAGCCTCGTCGGCGTCGACTCGAGCATTGCGTGATCCAGAATCGGAGTAATAAATGACAATCGTCTCATTAACGACTGTTTCGTGTTCTTGAGGTTCCATTTCAAGCGCTTCTGGCACTTCTTGTTCTTCCTCTTTTTCACCCTGATCAACGGCAGCTTGCAAGGACTCCTCGACGTCATCGAGCAACGACCGACTTGCCAACAGCTCTTCCTTGTCCGCTCCTTGGTGCAAGTTTTCGAATGTTTGCATGGATGCTGAAGCGGTTCCATTCGAAAGTGGCGTGGCAATGTCAATGGTGGGAGGAGGGAGTCCCCCCATGAGACCCTTTCCGCAAAGATTATCGTTGATATCCGTAAAGAACTTCTCCCACGTATCCGCAGCCGGACCTTTCTCCTTCACAGGAACGGGGTTTCCACCGGCACCGGCACCGATACCGGAATCCTTTTCTGGATTCTCGTTGTCACTAATGGTTGACTGCTCTGAAGCGTCATCGACTTTGACCGCGTTTGGTACCGGTACCAGGGAGCAAGCATCACAGCAACAAAAGTTGAACCCCATCAAGGCAGGCATTGCGCAAAGCATACCCGGGTGAGTGTTTTTCTTTGCGATGGGCTTCTTGGGCAACTTGGGCGACTTGGTTTTCTTGATGGGTTCCGCGCCCTTTTTGGAGTCTCCTGCAGCATGGTTTTTCTCGTACCTTGGGGGAGTTTGGTGGTGGTTGTGACGATGATGATGACGAGGAGAAGGAGGAGGAAGGGGATGTTCGTGAGGATGTTTGTGAGGATGGTGTTTATGGAGACGAGGATCGTCAACAGCTACTAGATGAGGCATGGTTGAAGATTCGAGTTGCTTGCTCGATGATGGGGTGGAGGTCGGAGGGAGCAACTTCGGAGAAAGCAAGAAACAAAAACGACAAAAGTATGGTTCTGGCTCTAGCTAGAGGCAGAAGTTCGCCAAGAGATAAAATGAGGAAAGGCAAAAGAAATCGTTGGTTTGAGAAGTATCCAGTAGTATGGTCTTCGACGCAAAGACTGTGAGAGGTTGCAAAAAATGTTGCTCGTAACGGGATTGCTTTGACGAAATTGATCCACCAAAAATGGCTGTAGCGGTCAGTTCTCCCGAATGGTGGTCCGAAATTGGGCGACCCGGTAGTTCACCTCGGTGTTGCCTCGTCCTACCGGTAGCTGGCTGTAGATGGCTAGCTACCGGTAGCTAGTAGGGGTGTGCAGCATCGTTGTACTAATAGTAAGCAGGTGAGTCTTTTGGCGTAGTTGGCCACTTTTGTCGAAAACTAACTGCTCCATTGCCCCCTACCGTACCGGTACTGCAGCCCGTAGCTCGTATTGCCAATATCTCTTCCCGGATATCCGAGCCAAAGTAGTGCATACCAGTACGGAGCCACGCTCTCGTATCATAGAACCTGCTTGCTGAGAGAGCTCGATACTTGAACCTTTGCATGGCTCTGTCGACAAGAAAACTTGAAGCTTCAATTTGTATTGATTCAACTCCCGCAAGTGGAGCTCGCTCGTGATTAAAACATTGACACCGCGAATTTGGTTCCCACTTCACTGACGTCAACGTCTTGTGATGGCTCTCCATTCCACAAAATGCAACGGCAACATTTTCCGCAGTTTCCTTGCTTCTTTGGCGGCTTGCACTTCTTCTGGCGGCTCTCTTGCATGAATGTATGTGATCAATAATCATACTAGTAGTGGACAATGTGCAACGTGGACTCGGCAAAGGCGACGAAGAAAGAAGGATCATTGACTTATCAGGTTCCACAAGCAAAATCTACTTGTTCTACTTCAGCCAAGAGCTCTGCAAGTAGAAGACGCCCAACGAGCCATCGTCAGTATCGCTACGAGTGTCCAGAGATCAACTCTGGTTTGCCAGAGGCAGTCTTCCACGAATGCTCCAGAATTTGCGGCATCGGACCTCTCAGCAATCCCAAGAAGTAAATAGAGTGAAAGGCGTCATGATGAAAGCTACCAGTAATCAGACTCAAGGGGAAGAGACTCCCTTGTTGGCTGTTGTTACCGGTACTACATGTACCGGTGGCAAGAGTGATACCCCAACTCCATCAGCTTCAGCCCCAGCCCCAGCTTCAGTGTATACCGCCACCACTGGGATCCCTGCAAGCCTATATGTGTTATCGGGTGTCACTCAGCCTCTTATCATGACCTTATGCAAAGACGCTGGACTGGCAGATCCCAACTGTCAGTTGTACATGCTATTTTACTACTTGGGTCCTGCCAGTGTGGGACTCCTTATGCTCAATCAAGCTCATGAAGGTTTACCCAGTTGGCCCATGATCCTCAGAGCCGCTTCCATCACGTTGTTTGATATCGCTGCGCAAGCTTTGAATTACACTGGCGCAGCCTTGGCAGGACCCACCATTTTTGCCATTGTGTACTCGAGTGTTACCGTTTGGACAGCCGTCTTTAGTCGCATTCTACTCAAGCGACACTTGCTGCCTGGACAATGGATTGGAATCGTCATTGTCTTTTCCGGATTGGCATTGACAGCTACGGATAATTCCGTTCAAGTTGGGAGCGGAGTATCGCATGGCTTGCTGCTCGTCACTATTGGATCTGCCATGCATGGGCTGACCTACGTCATGTGCGAAATTGTCATGGTGGTTCCAGACCATATCATGTCGGATATGCCTCGCTGGCTACAAATGCTCATGGGAGACAAAAATACACAACGATTGTCCGTGGTGCAAAACACGGCAGTGCAAGGATTCTTTGCCATGTCATCCCTCTTGGTGTGGCAATTGGTATATACCCTTCCTCGTATGGACGAATTCATTCTGGAACCCATGCACGAAGCTGGCACTTCCTATTCCAAAGCAGCCGTCATTTTGGGGTCGTTTGCTCTGGCCAATTTGGTGCACGCATTATCCTATTTCTTTACTCTGAGACACTTCCCAGGAGGAGCTACCAGTGCGGGTGTCATGAAAGGATTGCAAGCGGTCTTGGTCTTTGTGGTTACCGCATACTTCTATTGTGGAGTAACCGGGGGCAGCGAAATGTGTTTTTCTCCCACCAAGTTCAGCAGTCTGGTTACTGTTGTGGGAGGAGTGGCATTATTTGGTGTCTACACGGAGAAACAACATCGATTGGAACGACAACGACAACAATCACCACCACCACAACCACAACCGCAACAACAGAGCATCCAAGAACGTGTCGATAAGGTTTGATACATGGCTGGTCCATTTATTTGCTAAGTGAATTGCTTGACTCACCGTGAACAAAACAAACAAGCGAGCTTGTAGCAACACCAACTCCCATTGCATTTGTCTATATCCAATTTAATCTAATTCATACATTATTCATGTTGCAGTGTTGTAATGTGATAGCTTCATCAGATACATCATGAAGTAAGGTAGCGAATTACGTGGGGTGCCTGGAAGAAGAGGTATCCATAGGTTGCCAGCATGGAGACAAAAGCTGCTGCGAACATGGGTTTCTTGAGTGCTTTCTGTGCTAAAAGCCTAAGATACCGAATCGGCAGATTATAGAAGGAATCTACTTGGCCACAACCTGTGAAACCATCAATGCGTTCGTAGAGATCCTGGACAAAGGCAACACACAGCAAAGAGGTTGTAATGACAGCCCCTAGACTGGCCTTGGCAAAGACTGGACAGGCCACCGTGATCCATGCTCTCATGCCCACACCCAAGACGAACAGGAGGACGCCAGATAAAAAATGGAAGCGGCAAGCCGCCCACTCCAAGGGATAATTGGCATTGAGAAATTCTGACACACTGGCTGTTTTGACAAAGGGACACTTGTTGGCCAATGCCGACGACGCCACGGTCCCCACCACAATGGCAATGATTTGTGACGTCAACGTGGCCATCATGAGCAGAGCGTAGATGCGTTTCACCAATCCGACCTTGAGACCTTCCGATGCTGTGGCAGAAATAGGCATGGCAAACGCAGCACCGGCAGAAGCACCGGCAAAAAGTGCAGCTGGAATTCGAATGCCCCCGAACAGAGTGGCAGCTTCTCCACTAAAGTCCTGCTTGGTGGGATCGTCTGCTTCTTCCACTGATGTACTATCAGTGGCGCCATTGCGAAGGGCAGTGGTGGTTGCCAGTAATAACATCTTCTTGTCGTTCGAAGAAACATCAGCCATCAAAGGCAGTCTATGTCTACTAGAATGCAACTGCCTCTTGGTAAGACCAGAAAAAGAGACACTGGGCTCTACATGAGCCACTGACATGACCAAAAATAACAGAACTGTATTCAAGGTCTTCATATTGCGAGATTGCTTCATGCCCTACGGTATGGTCAACTAACTGGCACTCCTATGGTCTTCCATCTTCATTGGCTATATGACGCTGGAAAATTTAAAATGGAAGATACGATCTTGAGGTCTTCGTCTTTGATCGAAAGTCCGAACCCAAGAAGGGCCAAGAAGAAATGCATCCCCTGGCGCGCGACGTGGAACACAGGCTCCACTTTTGCGAACTGGTCCCAGGAGGTCCTTGGCACTCATTGTTCGAAGGGTGACAACGAAGTCGATGACAACGGCACTATCTTACTAGCTAGGCTAGACTAGTCTAGCCTTTCATGGCCATACACAATCATGGTCCAGTCAAGCAATCGATCACCTCCGCGAGGTTTCTTACCGCCTCCACAAGCGCAGCAAGATGATTTGGCCTTCCGCGCCGCGTATCTTTTCAGATACGTTCCCATGCCCGCATCAAGAACACCATTCGCACAGAAACCGGCCTCCTTCATCATGTCGCAATCGATCTCATACTTGTCACCCTCCAAGTGAATTGTGGTCGTGAAAGGATAGTCTTTGCAGACAACCACTCTTTGGGAGTCACGGTCCGAGATCCGTAAAGTCCAATCTCCTTTGGGATTCTCGTACCAGTTCTTTACCGTCGTGAGTTTCCAGTGCTCTTCACCCGCCATGGCCGTGAACTCGGGTCGGTCGCTTGGGTGCAGCACAGACACCGTGCCCGAGGGTGAGATCAACTCCACCTTTGAAACATGAATAGAATAACATGACCAAGCGTGAGGGCCGCAAAGCGCGCTGCCAAAACGTCGGATAAACTTGAATGGCTGACTACAAACCTGCAAATCTCCTCTCGATCCGTGTACAATGTTCAAGTACAGCACCACTGACTCTGCCACAAAGTCATCAGTATCCACATGCAAAGAATGGGTGGTGGCAAGCAACTCGTGGTTCCAGATCCGTCTGTTGATTGTACCCGATTCCTTCACAATTTGCATTTCGGGTCCAAAAATCTGCCAGTTGATGGATGCAGAGACAGCAGCAGCAGCACTAATAGCAAGATCAACAGGATCGATGGGGACAAAAGTAAGCCATTGAAGTGACCGAAGCGTGTCGCTGAATCATTGAACAAGACTATCAGGAGACTTACTCGACAATGCCAAAGCCATACTTTTCGCTATGCCGCAATCCAGCTCCGTTTACAACCCATGTTCCATCACTTGGGTGTGTTACCCGAGCCGTCTGTGCGAGAATACCTTGGACGTCCCTCCAGCCTAGAAAAGGGTTGGCTTCCAACATCAAGGCAACAACACCGGCTACTCGAGGACATGCAAAGCTTGTACCTGACCCAGAGTCTCCCTACGATTGTGGCGAGGAGCTTCAGTGGTCAGCGGTACCGGTGCACATTCAAGTAGCGAAACCAGTCTTGCAGAAGCAATGACTTACGCAACCACCATCAAACGGCGTGGCCACCACATTGTTCAAAATGTTTTCACCGTCGCCACCGGGGGCACTGACCAGGACCCCTGCCCCTGGATTTGAGTACGATGCGTGTTTTCCACTCTTGTCCACGGCTGCCACCCCAATAGTGAATCTACTGCTGACCCAAGGATCAAAGTTGGTGTTCTCTCCAAACTCGTGGTTGTTCCCCGATGCAAACACTGAGCGACAGTGACGAAGAAAAGATGATGTAGGAGGGGGGTCAGTTTGATGCCGGGGAGACGCATGTACAAACAGGGCTGCATGACATTGTGCAATCCGGTCCACAAGAATGGTACACCACTACCAATACTCACAGATGATGGTCCCGAGACCATTGCGCCCTTTCATGACTAGTTGGCCTAGTGTCGCCCCATCGGCTGGGTCAAGTGCATTGTATGTACAATCAACGTAGAGATCTTCAACGTCAACAAAGAAACTGCTATGAGATAAAGGTTGGCTTGAAAAGAATCGAATCACATCCACACGCACAACCATCCAAAGCTACTTACCCAGGTATTCTGCACACTCCAAGCGATGGTTTTCAAAGTTTGACGGCCTGGAGCAGAATTTGACAATGGCCCTTCTGCACGTTTTGGATTTGATGTTTCCCCCACAAGCACCGCAGGGACTATTCTTCGCATTTGGATCAAAGGGACACTGTTGCTTCTTCAGGCGTCTCTTGTTTTTTCCGGTGTATTCGCACGACTTTGGAAGGAATTGCAACATGAGCACTTTTGTCAGATACCTGTTGTGCGAGCATTTTTCTTAGTTAGTTGTACTCACATTTGGTCCCCAACTATTGCTGGAAATATCGACGACTTCCATGTGAGCGGTGAGAGCTTCTGCATCAGAAATGGTCACGTCTTCTCCAACAAGACGACAAGCAGACAGTGTCGCCTTTGGTGCAATGCCCACCGAGCAAACGTCGTTGTCGGCTTTGCCTACGATGAGAGATGCGCAGGCAGTACCATGGCCATCCTTGATCGTCGGGGGCATGAAGTCGTCGCATGAATTCAGGATATCAAAGTTGGTCATAAGTCTGCACGCCGTGCCACAAAATTATGGAGGCAACAGGGGTTGTGTCGGATTGTACCGTATGAGATGCAGATCATTCAGTTATTTCAGTTCCATCCAACTCAATGATCTGCGCTTCTTACTCAGGATGTGTCATATCGACCCCTTCGTCGTTGACTTTCATGAAGTCAGGATTGTAGAATAAACCAGAATAATGTATACATGTAGCAAGTGAGTTGAGTTGAGAGATATTGGTTGGAAGATTGTCGTCTGCAGTCTGCAGCAGCCTAGCACTCATCGAGGACACGTACCCCGAACATGAACCCCCGATCCAAAATATCCCATTTTCCACGCCTCCTGTACATTCATGAGATCAAAGGCCCACGTGCTTGCATCGAATAAGGGATCGGAAAAGAAATTGTCGTTTCCCACGGGTTCACCACAGGTAGACTTCCAATCGTCTTCAGCGTTACACGATGAGACCTTATTGAACTTGTCCCAAAAATTGTTTTCCAGCTTTCTTCCGGCACAGTGTGCATCACCAGGACACCAAAAGCAGCCAGCCTCAACACAGCCTGCGCAGTCGAAGTTGTATGATTTGCACGGGTCGCAATCATGGCAGTCTGTTTCGCACTTGTCTCCCTCGTCGCATTTTCCATCCACGGCAGACTTGCAGGTGTCCAATGTCCAATCAAAAGAGCAGCGGCTGTCGGAACTACCAAGGAGAGCTCGACCTTCGGCACCATTCGTTACTAGTACCGGTATGCCCTGAGCTTGGACCAACACACTGAACCTGATGCCTGTACCACCCGAATCATCGCTCCAACTGAACACGACGCATAACAGAAAGACTCCCTTTGCCACTACTCTGACTAGTTCAGGTGCTTTCATGACGCGCAGAAACAAGTGTAGCGTACTAGAGTAGTTGTGGTGCTACCGGTACCATACCGGAACGCTGTAGAGACACCAATCACTTGTCTGTCCCATCAGGCTTCTATTTCTCCAAATGACTTTGGCCCATCAGGATATCGCTATTGTGAATGGTAAGGTCTCATTTTTTCAATCCTTTTAGTCGATCAAGTCGCAAGTGCAAGACACATCAAAACGTAAACAACATTTCCACGCTGACCTCCTCGTTGCGATGTCAGAGCCAATGATCATCACTCCTACCCCTGGGAGTGCACAACCCAACCACTCCGTGCCGCCCTTCCAGAAGGCCATCACTATGCCCTTTCAAACCAAGATCCAAACCAGGCAATGGTTTGCTTATACGTGTACTTGTTTCCCCCCAAGAAATCAGCATCTAGCAAGGATCCTCGCTGCTTGATATATCAGCCATGGCAACAACGGCCAAACCGGCCATCACCAGTATCGCTGGACGCAAAGAGGGGCGTCGGTCAAAATCTGCCTCCAATGACAAAGAAAACCATGGACCGTCGTTGACAGTCAAGCTTGATGTGGGGGGCACTGTCTACAAGGTCTCACGGTCACTCATTGAGTCCTTTCCAGGCACGATGCCGGCCAAGCTTGTCTCCAAGCGGTGGACTACTCGCGCGGACGACGACACGATGATTTTCATTGATCGGAATGGAGATAGATTCCAGTACGTGCTCGACTACATGCGAGATAACGAAGTGCACTTGCCACTTTCCGTTCCCAAGGCCGCTATTGTCAAAGACCTGGAATTCCTAGGGTTTACAAACATTGACACGAACAGCATTCATGATGGTGCTGCCAGTGCCGAAGCTGCCACGCAGATTGCCAAGTGCGAAGCCCTTTATCAGAAAGAATTGGAGCTTTGCCATCGAACTGTCCAACGATTCCAAAAGAAGATCACGTATCTTAACATCGCCCATGCCTGCTTCCTTTCCTATAGCAAGTGTGGACACTTGCTCTCTACCGAGTTCTATCTCGGCGATTACTCCTTGAATCTCATGACATTGAAGGACGAAATCAATTCCGCTTTTGACAACTTTGATAGAACATTGTTTGATGAGTGTCTAATCATTCATGGACTGAAGTACGTGAGCCACAGACCCATTGAGCTGCGAACACCCCACGCTATCTGGTACAATCTGTCCTTGACCGCGGTGCAGTCCACGGGAATTGATCATCCCAATCATCATGTTCTGTCTCATTGCGTTTCTACCGCGGAGCCCGGTAGTGACTTTCGAAAGTGATAACTGTACCATAGTACGATGGCCCGCTATTCATTCAGCGGGGACAGTCTTACGGGTGTCTACGATACAGTCCTGCCACATCTACTGAGTGCTGATCTTTTGACAGCCACTACTGGTACTAGGCATAGCTAGTATGTGTTAACGAGCTACTGCAAGGTCTTACCAACATTTTGTGCAACACAGGCAAGAAAACATGGCCATTTACGCCCCCAGTCACCCTTCCCTTTCCACACTCAACAGGTACAACTAGTACAGTTGATCCGCAATCAAAGTTTTCAAATAAGGCAACTTTCCTGTGACCATCGCATCGCAAAATGCGACCATGGCTCCTGTCAACCAACTACTTTGAATGTATACATACATGTAGCTGATGGCAGCGACACCGGAACACAAAGAGCCACCGACCGAAGATAGATTGGAAGAATACCGGTAGCGTGTCAATCCATCAAAGACCAAGGGCTGGTATCTTAATCGATCTGAGACAGGAACCATTCAAGGCTAAGATGCCGTGGTTCCATGTATTGAGCTGGCTAGTTGGTTGTACAGTGCGAGAAAAAAAGCATTGATTGTACCAGGAAATTTAACTTGATCTTACGTAGAACAAAATAGGTTGTATGGGAGATAGAGAGAGGTCTGATTGTAATTGAAATCGATGTAGAAAAGACTATATACCAGATTTGAATGCCACCACCGCTGTTCTCGTTGCGGCGAGAAACGCAAAGAAATGACGAACCCAGAGCAACGAATCAACACCCAACAATGAACTCGTGTCATACAGCTCTGCCAATGGTCGCCGTTGGCGGGGATGGGGGAGGAAATGCTTGCAGAGGCACAGCGTTACCAGGATAAATCCCGGTGCCATCCATGCTTGGCATGTATGCATCCATTGCAGACAAAGAAAGCGAGTGCTGTGACGCCAACGACATTGTCGCCGCAGCATTCTTAGGACGACCCTTCGAGCCGCCGCCATGAGCTCGACACAACTGCATCTTGCCAATTGCCACACGGTTGCAGCCGTCCAACTTGCATCGCACACCGCCACCATGCTGAGAAAAACAAGTCATCAAACAAACACCGATAAGATATAACAAAGGACTATGCACCCTTCGAGCCAGCTTTTACTTACCGCTGCACAATACTGTGTACGTCCACGCGCGACCTTTTCGCATCCTTCAAAGCAGCATTTCTTGCCTCCCCCATGCTTGACACAAAACTTAGTGGAAGACTGAGCCGACTTGTCGCAACCGTCGACAGCGCAACGACGACCGCCACCATGAGCCGTACACAAACTCGATCCACCAACAGCCGACTTGTTGCAGCCATCAAATTTGCATCGCTTGCCCCCACCATGCGCAGCACAAAAGAACTTGTCTCTTGCTCCCTTATCGCAGCCAGCGAAGGTGCAACGGCGGCCTCCTCCATGGGCAATGCAGAATCTCGTAGAACCTTGAGCGCATTTGGTGCATCCCTCGTGTTCACAAAGTCGATTCCCACTGTGGCGAGCACAGTAGGGACGACGAGCCACGGCACCTTCCCCGCAACCCTGGATTCGGCACACTTTGCCCTTGCAAGCAGCACTTGGAGCGGTAGATGTGGTGGCCATGGGAGGCGTCGAACGTGCAGCATCCGGCATTGGGTAATTCGAAGACGCAGGCATACAATACGTTTGCTGCGGTGGTTGCTGCTGGGGGACATATGGAGCGGAGGCAGTGCAATGAACGGCCGAGGTCATGCCGGCTGGAGTTGGCGCGACGGGAGCAGCATACTGCGGTGTGCTTGCTGGAGGCTGGGCGGTGCTCGCAGAGGCAAACTGATACTGCTGGTTTGCAATGTTCTGCAGCATTCCTTGACTCAAAAGGTTCTGAGACAGTCTGGACGGAGCCGGCGCAGGGGGGCTAGGGGCAGGGAGAGTGTGCACTGGATTGTGCTGCGTAAACTGTGGCGCCGGAGCTGGGGATGGTGGCGGCACGTAGGTAGGAGAAGGAGCAGGCGTCAAAACCAGATTCCTGGTATTCTGCGGAGAAGCATTCTGCATATGGATGGGGGGAGCATGATCGTTGCTGGTGCGGCGATGAACATGGTGGTCTACTTTGACAACATGAGTTGGCAAAGCGAGTGGCATGGCCAAAGGTGCCGGGGTTGGTTTTCGCTGCTTTCGCTGTGTCTGTGGTTGAAGGTTCGAGACTGTCGACGTGGGGTGAGCCACGTGCGCTCGCTTGCTCCCATCAGCGGTCGTCGCGATGTGGCTGTGAGTGAATGGCAACGCCGCACCCACTTGACGAACTGCATCCTTGATGTGATTCTGAAATGCCTGCATGGCTTGAACCGAGACTCGTCTCTCAGGCGGTTGTTCTTGTTGAAACCTATGAAAATTGATCAACTCTGGGATCTCTTCTCGCTTCTCTTCTTCGATAGTAGTAAAAAAGGGCGACGATGGAGGATTGTGATTCGCCACCGTTGAAAAATGAAAGTTTGTCTGGGCTGGGGCAGCGGCTGGGTCGTCTCTGTGAAAATCGATGACCTTGAACTGCGCAGACAGTGGTGCTGTGGTTGGATCGGGGGCAACGTATTCTGGTGCCGGTTGGCTAGAGATGGTATGATGAGGGCGCTTCTTACTCATGAAATGGTGCTGCATTTCGACGTCGGCGGCCATTTCTCCAAGATCGGCAGGTCCCACGTCTTGCCACATTTCTTGGCCAACGCTCTTGTGCGGTTCTACCTTTTCCAATCCCGACCACAGCAAATGAAGCGCTTGCTGGACGAATCGCAGAACAAACGGAACTGAGCCCGTCTGGATCATGGAGTAAAAGCAGACAACGCCGACGGGGGTGGCTCTCTTTCCGGACTGGATAGGGACGGCAAAGGCCGTCATGATATTAGCCTTTTCGAAAACCTGGGATCGTCCCTTGTCAATGTACACGTCCTGTGTTCAATAGAGCGAAAGCGAGAGTGAGTCGCATTCGCAAATCAAGAATCGTGCATGTGCGGTAATGGACGACACGTGGTAACTTACCGGATTGCAACTCCAAACAGGGTTCCCCGATGAGTAGGCACGGCCTACAGCCCCGGACCAGAATTTGACGAGCGTGTATCCCGACACTCGTTTGAAATCCATCAGGGCGTTGCTTTGATTGGAAGAGGTGATGGAAGTGACATGGCTTAGGCAGTCCGGGCGTTCGGGTCCAGCGGGGATCCAAACATCAGCAATATCAAAAACAGACATGCCCAAGAAAGCGGAACAAAACTCGTCCAATCGCTCCTTGCGTTTTGGATCCATGGTTCGTTTGTTGGTCGTCACGAGGGACTTCGGATCAATGTTGTAGTCCTCGGCTGGGTTCGGTACGCCTTCGTTAAGACCAACGGGAAGGCCATTCTCTACCGGGATATCAACGGGGTCTTCTTCCACGTGATAGTGCGACGGAGACGGAGAAGAAGCAATTGGAGGGCGATCCTGCATGATGGTATGCCAAACACCGTAAGAAGCCTCGTCGAAAACCTCTTCAAAAGCTGGCGACGCTCTTCCATTCTGAATGTGGTTTCCAGGAGGAACGGTGTGTGTGGTGTTGTCTCCAAGTTCAGCGAAAGTAGGCAACATGGGAATTCCAAAGCAGTCTTTGGGAGCACTGGCTAAGTCGTGGCTCTTGCTGGCCCCGTTCGAATCAGCATCCTCGATAGAGACGAACTTTGCAGTGACTCCTTCCCCAAACGAGGACGTTTCTTGCGGCATGATGTGCCCTCGGATGGCGCTCTTGGATCCTGAAGTAGGGACGTGCTGGATGTTGTCCGTGCGTTCAAAGGCGGGCATCAAGCAGGGGATGTTGGAAGAAGTAGCACTGCGACTGATGAGCTGAAGATACTCCATCGCTTCGTCGGTGTTCGGTATATTGTTGGGAGAGAACATCACCACAACGCACATATTTCCGTCGGCATCGAGAGCCACTGGCATTCCGACGGCGGTGTGAAGAGGGATGTCAGAGCGTCCGGTCAGACCTTCCTGCTTGAGTGTGTTGGCCCATACAACTTGCGCGGTCTGAGAGATGGCGTCGACCAAGCGAGGCGAGAGCTTGTGCTTTTCCAAATCGGCAGCAGTGCATTCATGGTCGTGGTTGTGGTCATGGGGACAGTGAACGTGATCTTCGTCTTCGTCGTCATCCGGAGGAGTAACAAGCATGGAGCGACGGTTCGCGTAAGACTTGGACGTGTAGAGCTGGACAAAGCGAAGCTTCTTCTCGCTCTTGTTTGCCGGGACGATCGCGCCATTGTGGTCGGTTACAGACTCGGTAGGTCGTTCCTCTGTTGGTAGCAGAAGTAGTAGTAGTAGCACATGTTGGAGTAGCAGTAGACATCGTCGGAGTGTTGCAGAGCATCAATCCCATCGTGTTACAGCCAACCATTTCCATTCCATTCGTTGGGGTGTTCGGAGGGTTTGCGAGAAAACATAAAAATATGTTAGCACAGGAACTAAAAGTCAAAATCCTTAAGTCTTGATGACGTGGAAACGGACATTTGACAAATCGTGACATAGAAACTAGCAAAACGGGAAAAATGCGAACACCCGAACCCCACGTACCAATCGCAGCGAGTGTTGAAGAGCCATGCTCGTTGGCCGTCCACCAGATTTCACCAATCTCAAAACCAAGACCAGCGCAGGCGACTTGTAGGTACGATCGGATTCGACAAGGGTCCATGGTGGCCCTCCGATTTCCGCTTTTCTTCTCTTGTTGTGGTTCAGTCCGAGGTGATTGTGCTGTTGACAGGGGCGTTGTCAACCTTGACTTATCTGGTTTTGTGGCTGTCTTCTCTTGCCGCATCTTGAAAGAATGGTTTTTATGGTGAGGTGGAGCCTTCCTTTGGGAGTTTTGGTTGCTTCCTTTGTTTAGCGCGGCAGTTTTGAAAGTCCTTCAACTTCTGGTTGGTTCTCTCTTTGCGCTTTCTCAGGGACGTGGTGCTTACAAGCCAGCAAAGCAACAAACAAGTCATTGGAACATGAGAAAGAACACTTGGGCTCTACCGCCCGTTTGCTATTTAATTAAACACTTGTTCATGAGAAAAAGATAATCAAAAATTTTAATAAAGGTTTATTGGGCACCTACGGTATTGATCAGTGTGCGGTATGGAGATAGATTCGTTAGAACATATCCAAATTACTTGTAAAGGACTTTTCTCTGAAATACTCCTCTTGCTTGGATGTCCCAATTTTCCGCTCTGTTGTGGGCACTAAAAGATGATTAGCCTAAGTCTAACTCCTTTCAAGCAAGTTACTTACCCATCTCTAACACACAATCCTCTCCAAGGCCTTGGGAGGTTGGTCTTCAACATTCTACAACACGTTCCAAATTATGCTGAAAGCTGAAAGTTAATCAAACAGCGCAGAGTGTTGCTGGGAGAGAAGCGAGGCCATTCGGTTTCTTGCTGTCCTCCAGTGGCGCTTGTCGTAATAGCCTAGGCAGTATGTGCGCACTCTTGGATGTTGTATTTTGGTTGTGGTTCTAGATTCTTACTCGGCCTTTTGCTTGGGAGGCTTCTCAAACTAAATCAAAGGAAAGATACCTCTATTGCATCTTAGCAACAGACTGGCACCAGTAAAATGGAAGTCATACTGTGACATCGAACCTTTGGGATCTTTTGAAAGCAGAGAACCCCCGCTAATAATCCTCCGGCATCGATCCTGAATCCTGAATCGGTCCTATTACCGTACCGTACTCGAGGAGTGGGTTGGCTGGTAGCTGTCATGCTGTCCCGAGCTCTGTCTTGTGTGCCTGCTGCCCGAAGCCAAAGAGCCTCCTCTTAGTGTGGCACGATTTCCATAACAATGAAGCAGCAGAGACAACGATAAAAGGCAAGAGAAAGGGCCAGGAGCACATGAAAATACTAAAAAACCTCGAAAATTCAGCTTGGAGTTGATGCTTTGGAAAGGGCCAGTGGCGCTTGAAAATACAATTCTGTGACAAAACAGCCAAGCTCTGCTTGATGAGCGAACCGGGGCCAAGGGGAAAATGGTTTAGGAATAGTGAGGTGTCAGGTAGCTGGCAACACCTATGGTTTTCAATAATTTTGGCCTTTTGGCTGCAGTCGTATCTATGTGTTACTAGCCAGTCTAGTTACTATCATAGTATTGAATGAGTAGCTGCATTCTAAATCACTGTTCTTACTTAGAAAGCTGGTAGATTCTCTTTCAGAGAGTTTTGTTTGTGGATCCTGTTCTGCTCTGGGATCCAGCAGTTGGCTGCAGGACTCCTCGGGTCCTTGAAGCAATCCTAAACGAGATCTCCGCACTCATCAGCAGTCATCCAAGAGCCCTAGCAGAGGATGGACGTTCGGGCCCAAAGGGACACTCCAAAGCAAAAATACTATGGACACCGCCCCAGAGCCCAAGAAAGTAGACATTCGTCCGAATAGGAAATTGGGCACATTTTCTGCTGCAGAGCTACTAATGAAAGTCAAGGCATCTGAAAACCATCGTTCCAGTATACTAGTAGCAGCTGGAGAGTCACCGAATCAAGATAAAGGACCAGCCAAGGGAGCGAGAAACTAGATATCATGTACGAGTAGCGATTGGCAGACCCTATGGCATCATCCAAGAGTTGCAAAATCTCAGCTGCTCCGAGTTGCAGTCGAGCCAGTGCGGGTAATAAATCAACGAATGTTCAATAATGAAAAGCCACTTGGAGGGTTGATTTACCTTGAAAAGATGAGCAAGACGCACACTGGACCTTTTATGTCAACGGAAACTTTCAAACGATTCGATTTCGATTCATTCGAATGCAACTTCCGAGTGAAGGCACCGACCATGGTCACCCGAAACAAAATCTTCTTGTCTTTTACATGTATGTGGTAGCTACAGTACATGTTTGTAAAAGCTAAGCCAAGCCATTGTTCTATACTACTAGTAGTACCAGCATCATCATCATCATGAGCGGCACGACGGAAGAGCCGCAACAACCAGGGCTGCGTGCCCGTATCTCTCAAAACATAGAAATGGCTCGAAAAGGCTACGAGCAGCTGGTGAACGCCGTCATTCGTCCACCTCGTGCCCAATATGCAATGGGCCATTTGGGTCCTGCGGTGTTTACATTTTTGGGTCAGCGTTTCCGTCGCGATGACATAATTTTGGATACAGACAACATGACGCATCCAGAAGATCCTGAGACGGAGCCTCCGCGGCCACTAAAATTGCAGGCGTCTCTTTGGACTCGCGAGGGTGATGAGTTTGTCAACCCGGGCAAACCCAAGACCATGGTTGTCTACCTGCACGGCAATGCCAGTGCTCGAGTGGAAGTTCTGCCTCAGTTGTCTTTTTTGCTGGCGTCTGGAATTTTTGGCGTCTGCAGTTTGGATTTTACCGGCTCTGGTCAGAGCGATGGCGAATATGTCAGCCTTGGTTACTACGAGCGATTTGACCTGGAATGCGTCTTGCAGTATTTGCAAAATCGCTATCGAAATTTGGAAATTGTCCTGTGGGGACGCAGTATGGGAGCTTCTACAGCACTCATGCATGCCAGTGAGAAAACCAGAGAACATATAAGCGTTCGCCGACAAGACAGCGACACCGACACCATTGGCGACCAACCAGACCCTGATTCCTCCAATGCCATTCTCAAGGGATTGATCTGCGATTCACCCTTTGCCAGTCTTCCCCAACTTTGTGAAGAACTCGTCGAAAAGGCAAAAGCTCAAGGAGTCGTCGTGCCCAGTGTCATTGTCAGCGTGGCCATTGCAATGATTGCTCGATCGGTCTGGAATCGGGCTCATTTCCCCATCAAGGATATTGCCCCCGTGGAACATGCTCCCACTATTGATACGCCTGCACTATTTGTCGTTGGGGCCGACGATGACTTTATCCCACCCCATCACAGCGAGGATATTTGCGCAGCCTACCAACGAGGCATTTCCACCAACTTGTTGATGGTTCCTGGCGGTCACAATGACGCTCGACCTCAATTGGTGTTTGATGCAGCGGCTCAATTTCTCAAGTATCGACTATCTTTGACGGAAGATTGTGCATTGCCAGTTCCTGACAAATTGAAAAATGTTCTTCACACGAGTCCTCCGTGGGCGTTTCACAGCCATCCCGATATCTTTCAGGTGCTCAAGAATACCAAGACCAGTACGACTAGTTTTGGCAACACGACAACCGCAGAAGCAATGGCGGATGAATTTGGTATGACGCAACAACGTCAAGATGATATTCAAGACAAGATTCATCTGATGTTGGGACAGCAGCAGCCGGCCAAGAAGCAAGCAACTCCCGCCCCCGCGGATAGTCCTAGCACTACTAGTACCGGTAGCACAACTGCAAGCACTAGCGACACCACCACCAATGGAAGCACCGGCACCGCACAGCCACAAAGCCCCACCAGTAGCCAGGAACACATTTCGGTGGGTGTGCCAATCAGTTTCAATTAACTTGGGAGAACATGATGTTTTTGGAACTACGGTACGGTACCTAAGTAACTAACTATTTAGAGAGCCAACAATGGAAAAAGGAGAATGCAATCAATGGCAGGGTTTATTTCCTTGTCATGAGAACTACTTACATGTATATCAAGTATAGCTTCAAGTATACTTGTATTAATAGTTCCGTCATTTTGCACACCTTAATCCAGTGAATTTTAATAATATCGTATTGCCTCGTACTAGAACCCCCACTCGTCCATTTAGTTTTCACTTGTCACCTGCAGTTTTCTAGCTAGCTATTCGTAGCTCGCATTCTGGAATTGATCCAACTGCTTGGTGAGCAATTCAATGTGTGAATTTTTGCTGTCAATTTCGTTCTTGGCAGTTCTGTACAGAGTCCCCATGTTGCGTTTCAGAGTTTCATTTTCTTTCTGGGAAGCAGCTAGTTGTGTTTCGAGCTCTTTGATGTGATCTGCCAAGGAGAGGGATTTGGGGTTCTGTTGCTTCTGGTGGTGGTCGTTGGAGGAACCGTCATTGGGAGCAGCTTTGGAAGCAGTATTGGAAGCGGCCGTTGGTTGAGTGTCCTCTATTAGGTCACCATAGAGATCCATACCATCATCGTCCAATGATTCCAGTGACACCGGCTGATTCTGCTCTTGTGGATCTTTGTTTTCCATGGTTGGCCCTTCGTTGTTTTCTTTGGTTGTTGGTCATCGTCATGGACGAAATTTACCTCGGCAGGTTAACTGCCTGAGTCCTCTACCCCTTTAATGGCAAAAATTCTGTCTGTGGGATTCCCCTGGTTTTTGTCTGTGGGATCCCCTTGTTTTGTTACGTCTCTTCGAGACGACGCTCCTTTGGTTACCCCCTCATTGCACACCAAAATCGATTTGCCGGCGTTTACTGTGTAAAATAGAGTAGCCGCACTTCAGTTGCAGAATCAACGGTCATGTGTATCATTAAGTAACAGGTTCTCTTTCGAAAGATTTAGATCGATTCGTGGATAAAAAGAACCGTTGAAGTTACTAAGGTTAAAGTTAAACAGTACCGGTACCTCTCCATGCTGTTGTTCACTGTTTCATCGCAAGTCCATTATTGAAGGTGCAGCACTGACTTCTCTCCCTCATTGTATTCCTATGGTAAACAGGAGGTAAATCCAAGCTTGGCCGACAACAGTGCTTTATCCAATCGGCCGATCGATCGAATCGATTCGAGGTAAGCCTATTATCAAGAGTGTTAATTGAAGGTACAGCGCTGACTTCTCTCTCTCATTGGATTTCTATGGTATTCAGGAGAGAATTCCAAGCTTGATCGTCAACAGGTGAATTGTTTTAATTATTCGAATCGATCGATCGATCGCACCTCTGTCCAAGCCTCACTCAAGCCGGTCGTCTCCGGTGCAGAAGCGAAAGCCATCCCTCATTGAATCCTATGAACCATGGGATGGCAGTCAGTTCTCGGCCCATGACGACCAAGTTGGTGCAATTTGAAAAGCAAGAGTAAGTCTCCGGTCGTCTGCAGTTGAGCACAGAAAACAAAACTCATATCTATTTGTTGTTTTCTCTGCTGCACTGCTGACGGCCGATGAACTACCATTGCGTCGAGTCCTTTCGAACGAACGAACGAACGAACGAACGAACGAACGAACGAACGAACGAAACGAACGAACGATCGCTCCAGATAACAGCAAGAGAGGAGGCTACCGGTACGAGGAGGCTCTGTTAACTCCAGCCCTATCAACGGCATGAACGTCGAGTCATTGAAAGGCAACAAGAGGAGGCTACGCGACAACACACACCAAGAGAGTGGATCCTACTACTGGATTCATCCCTCCAGCGTTATTTCCTAGTGTTTGGTTGGTGATTCCTGTGTCGGTACCCATTTTCCTGTATGCACAAGTCGGTCGTCGAGGACTTGGTAGAGCCTGGGTTGACAATATCATTCCTGTATTCATTGTAGTGGTGAGGCAATGGAGCGTAGCAAGCAAAACCGAACCTGAGTGTGTTCGGTACTGTTGCCACTGTCACCGATTGATGTAACTCTACGGTAACTGGCTACGATGGCTGGATTGACAATGTTCATTTGTGCATGTATTCGTCATAAGGATCCAATGCAAGGTACCGGTAACGGAGTGTAGCCAGTAAAGCGGAACCTGAGTGTGTTTGGTACTGTTGCCGCTGTCATGGATCGATGTAACTCTACGGTAACTGGCTACAATGGCTGGATTGACAATATTCGGTTGTGCATGTATTCGTCATAAGGATCCAATGCGAGGTACCAGTAACCGTAGCGAGCAAAGCCGAACTTTCGGTACTGTTGCCACTATCGTCGATGTAGCTTTACCGCAGTCGGCTACAATGGCTGGATTCATAATGTTCGGTTGTGCATGTATTCGTTATAAGGATCCAATGCAAGATACCGGCAACGGAGCGTAGCCAGCAAAGCGGAACCTGAGTGTGTTCGGTACTGTTGACAGTGTCGCCGATGTAACTGTACCGTAGCCGGCTACAATGGCTGGATTACCAATATTCGGTTTTGTGCATGTATTCGTCATAAGGATCCAATGCGATGTAACCGAGTGCAGCGGGCAAAGCCGAACCTGAGTGTGTTCGGTACTGTTGCCACTGTCACCGATCAATGAACTCTACGGTAGCTAGCTACGATGGCTGGATTGACAATGTTCGGTTGTGCATGTATTCATCATAAGGATCCAATCCAAGGTACTGGTAACGGAGTGTAGCCGATGAGATTATGCCATAGGAGCCATATGGGTGCGGCGCAGCTGTGCTGGCTCAGTCTGATGGAAAGATCGCTGTTGCATCTGTACAGTCTTTCAGTACAATGAGCTGTGTCACCATCAGACAAGATAGAACAGCTGTAGAGGACATAGAGTTCCTCTGTAGGAAGGATGATGCAGTTCCTCAGCCATGACCTATCTAGAAGATAGCTTGGTCAATACCAGCCAAAAGAGATGCATGGATCTGTATCCTGCATGGCTGAGGATGGAGTTTCACGCAAAATCAGAGTTTGTGTTCATGGTATAGTTTAAAGAAGTAATGAAGAAGTAGTTGACCTGAGAAACAGACCCAACAGCACAAGTAGAGCTCTGCAGTAGACAGGATCCTGTATGCCAATGCCAGGGTATTGAGCAATTAGACTGTTCAATCATTGCTTCCACAGGTGATTGAATAGCATTGGCTGCCAGCCTTGGGCTGGCCTTTCCAGCGCCAGTGGAAGGAGATCTCCACCAAACAGGGCTCTCCATCCCAGCTCTTGTGCACCTACCAGCTGAGTTCCTCTGGAATTCATAGGTAGCCAGTAAAGCGGAACCTGAGTGTGTTCGGTACTGTTACCGCTGTCACGGATCGATGTAACTCTCTGCCTACGGTACCGTAGCTGGCTACAATGGCTGGATTGCATGTAACTGAGGAAACAGGAGACGAACGCTGAAAAAAGCCGAATGTCTGTGGGATCCCCTATTCCGGTGAAGCCAGGGTATAAGGATAGAGATAATGTAAGCTGGCAAAACTGGAAATTGAAGGTTCAATAAAAGTTAGGGGTAGGAATATATCAATGTAATTTAAGGTTAGTGCACTCAGGACATAAACACAATAAGCCAGCAGGTGTTGTAAATTTAGAGTTACACGATCGAATGATAGCTGTAAATTATGGGTTGGCCCATGGCTACATCAATGCTAGCTTAATATAAAACAGAAGGCTACAATAAGGGAATGATAGTGGGCGGCAACACACGACGAAGTCGGGTGTTGTCGCCAGGGCTAGCATACATAAAAAAGAAGGTTATAATGAGGGAATAATACCGGGCGGCAACACACGACGAAGTCGGGTGTTGTCGCCAGGGCTACCTTGAAAGAAGGATGCAATCTCAAACATGATCCTCTTTCTTCTATTTGTCTTTCTGCCGAGGTATCGCAGCTCCCGCTGACTTATTGCGTTCTGAGAAGATTGTTTAGTCAGTAGTGTGACGTCCAATCATGACTCAATCGAATCCTTCCAAAAAAAGAGCGACCATGGCAGCATACAACGGGGTTGCTTACTGTACGGTATGATCACAGCGTAGTTAGTAGAAAGATGGCAAGTTTTGCAAGTCACTTTGACGACGACGAAGGCGATGACATTTTGTTAGAGCAGAATGACGACGATGAGGACACGGATGATGAAGAGGAGGAAGAGACCCTCATGACGCCGGCTGGTACCGCAGATGAGAAGATGCAATCCAGCGAGGAAGAAGAGGACGACGACGACGAAGAAGAGGAGGATGACGACGACGACGATGATGAGGCTTCTGGCATTGTCATTCCATCAGGAGGAGGGAAACTTGCGTCGGTGGCGGCTGCTGCTGCTGCGGCGGCGTCTGGTGTTGGGGGTGGGCAATCGACCGACGACAATGATTCCGAATCGGGAGACGATGGAGATATCCCATTGGCCACGCCGTATCCTTGGGCCCAAGACGACTATGAATTGACGTTGCATCACGATCCCAAAAAGAGAAAGCCAGTAGGAACTGGAATCACCTATATCAAGCGATTGCTGCAAGATGCAGACACGAGTAATCACGAAGAAGCCACCATTCTAAATCCAACTGCCAAAAGCATTCTCAAACAATTGTGGAAACGACATACACAACCACCACGACAAACATTCGATGAGGAAGAGGAATCGTCAGACGAAGAAAGTGACGAAGACGACGATGATTATGATGACGACGATGGAGAAGCACTCAAGAAACGCCGTCATTTGCCAGGCCCAAGATTGTGGACTTCTTCAGAGATTGGAAATCATGGCACTGTAGGACTCTTCCAGAACATTCTCAGTGAAGTACAATCCGCTCATCCAATGAATGTCACCACACGGCAAATTGTAAGACAGTGCACCTTGCAACTACCTGCAGGAGCTCTTCCAGGATGCATGGACGCCAAGGAATTCATATGCTGTGCTCTACATTTTCTAAGTTGCGAATGGAAAAGTCCTGATAACACTGCCTTGCCCTCCTTGCCTCTCATCAATTCCACTGCTGCACCGGGAAATGCGAGAGATTTGGAAAAGAGAACCTACGAAAAAGCATACGACTGGACCCTTGAACAACTAGACCAACCATTGCCTCAGCTCGAACGCTTCTTCTTGGACAGCCCTGCTGCTGCCGAACAATTGCGGTGGATTTCACGAATACGATTCTGTCCTCGCACCAACAGCCACACGGCCAAGACAACCTCCGAATCCACCATTCTGCTCAAAGGAACCATCCCTGCTCGCATGACGGGCAAAAAACAATACGCTGCCAGTCCAGGTCCAAAGGCAGGAACCAAACGAAAATCATCAGCTACGCAATCATCGTCCACAACAGCATCCGCTACACAAGGAGTTGTGGTGAGAGCAGATCAAGGAAAGCAGTTTCCGTATGCTTATATGGTCGGCAATAGTGCTGTTGCGGATGGAAGTGGAGAAGAGTGAGAACAGATACCAGGTACATGGTAATATAAGCGTACCAGTAACGAGGGAAACGTTTCAAACCAGACGTGATTCTTCGTGGTCTACGTATGTGCCAGCCCGGTTTTGTATCTTCCATGATAGTCCTATAATAGTTGGATCAGTTGCATTTGTCTGATTTCAACGTGATGAGCTCGAACCTACGTGTTAGTGGTTGGTACCTTCCTCTTTCAGCTCTTTGGTTATGAATGTTCTAGCTAGCTATGCATAGCTAGAGGAGTGCCTACAATGTTATTGTATGATAATATTCTTGTCTGATTGAATTATGAAAGGAAGTCTGCTGGATTCTGACTAAGGCGTGCGTGCTCAGTGATGATTACCAGCTGGTTGTGGCATGACCAGTGGGTGGTCAGGTTGATGATGCTGCTGCTGCTGCTGATGTTGTTGTGGTGATGCAGACAAGGAAAAAGCGGCTTGATTCCGATATCGTGTCCGCAGGAAATCTTCCATCCTTCTGAGGGTTCGTTCCGTAGCAAGCTGGGGAGTTGGCCGGAGGTACAATGAGGAAATGTTGGCCCCGAATTGACACCCTACCATAACATTTTCTTTGACATCAGCCGGCAGAAATGGCTTCATCATGCTATAGGCAATGTTAGTGGCAACGTTTGTGTGAAAGAACTTGATACTGCGAAAGTAGACGGGAAAGTGTGACAACAAATGGGACCAACAAGTCCTCACAATCTCCACATTCGTGTCGGACCGTTCCATCCCATCGCACTCTCCGATCAGAAAGATTCCTTGTCGCATGGAGTAAGGATCTGGACAGAGCATATTGAACAGATAGTAGGGACAACCCAAGTAAACCCGCCATTGCGCGGGTGATCGGATCGTCCGAAACTGGAAGCGAGTGCGGTCGTAAACCAGGCCAAAGTTTTCTGTAGAATTGTCGTAGGCTACTGACAACAAGCAGCCTGGATTGGCTCTGGTAAAATCCGTAAGAATCTGCATGGCTTCCTCAAAGGTGTCTTCTATGTTGTACTCATGTCGAAAGTCTTGCAACCCTTGGACCTGCTCCAGTGTCGATTCCAGGTCACCTCTGGCTGTATTCGTAATAACGAATTGGCAATACAACAAATCGGGCAGATTCTCCAAGTCGTCCGAGGCTTCCACGGCAGCTTTCAGCTCCAACGCCCATCGTCTCTCCTCGTCAGAGAGACGAAACAACTTCTCCAAATCAGGATTCGCAGGGGGCAGAGGCAGACCACCATTTTGATCAACTGCATGTGGTTGGTCGTGTATGTTTTGGACCATGGCAGCCACAATCATGTTCGCAATTTCGCGGACGACATCCATTGTTGTTGCTTGTTCAGTAGTTAGTATAGTCGTCTCTTTCCATGAATCTGTATCCGAGGAGTCAAGAAGAGCAAGAAGGATGTCTGCTGTCTGCTATTAATAGTCTGCGGGATAAGGGCCAGCCCGGTGTTCGTAAACAAGGAGTTGTTTCTGGTTCTCTTCTTCTTCGGTGGCCGTACGCGTGTGACGTGCGACTCAATATTTAACCCCAATTACGTGGCGGTATAATCTTCGTTGAAACATTTCATTATTGAACAAAGCATTGCACTCCATCAGCCATAGCTACCAATAACGGTATCCTAAAGTAATCTATTCCAGAGTAGATACCGGTACATGTAGATAGATAGCAAGCATTGCTCCAGGAAATTGTACAAGTTCCGCTTTCATTTTTATCTTCATCCCGGCTCAGTAGGTCGAAGGGAGACTCCTTGAAAGATCTCGCATACTCAAACTCCGTTTCTGTCGTTTCTTGGGAGGGGACGCCGTCAAGTTGTGACGAGAGAACACAGCTTCCGGGTGGGTTGTCATCAAGTGGAAAGCCAAAGATGTCCCATCATGAGGTGCCCATGATTTGCCCAGGAGTTTGGAGAGAATATGGCTCCACATCCCCGTTCCTCCTCCTCGATCGTGGGTACTGCTGCTGATTTGTGGGATGTGAGGAAGTACTCGGTTTCGATGCGCCAGAAAACTTTCTTGAGCTTTGAAGCTTTCGTCGTTGATGCCAAAACTGATCGAGCTGTCGACAATGGTTCGATTCTTTGACAGACCTTTGAGAAAGGCTCCATATAGCGCCTTGATTTGGGCAAAGCTGGGATACAGCACTCTTGCTTCGTACACGTTTGCAATTTGCGGAGTGTCACATGTGATCTCCAGCTCCCGCAGCTTTGAAAGTTGAGGGATTGCCATGGCCATGTCATGCCAGACCTGAGTTGTCACTTCGCCATTCCTCGACAGGTTTAACGACGATACAGTTCTGGATTGGGTCAAGCCCGGCAGCAAAGCCCTCAAAGTTTCGTCGTCAATCCCACAATCAGACAAAACCAGCTTTTGGAGGACACAACAAGGATCCGCGAGAAACGTAGCAATCGCTCCAGCTGCTTGCGTGCCAACAAAATTTCCAGCTAGATGCAGTGTCCGAAGCGATGATGTGGAGCGGCCAAAGGAATTCCTACCCAAAGTGGAGCAGAGAGCGCCCACGACCATGGCAGCCTCATCATCGCCAATTCCACAGTGATCAAGGTAAATCTCTTCCAGTACTCCACTTCCAGCGGCTCCTTCTGCAATTTTCTCAATGTTACCCTGCCCAATGTCTCTGTTTTCCGTCAGCTGTAGGCTCTGGAGCCTCCAGTGACTGAGGAGTAATTGTCGTATAGAAAGCCCCACATAATTCCAGTGGTAGTTTTGAACCTGCAAATCCGCGAGGTCCAGTGATTCCAGCGAAGTGTTGCGTTGGAGACCCATAATAAGAGATAATACAGTGTCTTGATTGCTTGACCGGAGCCTCGAGAAAGATGCATGTTTGAGAGTCTTGGTCCTTTGGAGGAAGCTGTGTAAGAGCCACGCACAGTCAGGCTCGAAAGTAGAATTGGCCATGTCCACCAGTTCCAGACTGGAGGCACAAGATTCTAAGCCTGCTGCAACCGGTTGGAGGTTGCTGAGGCGCCAGCATTGCTGATTAAGTTGGAGGGCGACCAACGAAGGCCCGCAGGCTTCCAACAGTTTTTGAAGGGACACTGCTGCGCGTTGCAAAACCCCTCGAAGAACTGCAGCAGCGTGGACGTAAGAAAGCGGATTTGTGTTTGGAACTAGAGAAAAGGTCCTCAGGTTGGATGCTGCAGGGGAAGCTGCAAGAGCCTCTAGTATGTCAGGGATGTGAGCGTAGGATGATGGCCGTGCTTCTAGGACAATGGACGTGACGTCTTTCAGATTGGATAGGCATTTCAAAATGCGAGACTGATCTTCCTCATTCAAATCAACGAGAACGGTTGAGGAAAATCGTATCTCTCTGGTTGCTCCTGCTGATGGCGTGGAGCAGAAATGGACAAAGGCGTTGCCGAAAAGTGTCTCGGATGGATCCGGAAGACGAATGGCTCGGACTGTGAGCGGTCTCCATTTTCTCTTGCCACAATGCTGAAGCCTCCATTTCAAGTTGGACAAGAAGTAATCCTCCTTCATCTTATCATCCATGTCCTCATCTTCAGAAAAGTCTGATATCAATACAGTCAAGCTCTCCAGAGGGTGGTCTTCGTCCTCGCACAGAGTCTTTAGAGTTTGCCAAAGGTCCGACGCATAAATTTCTTGACGAGACGCCACCACGTCCAGCCTCTTCATGGCATGGTATTCCAGGAGCTCCGCACCATTAACTTCTGGCAGGAGGCAAGTCACCGCTTCGTTGCCAACGCTGTAGGAACGGAAGGATCTAGTCGTCATGGTCAACCATCACACCATCATCCATCACAAGAGTACTTACTAGTTGTATGAGAGTTCTGGGATTTGTGGCGAAAGCACGACGAGGACGTTCGCGTTTTGGGGAACGTTGGAACCGCCTGCTTAAATCTCACTGATTTAATGCATAGAAATCATTTAAAGCTTAAGGATTTAAGCAACTCTACCACAAAAGGATACAGCATCAAATGCCGCTTACAATTGACAATAACAACAAATCAAATCCATCGGCAGGTCTATTGCAGGTGTCAAGGTACCTATCCTCTGTAGTCAATCTTCCGACAAGGACCACCAAGCAAGATGAGTTATCGACCGAGCGGGCTTCCGCCCATCCAGGACATGCCGCCACCAGGTGGTTTTCCTGAGCAGGTGCGTCCGCCTATTGTGTTGTGTTGTGCTGTGATGGAGGGATGGGATGGGATTGCCACTGCTTACCTGCCTTTTGATCTTTTCCGATGCCATATTATATTGTCGATTGTAGGACATTACGAAAGCCATCAAGTCACGCGGCCCCAAGGGATGGCAGTTGTGGCTTGGCTCGAGCGTCATCATGATGTACGGATTCTACCGTGTTGGTCAGAACAACCAGGAGCGTGCTGCCATGAAGCTGGCCGAGCGTCGATTGCGCTTCCAGATGGCTCCCTACTTGCAGGCCGAAGCCGACTTGGAATTCCTCAAACGCGAACGTGATATCACGGCTCGGACCAAGTGGGCCATGCAAGATGTCGAGAGTTGGAAGCCGCAGAGTCCATACTACGGAAACCGCTGGACCCCACCTCGTGTCTCGGACATGGACCTCAACTTCAAAAAGTAAATTACAAGACAAGGCCAGAGGCTGCTACTAATCAACCGTATTCATTAGTACCTCCTCCAATCATTCATTTTAATTCCTTGTAATTTGGATCAATTCTCATGGTTTATTTCTTATGGAAAACAGCTAAGGACTCATTGATGATGGCTGAAGAGACAAAATGCTTAGAATGGCACGTGTTCATTCACAGGGACCGGTATGAAGGCATGGGCATACTAGTCTGGACCTACATACCTGGTATGGTCCCACCCGGCAATGTACTGTAGCCTGACGGAACGCGTCTTTTTGTGTGCTACGCTTGGCACCTTGGCGCAGAAACAGGGAATATGGAGCGACCTGATGACGGCCCTCTTTCTTTGTGTTTGCTTTCGTCAGCCCGTTGGTTGGAAGCGAGAAAAATGTTGGCTTGTTTGTCTTGTGCCTACAGCATATTCAGAGGTCCCTTGCGGAAAAATGCAGTGATAGTTTCGAGGGTTTCAAACGCCAAGATTGCTTTTCTGATTTCCTTGCTGATGCCAAGCAAATGAGGGGTCTTCGCGACTCCTAGCTAGCTCGGTACGGTAGCTAGAAAAAGTGGGTGTAGGTCGAGATAGAAACAATATCATCTAGTTGGCCACCTGGCCTAGTTAGTCTATGTAGACGATGATACCGGTAGGGAAGAAGGGATGAAATCAAACAAAGCGGATCTTCGAGCATTGGTGGCACTTTCTACGTAGCAAGTTTTGCTGGTGAACAACAACCTGGCTGCTCCATTAGTCTAGCTAGCTACAGCGTAGAGCTAGAAGTACACCCTCACCCTTCCGCCTTTCATCAGCTCGACCTCTAGAGTTGGCCTCGCCTTACCGGTATGGGGGAGGATGGGAATTCGAATGATCAATCAATCGAATAATTGGATTGATTCAATCGATTAGATTCAATCGAACCATCGTTGAACACTCCAAAACTTGCCGTTACATTTCGTCCATCCGTTGGCAATTTTCCGACCCAACAATTGCTCGTCGCCCTCGATGCTGATTGCTCACTCCAAGCGTTCGTGCACCCCTTTGCTTTGACCAACTGTTTCAAGAGCCAAGAAGTACCAGGTACTGTAGGTATAGTAGGTAGAAGCCATGAGCAACGGCAAGTACAACAACGGCAACAGCAGCAGCAGCAATGGCGATACGTTCGAGCCTCGTCGTTCGACTCGTATCAAGAAGGAAACAACGGATGGCGATGGCGATATTTGGGCGGAGAAACTGGTAGTGTGCGAGTCTTCCAAGAGCAAGCTAGTGATTCGATCCTATTTCAAGAATTGCCGTACGGGCAAACGAGTGTGGGACGAACCACCCACAGGAGCTAGTCGTATTCAGCATGCTTCCGATTCTACCAGACAACACAAGGAAGAAGAACTCCAGAATCTCCAATTGGCAATGAACGTCAACATTCACACCAATGACACCAGCAGTACTTGGGGTGATATTAATACCACTACTACCAACAAGACCAGCAAAGGATTCTTTCCAACTTTTCGGAAAAAGACAAATTCCAAGAATGGAAACGACAACAACGATAAGGCTGATGGACCTGCAAAGGGAGGAGGAGGAGGGATCTTCCAGTTTGGCAGCAAGAAGAAAAATAAGGAAAATGCAGTGAATGAGCCTGACTTGGAAGGAGATGAGGACATGCAAAGAGCCATCAGTCTAAGCATGGGACTAGCAGTTGCAAATCACAAAAATAAAAGTCACAACAAGCAAAATGAGAATCATCAAACACAGGAAGAAATTGAAATGGCCAGAGCCATCAGCATGTCCCTAGGGACTACCAGTACCTCTACAAACACCCCAGAAGAAGTGAATGAAATGGACGAGGAAGAAATGATACGCAGAGCCATTGAAGCGAGTCAACGAGAATCATACAGCAACAACCCTACACTAATCCCTTCGTTCTCCCCCAACGACACAAATAACACTCCCACAAGTGCCACTGCCAGTCTTCCGACAACACACGAACAAGATGCCGATTTACTGGGCTTGGCCGATATATTCAATGATACTGCTAACATTATTACACCGCCAATGCAGTTGCAGCAGAGCATTACAGGAAAAACAACGGGACTTGATGAATAAACTTCAGCTAGCTGCAACGCCTTACCATCACTGTCCCCTCGAAGGGCGGCAAGCCAGGCAACACCCCAGGTGCTATCATGGCGTTCACGCCTCCCGAGAACCACCCTTAGTGTTGGGAATGCCAACGAATTCCTTCGCTACATCCCTGCGTGATTTGCCTGATTTTGGTCTTGGTTGTCTTCTACAACGAAGGATTTCCCGCGAGCACAAGAAGCTTTGGGGACAACAGGAGTTTTGCAATGATTGTCGTACATGTACTACCGGTACGGGTGTGAACAGGCCGCGGCAACAACGGATTCTATGTATTCATAAATGTATTCTTCGACGCTATTCAACATCCCACGGAACAGGAACGGAACATATTGCTCGATTGGTATAGTATCCATCTTAACAAACATCGCAGTGTCAGTGTAAACACAACATCGCAGTGTCAGTGTGTCAGTGTCTACACCTTGACAGACGCTCGTCTTCCTACAAAGTAGGTCGACATAAGCCCCTTCCCCTTGATTTCAATTTCACCCCTCTTCCTCAATGGGATTTGTGGGGCCTGCTTCATAAGCAACTCTGCTGCTTCCGCTGAACAGTTGACTCGCCCAGGCTGGGAAGTGCTCTCCATCCGGCTGGCAACGTTGACGGAGTCTCCAAACAACCCATATCTTGGATTAAGAGCTGAAAAAGAAAGAGCAACGCATGTTGTCAGTACAAGAAAGAACCAACAGGGCAAGAGAATATCTATTACGACAACCATGTCACTTACAGCCAACTACATTGGACACCACAGGACCCTTGATAAACGATGAATGCCAAATGAATGGTTGCGAAAAAGGGGAAAGATGAGACACGCGATTCCTGCAACGAACGAATACAGAGAACTTCAACCCCAGACACCTTGATGCGTCTTACCGAGTGGAATCCACAACGAATCTCTACAAAACCCTTGGAGGTGTCATCCAAGTCGACAGAGATCTTGGAAGCTGCTTCAATGGCTTCCAAACTAAATTCAGCAACTCGCTTCACGTGGTCCCAAGACTGGTCCTCAATCAGATTTGAAACGGCCATAAAGGCGTCGCCCTGATGCAGGACAGTGAACAGGTTTTAGTGTACTGGTATAGTGCATCATATCAGTGTGAGACAATCATAGTACATAGTACACATGGCACTTACAATGGTTTCGACCTTGAACAGCTCGTGCTTCTGCGTCAAGGCATCCAGGGCTACATATAGTCGATCCAGCATATCAGAGACTTTTAGAGGCGAACAAGTGGAAGAAATCGTAGTGAAGCCAACAATGTCGGAAAAGACTGTCGTACGAGGGGAGGGCGAAACTGCATGATCAGAACCCAAAGATAGACGAGGCGGCTGCCAACCGCGAATCAAACTGAAATAACCACTTACAGATGGTGACACAATCATGGGATTCTGGTTCGATTTTGTCACCTCGCACGAGAGAATCGGCAATTTTTTGGGGGAAAACTTTGTAGAGGAAGTCCTCATTAGATATGGTCTTGCGCTCCTGATTCTGGATGTGGTGTGATAGTGGCATGGAACCTGGTTGGACGTTGCCGACATCGAAAAGCTTCAAGCGCTCATCCAATGCTTCAGCAGTTGGCCTTTTCGTAGGGTTTCCGCTCCAACATAATTTCATCATCTGTGTGATCTCTTTTGGACAACCAGGTGGGATGGGGGGGCGTAAGCTGATGTTCGGATCGCAAACCTTGGTCAAAACGGTGTGGCAATCTTCTCCTTCATAAGGGTCCTTTCTCGAATATAGTTCGTTCAGGATGATGCCTACGCTGTAAATGTCTGTCGCAGGAGAAGCTTCGGCTTCGCCTCGCAACAGCTCTGGAGCCATGAAGTATGGCTGCAAGCAGGGAGGTTAGCGGGGCAAATACCGAAGTGGCAAGCTACGTACTGAAAGCCGACTTACCGTTCCCATCGCCTTGGCATTCTTTTTCTTTTGACTCAGTCCAAAGTCGCTGACCTGTCGAAAGAAACATGTGGTTGGCGGAATCATGTTCCCAGGGTTTGTTCGTCTACAAAAGTATGTTGGGGCTTACCTTTGCTCTGAAACCGCTGGTGATCAATACTGCAAGCGATAGAGAGAAGAAGAGATGAGTGCATCAAGACAACAAGAAGCAACAACAATCGACGCTGGAGCCAACTCACTGTTGGAGGACTTCAGATCTCCATGGACGATGCAAGGCGAAGTCGAATGGAGAAAACGTATCCCATTGGCGAGGTCGCGAAGGATTGGCAGGAGCAGCTCTCCCTCAATATGTAAGGTCTCATTGTGAAGCAATTCATACAATGACCCATGTTCACAGTATTCTAAAACAAGCATAGGTTCCGATTTTGGGTCGATGACTGCCCCCATCACTGTTGTGATGGATGGGTGCCTCAGAGAACTGAGGAGACGCATTTCCTGATCGAAGATGGAAGATTATGGCCATGAGTGAATACGATTGCTTCGAGGCTACATTTCGATCGCCCGATTCCAAGTCAACTTGCCTGGATAAAATCTTGCTTGAGCGTGTTATGCTTCGCCGTGGAAGCACCCAAAAAAGGTAGACTTGTGGTCTTGGGTGTGAATTGGCTGCCCTTGTACACGTCGCTTCGCAAGTACCTATTGGCTTCAGTGCCTGCAAGAAGCAACAACAGCTGTAAGCATCTGCCATAGGAAATGAGTTCATCTCAAAGGCAAAACGTACCGACTTGATAACCGGAAATCAATCCGAAGGATGATCTCATATTCTTGTCAGCCAGTTTTCTATCTTTATCCACCGTCATCGATTCCATCACCACCGAGTCGGCCGATGCCATACCAACGTTAACTGGGTTGCTCTGCGGCTTGCCAGTTTCGACGTCTTGGCCCTCCCAACAAATACGAGCACCACTTGCATTCCCCGATGTCTTCCCGCGTTTCTTGGGCGGCAAGACCCGTTTGATGGCAACTTTGGTGCCGAAATACTCTCCCAAGAGAACCTGTCCGAAGGTGCCTTGTCCCAATACAACCCGAGGCTCCGCAAACACGAGGTCCTTGGGGTTGACACGCCAGACAGCATCCGCTTCCTTCTGTTTCTTGATCGCATACCAATACGAGGCAGCCACAATCAGCGCACAAATAGGAACGATGATTGCTGGGAGCAGTATCGAGTAGGCGACGCAGCCACTCTTCAAAGTTACATGAGACCCTTTGCAGACACATTCTCCAGAACTGGTGGCCTCGAACTCTTCACCGAACTCTTCTTCGCAGGCTCGGTCCTCCACCAATACTCGCAAAGGGGATTCTGGTATCTACACAGTGTGGAAGCATACATGAAGATGAGGAAACGCACCTGCACGCAAGGGGTAGTATCGCCCCAGTGACACCTGAGGAGTTAGCAAGACAGCAAGCTCTCAAATTTACCTGTTGTCCATTTGCAAAGACTTCCAATGTCATTACACCAACCAAATCAGCTGCAAGAGTAAATTCAAAGGTATGGTTCGCGGCAGAATCGATGACAACAGGTACTTCCCGAGATGTTTGGCCTTCATGAAGCAATACGGTTATCTCGAGATCAGCACGCTTGAGGTTGTCGAAGGCCCGGAACTTTAGGGGCTTTCGTTGGAGGGTGGCGCCACAGAGACTCATCTTGGCACATCCGTTGCCGATTCCTTGGGTTACATTGCTTACACCATTGTTTGTAGAAGTGATTGGATACACATCGACGTCAAAACCCTTCAAACAAGGTTGGCAGACGCATTGCATTCCTTCTGGACACTCGAGACCCGCGCCGGAGCATCCTTCTTGCACCTGCTGCGGTGTTTTGCGGAAGAAACCATCTGGACAGGTAATTGCATTGTAGAGCTCTTTTGATCGCACGCATCGCCACTGGTGAGATTCTTCATCAAGGCGAAGGAATCCAGTTCCTTCTTGCATACTTCGTAGATCCATGTAGGACAATGTGGTCCGCCATCCCGCGTACTTTCCCTGGACCATGCCCGTGTATGCCAACTGAGCAATCTCCAGTGTGGTGTCACTTCTTGTCTTTAGAGCAAACTGACCTGGAAAAGGCAAGTCACTACAGAAGGCTGGTCCGTATTCCTTGAGGCAGTCATTGTATGCCTGTCCCACGGAAGCATGTTCTGCTAGAGCAGTGAGTGATTCCTGCACGGCACGTGACACCTCCTCATCCACATGCATCAAAGAGGCCACATTCCACTCAGGGTACAACATTGTGCTTGACTCGAATGGGAACACCATTCCATCCTCGAGGGTTAGGTTGGGTTGTGGGTTGACGATTTTGAATCTTTTCAAGAAGGTATCCAAGTCTTTGTCACTATGAGAGAAGCGCTCCAACTGGTCGGTTCGAATAAAGCCAACGTCGAATTGGCCCGACAAAAGGCCCTTGACCACCTTTCCCTGATTGGAGGTGAACACAAGCTGCTTCGGATCGTTGATGTAGCTTAGTCCTGCCTTTTGCATCTCTCGAAATTGCATTTGGCCACTAAGTGAAGTTGCAACAGCAACGTGTGAGATACACCCGTGTCGACAATATGAAAGCAAGGCATTGTACGTGTACGTACCTTCCCAGGCCACTAATGGAAGCTGCTGCAACAATCTTGCCCTTGAGGTCTTGGAGTGTGTTTACGGTACTGTTTGCCAAGGTTGCAATGACTCCTCCAAATTTGACTAGATCATACTGTTTGCCATCCACATTGCGCCTCGAGATCTGGGAGGCCAAACTCTGGGCTCCATGCTCCGAGGCAATGCAGGAGAATGCCGACGGATTGACGTAGATAAAGTCGACTTGCCTGTGCTCTTCAAAGAGACTTCCCAGGCTCAAGGGCTTCATGGAGAATCGAATCGGTGGATCGAAGCGTCGCCCCGCCGTTGCCGTCAGGTAGCTCCCAAATGTGGTGTTCCACTCATTGTACGCCTGGTCCTCTCCTCGAATGGCAAGCACGCCGATGGTGTAGGAGGGTTCGTGTGCAGAAGCATCGTACTCCCGCACCATCGAAGCGGAGCAGTATCCGGAGGGTTCATCCTCTGCAATCACTGCCTCCACTTCCGCGGCAGATACAGAGACCTTCGTCACAAGACAGGGGAAGAGGAGGAGGAGGGTAAGGGAGGTCAAAAGCCTTGATGCAGATGATGAAGGGACCATTGTCGATGTCGTGTTCTTTCTTGCAGAATGACTTGATTCAACCACCAAATACATGTAAACCAATTGGAGGGACAAGAGACGAGCTGCGGGTCCTCAGGGGTTGTATGGTTGTATTGCTTTAGCTATTGCTTTTGGGAAAATAAATAAATGTGATGACCCAAAAGATGCACAGAGCCAGAGCCACGGTCGCAAAACTGCGAACCAGCACACATTCCTCGATGCTCCAATGCTCAAACCGGTTCTACCATACGACTGTACTATTAATAGTACTCGTACTGGTACAATGTCATTGTACCGGTGTGAACTTTTCGATGCCACAAGAAGCCGATTGGAAAATGCAAGAGAGAAGAGTAGTCTACATTTATTTGTACGTAAGTCTTATTGAGTTCTCAGAGCTGTTCTCATAGCGGTACTAGTACTCGTAGACTCGACTCTGTAAGGAGAACTACGGGAGCACTTTTAGTATATACGCTCCTCCCTTGCAATTAAGAACATGAGATAAGATGTCGAGTACTGAGATTTGCTGGAATGTTAATTTAAAAGATACTTGAGACACTCAGATCTGCGCTAGCTAGAGATAAGATAGCCAGTAAGCACTCTCCCTTGGGCACATAAGAGATTGAGAGATGATAAAATGACACTTTTCTACAATAAAACGCCTTAAAAACAGGTACCAAAAGTCAAAAGTTTCGCCTCCGGCGGATGATACACTGCTCTTTCCTCTCTTCTCCTCGGGGTATATTCAGTAAGGCGGGAAGCAGAATTGCAAGTTTGGTATGTACCATACTAATAGTATGGTCAATAGAAATGACAAGAAAGCTAGGATGTTGCCTTTGGACCCTGAATTTTAACAAAATGCTAGGAAGATTCTCAGTGCAGATATTTGAGTTTTTGCTAAGATGCCTTCAGGGTTCAGGTGAACTTAGAGACATCTTAATATCAAGGGAGGAATTTACATGTAAAGCTCATCACATTGTAGCTCATTGAAGTAGGTTGCTCAGAGTAGAAAGTTGCAAAGAACAAATAAATAAATAAATGTGGATGACCGGAAAGATGCACAAAAGAGTCACAGAGCACCAGCAGCCAACCCCAAAAAGAAATAAAAGTAATGTCCAATTGAAATTTGCTCCTCTGCTCCCCCATGAAAATATGACATAGCTACCGGTATGCCATGAACTTTCTCGGTTTGGCACTGAAGAGCCTCATCAGGTTCGTATTCTATCAGGGAATTATTGCTACGAGAGCTGCTACGAGTTCTTGTACTACACTACTGGTACATGTAGTACGGTACGTATACGGGTGAGCTCTGGTACCGGTACCGGTACCAGTGGTGGTACCGGTACGGTAGATCGTGGTACCAGGTACAGTACCTGGTGGTACAGTAGCTCCTGGTACCGTACTAGTACGGTAAAACAGAAACCAAAACTTCTTGTTTCTTCGAAGTCCACGATGTTCGCTGCGACTGGGCCAGTGAGATAGAGAGACTGCTGATCGGCAACAGCTGCCGCAACTGTGAACTTTTGAGAAGCCAAAAGAACATTGGGTTCTTTTTTGCTCCAGAAAGCAGCGACCATTTAAGACCCGGCACATAGAAATCCCCACCACTTCGTCTTGCATCGTCCGTGTCGGAACACCCTTCCACGACCAGCTAAGTTTCTCGCTCGTGTAGGATGAGTACGGCGTGCTACGGCGCGAAGAGCTGAGTTTTCGGCGATTATATCTCACTTGTTTTCGACTGTACTATAAAGAGTAGCACAGAATCGGAAAGCTCGCAAAAAGATCTTTTTGTCAGGGCAGGTCACTTAAATATTGATGACAAAAATATGAAACGGCTAATTCGCCGTGGGTGGGGATTTCTATGTGCCGGGTCTTATTTATTTAGCTCCCAATTACAGCTCCAATTACTCAATTACGAGTACAGTCGTACCGTACTTTAGATCCTGGTGGAAGAAACTTGGAAGGAGAAGAGCTTGAGGTTGCAAATAAATATGTCGTAATTGTTATGGCTACTTTGCGATTGGTATTTCTTCAACTGTGACCCAATCTTGCTTCAGAAATAAGCGGATTCGGAAATGAGGGCAACTGGGACAATGAGACCCCGAAGGACTGTGCTAGTCTTGTACATGACGCTCAGACAACGTAACAGCTGGCAATCGACCACTGGCCACAACGTCACAGAACGCAGGACCAGCCTAGCCTCTCCCAACAATAAATCCATGCTTTACTGACCTAAGAACGCCGGCAACTTACGTGGTGTTCGAAGCGTTCATACTGAACCAAAAGCTCGAGAGCCGCACACACAGAACAACAGTTACTTACTTTAGTAGTCTACAAGAGCTTCTACATTCTACATGTACATGTAGTCTATGTACATGTTAGCTTTGTTGCATTTCCTTCCATGCAGTCACCTCATCGCACACCACACACACCACACCGTTCCTTCCTCGAGGCGCAGGAGCATCCCAAGAGAAGCTGCCTGCTAACAGCTCTGCTGCCGGTACGATAACAAAGCAAGCAAGCGAGTGACTCAGATGCCTCTCGATGGAAAACTCCAGGGGCAACTGACTGGCGATGAATGCATCCAAAGCGGAGAGGAAGCTACGGAACCAATGATTCATCCAGCCAAGGCTAAAATCCTTTATTTTTCTTAAACCATGGCTATTGGGGTACCAGTAATCTAGCTAGACCTCAAACTCATTCACAGTGTTGCTGATGGATTTCACGTCAAATTCAGAATTCACAGTATTGGTGACAGACTTCACTGATCCTGAACTCTCGGCTCTGAGCAACTTCCTGAGCTGCTTCTCTCCATACATTTCAAGCTGCAACTCTTGGAACTCATCGTCGTCTTTCATGGCTTCACGCTTTTTTCCGTCCTTTTTCCTTCGCGCTGCTTTGATCATGGCTGCACCACCCATGATTATAATGAAGAGAAATACTCCCAGCAAACCACTGAGACAGAGATAAAGCAAATTCAACCCACTGTCCGCAGGGCATCCTTCCATTTGCTCATCAACAACAGGGACCATACACCAGAAGTAGAAGCGACTAAACAGGTATCTCAGAGCCTTCAAACCAGCGACACCACTGCCAGGTGAGAAAGTTGTGGAGAAGAAGATCATGAAGAGGAAGGGCATACTGCCAAGCATTTCAACAGCTTGGAATGGAAGAGTTGTGTAAAGCCCAAAGCAAATGAAAGGGAAGGTCATGCTTGCACTATCAAAGAACATGGCAATGAAGTAGTCAAAGCTGGAGAGTCCACCAATGACAGAATTCACAAACCCAAATTCCAGCAAGGCAATCAGGAACACCAATGTCATCGCAAGCAGAGTCTTCAACAACTTGTTCATTCCTTTGCTTGAATGCAAGAGTGCCTCTGATTCTTCAGACATGAAGTTGCGCCAATCCACCAAACTCAACAAGTATGGGTTGACAGCAAAGAAAGCAATGATTCCAGCTCCAATCAAAACAAGAGCAGCACTCTCATCATTAGAGTCCCAGAAAGTAAGTAGGAACATCAGAAAGGAGAACATGGTGAAGGCAAAGATACCCTTGAGGGCACCACTGTTCCAAACCTCCACATCAAGGAAGAACTTCAAGTCAGCATTGGATGCTTCAAACTTGTAATCATTTCCTACAGACAGGGCCATGATCGCCTTCTCACGATCAACCTTTTCACGGTCATTGATCTTAACCTTGCTTCGGTCAATAGCTGATACAGTGACTATGATATTGGCAACAAGAGGGACGGGGGTAAGACCACAAACACTTGTTTTTCAGTAATCTTCTGCATGGTTTCTGATACTTACTGACATTGTCAGCCATCCCAGTCAATGCTTGGATGTGATCGTTGGTGACCAGCAAGATGTTGTGTTTCTCCCTCATGAGGTTCAACCGATCTACAATCCAGGGAACAAAATCATCAGTGACTCCAGCAAAAGGCTCATCAAGAACCAAGAGGAGTTTCTTCTGGTTCATGGTCCGTTGGTAGATGAGTTCAAACAGCAAGAGCTTTCGCTGACCTCCACTGAGGCCAGCAAAGAACTCTCCAGCCATTGTTCCACCAACTTGGATGTTGCCGGCAGTCCCCTCTTTTTCATATATATTCCAGTAGGGTAGCACGGTGGGGTCAAAGTTTGGAATCTTTGAAACTGCAATGTAAGGACGCAGGTTGTGGTACTGCCTGATGTAAGTGCACTTGTGAGACTGGTGCACATCATTCAAGAAAGTTGTCTTCCCTGATCCAGATGAGCCAACAACAATGGTGAGAGTCATGGTGGTGTGGGTAGTTTTTTCTTTGGCGTTTGGCTTTGTAGGTTTGATTTTTCTTCGCTGTGCGGAGACAGAGGAAAGGATTTGTGAGAAGATACGGTACGCCAAACCACAAAAGGTGGCTGGGCTTTTCTTTGCTCTTTGTTGTTTGTGCTGTGCGTCGCGTGTCTCAAGGCTGTGTTCCTGCGACTTCACCGGAGTCGAGAGGAAGGACAAAGCCCGCCACGAATGAACAGTGGATTGAATCATCACTCGAAGAATTAACATTCACGTCGAAAATGATTGCTTCAAGGCGCACGTGGTCGTGGTGCCGAATCGTCGCCATCCTGCTCTCCGTCGCTCACGAGCAGTGGATGGAGTCGAGTGACAGTCAGGTCTTGATGAAGATCGAAGAAAGCCGTCAAAATCTGCCATTAGTCTCCGATAGGGCAACAGTATGCTGTCTGCTCGCTCCACACAGCCCCCATAGAGAGACTCAACGTGGATGTCTCAATCGATGCCGAGATGCGGAGCCGACGAGTGAGTATTCCACGCGGCAGCCATGTGCTTCAAACCTTGCAATGGATTGAGCGTACCGGTATGTAGTCGTCGCATTGTCCGATAATTGAAAGAGTGTAGTAATAGTAAGTCTATGCAAACCAATTGCAGCCATCTTCACTAAATTCTTTGCACATCCTTTCTCGGCGCCAATGCAACGTGTACCAAACTTCCCTGAACGCCACCAAAGAAAAAACAACACACGATGAGTATGTTTGATCACTGCCATGGAGGATACAGTAGGGGCAGTATTGGGTGATCCGTCACAACAGTTGCGTGAGCGGCGCGTACCATCTCCCTTGATTTGCTTGCAAGATGATGTGCCTTCCGTTGGCAGTTCTAAAGCTCTGATTGCTGCAATCGCTCACAACCGGTGTTAACAGCATTCTGGTTCTACTAGCTAGATGATTTGGCTTCTCAGATGCTGTACCATGATCTACTATTGTGTCGGCATGTTTCGGATCAGTGCTTTTCCCACTTTTAGTTAGCATGCTGCAAGTAATGCACCAGCAGCTCTCGAGTGGCGCTGACGAAGATAGCCGTTGCTTTGGGGCACGACGACTCGATTGAAGATTCCCACCTTCGCGACATCACAGCTCGACACCATTCTTTCTCCACCTTCTGTTTCTGAAGCAAGCGTGTAATACCGGTACTAGTAGTTGCTGTGGTTGCTTGCTATCTCTCTCCCTCAAAATCGCTCATATCCTTGGTATCCCAGTTGCAAAATGAATGTTTTCTTGCGTTTCCTCCCTGTCATGGCCATCATTGTCAGTCGGCTTGTTCAAGTTGGATTCGCCATCGTTGCGGCTTTTTCGATTCCCGAAGTTCGCCAGCTCTTGAACACCAACTACGAAAGAGTTGGAGACACCTTCTACGTTCCCATCAAAGTATGCAAGCCAACAGAAATCACTTTGAACGGTACGACCATCACCTTGGACCCGGACACTGGCAACGATTGCCACTCGCTTGGTTTTCTCGTCAACGCTTGTGCCATGTCATTTCTCTTTGCGATCGTTGCGGTTGGGGTCTTTGTCGTATCGGATCTCTTTGCTCGACGCGCGAAGGGAAGCTCCGCGACTGTTGTCGGGATGGGACTCTTTTTGATCTTCATTCTCTTACAAGCGGCAGCTTGCACGTGGGCACTCTTCAGCGAAAGCCTGTTCTGGATCGACTACTTTGATGACGACATTCTGGAGGAACACTTTGAAGAGCTGGGAATCGAGAAGGTTGATACACATGGAAACTCCTGGATGCTCATGGCTACCGGAGGAGCCGCGGTTTTGAGTGCTGCTCTGTTACTGTTGGAGTCGTTGTGCTCGTTGTGCTGCTGCGGCAAAGGCAACGCCAAGGAAGAGGCCGCTGGAAGCGTGGAAGAGACAACAACTCGCAAGAACAACACAAGTGAACTTCCCATTGTCGCCCCGCCATCCTTCACCGAACGAACTGCTGGGTCTGATGATCCTCCTCATCCTGGAACTGCCGCGGAAGAAGAGTCAAAAAACGAGCAACCCACTTGGACGAGCTGGGCAAAACCGTTCTAAAGACCATTGGCAATGCGATCAAGCATTATTGGCCTACCGGTGCAGTGCCATGCCGGTGCCGTAGAGCGATCGAAAGAGCGATCAAACGAGCAACGTTTACACTCACGAAGTTTATTCAATACTAGCAATAAACCCAAGCAAACCTGCTGCCCAGAAGAATGATCGACTGAGTCACTCTTCGACTGACTCGTTCTCTAGCTAGGAAGTTCTACCAGTAGTACCAGGAACACAAGAAGTGTGGTCACATTAAAGGAGAGCGTCTCGTCTGGTTTCAAATGTTTTCGCGGGCTAGGACGTAAAGTCAAGCTAGCCAATGCGACGAACCCCATGGGATTTGCATCCGTCCATGTGATGGTACCGGTACTCCGAGTGGCTCCTCAATGCTGCCCCGCAACTACCTACCGGTGGTAGCACCGGTACACGCTGTGAGGGAGCGGGCTTCCACGATGAGTCGAGTCTCGGGCTGGCACTCCCTTACGATATCTCTAATTGTTCGACGCGACTGACCGTCACTCGCAAGCAAGGAGTAGCTTCGATTGTCTGACGGCAAGGAGTGGTCTCGATGTCGTCTCCTCTGTTTCGTGCTGGCAATACCACAGAGAATCAGATAGATGGATTGAGATCACAATTTACTTAGCCGCAACAAAGCGAAACAATCGAGGTTTGTTTGCTATCTTCAACATTCGGAAGGCCGCAGCGTTGTCACGAAACCCCGAGCTGCATACACCGGAGCTCTTTACGACAGTAGTACCACACCTTTCTGATTCACTGATACCTCAAGATGACACGATCAGTCAATAGCATCACTCTTGCTGCGGCCTTCTTGTACGCCTGGTTCCCCGGATCGGTGTTCTCTGAGAAAGACTTTGCATTTGACATCAGTCTCGATGTCGACGACGTGGAAGTCGTTTTTGGCACTACTTCATCAGGAAGCAAACAATTGCAGTTCGCACTTGACTATGATTACTCTGGTCCGTTGCCTGTCAATGAGCCGATGGTGAACTTTGGGTTTGACATACGCAAGTCCGATTGCTTCTCCGAGCCTCTTGAAACGCCTGATCCCGTCCAACTGGCCACGCTCGACGATGTGGCATTTGACACGAGCGTCTCTGGAAAGGTCAGCGTTCGTCTGGATCTCAACTTGGGTGTCATTGCACAATCCAGCCTATGGAGCCAAGACGATGAAGCTATGGGCACCATTGCATTCTGTGGACGTTTCAACGTTCAATACGACGATGTGCTCGTGAACTTGCACGAAGCCGTTGTCACCACAGAGATTGACTTGACCCAAGGCGATGGCTTTGCCGCGTTTTCCCTGCAACTCCACCGTGCCGACACCAGCATGGCTGAAAAGGAAGCCCAAATCACGGTGTACCATGGTGATGAAGCAGGGGAAGCGGTGGCAGCGCCAGATTCAATTTTGCAAGGCGAACCCTTACGACTTTGCGTCAAGACTGCAGTTGGTGCACTCAGCAACACGAATGTGTACGTTCAAAACATTGAGGAATTGACTTGGTCGGCCTCAACCACACCTGCAACTTCCTTCAGCCCAGTTTTGGAAGGGACTGCGAGGGGCATGAGTGTTCTTGAATGCGCCCAAAAACCTGGTGTTTGCTGCGTTCAGTTCTTTGTGGGTGCGTCGACCTTTCTTATGTTTGAGGACACCGCGGAGCTTACCATTACGGGGTCTGTCGCTCTTGCATTGGGCGAGGATGACTCCCGGCGCCAACTTGCGAACAAGCGATTGTTGGAGGACCTGAGCAACGACGACCCTGAGTTTAGTGAATTCCAACACCACGCTGGAGTCTTGAAACGAGAAAGCAAATCAAGCGCGGGAGGTCCGAGCTTTTTCTTTGGACTTGAGGTGACCCTCCTTGTCATGTATTTCTTTGCTTAGTCGCAAGGTCAAATTATGGAACACTCTTCATATAGCGATTAGTGATTGAGAGGGTAGAGTAAGAACCGATATAGCAACCGGTATAATTCTAAGTGGGATAGTCTCAATTCTCATCATGCAAGGACCGATTCACTCGTTTAGCTACAAACACGTGCAACCGCAAGTGCAGGCCACCTGGTCACAGCTGATTCCAATGGACTCCAAGCTGTATGAAGGGTCATCCTTCAGGAAACACAAGCTTACCGGCACCTCTCCTGTCAGCGCCGTTTCTTGCAGGTTGATGTGTCGCAAGTCAGTCCACTGGAGACCCCAATCCACAGGGATCATGCCTGTTATTTCGGCATTGTTGTTCACCTCCAAAACTTGCAGCTTCGACAAGGAACTCCATGCTAATGGAAGTGGCCCCTGCAGCCTGTTCCCCCCAAGTGTAAGCACTGTCAGGGAATTTGAAAGTTGATTGAGAGAGGCTGGAAGCCTAGACTGGATTTGATTGTTGTCCAGATGCAGCTCCATCAAGCTGGTCATACGGCTGAGTTCATCTGGTATGCGCCCTGTAAGTTGGTTGTTGCCTATCAACAATCCTTTCAACTGTAGTAGTCTCGAAACTTCCGCGGGCACGCTTCCCGTCAAGAGATTATCCGTCAACACCAGCGAAACCAGGCCCTGTATGTTCTGGAGCAATGGTGTGATGCGTCCCGAAAGTTGATTGCCTTCCAACCGAAGATGCTCAAGGTTCGTCAACAATGCCAACTCTGTTGGTATTGTCGAGGAGAGCTTTCCGCTTCCGCTGCTGCCCCCCTGGTTCGCCAGGGTCAGCCAGAGGAGGTCTGTCATTGCTGCCAGTTCAGTTGGAATAGAGCCAGTCAAACTGCAAGAATGAAAGTCTAAACCGAGCAGCGTTGTCACCAGGCTAAGTCTGGTTGGAATCGGCCCCCGAAGCTCAGAGTTTGCACTCAAATCGAGACTCAACAAGTTTGTCAATAGCCCCATTTCATCAGGGATGGTGCCAACGAGATCACTCGACCGGAAAAAGAACGAATCCACTTGCTCGTCGGCATCGCATGTTATCGCCTCAGTCCAATTGCATTCCGAAGTATCAGGATTCAGCCAACCCTGTTCAAGCTCCTCAGGTTCCTCAGCATCAACTTCAGGAGAATCGACCACAGCAGTCGAATTGTCCTCCATAGCGCGATTCTGCACCGTTGGGTTGTTGTGCTCCGGACTGGTAGCGTAGTAGAATGTGGCAATTGCATACCTCTGAACCAAGCGTTCTTCTGAGTAACCTTGCGTGTCAGAATTCTCCAGCCACTCCCAGGCCTTGTATTGTGGCGAGTCACCATCCCGCTGTACAACATCCCAACTCCAGGATGGCAGCAGGGTTTCTCCATCCAACTGAGGGTTCTCCACAGGTGAAGGAGTTGGTGGCGCTTGCGGCATCATCGTACTTGAACCGTTGGAGGCGGGAGTCGGAGCGCCAGTCTCAGTGTTGTTTGACCCACCATTGTCCACATTGGTTGGTGATCCAGCACCAGTGACAGACACAATCAACACGACCACCCAAACTGCTATGAGGAAGAATACAATACAAAGCCCCTGAAGATTATCACAAAACCGTTCAAGTAACGTCAGTTCTTGTTTCGGTATATCTGCCAACGAGTATCCTCCAGAACGCATATCATCGTCCGACATGCCATCGTTGGACGCATCGTCTCGTTTGGATTCCAAGCGTTGACGCTCCTCTTCCCTGAGTTTGAGCCTCGTATAAATGTTTTCGTCGACTGTGGAAGCGCGGGATAAACCAGAACGAGTTGAACCCTGATCTAAATCGCCCTTCCGCCTGCCTCTCCTCTTTCCCCTCCTCGAGCGCCCCGAGGTTGCCGATAGCAGGTGATCGTCTGTATAAACAGTATCGTGAGAGTTTGTCGGCGATGTCCTTACGGAATAAGCCTTCCACTGTTCTTCTAGTTCCTCGATGTCGGCCTTGGCGAAGCCCGGAATATCAGTGGGGGTTTTGTTCATCTCTTGCTGTTGCTTTTCTGCCTGCTCGATCTTTGCTTTCAGACCGGGAGGTGGAAAGCTAGGCGTCCGAATGATACTCTCGGGGAAAATGGGAGTTTTGACCGGTCCAAAGTCAACGTCTGATATCTCCGACACGTAGCTCATATTGCGTTCCAGACCACTCCTATCGGGGATCACAACGTTGCTTATCATCGGATCGAAACCCCGCCGATGCGGCGTTTGTGGATCAGGTTGTTGACGAGTTTCGTGAAGTGGCGTTGGTTCCCGTCGTTTTCGCACGTTGGATGCTGCGGCTGCAGGAGGGTCCCTTGTCCTAGTAGAGTTCGAGATCTTTCGGGGTTTGGCTCGTTTCTTGCCACTTTTGCGTAGGGATTCATAGTAGAGATCATCTTGAAAGAACTCTTTTGCGTACGGTGCTTCGTCGAAAGGCACGCTGAATTGGCTCTTGCTGCTTTCGTCGTTCATGTCGGTGCTGTTGCGTACGAACGATGCCTTGGAATTCATTCTGCTCCCTTTGGTCCTGTCCAAGGATGGTTGTGGCGTCGCAAGCCGCTCATAAATAGGGCGAAGGTCGTCAGCGCTGCTACTAGAGTCACTTACTTGTTCCTCCTTGATTTCCACAATGACAGGCGGCGATTTGTGCTCCGGAAGTAGGGATTGGTGGAATGACATCGGAGCCCCAGTTGTCGTTGGGTGATGTTGGTAGGAAGGAGCCACCGCAATGGAATGCCGCTGTGGATGCCCTTGCGGTTGCTGATGTGGTGGTGGTATTTGCGGTTGTTGCTGCCATTGCTGTGCATAAAATGGCAGCTCCTGTGTTGGAGTGACACGTTCGACAAAGGGTGTGGTGGTTTGTGGCCTATTGGGAATACCTCCGCTATCTAGCGGGTGCCTTTGATGTGAAGGTATGGTGGCGATGGAGTGCCGCTGTGGATGCCCTTGATGCAACACTTCCAGCTGCGGCTGCCAGTTTTGAGAATACAATGCAACCTCTGGAGACTCAGAGAGACTCCCTTCAAAAGGAGTCGGCGTTTGTGCTCTATTGGGGATATTGCTGCTGGTATTCCACCTGGGTGGAACACCGCTGCTTCTACGCTCACCTTGCTGTGAAGACCGTGGCATCGCAGCGATGGAATGGCGTTGTGGCCTGGCAGAATCTTGCCTAGGTTGTGTCCTGGTGACAGGCTGGGACTGCACTTTCCGCAACTTTGTCAGGTGACTGTTGCTGGATTTAGGAATGGCGCCACTGTCGACAAAGCTCCAACTCGGTCGATGACTACTACTTCGCATTCTCTCGTCGAGTGACGACTCTACCGGCGCTTCTTCCTCGATGACCAATGCTTGGGTGCTTTCTCTTCGCGGAGCCCGTGGTGGAATATTTTGTAGACTGGGTCGTCCTTGTTGCGCTTGAAAGGCGTATTGTCGATTGTGTCGCCTTTGACGACTGCTACTACTACTACTGGTGCTGCTGTCCAAGACGGATTCTGGTCCAGAGATGAGGGAAGACACAGACCGTTGGGGTGAAGGCTTGGCAGGTCTTGGAATGGGGGGCGGGGGTGTTTCGTCCGGTAGCTGCTTAGATTGCTCTTGCTGCTTGATTCGAAGGGCCCGCTTGTTCTTGAGCTTGAGGGCAAAGTTGATCACGCGAGCTTCCACTCTCACTGCCCGTTCCTCCAATCGTTGCCAGTTCATGTCGAAGTCTTCAGACGCCATGAGTACCTTTTTGCACAGCGCCGTCAAAGCATCGTCTTCATCTAGATCAGGCTGCTCGTACCATGGCAACTCTTCATAGTACTGTTCGTACCACGGCACAAAGTCTGGATCATGTTCTGGTGGGACATGATGGGCAACATTGACGCTCAGTGGAGAGTCCAAGTCTTGTCGGTATTCCAGCCTATCGACCACGTGAGGATTTGCAAAGCGTACTTCTTGTTCAATGATTTCCTCCTCTATAGCTTTCGCATCCTTCTTTGCTGCTTCTGGAGGAGAACCCTCAGGGGAGCTTTCAATGATTTCTTCTTCAATGACTTCATAGACAATGCCCTGTGATTCAACCATCCCACTGCCATGGTCACTGCTCCGACTGGGCGTTTTACTGTATCTTAGTCGTCTGGGTCCAGGAGTAAAAGCAGCCGTCCCAAAGGTTAACTCTGAACCCTCCGAGATGTCACCACCGGGACTTGTAACAATGACAGGTTGTCGTTTGCGGATTGAATCAGGTGTGGTGCCATCCGATGTGACCTCTTCAACGATTTCCACTTCTTCGTAGGATCCTGCCAGTGATGAAGACTGAGATGGTTGTATGACAGGTGGTGGAGGCGGGGGTGGTGGAACTTTCGATTGTGGCGATGAACCCGACGACGAGGAGGAGGAGGAACTTGAAGAGTAAGACATGCTGTAAACGGCATGTTCGGAACCTCGCGGTTCTTTTTGTGACGTTGTGGTTTGAGGATTCACCACGGCTGCAGCTGTGTCTACTTGTTGTGGTGTCTGTTTGGGTGGCGGAGTGGAGAGATCAGGCGAAGGTTGTGTTGACAGAGGGGGTGATTGTTGTTCTGCTGTTGCTGATGCAATTTCTTGTTTTTCTTCTTCTCTTCGAATGGTTTGTGGTGTCCCTGGAGCTGTTGGAACTGCAGGGGCGTCAACGTGAATATTCATGACCGAGTCAGGCGACCTGAGTGATCGTTTACTGCTGCTCAAGGCAGAACTATGAAAGGAGCTGTCAATAGAGCTGGCAGTGCTGTTTCGACTTCCGGTTCTACTGCTCTTTCGCTGCTGGACATTCCTTACTGGTGGTGGCGGTGGTGGTGGAGCAGGGGCAGGTGGCGGAGGGAGTGGAGCAGGTATAGGAGGGGGAGGACCATTCGCCTTTTCGGCTGCCCAAGTGGCTCTTCTTGGTTTTAGTGATTGCCGCTTTGGTCGTTCTGGCCCCAGTGTAGATTGTGGTGATGGAACCTGCTTGCGCGGAGCTGCAGCTGGTTGGGGTGCAGGAGGAGCTTGTTTCTTCTTCCTGCTGCTGCTCATGCTCTGACTATGACTTTTGCTCTGACTTATACTCTGGCTTTTGCTCTGACTGATGGCGCCCCCACTTTTCCCACCACCAATTTTCCGGCTACTAGAGACCATGGAAGTCAGTAGAGACTCAGATGAATCACTGTCGTCGCCATCCCCCACAAACTCCATGATGTGTGCAATAATGGCACGATTGCGATAGATTGCAACCCCAGGACTGATACTGCTGTTGGATTGTCCCCTCTTTCCCGACGATGAAACACTTTCCCGTTGACCCCGCCCCGTCCCTCCACCAGTCGACTGTAATGTCGAGCTGCTCATTTTTCTCTCGCTTTTTCTCACTTGCTTGGTTTCTTCTTCTCAAGACATGGACACTGTCAGCTCCCACGTCTTATTCGTCTGCAGTGCGATAATCGGAAGGCTCTTGCCATCTACCATGCAGGAGAGGTCTCTGTTCCGGTCGGGCAAGGGTTGGTATACCGTTAGGTTGTGGTGACTGCATCCAGTTCCGAGTTGTCGAGGATGAGGGGTGAGTGCATAATATGTTGAGTGGTGTGAAGTGTGAAGGGCGAATTAAGAAGCTTTTAAGTAACAAAAATTTTGTATCCTCGCAGGCGATTTTGCATAAATCTTTTATAACGGAAGAATTTAGTGTAATCAATGTAAATTTGTCCACCGGTACAACGTATACCGGTAGTAGTAGTCTAGCGTACCAGGTATTACCTTTATTATTGTGATGCTTCTACTGTGTGTGGGCTACTAGACTACTAGTACTTTTACGTCTTTTCTCTTCAACAAACTTCGTCTCCTTCTGGGAGTCTTCCTCGACTCCCAGGACACCATTGTCCTCTTCCTTTGGTGGCTGCTCAGAGCAATGAGTGGCTCCTAGCACTATCTGCAGTGGCAGCCAGTCTAATTGGAGCATGTGTGCTACCACATTGCTCCGCTTAGAGTCATGGCTACAGAAGGCTGGAGAAACTTTTATGATGCTTGCTGGAAGGCTGGTTTGCACCAACGCACCAACTGCAATTGCACCCTGCATTCATCAGCTTTGTCATCGATGTCATTGATAAGAGTAGGAAAACTCCTTCCCTGCTTTATGTATACTTGCTTCGTTGAAGAGCTCATGCTTCCAACCAATCTCTCATCTATCTAACTAAACCATCAACAGTGATATTCTGAGTACTGTAATGAATTCTTTGAGATCATCGTTTTTCTCACTATTCATACAATTATTTGGACTGTGGGCTACCGGTTATAGCTAGCTAGTAGAGCTGGTTATACATCAGTGTTTTTAAGATGCAAGAAAGGAGGCGTGCCAATAGGGCTCCAGTTTCCAGTTATAAATATGTTGTGACGCATCCAGCAGTCATCAGCTTACGAAGGCGTGACGTACGTCACTGCATCTTCAATTACTCAGTCCATCCTTCGATCAAGGCTGTGATAGTACTACATGTACCGGTAGTAGTACTGGTAGCTCCAATGGTACCAATAGCAATCCAAATCTGCGGTACTGATACTTTGTACCGGTGCGGGTGCGCCAACTCAGAGTGATGACCATGGATGAATAAAACACTCCCCTGAGTGGTACGTAGAGAGACTAGCTTTTCCGTGCTACGAGTAGCCAGTTGGAGCTACCGGTAGGTGTAGCTAGCTACCGGTAGCTGCATCAGAAGGTTTTCTTGCTTTCTTTGGTGCTGGATGAAGCAGGTTGATAGAGAGGTCGGGAGAGGTCCAGTTCGGCCCTGCGGTACTGCAAGGGCCAAACCAACAAACCAAGGCCACGACCTGGACAAACGTTACCCATCATTGCAGTTTGGGGGAACATAAACTAACTGTTCTGTACCGGTATTTATCTTTAATCTGTTTGTCTGAATGGTGCTGAACCTCGTGGATGCAAGTTCATCCAAAGCTGTGCCAGTTGGTTATGGAAGCTGTTTCGGATCAGGCCAGCTTTTGTCGATCCGGGACAAAGTTGTGGGAGTCAGCATCAAAAATGCTACTTAACCCCAGCTCTGAAAAGAGATGAGCCCTAAGTATGCATGTTTGATTGATGACCAAAAGAGTTAAAAGTTTGTTCTGCTTTCGTTGTTTGTTTTAAGTGACTGCGGCGAGAAGGAAAATGTTTGGTTGTGGCTGGCTCTGGATGGAATTGTGACCATTTCCGCTGATAATGACACCTGACTGGAAAAGCTAGTAGCTGCCACCAACCGCAAAGGAAGTTGGGCGCATCGATCTATCTAATCTCGCGACATCATTCTCATCCAGACTTTTTGCGGTGAGTGAGTGTGTGACAGTGACAAGCTCTCAGTTTGAAGCTCCCCACAGCCAAGCTCATTTGTTATCATCGGCAACAGCTTCGACGGCACCACTACTGTATTAATAGCTAGATCGGATCAGGTATTCCTTGGAGGGACTCTTGCATTCCGTCAAACAGTTCTAGCTAGAAGATCGCAGAACTTAGAGAGTGCCAGATACTCCCGTCTTTCTTTTGTCTGAATTTTATTGAATTGAATTGAATTGATCAGATCAGATCAGGATTTTGATATACCAGTGGTCTAGTATCTAGTAGAGTATTATCTCAGTCAGTCATCCTCAGTGAGCTAGAAAGCTTTTGAGCTCAGCTCAGATACCCCAAGAAAGAAAAAGGCAGAAGACCAGAAATTGACGGAACAAAATACTGATTATTCCAACTTGCTTGTCACGGAGTATCAGATCAGATCAGTCAGTATGGATCCCGACGCTGGTTCCACAATCAAGACAACTGGGTCTGTGGACGTTGATGACAGCAGCGACAGTTCCAGCACCAGCAGTGGCAGTGACACGGCGCTTACCCACGATGACCCAGAGGCTGCCAAGGCGGCTCTTCGGGCCAAGATCCGCCTACAAGCGGGATCTCTCTTGTCTAGTAAGGGACCTCCTGTCGCCACCGTAAAGACCGGCACCAGCTCGGCTGCCAAGCGCAGTGCGTCGAGGAATGTACCAACTTCCGCCGTCGTGGGAGGAGCTGCTGCCGTGGGAGCTGGAGCTGCCATTGCTGCTGCCAGTAATAATAGTGACGAAGACTCTCTGAGTTTCCGACAGAAAACGGGAGAACAATCCCAAGAAAACAGTCCTCCCGAGGATGCCAAAGTGGGCAGTGACGACTCCATGAATGACTCCAAGCGGTCGGTGGTACGATTTGAAGGAGAGGAGATGGACGATTTGGACAAAGATGACGATATCAAGGAGGCACCGCCGGTCGTTACCGTGCCAAAAACCGCAGAAGAAAATGCCGCCAGAAGCGCCGCTCCTCGTCCCTCACTCATGGAACATAAATCGGAGAACCCACCGGATCATGATGAAGAAGGAGGTCTCAAGATGGACGATCTAATGGATGTCAGTGAAGAAGTTGGATGTTCCGATGGGGCCAACACGGGAATTGCTCTCTGTGTACTCTTTCTCCTTATATGGATCATTGCCGTACCGATTGCCCTCACCAACAGCAAGGCAATCGAAACGGGAGAAGATGGCGAGCCAGCTCCTACCCGTGCCCCCACTGAAGCCCCAATTAATCTCATCAACCTGCCCACCGTGGCTCCGGTGGCTCCTACTCGCGTACCAACGGTGGCCCCCACAGAAGAGCCAACAGCTACCCCATCCTTGTTGCTTGTTTTCCCATCTTACACAGAGGAAGCACTCACGGACCCAGAGTCCCCACAAAGTCAGGCTTTGCAGTGGCTCTTTACAGATCCATTGGTTTACACATACGATGCGGAACGGCAGAGCCAAAGGTTCGCTCTCGCCACATTTTACTATGCCACCAAGGGAGACAACTGGACCCTCAACAATAACTGGTTGTCGGTAGAGGATGGAAAGCACGAGTGCTTTTGGTACGCACAAACTCCCGTCTGCAACGATCAACAGGAATACATCGTACTGGAGCTCAACGATAACAACCTGGATGGAGAAATCCCTCCGGAAATTGCCATGCTCGCGTCGTTGCAACGGATCCAGTTGCAAGAGAACAAGATCGTGGGAAGTATTCCCACCACCATGGCCGAGCTTTCCGAAATGACCCTTCTCGACTTGCAAGAGAATTTCCTGACGGGACCCATTCCTTCCGAGCTGGGCCTCATGACGGCGTTGAACCATATTTGGTTGAATGGAACTCGTGACGCCACCGCCGAGGGTACAAATGCGTCAAGCATCCCGTCCGAATTGGCGCTCTTGACTGAACTGGAACAGTTGCATCTTGGGTCGAACAAGTTGAGCGGAAATGTGCCAACGGAACTGGCCTTGTTGCAAAACTTGGATTGGTTAACCCTGAGAAACAACGAACTCAGTGGGATCATTCCCAGTGAGATAGGGTTGCTTCGGAGCATATCTTGGTTGGATTTGGCCGAGAACGACCTTGTTGGAAACATCCCGGGTTCGGTTGGCTTGTTGAATGATACTCTGCGCATCTTGCAATTGGAGGATAACGGCCTCACGGGCAATCTGCCGTTTGAAATGAATCGATTGACGAGTGTCCAGCAAGTGTGGTTGCAGCATAATATGCTAACGGGTAACGTGCCGGCTGGACTGTGCTATTTCAAGCGAATTGGCAAGGTTGAGACAATATGGGTGGATTGTGAAGAAGTGGCTTGTGACTGCAACTGTATGTGCTCAACCGTCACGGAGGAAGATGGAGAAATGGGAGAAGCAGAGAATGGCGACGGAAGCGAGGAAGGTGAGGATGATATTGCCTCCGCCCCTGCCATGGTTGAGGGCACCAATGCGACAGACGGACGAGCGTTGTAGGCGGTGATCAAGTTGCTATACGTCCACGCGCTCAACTCGACTGAATGTGTGTGGAAGGCGAAAGAGAAAATCTTGATTCGACGAAACAGGAATATGTATTAGTACGCTTATGCGCACAGCTAATAAGGAAAGAGTGCGGTATGATGGAATGGACCGAGGTGGAGCGGAAGTAGCAGGCTGAATGGATGGATCTTAGAAGGAGAACGCGTTTGTTTTGATCGGTTGACAGCTCTATGCAACAGACGAGATGAAGCAAGGCGACTGCACAGAACTGTTTAGAGGAGACTGCACGGCATGCAGGACTTTTTTGACACAAACAAAGACCGACAGATTTCTTGTGTCCTCGACGTATTGAAAAAATAGTGCACGTAAAACATTTAATAATAAGAATATCGAAGCAAGCCGTTGGCGTCAATTCTTCCTCGGCCGAGTGAGTGCATGGAATGGCACTGTTTCTGTTTCATACGCGGCGTGCTTTGAATGTGAACTCAGGCCTCTAGAGCTTGCAGTTATGCATAGGTAAGCACAGATAGGTGCTGGGAGCATTCACGAAAGGAGAGGAGTGAACGAAGCGATTCTAATGGCGCTTTGTTTGATCGAAGAGCTGGACCTCAACGCACTCCTCACAGATCGCACAACAGGTCTCACAACCGGACTGGCCCCTTGTCCATCTCTGGCTGAGCCCCAGTCCTCGTCCCACTGTTGGAACAAAGAGTATGAACATATTCAGGCTTGACACCAGGTCCAACAGGCTAGTAGAGGACCAAGAATTGGGCCAACTCCTGGACCACTCCCACATCTGGACTGAAACCACTCCCGCCCCATCAATGGCCCCACTCCTGGATCATATCCTTCCATGGCGGCTCTCCTAAGTACGCTCTGAGTTTTACACTGTACAGACTACCGATCTCGCAGCCCACTTTTGCGGTCTAACCACTGATCCATTGGCCATCCAAACCTATCATACTGGTGGATGATGAAGGACCTTTGTCCATCAAAATCTATGAAAAAGCCGTGCTTATCCGTGAGGTCATGTTCCAAGCCCAACCATGTCCCTTTGGCTTCGTCTTCGCCACTTGTGTATGCCTTCCTCGAGGCATCTCTTTGCGTCATATTGAGTTCTTCCATGTTGCGCTTTCGTTTGGCATTGAACAGCATTGCACCTTGTGACCCAACTGTATGGACAAGTCCAACTCGATTCCTTTGGGACGTTGCATAGGGCAGCTGCTGCGTGTAGTACAGGTAATTGTGGATTGACTGGTCGTCACCGTTCATCTTGTTACAACAGCATTTTGGGTCTTGCATCCATACCCGCATTTCTGCGACCATATCATTCAGGTACCGTAGCATTGCATCTCGTGTGCCCACGGTTGTTCCACTGCAAAGCATTGGTTTGTCAAATATTGAAATAGCTTTGCATCGTTCAACTGGTCCTTTCACCAACCAGTGGGTCGTTCGCATTGTTCTGTGTTCTTCGAAGACTTGCAAACCTTGCACATGTGGTGCTTCTGGTCCAAAGGGGTCTCGTTGGAAATAAGTATCTCGCACATCGGCAACTAGTACCGGGCCAGTGCATTCTCGACAGTCCAGTAGATAGTCTCTCAAGAGAGCAAAGCGCCCCCAACGTAATTTTAGATCAGGATATGGATCGGCACATGTCATTACCTCGACGGCATGAGAATCCATCTTGGAGGGAGTTTCTCCGCCCATGCTCAAGATGTCTGTGCTGCAATTCACCAGCGTCAATCTTTTCATCGTCACATTGTGGCTAGTCAAATACTCCACAACTCCCCGTTGGGGGTTTGGTGAGATGGCCAAAATGATGTGTCCTAGATATCCGCTCCTTCGCAGTGAACCGACGAAACGCCGGAAGGCCCCAACGTCATAGTTTGTCGCCATCCCCATCACAGTGGCATGTCGACTGCTCTTTTGTTGTTTGTCTTTCGTTGATTCACGAAAACGGCCAATACGTGGGATGTCCATCTCGACTGCAAGCTGCGAAGGTAGCAGTGAATCGCAATTGACCGACAGGCCAAGGTTGCTCCGCAAGGTTGTAAGCACGACGAAAACGGATGCTCCTAACGCCAACATGGCCCAGCTACGGGATGATTGCTTCAGTGGGGAGGCCATTGTCTCGACTTGCAACAAGAACTTGAGGAAATAGCTACCAGAGACTGAGTCTGTTTTCTCCAATGCCTGTCTAGCAGAGTGCCGGTTGTGTGAGTGGGAGAGGTGCTCCGTGAAGATGGAGAGTTGAGAGGGACTATTTTCCCACCCGCAAGCAAGGCTAACGTTGCCGTTTGGTTTTCTTCTCTCTTCCGTGACTCCCAGGTCCCAGGCCAAATTTACACCCCGACACTCTGCAACTTTCTAAAACGAAGTTGGTCCAATCCCCGGGATACTAGTACTGTACCACACTACATGTAGCTAGCTAGCTAGAGAGACACCCCGATGACACATTTATTTTACAAGATTTTGAAACTCGCGGTAATCTTTCCCTTCCTGCTCTTTGCCCCACTCTTCTTCGTACCGTGCCGGTCTTCTTCACAACCAAGTCTTAGACACATGAACAGCCTATGGCGCATGAGCAAGTGAGGCTGCTATTGCAATCTACCCGAATGTCCACGGTGTGACCAGAAACAGGAACGACCGCGTCGTCCAATGCGACGACTGTTCCATCGGCCAGTTCGATGCTACCATCCAAATTCCTGCCACACCATGAAAAAGGAATTGTCCCGTACAATTCCGGATTGCCGTCTAGCCAGACCCGGGCGGCCATTCCCCATGCCGCCAGCTCATCGGATGGCAGTGGTCCTTCGAACGCGTTGTTTTCCACTTGAAACAATTGCAACAGTGTCATTGTGCCCAACTCACTTGGGATTTCACCCGATAGCTGATTATACCCTCCATGGAACCAACGAAGCCTCGTCAGCAAGCCCAGCTCGCTTGGGATAGCCCCGGTCAAACGGTTTGAGTAGACGTGCACATCCTCCAAACTCTCCCCCAACATACCCAGTTGCCATGGAAGCGAACCAGATAAAAAGTTAAGCCCCACGTAGAACTCTTGCAACGCCCTGAGCTCCACGACTTCATTCGGAATTCGACCGGAAAGCCGATTGCTGTTCAAGTTGACTGCCTTCAATGCCGTCATCATTCCTAGCTCAGTCGGAATCCTTCCTGACAATTGGTTGTCATTCCACAATAGATCTTGCAGCCCAACCAGCAGCCCAATGGTCGACGGAATGGACCGCCGAAGCACATTTTGCTGAAGATCCAATACTTCCAAGTTGGTCGCAAATCCAACTTCGGGTGGCACCGATCCTGTCAAACTGTTGTTTTTTAGCTGTAGCTCAAGTAGCGTCGATTGCCAAGAATTTTTCCCTTCCTTATCGTCCAAAAACCAGGAGCCTGGTAACGTCCCTGCCAGGTCATGATTATGATTGATGTGAAGCTGTTCCAATGCCGTCAGCATGGCCAGCTCAGGCGGCAGAGTACCGGACAGTCCAACCCCCTCCAACCACAGCTGTCGGTACGATCGAAAGACTCCAGAAGAATCGAATTCATTGCCACATACGACCACTCCAAGAGAGTTGCTCGTGTACTGCTGAAGGAGACTGCTCGTGCCCCGATTAATATCCGAGGACGAAAAGTCATCACTATTCCGTTGATGATACCAGTCACATTCGTGCCCACTGTAGGACATCCAGGGAAACAAACCTCCGCGGCCTACCGCATTCACGGTGTAGTTGCCAGTCCACCAATCGTCACCGTCCGTAGAATAGTAGAGAACAGCCAAAGCGAACCTTTGTCTCATTCGATTAGGACTGTACGATCCAAAGTTTGGATCTCGAAGCATCCACGAGAAGGCTTTCGATTGAGGACTAGCTGGATTGCTGAACGCACCAAGGGTATATTCCGGAAATGCAACTTCTGGTTGGCTTGTTGGCGCGACTGATGGCATGGTGGTTGGCCGTGGAGCACCCGTGGGTTCACTGGTTGTAGGTAGGTTGGGAGAAGGAGCCACTGTAGGAGGGACAGTTGGTGCCTCAGTCGGAGCACTCGTAGACGGAAGAGGAGAGGGCTGGACTGTAGGCGTGGAAGTGTTGGGTGCCTGCGTTGGCGATTCCGTATCATCCATCAAGTCTTCTGGTAGTATCGGTATGATCACAATGGTCGTCCCGTTCAAATTGTCGAATTCGTCATCATCGTCATCATCGTCCTCCGGTTCAATTGGAATTACAACAAAGGTGGTTCCGTTGATGGCCTCAGTTGGGGGAGCTGTTGGGGCAATCGTTGGCGACTCTGTGATTGGAACTGTAGGGGCAATGGTGGGATTCGTGGTGATTTCTGGAACGGGAGTATTGGTTTCGTTGATAGCCGCAGTGATGTTGCTTGGCGCTACCGTTGGTTCTGTCGTGTTTGGTGGAGATGTCGGTTTGTTGCTGCTAGTAGAATCCTCTACAATATTGGGTGCCGGTGCTGGTGTGCCCTCCAATAGAGCCAACAATTCTGTGTTGTCTGCAGTGGGTGTGGGTGCGGTTGTCGGGCGTGGTGTACCCGGTGTAACGGACGGCGCCGGTGTCCATGGGATCAAAGTTTCATCTATTGGCGCTGCCTGGGGTGGAGGCGTGAGCGGGAACACAGTGGGTGCATTCTCCAAATTACCGTTTCGGTGAACCAGATAAGGTATAAAGCCTCCCCAAAACAGCAAGATGAGAATACACAATGCACAACCCCCCATGCCACCCCAGCAGGATTGCACATTCTTTTTGCCATCGGTTCCAAATGCCAAAGTCATTAGGTCTTCGCTGTCATTGGATTCCGCAGCTTTTTTCTCTAATTTGGCCGCTTCCAGAACACTGGGATGCAAGAATTCTAGGTTTTCATCTAGATGTGCCCTGGATCGATGAGTACTGAAACTCCTGAACGAAGACGCAACAGATCCGGTCCCATCGCTGTTGGCGTAACTTCGAGAGGGTTTATTGACAATCGCCAGCGCCATTTCTAGTGCGGATCCAGTTTCTTCATCATCATTTTCTTCTTGTACTTGTACGAGTGGTGTGAACATGGAATTGGAATCATTGTAACTGCTGTTGTGACTTCGATTGAGGCTGCTGTTGTGACTGTTGATATCTTCGTCTTCTTCCTTCTGACTTTTGTGGCTTCGATTGAAACTGCTGTTTTGACTTTTGTGACTTTTGTTGAGTTCCTCTTCTTGTCTAACACTGTTGTGACTTCGATTGAAACTGCTGTGGCTGGTGTGACTTTTGTGACTCTTGTTTAGTTCTTCGTCTCGAACACTGTTGCGACTTCGATTGAAACTGCTGTTTTGACTTTTGTGGCTCTTGTTTAGTTCTTCTTCTTGTCGAACGCTGTTGCGACTTCGATTGAAACTGCTATTGTGGCTTTTATGACTCTTGTTGAGTTCTTCTTCTTGTCGAACGCTGTTGCGACTTCGATTGAAACTGCTATTGTGGCTTTTATGACTCTTGCTGAGTTCGTCCTCTTGTCGAACACTGTTGCGACTGCGATTGAAACTGCTATGGCTGTTTTGACTTTTGTGACTCTTGTTGAGTTCCTCGTCTCGAACACTGCTGCGACTTTGATTGAAACTGCTGTTTTGACTGTGGTGACTCATTCTGAGTTGATGATCTTCTACCGGCCCCGGCAGTGGCTGGCTGTGCGCACTTTGACTCTTACTGTATTCTTCTTCGAGCTCATCTACGTCGACTTCATTAATGGTGTTGATTGTATGTATACCACTTACGTTTTCATCCACATCAATAATGATGACTGGTTTGGGTGCTGCTATTCTCTTTGGTGGTTTGGGTGGTTTGTCGGGAGACTTCATCAAACTGTTGTTTTGTTGTAGTTGTCGTTGTTGCGGTTGAGTACTTCTAGAAATGGTAACGGAATTGACTCCAATAGTGGAGTCATCATCATCAGTGAGCACAATGGTGTTTCTGCCTCCAATTCTCATGATGGAGCTTGTTCCCACACTATTGACATAGGTGGAATCTCCATCTCCATCTCCTATAGTGGAAGCACTGCTCATCATGTCTTGATCATTGTCTTTGTCGTGTAATAATTGTTGTATTCTGCTGACGACTCCTTGTGCGGCTTGTGTGGTTTGCGTGGATGTTCGTCTTGATCCTTCTTTATTGATGCTGCTCGTCAATGGTTGCTTGTCGATGATTTCCTCCGTGAAGACATCTGTAGTGTCTGTGTCTACGGTGGATCCTCCAGCACTGATAGTCGGCAGAAGAGGTGGGGGTGTCGGAAGTGGCTGAGGCGACACACTGCTCTTTTTGTTGGGTTTAGTCTTTTTCTTGTTTTGTAAGCTCTGAAGTGAAGAAGAGGATTGATCGAGTTTCATTCCAGTATTGTGTGATTGCAGAGTGGCATTGCTGCTTTGAGTACTTCTCGAGTTGGCGGAAGACCCGCTATGCTTGGGTGACAGTGGCACTTTGGTATGAGACTTGGTGGCGTGGATGACAGTCTGCTTGTTGTTTCGTAGAGAATTGCGTGGGATTTTGGGAAGCGCCTTTTTGGGAGCTGGTCGTCCCGATCGACTCGGAATAGGAGAAGGAGGAACTGCTGGTAGGGAAGATGCTGATTGATTTAGTTTTTGTGCTTTGTCTGCCTGCGGCTTTTTCTCTGCTCCTTCTGTAGACGGCTGAGACGCACTCTGTTGACCTGCGGTCTGTTCTTGTGGAGTGACAGTCTTCTTAGCATTCTTCAACGACGCCGTACTAGAAGAACTACTAGTAGCAGTTGGAGCCACTACCACGGGAGGTTTGGCAGGAGACACCAACTCTGTCACCGCAAAAGACTCGTCAAAGAAGGAAACACTCGACATGTGATTGCGCTTCTCATTTTTCTTGCGCTTCTTCGCCATTGCGGACTTCGGAGGAGCTGCTGCTGGCGGCATGGTCAAAGTCAAATATACGAGTAGCTATCGACTACGGACACTAGAAGGACCCCTGCTTGGGCTGATTGGATCTGCTGCTCGATCTCTGCAATCTTCAAGTAAGCCTTCGTAAACTTGCTGCTGTTGCTGCTGCTCTATCTGGCTAGTAGCTTGCTTACTTCCGCTTCCGCCTCTTTCGGCTAACTAACTGGCAACTCACCCCCAACAAACAAACACGAAGCAGCTATGAACCAGACAGGTTTCACTAGCTAGCTAGCACTCTAGTGCTGTAGCTACTTAGCTGACAGAACTGGTGAGGATCGTGGACATTTGTCGTGTTTGCCGCTGCCTCTTTCTTTTTGTTGCGGCTTGAAAGACCTCTCATGTCTTCGGCCTTCGCTGGCTCTCAACAGAAAGAAAATTCTCCCAATTTTGGGGTAACGGGAGATTTAGTGAGGGCAATAAAACCGTGAATGAAAAGCATGTGTTCCTTCCTAATGCCGCATGACCATTCTTGAAGAGATCTTTTCATCGTCAAACTTCAAACCACAAAAGTGACTCCCACACTCCCTCCTCACACCACACACTCGCAGCGCCATTTTTTTATTGAATGAATCAAATCAATGATTTTGACACTGTCGCCTCGTACCATAGCAGTGTCAACAGTAGAAGTTTCTACTTCCATACAGTACTACATGTAGCTTGTAGAGATGTCTTTTTCTTCGAGTGCTGCTTATGGATTTGTTGTATCATACAGGAGTCACGGCATTGAAAGAAGTCCACAAAACCCCATGCTTTCTACAACACCCTTGTTCAATGCAAAACCTACACGGCCAAACCATTCATGGCGTTGATTGGATCGAATTCAATCATTCCTGGTACCAGTAGTAGCACCGTACTACCGTCCACAAAAGGGCTTTGACAAAGGTACATCTCCCTGTACCAAAGAAAAAAGCCAAGCCCTTTGCCCCCTGTGTTGGTCCTCAATTTATCTCCCCTGATCCTCGCTGGCTTCCTCGGGCGCTATTACTGTAGTCTAGACTACTCCAAAAACCTCTCTTGTTGAAAAAAATTAACCAAAAGCCTTTTTCCAGTCTCTCATTTTTAAGAAAAATGCTCAAATTTTGTATTTGGATAGGGTTCGAGCAAATATCTTTTGCGCTTCCAAAGGATCCGGCACAACCATACAGCTGCCAGATCTAACCACAAAGGGATCCATCTTCTTGCTACAAGCAGAGTTGTTGCCCCGTTAGTCAGTAAAGTATAGCAGGCAAACACCCTCACTTTTGTTCGAGATGTCAACATTGTCGCCATTGGTGCCGTTTTTGGGATCTATTCTGGTCTCGGTGATTTTACTCAAGCAGGAACAGAGTGAGAAACCAGAACAACAGAAAAAGAGGACCATGACAAGGAACGCCGTGTCCATGACAAAGGAGGCTGTAATGAAGCTGCGTAGAAAATACTTTTCCAAATCTGTGAGCATTTCGTATGCCAATTCTGGTCCTCTGATGATTGTACAAGTAAGTTATTAGACTCTTGTCCTTGACACGGCAATTGCGACTACATGTACGATGTACTAATAATAATCAGGATATCTCGTTCCGTCGTTTTCCTCGTTGCTACCGGTACCGGTACCTGGTACCAGGGAAGAGGTTCTCATTTGATTGATGAAAATGGAGTGGCGTACTTGGATACAAGAAACAATGTGGCCCATTGTGGTCACAGTCACCCGAGGGTTGTCAAAGCTGTGCAGGACCAAGTCGCTCAGTTGAACACCAACACTCGATACCTTCATCCCAATGTGGCAACTCTTGGACAACGTCTAAGCAATCTGTTTCCGGATCCGTTGGAGATTGTCTTTTTTGTCAATTCTGGGTCCGAAGCCAACGATCTGGCACTCCGATTAGCTCGGGCATGTACAGGATCCAAAAACACAATTGTCGTCGATGGAAGCTATCACGGCCACACCATGACAGTCTTGGAGGTCTCTCCTTACAAATATGAACAGGGTGGAGAGTTCGATCTCCAACCACCAAAAATGGGCCTCAAATTTCAATCGCCTGGTAGACACATTTGGAAAGTACCGGCTCCTGATATCTACCGAGGTCCTCATCGAGATATCCGGACTGCCGGCAGGGAATACGCCAAGACGGTGGAGGAAGCTTGTCATTTCTACCAGAAAGAATGTGGCGAGAAAGTAGGGGCGTTCCTCTTGGAGGGAGGCATGAGTACCCCCGGCGCCATCCTATCACCACCAGGCTATCTGGCCCATAGTGTCAAGGCTGTTCGAGACGCCGGAGGTGTTTTCATCGCTGACGAAGTCCAATCTGGTTTTGGAAGATTTGGCACTTCGTTTTGGGCCTTTCAGCACCAACATCCTGGGCACGAGGAAGAGGTCGTGGTGCCGGATATAGTGACCATGGGGAAACCATTTGGAAACGGCATGCCCTTGGCTGCGGTTGTAACAACTCGAGCTGTCGCTGAGGCGTTTGAAACCAATGCTCATATCGAATACTTCAATACATTTGGCGGTAATCCAGTTTGTGCAGCGGCAGGTCTGGCTGTCTTGGATACAATTGAAGCGGAAAAGTTACAGCAGAAAGCTGTACAGGTTGGTGGCTATCTACAAGACAAGTTCATGGCACTACAACAACATTTGGAGATTATTGGAGATGTCCGCGGGTCTGGATTTTTCATTGGTGTAGAACTAGTGCGTGACCGTACAACATTGGAAGCTGCTACTGAGGAGACATCTTACATTTGTTCAGTTCTCAAGGAAAAGTACAAGATATTGACCAGCATTGATGGAATCTTTGAGAACGTGCTGATGATCAAGCCACCCATGGTCTTCAGCAAGGCAGACGCTGATTACTTTGTAGAGAGTTTTGAAGGGGCCGTGGGCGATATGAAGGCTGCCGGAGACGTTCGCTCCATGGAAAAGACCCCAACCTAGGTAGCTATAGCTAGTAGTTGGTACTGGTAGAGCGAATAGAAGAAGAGCCTTCCTTGTGGATCTACTGGCTAGATAGGTATCAGTGTTCAGTTCAGTTCACTTCACTTCACTTCAGACGTAGAAGTATCTCGTGTCCATCAATGGCAAACTTAGGGCCTGAAAATCAATCTATGATTCCATGAAGCTTCAATCTTCTTTACTACGTTGTCTGACATCCAAGTCACACACCCATCTGAGGGTAAGTTTGAGGATGTTCCTTCCTCCTCCCTTCCTGCTCCTAGAGTCTAGTACAGACTGTGGCTATCTAGCTAAAGTAGGGGTAACCAGGCTATCCGTGGAGGGTTTCTTGCCGTTCGAACGGTACCACAGCACGCACGCTGAATGGCCGCATGCTGTGGGCACTCTTGAAGATATCAAGAGAAGGTGGTGACTCCGTGAGAGGGCATTTAAGCATGCGTGGGAGGCAGCAGAAAAAGAAACAGCAAAACATGAAAGCAGAAAGCTGGTGATGTCAGAGTTGAAATTGAACATGGCGTTAACTCTTTGGGATTCTTAGGACACCACGTCATACAACACTTTCCAGGGCCATAGAGAAAAAACCACGCAAGTGAACAACGCTGCAACCAATCGGCTTGTTGCCTCCTTCCTCCCTCGATGACATCGACTTGGTACGTACGAGTCCCTAAACAGAGTTCTGAGAACAAGTTGACACCATGATGTGGTCATTGATGAGTTGTGTTTCTACAGCAGCATCGGAAGCAGCTCCGGTTTCGTCAGCCATTTTTCTCACAAAAGAAAGCATCACAGCTCAAGCTACCCTTCAACCAAACCATTTTCGAACGACAGGATTCTGTTTCACACACATATACAGCAGCAAGATGATGGGAAAATCCCTCCTTAGCCTCATGGCGATGTATTTTATGGCGTCGCATGAACGTTCAGCCCATGCCTTTCAGTTTCTGCCGAGTGGGAAGGTTTTTCAGCGAGCGGCCTTCTCGCGAATGAACCTGCGAATGGTCAGCTCTCATCTGGAACCTTCTGATGGTGGCACCAACAGGGAACGTCGCTTTGCGGAGTTTATGAATCTTGAGCCAGTCACCCAGTCAGAGGCCCGTCGAGAACGGCTGTCCAGGGATCAGGAGACTAAAGAGAAGTTTGCAGAGTATGGCGATGAGCTTTGGGCGCTGCGGAAGAAAGTGAAAAACTTGGGGGATAAGCTTGTAGGAGCACTGAATGGTGGCTCTCGGGAAAGTGAAGAGCTGCTTCGTCAAGAGTTGAGGGAAGCCGAGTGTCGTGATCCAGAGTTGGTCTACGAAGTGGAACTGCTGGAAATGGAGTTGGCCCGAAGGGACGGGGACACCGTGCAGGCAGAAAAGGCAAAGCAAAGGGCGCTTAACGCCCGAAGCTGTCTCCCACACTTCAACTTGGAGGGCCTCTGGGTGGGCAAGTAAGTGTTATATTGGCCGATCCCTGTTTGCCCGACGTCGTATGTGCATTATAAAGGAAGCTCACTGTGTCCCTTCTTGTCATTTGCAACCTTATCACTGATCCATCAGGTATGGCGGCCATGGGTACGAAATGATCAACGTCACTTATGTAGGTGACACAATGATTGCTTTCAAGGTCACTGGTGACAAGAACGTCCCCCGAGGGGAAATTACATTCCAGGCTGATCTTACGCCAAATGGCGTCCGAAAACTTCGTGATGGCATCATGATTGGTAGTGGCGGTGGTGCAACCAAAGATCACACACAAAAACCTCTCGAGCCCATTATGCTCACGGAAAAGGCGGCCTCCAAATGGGGCACACGACAATTGCCTCGGTACAGAGGATTGGGCCAAGTGGCCGAACCTGGCTTTACCAATAATAAATGGATGGATGGCCAATTGATCATCATTGGCGAGGAGTACTTCAGTTTTGCTTGGGTGGTACGTTTCATCTTTATTATTTTCATTGGTGTTTGATTTGTGTTGTGGCAGTGGCCTGATGCTTTCTTTCCGTCACCTTCCTTTTTTGCAGCCGCTGGAAAACCAAATTTTCTTTGGACGTCCTTCACCCGAGTTGGCTCTCAAGATGCTTCGAGAGGGCGGCATGGAACACTTGCGATCAAAAACTCATTGGGAAGCGCCACCGTCGTTGGATGAAGACGTGGATGTTTTGAAAGAGTTTGTCTCGAGCTGCTTGGAAAAGACAGCGCAAACTATTGAAGAGGAATTGCCTGCAGGAGATCCATTCAGCTGCATCTGGCACGGAACCGGCGACGCAGAGGAGTGTTACTTTGAATAGACGAAGAAGCAACCCGATGGCTTGGCTGTTGTTGAATGACTGACACGGTGTCAAAGCCCAATCAATGGCCACTCATGTACAAAATGCACGGGCAAGCTGCTCCTTGTAACCACGAGAGAAGACAAACCTTTAGATCGCTACAGTAAAAATTAAAGTCTTCATATTACTGTACAACCTGTACCCTTGACAACTTATTGCCGAAGGGTTCAGTTATTGCCGGAGCGCTCAGTACAGAAAAGTGGAACTATTAATTAATAGCAAGCTCAGACTAAAGCTTTTTTTGGCACTCCCACTACGGGGGGTTCCTTTCACCACCGCCAGCCTCCACCGGCAGCACCAGTTCCTTACTGTTGTCTCTCACCTTCATTGTCACACGAAACCTTCTTACCTACCGCTACAAATCCTCTGCAAGCTACATCCATTTTCCAAGCAAAATGGGGGCACCAAGCGTTCCACTAAGCCACACATTAGCGCTCAACACTCGACTCGACTCGACTCGCATTGAACAAGCGCGTCTTCCGCTGAGGAACTGGCCAGTTCTAGATCAATTGGAATGACTATCAAGTTCCATTACTTATTCGAAGCAAGCTGGGATGACTTTCAGCTCAATCGTTTTTTGCAGCTCTTAGCCCGCAAAACAAGTAGACCATGTGTACGGCAGACTGACATAAGCATTATATTATGTCAGCTTCAAGTGGCATGAGCTACTTCTTCAACTAGCCTTCAGCATACCGGTACTTGCAAGGGCAGCAACAACACCCCGCTGTCTCGATTTGCTCACGGCATGTAAAGACTTAGTAAAGCACGCAGATTGTACCGTAGCGTAGATCGTGTTCGTGTCGAGTTAGGCCCTTTGCTTACTCCCACATTTTGATGACCCCATCCCATCCGCACGAAAATACAACTGACGGGTCCAGAGGATGCCATGCCACGCAAATGGCGGGGCCCTTGTCATGAGCTCGATACTTTTGCATCATTCTGTTGTTTGTTTGAAACGAAAAGAGTCAACCGTTAGTTAGAAGAAAGCATTGAACTAACGGACAAAGCCCAACGACTGTTGGTTTCGAGACACGACAACGACACTCACCTCGTTCGTTTCCAATCCCAAAAACAGAGTTTTCCATTACCATCGCCGCTGACTAAAAACTGTCCATCCGGACTAATGTCCATTTCGCAGGCATACCCTGCGACAAGGTGTCCACTGAATTTTTTCTTTCGTTGTAGCGCAAATCGATTGGACGCTTGAAATACAGCGATATGGTTGTCGAGTGATTGTCCACAAAAGTACTGTTGTGAGGGATGCATGGTCAAGCAGGGTATGGAATGCATGGAAGGATCGCTGATATATTTGATGGGCACGGGTGTGTCCCATTCCCAAACCAGTAGCTTTTTATCATCACTGCTGGTAATCATTTTCATGCCTTTATCCTCAGAAAAGACAATGGCATTAACGGGTGCCAAGTGATGATTGTACTCTTGGGTGATTTCTCCCGTGGTACAATCGTAAGTGACAATTTTGTTGTCGCTGCATCCCACGACAAAGAGATTGTCGTCTAGCGGAAAGAATTTGACCACATAGGGAACTTTTCGATTGGTCAACGTCTGTAGAACTTCTCCCGATTCGGTATTCCACAATCGCAAATATCGATCAAAGGACGCCGACACGAATCTGGACCCAGTGTGATTGAACTGTACGTCTCTGACGGCAGCGGAATGTCCCGAGTAGGATCGCATGAGTTGTTTTTGTGGAATGGACCAAACTTTGCAGACGCCATCCAATCCCGCACTGAGCACCAAATGTCCCGTCTTGGGAAAGAGTCGAATCCGATGCACACCCTTGCTGCCCGCTTGGAAACGGTGAACGCACTTTTTGGGAACAAAACATTTGTGATGATCCATGTCGAGGTCTTCTTCGCTGTTGGCAATATTGGCCAATCCCGCAGGTGGTGCCATCCATGATTGTCCCTTGTAGTCGAATTCTTGTTTGGCATGGAATTGTGTAGTAGCTTCCATGATTTGATCGTCTGAAGCGAGCTTGGGAGGCAACAAATGTGCCATTTTTCGTTCTACGAGACGATCGACAGCCGATTCTGACTCCTTTTCCTCTTCTTGTTTTCCCAACTGACGATCTCTTTCCTTGAGGTATTCTCGTTCGGCCAATTGTTCGGGTGCCAGCGACTCAACTCCTCCCCTGGCAATATCACTGAGGGAATTGTCTGCGGCCCATCGTTCTTCCGTGGTAGGCGGAGCCCAAATGCCATGTTCTACTTCATCGTCTGATCCATGAACGAGAGGTTCCTTCTTGTCATTGCTGGGTCTCTGTCGTTTTCTCCGTTGTTCATCAACCTTGGCGAATTCTTGCAGACGGTGTTTGCTGTATCCCAGTGTGGTTCTGACCACCTCGCTTCCCTCAGCGTCTGGAGCAGCGGCTCTTCCTGTGCGTTGAAATTTGTTGCGCTGTTCTTGAAAGGTGGCTTCTTCAAAAGCCACGTTGGTTTCATGGTTGCCGTGTCCTTGCTTATTGTTGGAGGCGTTGGGGTCTACGAGAGGACCGTAGACAGGAGCATACAGACTGGATTTGGTGGGATTGTTCATGAGAACCAAAGCTCCTTGATTGCTCTTTTGAGTACTACCGGTACCAGTAGTACCACTAGAAGCACCACCTCCATAGACTGTCAGAGAAGTCGCTGTACTGCCTTGATTCAAACCACGTCCAGCGGTTATGGCAGACACGGAAGGAGCCGCTTGCAAAAAGCGACGATCCGCTGGACGAGCAATCGCCTTGACATCAGGCTTCAGTTTTGGTTCGTCGCCCTCCGAATTGGAGCTGTCATAGCCTCCTAGAAGGTCCATTGTGATGCCTCAAACAGAACCAATCAATAAGATATAAAACAAAGGTGAAGGCTTTGAGTAGGCTTTGTCGATTGTTTGTTGGTTGTTGTTGTTGATGGTTTTTGAGTGGCGTCTCTCTTCTTTCTGGGCAGGCGGCCAGACTAAATTATTACAAATATCTAAACACCAGGGTATGGCGGTCTTTTGCTCCACCGCCAAAAAGGCTCGCGGGTGACAGGAGAAATTGTGACCCAGGCTTGCTTCATCCAAGGCCACAAACCACGAAAGAGGAAACGGCAAATCCTCTCTCTCTCATTGGTCTCTCATCTCTCGTCTCTTACTGAGCTTAGTGAGACTGAGTGAGCAGAAGCTCAAGTGGAAGACTCACGACAAAAGGACATTGTACAGATCAAGCAAGCCATTGCAATCGTGCGGTCTCCCCTTTTGGCTTGACTCTTTGTCCCAAAGTTTCCTTGGTTTCCGACCATCCTCCGCCTCATCAATCGATTTGGCTGGGTCTGTTCATCATCCATCAATCAATCAAATCAATCAATCGTGCACCATATTGATTCAAATCACATCTACTTGATTGAGAGAAAATGGTGGCTGCGTCTGCAGTATCCAGTAGTACATGTACTAATGCCAGCAATAGCAATGTACCGAGTCTCCCACCGCAGCGTGAGGTGGCTCGGCCCGTTGCTAATTTGGGCAACACCTGTTATATGAATGCCGTATTGCAGGCTCTGGCACATGCTCCTGAACTATGCTTGGCCATGGACTGTGAACCCCATCGACACACTTGTCCCATTTACATTGAAAACACTCGCAGAGCCCGCTTGGCGTCGCCCACCAGTTCGCCCGAAGGAGGAGATGCCGAGCCGGACTTTAGACGCAACAAGGCGACGGCCAAGCGTGGAGTCAGAAGGTCCAGTCGAAAATCTCCAACCAGTGGACTGGGAAAAGAAGACAGCAACAACAGTACCAACGATGACGCTGACGATACGTACTGCACGCTCTGCGAAATGGAGTATCATCTCACTGAAGTACACAAGACAAATGTGGACGGAAAGGAAAAGGCCGTCGCTCCTAACTTTTTCGTTCACGGATTCATCAAAAAGGTCGCGCCATGGTTCAAGCTGGGACAACAGGAAGACTCGCATGAATTCCTGAGACTACTCATTGATGCCATGCAAAACAGCTGCAAAAATGCTAGACCAAAAATGGAAGATGACGCCATGGAAGAAGACATTCCACCCATTGGAGATGATGACATGATGGATACTGGTGGAAAAGTCAACACCAAAAACAAGGACGTAGAGTACCCCTTTCAACTCTTTAGAGGAACTGTAGAATCATGTGTCACATGCGATTCTTGCAAGGCATCCAGTTCCACATTGGACCCCATTGAAGATGTCGGATTGGAAGTCACGCCACACACACCCAACAAGGCATCCGGAATGTCTACTCGTGGCTCGCTTTCTTCCCCAGGAAATGGAGAAGCTTTGGCCGATGTCAGCTCGGCATTCCAACGATTTGCACGCGTAGAAAACCTTGATGCACAGTACAAGTGCGAAAAGTGCGGCAAGGGCGGAAGAGCCACCAAACAGTCGCGTCTGGCATCCATCCCGCCCATTCTCACACTACATCTCAAACGCTTTCGCTACGGTGGGGACGCCAGAGGACCATCTCCGGCATTTGCCACCAGCAATCGAAGAACCAAATCTGGATCGGCAAAGATTGAAGGACACATCAAGTTTGACCTCGTATTCGATTTACGGCCTTACTTGACAGACGAACTGCAGAGTAAACACAAAAAGATGTTCTGTCGTCTCTTTGCCGTCATTGTACACGCGGGAAAGAACTCACATTCAGGACACTACGTCTCATACGTTCGCAACATTACCAAGAACGAATGGTGGAAAATGGACGACGCTAGAGTTACTTTGGCGAGTAATGAAGAAGTCATGCAAGCCGAAGCATACATGCTCTTTTACCGAATCCTGGACCACCCTGTGGCTGTGCAACTAGAAGATCAGGCCAAGAAAATGAAAGAAGAAGTTGAGCGCTTGGCCAAAGAGGCCAAGGAAGAAGAGCAAAAGGCAATCGCCGAGGCAGAAGCCGCCGCTGCAGCAGCTGCCAAGGAAGCGGCAGAAACCGAAAAGGAAAATGTACCGGTCAAAAATGACGGCATCAAGCAGGAAGCAGACGCCCCGGTTCCTTCTGCAGCGGCATCAGCAACGACACTAGTAAAGGAGGAGCCAGCTCCAGCTCCAGTCCCCGCGCCCAGTTCTTCCGGTGCAGACAACAAGCCAATGGATGTCCAACCCGAAAAGCCATCGGGCCCCAGCAGCGGCAGTGCTCCCATCAAGAATGAGCCGGCTCCTCCTGTCCCAGCTCCAAAGCCAGCGCCTATGACTCCGCCCAAAAGCGCCAACACTGTCTCCTCGAATTCGAATGCGAATACCAGTAATAGCCGAAAGCGCGGTCTACCCGATTACCTGGATGGGAAAAGCTGGGCCAAGGCCAATACACGGTTGAAGACCTACTCGAGCATCGATAGCGCTCAGGATTACATCAACGAAAATATTCAATTCAAGCAAGACTTCTTCCGACTGATCACCGAAGAAGGAAACAAACCGAATGCCAAGGTGGATCATTGTCCCCTCAAGCGGATCACGCGTAAGTTTTTCTAGGTGGGAAAGGAAAAGTGGCCTTGGGACGACCGCTAATGCTAATGTCTTTTCTTCGGTTCTTGCGCCGAATCGGTAGCTGACGACGTAGTTGGTGGTTTTGGCCGGTGGGAAAAAGGACTCAAGGAGTGCATCTTCCGTCTTGCTCGCCGCTATGAAAAGGAAAACCCTGGAGAGTGCTTCTTCACCGCGGCCGTACCACGCAAAGTAGAGGCACAAACCGCAGTTTCCGCGACTACATCTGGAAACGCTACCGCTCCTTCTGGCGACGATGCGTTGCTGTAGTTGGCTGAGATCTCTTGGCCTGTCATTTGGTTCCGTAAGGTTGCTAACACCATGGAAGCTACTAACACTAACTAGCTAGCGGTGACTGTAGTTAGGCAGATCTAAAGCGGTGGCTCGTTCGTCCTGTACCTGGCACCGTACCACGAAAGAAAAGACAACGCCTCCCAGAAAGAACTATAGATACCGTACCACGAAAGAAAAGACCACGCCTCCCAGAAAGAACTATAGATACTATAGTTCTGAGTGTCTCGTTGATGTCCTTGTAGCACCAACAAAACTCTGGTGGGCTCGGGGGGCGTTGTCTAGTTCCCATTTTCTGGCAGCACTACCTGTACCTCTAGTAACCATATTCAAGGATAGAAGAGAAATTATTCTTTGATTTGGTTCTCGTTGGGCAATTAAAACTAGATTTAGATCCTTGTCGCCTCCGTCATTGGAATTTGGGACATCCAGTTTATTTGTAGATCCAGGAAGTAGTTCGTCGATTAGACAGCGACCGCAACGACGTTTTCAAGGAAAGCTACCATTGATTGCATTGGTAGATTGTTGTATGGTTAACGGTACATGGAGTCCGCCTTTTGTGCTTCTCGCTCCATCAAATCTAGGGGTTTGAGAATATTGCCTGTGCGAAGTGATAGTACAAGAGAGGAGTGAGTCGCTAGCAGTTGTGAGGATGACTTAGGCCAGTCTTGAGCTACGAATGGATGTGTACCTTTGCTTGTCTCCGTTATGTAGCCATTCTGTACCATTTCATCGAGAAGAAAGTGGACTTGCTCCAATTGATACATGATATCCAACTCGCAAATAGACCCAGCCCATCGATCCATTGTCTCCACAAGAGCATGAATAAATTCGAGCATTCCCAATTCATTCTCGTTGTTCTCTGGTTGACCCAAATCGGGCTTGGTGCCCACAATGAAAAAGAGACTGGCGTAACGACGGTAAATCACCTTGTATCCACGATACTCCAAAAAGCTGCACTGAAGCTCACTGCGACTCAAACACTTGCGGATAATTTCACTCTCCAACGCCACACGTTCTTCCATTGGAAGCCATTCGTAGTAAGAGCTAAGCCGAGTTTGGCCTTGCTTGTTGCTGGTGCAGAGTGATGTGACGTGACAAGTCCCAGAGGAGTGGAGCAAGTGGAGCAGCAAATCGTGAGTGAGACCAAAACGAGCACTACGCCTCCACCAAAGCAGAGCAAAAGAAAGAGAATGATTCAATCACAACTTACACCATGAGGAGAAACGAGATCATGGTTCCTTTCAATCTGGTTGCTAGTAGAGCTAGCTACGGTACGGTAGGATCGTTCGCTGTTGGTGAGCTGCGATGGTGGTGTGTCCTTTGAATTGGCTTTGGCGTTGTGATTGGTCAAATAACAATAATATTGCAGGACAATCCGGAACCGAATTGAATCGATTCGATTCGAATGATTCTTCGATTCGAAGCCCAACCGGCACCAGGTAAACTACGGTACCAGCACCGGTACCTGGAAGGCAGCCGATTTTAGCAATTGCTGAAAATCGTTCCTATTCGCGCTGCGCGACTTGCCGCGAGTTTCCCACAATTTGCGCAGCCCGAATAGAACGAATGGCGCGACTTCACCACGACTTAGCGCGACTTAAATCGTCTTTATTAGTATAAATGCTAGTAGTTACTATTTGCGCAGCGCGATGCTAGTAGTTACTATTTGCGCAGCGCGACTTACCGAGAATCGCGAACGACTTTCCAAGTCGCGCAGCGCGACTTACCGCGACTCGCGAACGACTTCACGCGACTTTCTGGAGTGCTTATTTTAGCGAATGGCCTAATCGGCTGCCTTACCGTCCGAAGTTTTTCACTCAGGATTTTTAAAAAAATTGAAATCACCACGACTGAGAACCGTGTGAAAACATGCCCTTAAACATGCCCTTAAATGTTCAACATGCCCTTAAACATTCCCTTAAATAAACATGACCTTAATGCCTCGAAACATGCCCTTAAGCCTTCATCGAAACACCATAGAACATACCCTTATCACGAATGAACGTGCCCTTAAATAAACATGCCCTTAAAACATGCCCTTAAATCGGCAACATGCCCTTAAACATGCCCTTAAAACATGCCCTTAAATGAGAACCAGTCATGACAGTTTTTTTCGAATCTTTCATTCTAGCTGGCTACCGTACCCTGCTGGCTAGTAGCTACCATGGTAGCTAGTTGCCACCCAGCACCTCGGGGTAAAAGGCTTCTTTTGACCTTTTTCTCATTTCCCGTTAGAGATTTTGCGAAGATTGGTCAAAAGCAGCTTGGAAGCCAGGCTCTCTTCATTGCCTTCCCTGCGTTTAGAACCATCAGACGACGTCTGATGAACATAAGACAATGTCTTATGCTTAAGACGATGTCTTACACTCGCTAAAAGCTTAAGACGATGTCTTAGACTCGCTGAAAGCTGTCTTGATTGGGGATGAGCAAATCTTGCTATAGGGCTGTTTTGCAGTGGATAGCAACTGATATAGCTAGTTTGAATTAGATTTCTACATAGACATATATGTCACACCAAGGCCAACACTGGTGCCATGGCCACACTTTTTTCTTCTCACTTCTTCAATCTTCTTCTTCAGTTTCTTCTCTCAATCATTCCTGGGCGTCTTGAACTGTTCTTCCTCGGACATGCTGCTGCCACCGGCAGTGGACTCATCCGAAACTGTGAAAACATGGGAAGGCCTGGTTTCGGTGCCAGCTGGGGCTGGGGCTGGAGCTGGGGCTGGAGCTGCCGCGGGGGCTGCAGCCATGGACATTCGCTGCATCAAATTGCGGAAATCTTCTTCGCTCATGGTGTTGAAGTTTTCTCTAAAATACTGGTACGCAGCTGGCGAATTCGCCTGAACATGCTCATCTCGTGCGTTGGCAGCTCTCTTGTATTGCTCATCGAGTTGTTGTGTAGTGGTGTTGAACTGCTGCCTCTGCGTCGCCAACTCTTGTTCATGCTGTCGCCTCATCTGATTGACCTGAGCTTCCTGTTGATTGAGCCGATGAAGCAACTGCGCCAACATTGGGTCTGGAGCTGGAGCAGGCACACGAGTGTTGGGAGGAGGCGGAGTTGCCAAACCAAAGAGAGTTGCCGTCCTCTGGGCCTCTTCGACCGAGACGGGAACGAATGCATCTCTAGCCTTGATGGGCTTGTTGCGCTTGGACCAAGCACCAATAGTAGTCATCAACCTCGTAGTCCTGGGAATTGTCGTGTAGCAGACTGGGTTCTGCAAGCTGCCAAAGTCAACAATGCGAGGACTAACAAGGTAAGGTTCAACTGCTTCGGGTAGCGCAATAGATGCTTTGGCCCAAACGGTGCCATTGATTTCCTCGTAGTCACCATCTCGAATTTCATCTTCTTCTGCCCTATTGATGGTGTTGCGGAGTGGTTGATCCAACTGCTGTTCAACAACATCTCCATTGTGAGCCCCATTTGGCTCCATAAATCTGAAATCGATGGTCTTCATATCCTCCCGCAAGGTTGCTTCCACGGTGGTGACACCAGAGGGTGGATCAAAGCGAGCAACATACAATGTGGACACAACTCCGCGGTTGTTATCCACCATGCTGTCATTGACATAATGACGCGTGTAGAAGCTCATGTTGTTGCCAGATTGTGGTGTCGGCGGCGGCGGCGGCGTTGGTGTTGGTGCTGGAGCAGTGGTGTCGGCAACTTCTTCTTCTTCCACAAACTCGTCTTCGTCTAGCGTGCCACCCAGAATGTCGTCTTCAGCACCAAGATCTTCACCGTCGTCTCCAGGAACCAAGGGAGGAGCCTCGGCAGCAGCGTTTTCAGGGATGGCTAGGCCAGCAATGGCGCGGACTTCAGGGGTGATCCACCTTGGCCGCGAGTGGAAGGATGAATATCAATCTCGTATTGCTTCTTGGTCTGCTTGAAATTGTGGTCAACCTTGGCTGATGTCCACTTCTCGCACAGGACTTGGCCTTGAGGGGTGGCTTTGAACTCAGTGTGGGTGCAATCACGTCTACCAGCAGCAAACTGACCAGCGACCCACTTGAGGACCTTTCCGGTGTCAGAATGAGATTGCGTCCACTTTGGACCTCGGCAAGCTCTTTGTTGTGGCATGATGGAAATTGTTGTGGCAGCCAAATCAAAACTGCTGATCCCTCGCCATTGTTGCACTCAGGTTTTGAGGAAAGCGCATCGTCGCACTTTGGTCGCCCATCATTGTCGGTTGATTATTTCAGTTGACTTCAGTTGGTCGATTTTTCGAGTTTGTGTTGTGTTCGCTGTGGCATAGCAATTTGTGTGTGAGAGTGCAGTCGACGTCCAATCTTGTTTTGGCTTGTTTTCACTTGTTTCGATTGAATTGCATTGGATTGGATTGGATTGGATTAGATTGAATTGCATTGGATTGAATTGAATTACCATTTACTATGTAAATAACAGTACTTTTTGGTATCCAATTCAATCCAATCCAATCCAATCCAATGCAATTCAATCCTATCCAATCCAATTGAATTCGGTTTCTAGCCAAAATGCGAATTTTGCCTTTTCAACTGACGTTCCGAGCAGCCAGCCCTGCCAAGTTGCGCGATACTCAATTTTTTACTTAGAAGTGGCCGGCATTCCCGGAAAGTTAACTATAAACCCAGTTTGGCAGTTGAATCGCCAATCCCGTGCGAAGAAAAAGACTCGGAACATAGAAAGTTCCAATTTGCCGGGATCACGAACAAAGAAAACGCAATCCGACACAAAGACATAGGGTGGAAATCCCAATCATAAGTAAAAATGTATGGGTTTCCAGCTCTGGCCGGTCACCAAAAAGGATGGTTTCTAAGCAAATTGCGTGTGGAAGCGTGTGGAAAGTGTTCTGCGCAGCCGTTCCAAGGTAATCCAACGTCAGCTCGGAACCAATTCGGAAGCGATACTCGGAAGCAACTCCGGCTAGATAGTAGCTAGCTGGCTGGTGGCTAGCTAGAGTGCTAGCCAGGTAGCCAGCTAGCTAGCTAGCTAGCACGTCACTTTTTTGCCTGCCGATAAACAAATATGCCGATGGCCAACAAACAAGAACTATGCCGACCATGGCGCAGCTCTAGAGCTAGTAAGTAATCATCAGAAGCCTTTGTCCTCGTTCAATCAACAGCTTTGCTCATTGTCTCGATCTTCTTTTATCCTTTCCAGAATGCCTCCGCCACCTCCAAATCCAAACCGGATTGATGCTGCCTACTTTTGCAGGCTTGGGAAGGTCTATCTCAGCCGGCATCCTGATTCCTTTGAAAGTGTTGACTGCCAGAGAGCCTTTCGAGAGATGTTTGGCTGTTCCCCGCGAGTTTGTGTTACTTTGTGGAGGCATTGTCGGGCCCGTCGAATCCATCGTGGTGCTGATCCCAAGCATATTCTTTGGGCTCTCCTGTTCCTAAAACTCTACACGAAGAACATTCCTCTGGCTTCTCTTGCCGGCACTTCTCCCCCAACCTACACCAAATGGATTTGGCGGTACATTCCTTCCATCAGCGCTTTGCGGCCACGAGTTGTAAGTCTTCCAGCGTGGAATTTTGTTCTTTGCGATTCGATTCATCTATTTCTAACCATGGTACAGATCAAATGGTCCAACAGGTTTCGTACTGGTCGGTTCGGCAATCGCAATCGATCTTGCAAGATCACCGTGGATGGGACCGATTGCCCCATCAACCAGCCAACACCATTCTGCAAGAGTTGGTTCAGCCACAAGTTTGAGGGCCCTGGTCTCCGGTATGAGGTGGGTGTGTGTATTCAGACAGGTGACATTGTTTGGATCAATGGTCCCTTCCGGTGTGGAGCTTGGCCGGATTTGAAGATCTTCAAGCGTGATCTGGTGCATCAGCTGGCTCCCCATGAGTTTGTGGAGGCTGATGGCGGCTACCTGCACCCACGTGTCCGCACACCCAACAAGTTTGTGTCATGGTCTGACAAGCGGGCCAAGGATGATGCCCGCCACCGGCATGAGGGCATCAACTCAATGCTGAAGAGCTTTGGCGTCCTGAACTTTTGGTTCAGGCACGACCTCTGGCTCCACAAGCATTGTTTTGGTGCCTGTGCCGTCGTCACCCAGCTTGGGATTGATGACGGCAGCATCCACCCCTGGCAAGTTCGGTATTGAGCGGTGGTGGTGGGGCTGCCCTCCCATGGTTCCTTGCAACCATGCGGATGATCACTGTTTTGGCATTGCCACCAACTGTGATCAACGACGTCCTGTCGTTCTTGTGCTGATCCTGTAGCGCATCTGCTCTACTTGGTTTGCTCATGAATGGCTGGACGTCATTGATCTCTGTTGGCCAAGTTAATTCTAGATCTGCAATTGCCCTATCTATTTCAATGTATTTCTAGCTAGCTCTAACTAATGCAATATAGCGCCATGGGCAGGTTTGCTCATCCCCATTGTACGGGCCGGTCATCCTGCTTCAGACGCCGTCTGATCAGACATCGTCTGATCAGATAGCATCTGATAAGACAGTGTCTGATCAGACGCTGTCTGATGCATAAGATGGATCAGACGACCTTGCTTGGAATGAGGCTATGCTTGGGTTCAGTCCACAGGAAATCCAATGATTCTTTCAATTTTAAAGAATCCGATTTGGGTTTTAGATTTTGCAGGTTTTTTACCTTGAGGTGCAGGGTCGGGCTAGCTAGCTAGTACCAACTCATACCAGGAGAGCTCCAAGGACACAAGGATTGAATCATTCTTTGGGTTGGAAATGAATATATTGATGTGAGGCTCTTGAACTCAACTCCTAAATAATATCTATCTTGTGCTAGCTGGACTAGCCAGGTCGGACTCCACCAATGTCTAATATATCGTAACACTGCATCCTCGTCCAATTGTTCTTCCGCTCCTCTTCTAATCGGCCCCGAAGGCTTCATGCTGGCCCCGCATTCCTCGTTTCTTGGGGCTGTTGGCCTCCAAGGCCGCAGAAAGCTTTGCCTGGTCCAAACCGACTGGCTGCAACGCCTTCAAAGCATTTGCAGCATTTCCATTCATGGTCAGGTCCACCGGCAGTGGTGGAGACAGATAACGAATATCCAACTGGCAAGTGCGGGAGAAACAAGTGACTGTGAGATTATGCAACAGAAAGAACAAGGAGTGCACAGCATGGTATGTATTGCGAAAACTGACAATTCTGGCAACCTCCAGGCAATAGGTGGTCAAGTCTGCTTTGGATAACAAAATGGCACCTACGCCTTGCCAATGATTCCGATGCTGAGCAATGATCTTGTACCCAAGGAATCCTCTATCAACAGCGACCTCTGTAGGCCTGAAACCAATAAAGGTCAACCATTCTCTTGGGCGGTCTTTCAAGAACTGCTCAACCTGTAAATTGCAAAGAAGGGAATGGATGCACCCAATGAATACGCTGTTTGCAAGCTGTGTTCGAAATGCCACAATGTTTGAAAATGGACCAAGTCCCACTCACCGCAGCCCTAAAGATTGCAATCTTTTCGTAGGGAGTGTCAATTCCAAATTTCAATTCCACGTAAATAGTTGCATTAGGAGACCTGGCTGCGTTGATGACACGCAGGTTCTGTTTTGTTTCATTTTGGTGTAATGGGATGGGTCAGAATTACATCAGCGGGAGCAACAGCGAGAAGGGCAAAAGGCTGCCATCGGACTCACGGAGATTGCACCGTTGTTCAATGTGGCGCGTTCATTAGTTGTACCCCAATAGACAGTCGTTGTCGTAAGGGTGACTTTCTCTGTGTTTGTTCAGTGAAGTGAGAGTGTGTTAGTTTGAACAGTAAGGCACGATTAAAACGAACAGCACACCCTCAACGTACCCACAATCCAGCCGGAAGAGCCATCTGGACTCGTCTCATTCTGTGGATTAGAGAGATGGATCCTATCTCCGACGCCTGTTGTTCGTCAAAGAGTGGACAGCTGTTAGACTTTAAAAGCACATTTCGTTGGATCCATCCTTGATCGTTAACATACCGTAAGGTCTTTGGACAAGGATAAACAGGAGTCCCTGTGTAACGCAGCAAATCAATGGAGGCAGGAATATGGCTTGTCAACGACAGTCAAGACAGAAAATGGTGGTACTGGATCTTCTTTTCCAAACGTACCTCGAAGTATTTGGCACTACGTAATCAAGGCGAATGCAAACGACGCTTTGTTGGCGCCGATGTAGCATCAGCAAGTTCATCACTAACGCAGAGAGACTCACCTTGTTGCACCAAACACTGTTGAGAAGAAAAAGGCGAGAACGAGTTAGCTCTTGCCTCTTCCAAGCCAAAGTTTTGCTGCCACTATGGCATACTTACTGAATGAAAAACCTAGAATGGCACTTGAAAATGAAAGGTAGACTGCCCTTGGGGAACCCCCCAAGTCTGCAAGCAACATACACGCAAGAAAACCATAGAACACAAAGTTGATAAGGGATTCAATCGCCTTGTCAATCTGGCTGCTATTGGCAATGTTCGCACTAAGGAGCCTGAGCTGCTTGTAGATAGCATCAATGCTCCTGCATGGGATTGCAAGGACGCACGTGAGAAACATAAGGAACGAACCCGTCCGTGAACTTGGCACTTCTCGCACTTACTTGACAAACTCAAGCTTGCCCAAAGTTCCATCTCTTTCGGGGCGAAAAATCTTGATGAGCTCCTTGGCTTTGTCTTGGTTGATCCCACCGCTTTCGTCCTTTGCAAGGAGAGCAAGCGTTTCAAAGGGAATCTCATCCAAGTGGGGGGTGCGTAGAAGCAAGCGTTGGTACACTGCCTGGCTCGACTCGATACAACGATCCCTTGTGTCAGCCTTCCCAATAGGCGGAGTAAAAAGGAGAGAGAGGTGAGCATAGCCAGACAAGTTCACTGGTTAGGAATCTGAGTAAACAAGAACCTTACCGGTCCAAAGGCTGTAGTAAGTGAATTATTCGTGAACGAGGATCCAGAACATGAACATGAGTAAGTGTAGACACTGAATCACAAAGCAACTCTTCGTAGGGATGCTCCATTGATTTACCTGGCAGAAAAGGATACTTGCGCTTCATGAACGACAAAGCCTGCCGGAACTGCATAATTGCTCCGAGTGTGATTTTTCGTTCCTTTAGAAAAAGAGAACTATGAGCTCTCGAAGGTGCTCTGATTACAACGCACTAACCATGAGGCTTCTTATCACCCAACTCACCTCTGACTCCTCCGCTCGCTTGGGTTCTTCCCAGGCATCCAGCAACGCTTCAATTTCATACTGCTCTGAGGCAGTAAAATCTTGGTCGGCAGCATTGGCTTCATTATCCTCCAGGTCACCCGGAGCAGTTGGGGCCAACAGGGAGGTAGTTGATCCATCCACCCCCTTCTTATGTTTTGCCATGAACGTGGTAGCGGCTTCGGTTGCGCTAGGAGAAAGGGCGCTGTTTCTTGCTGCTTCTTCTTCGGCTTCCAAGGCAGCTTCGGCTTCTTTGTTGACGAAGTCAGCAATTTCGTTAGGATCCCATTCATCGGTGAGAGACCTGGCGTGTTTGTTTGCATCACTCCTGTCCCGGACAAAGTCGTCTTTGTCTTTTTCAATTTCTCGGGCTAGCGTGGCTACTTCGCCCACGAGAACCATATTCTAGAGTTTGTACAGATGTATGCATAGCCATGGTGAGAAAATAGTGGAATCAGTGCTTGCCGAAAGGCGTTGGAGTCTTACCTTCATCACGACTGCCAATTCTTGTCCATAATGTGCAAAGGTTTGCCGACCCAGCATGAGCCCGACGACGAGGCGCTTGATGGCGGCGAGGATTCCCGCAAAGAGCATCAATCGCAACAAACTCTGGTAAATAGTGCCGTCCAGAACACCATTTCCTGGATTATCCTGAAGAAGGTCCCAAAAATGTCGCGTGGTCAGATCAGCATTGCTAAGCTGTCTTTGGTGGTACCGGTACATCCAACTCGAGCCTTACCTCGTTAAAAAGACCTATGATGATGACAAGGAAAAAAAAATGCAGGTTAGGCTTCTGGTTGCTTGCCTTCCATTTCAACAGCTGCCTCTTAGTTCCTCTGTTTCGTTGCAGCCTGCAGCCTACTACTCACCAATTTTATCTTGCTGGTAAAGCCAATGCCTGGCGTAACGTTTTCCACCAGAGAGCAATATAAAGTTGTAAGCTCCCCAGAAGGTGGAAATGAATGGCCAACCTTTGCTTTGGACAACGAGTAGAGTGAAGATGGGGCCCATCCATTGGAGAGAGAATCTAGATCCCAGTGCCAAAAAGTCAATCACCAATGCCTGCGTAATCAAGGCCATGGTGAGCGTAATGACCAATCTGACACCGAGAAAGAGGAACCACCAAGAAGCAGTCGCAGGTTGTCCCGGCACGACGTTGCCATATTCGTCTTTTTCTGGGTTTTCGACAAAGTAGAAGAGCAACACTGCCATCAACATGGAGGGCAACACAATGAAAAGGACGACCTGTCTGGCATAGGATAGAGCGGACTGGCGTTTTCCACCGACGAATTCCTGAAAGAGTTCATAATCTTCTTGGATTCCACCCTTGGCGCCGGAAACAATTTGCTTGACTCTGCGTCGCCTAAAGAAGCGATTTCGCCGTTTCCTTTTCTTCTTTTTCTTGGCACCGGCTGCTGTGGAGTTTTCTTGTGCTCCTGAACTCCCAACGCTGTATTCCGTACCCGATTCACTGTATTCGCGGGCGTTGTTGTTGTTGTCGTCCGCGTTGGCAACGTGTTCATCAATTGTAATCGCAAGCTTATCCACGGCATTGAGAGAATGCTGAAAGTCTTCCGAGACCATAATGTCTTGTTTTTTCTTCTCGGAGCTGTGATGATCTCCTAGATCATAGAGGGCATTGGTGAGACCAAATAGAGTCTGCTCCACCGTTCCGTCTCCTTTGGCGGCGGCCACTTGGACTTCCGTAGTGTGCTGGATCAATCCCTGGAATTTGGGAGTCATGGTGCCTCCAGCCGATGTGCTGGTCTCGTTCATGTCATCCGTATTGATCTGTTTCTCCTTTTGTTTCTCCTCCTTGTCATTTTCGACCATGCTCTGTGTGATTTCGTCATGTGCAATAGTCCCGAACAAATCGAATGTTTCCGTGTTGGTTTTCTGATGTGCTTGCCCGACGATTTTCTCGACAGCTCTCAAGATGTGAGTCTCTGCTTCTAGTTCATGAGGTCCACTGGCCAACATGTCATGCAGATCGATCGAAGGCGACGGGTCATGACGACGAGTTGGAGTAGGCACGGGAGAGTGCATGGGGCTCAGATCGGACTGCCACGAGACATTGCGATGCTCGTGTGTGACGGTCTTGGGACGTTGAAGAGCGGACGCCGGAGGAGGAACCGGACTGTTGGTGGAGCTTCTGGGAGGATTGGGCGACTCTGGAGGCGGTCCTCGCTGTACAGGTTGGTACTGACCATTGCTTCCAATGGGCATTGTGACTTTACTTTACTCTACGCTGAACAAGAAGATGACCAGACTGACTTGAAAGAAAGGGGACCGAATTTCTCAGCCTTGTATCCTCGGCTCAACAGCTGCTTCCGGATACTAGTATGAGAAGAATGCTTTTGCGATTGTGCGCAGCAATACCAGGACTTACTTTTACTCTGGAGTAATGAAAGCGGATGGAACCAATGGTAGTGGACGCATTCAAGTGAGATGTCGATGATCGATGATGATGAGGTTGCTGTCCCGAATGAACTGTTCCGGCAAAAAGATCTCAAACAGACCAAAGGAAACACCTCACCAGTGCCATACGGTACTGTACGGTATTAATACGACTTCTCAAGAGCTTGGAGAGGCCTCTTAAACGGCACGCACTCTTCACTTGGGCATAAATTAATTATTTATGTCGCAAAACAACTATTCAGCGTGCTTCTCGACTTCAACCTGGGACTTGGGAAGATGCGGCCTCTCTGCGTCTGGGGTCTGGGGAGCAAAAATTCTTTGGGGTTCACATGTTCACAGGACGCTGCCATTTGTATGTGTTCAGATTTTTGAGCTCTACGCTGTACTTGATGACGAACAATCTTTCCTCACCCACCGATCCATGCGTTGCCATGGTATCAGTACGACCGCACACCGTCTACAGAGGAGTACGACCGAGCATCCGAAGGCAATGATACCAGTAGACAGGCTTGCATGTGGTAATCCAAAGATTACCCTGAACTGCGAATGCAATGCTACCGCCAAAAGTGAAGGATCAATGCAATGCTGCAGCGCTGTGGTTTGTAGTGAGCACTTCCACAATCATCCCACCTATTGGCGTATCAATAGAACGCTTTCCATTATTTCTAGGGCACCTTCCATGGATTGATGCAGATACCGGTACAGCACAGTCACGCACCTCCTCTACCGGTACCAGTACCGGTAGCGGTAGCTCCATTTCCAAGGGTTTGATCGGCGACCCTGAACTCTATATCATAGTAAAAGCGTAGGAATGGCACGATCCACCGGCCACCCGGTCAAGCGAAGCATTGAGTTTTTGCGACAGGACGTTTGAAGTCTGATGGGTCGTCGTTTGTCGTCGAGCATTCGATCATGGTTCCAAGCGCATCACGATGGGGAATGGACAGCGAAGAAGCGTAGAAAACGACACGAAAGGCAATGCGTTTCGTGGAGAACCACGGTCTCGGAGGACTTCGATTGTGTTGCTCTTCAATTCCTCTCACAAAACTTGTGAAGCAAATCTTCAAAAGCCTTACAAGCAAACATCATCTCGACTCCATCAGACTTTGCTCATCGTCGCTAGTTCATTTCATCGACCATGTTCCTCGCCCATCTTTTCTTGATTACTTTGCTGTTCGCCGTGGCTCCTTCTTCCTTGGCAACGCCCACCAAAGACCTCGTCCGTGGAGGCAGCTCTCGCATTCGCGGTGGAGGTCGTCGAAACTTGAGTGGCTCTAGTGGAGGAATGGGCATGTCCATGGGCCCCGACTGCATGTCGATGATGGGCGGCATGATGGGCGGCATGATGGGATCCGGTTCCATGTCGGCGCCATCGTCATCGTCATCGTCATCCGACAGCATGGAGACGGAGGTAAGTAAAGTACCATGTTCCGTTTCACCAAGTACACATTCGTTTTTCTGTTTGCTCACCACCAGCTTGTCTGTTGGGATCTATCCAAACTCGAAATACCGCTAGGAACCTGTGGATTACTGCATTCCTCGGTCGTTGTTTGCTTCGAGTCGGGATGGATATCTGTTCGAGATTGACTACACGACTAGCGAGGTGATTGATGTCAAGCCATATCATCTCCCTTCACCTTCCACTGAGATTGTTTTTGACAAGGAGAGCAACACGTTGTGGAACGCTCTAGGAGGAGGCGCGGCTTCAATCTTCAACGTTGACAAGCAGGGCAGCGTGATTGGTTACCCTATGGAACACGAGTTTGGCGCCGTCCAAGGAATGGAGTACGTTGATGGCACTCTTTATGGGACCTTCTTTGATGTCGACATCATGTTCACGGAAACAATGGGCAATGCCACCAATGCCACTGTTGACTTGTCATGGAAGCTGGTCGAAATTGACACGGGGGACCGCGACTATCCCCTCGTTGACATTGGTCACACAGGCATTGAAAACCCAATCTCTGGGTTGGCCTATGACACAGCCAACGAGATCATGTATGGAGTCACTGCTGGATATGCTTACGCCAATTTGGCAACAATTGATCTTTTGTCTGGAGCTGTCACAAGCGTGATTCCCATCACAGTGGATGGCTACGAAATTGCAAGGGTTGGAAGCATTGAATTTGACGGTACTGGCAATCTTCGTGGCTGCTTGGCCAGAGATTACAGTGGTCCTTACCAGCTAATGACAATTGACCCCTGCACTGGTGAAGCCGAGTTCAGTGGTGTAAATCTGGGCTTTCCCTGCACTGGTCTTACACTTGTTTGCCAGCCACCTACCCCTGGACCTACACCAGGTCCCACACCAGCCCCAACACCTGGTCCATCTCCAGGCCCCACTCCTGGCCCCACCCTTGAACCAACCCCTGGGCCCACTCCTGGACCAACAAAGGGACCCACTCCTGGGCCCACTCCTGGACCAACTCCGGGACCCACTCCTGGACCAACTCCTGGACCCACACCTGGACCCACACCTGGACCCACTGACAGCTACTATGGAGGGACTATGCTTCCACCTCCTCCTCCTCCAGGACCTGATCGTGCTTAGGATGAAGAGAACTGAATTTTCTGCAGCCCGAGAACCGTGAAAGCCTGAGAGCATTCAGACCATAAAGATTAAAGACATAATCAGACTAAGGACATAAAAGATCAAGGACCCAAAAGACCTATTGAAAGGGGCTTCTATAGATGTGCTGCAGTTCTGAAGTCTACCACTGATGAATCATGTGAAATCGGAGCGGGTTGAAACGAGGCTGCATACCGTATAGACTTCGAGTTTGACCTGTACGGTGGACAAGCGCAAGAGCTGGCTGTTGTGGAGTGGAATACCACTAGCTCCTGCTAGTTAGTATCATTGTGCATCCTGGAACGATTGTTGTTGTAATTCGACAGTCGTGGAGATCACCAATCCGACGAATGCAGCAAGTGCAACGTAGGAGAGAATTGCCGCACGCTGGATACAAGGATCCCAAGGAAGAAGAGTATCCACTTTCCCTCGGCTTGAGGAAGCAACACCAGAGTCTGGCTCGGCCCAAAAGTTGTCTTTGTCAAAAAATTGTTGTTTTTTCTTCAGTTTTTGTTTGATACGTCTTCCATATTCCATTAGTAGAGCTGCGGATAGGATGCAAATCCAGTTGACGCACAGCAGTAACCGTCGTACATCGAAAAGGTTGTGATGGGCCCTGGTGGCTGGCGAATTGTTGTTGGTGTAGTAGGTTACGGCGATGCACCATATCCATCCAAAGATCATACAAAGGACAAAGACAACGTCGTGGATGGCTTCATGTGTCAAGATACTAAAGTGGGCTGTCAAGTAAGCAAAGACAGCGGAAAACATGCCACAGATTGTTCCGATCTGAACTCGTTTCAAATCGTCTTCAGTGATACTTTCCGAAGAACCCAGAGTCTTTTTCAGCTTTCCAGTCACGGCCTCGCCCCACAGAACTGCAGTTAGTGCCTGGAGTGGAGATGCAACAGCTGACCCCATCTTGTAATAGCGCAGTCCTTCCTTTTTGCCACCAGCAGTGCAAATGATGGGTGTTGACAATCGAACATATTTCTTCCTCACAGAGAGCCGAACAACAAACACAATTGTCGACAGATAGACCACAGACCATGCCAAGGGAACCAAGGGAGCCAACCTACCCAACAGCAAGCTCATCGTCAAAGCACATCGGACGCCGATCGAATCTCGAGATCTTGTTGTTGTGTCGGTGGTACGGTACACGGTACCGTACCGGTACCGGTTCCTTTGTTAATTGAGTCGGGTTTACTATGGATTAGAGAGAGCTAAGAGGAGGACGGAGACAGAGGTCAAGGGGGGCACGACGCAGGAACGCAAGGCAGGCAATCAAGGGCGCAAGCAGGGCAACATGGAAACCAAGGATAGGGGTGAAGGCAGGAGGGCAGGGAGGAGCAAAGGAGCAAGACTAGCGGAAGAGATCGAGGGCACCACAGTCATCCCAACGCTTGGAAACCTTGAGAGCGGTTCCTTTGGATTTCCGTACTCATCTACCCAATTCCAAGAGCCTCGGTTTTCTGACGACTGAAACGTGACCTGAGTAAAAGTACAATCGGATTTATTCTCGATGCGGAGCACGCTACTGGTACCAGTACCACCACCAGGTACTAGCTATCATAGCTAGTACAGTACATACTCCTTTAAACACTACTGTAATTTTTGCAGTTTGTGCAACCTGCAGAGCTGTTGTAGCTTTCCACACATGGTTCTTTTTACTACAGCTGTACAGTACAGTATGCTTTTCCAGTTCAGTACTACATGTACTTTCATACTTTCACCTAAGCTACACATTCTAGACTAGTTGTTGGATCTTTTGAGTCTCCACGAAAGTGGTCTGGTAAAGTTGGCTTGTGGGAGGGTCTCCAATGGCGGAAGTCTGGTTGCATTTGCTTTCCCTTGTGATCCTTTGTCCTCCCCTCCTTGCCAACCCTGGCATCCGAAGAAGGTAACATTTACTAACTGCGTAAAAAAATCAACCTACTAGCTACCAGGTAGTCAGTCAACTTCCACCTTGACATCCAAGCGAAGGTTCAAACGACTTGCTCAACTATAAAAAATGGAAAGATAGCTACTTTGGTTCTACTAGTACTAGCACATGTGGACAATGCCTGTGCCAGCGTGGCTTGATCATTTCAGTTCTTGGTGGCTCTGTCCTTTTGATGCTGGATCTAACTGCTGTTGTTGCTGTGTACGAAGCAGTTCTGTGTATTTGCCTCCCATTCGCACTAGTTCATTATGAGTTCCCCGCTCGAGTACTTGCCCTTCATGCAAGACAATGATTTCATCACAATCCTGAACTGTACTCAAGCGGTGCGCTATGACAATTGTTGTGGTGTTCTTGCCAACCTCCTTGATGTTTCTCATAATATCCATTTCTGTTGCACTATCCAAAGAAGAAGTTGGTTCATCGCAAAACAGTATTGGAGCCCCCTTGAGAATGGCTCGAGCAATGGCGACTCTCTGCTTTTCTCCTATGAGATGAGAAGATTGAACGAAGGAATCAAATACCATTGATTGCATTGCACGTGAGTCTACATGCAAAACGGACACGCCAGCCAACACACAAGGTTCATCTCACTAACCTCCAGAAAGCTTGAGGCCTCGTTCCCCCACAACAGTATCGTATCCATTCGGAAATGACAAGATAGTGTCGTGAATGCGAGCTTTTTTGGCAGCTTCCTCTACTTCCTCCCAAGTGGCATCCAAGTTTCCATAATGAATGTTGTATCCGATGCTTTCATGAAAGAGTACGGTGTCCTGTGGGATGACAGCAATTGATCTCCGAATCGAATCGAGAGTCATGTCATCCAGAGAATGCCCTCCAAGAGTAATTTTGCCAACATCGGGAGTGTAGAAACGGTATAGCAACCGTAGTAAGGTGCTCTTGCCTAGGCACAGAATAAATAAATAAATAAACAGAAGAAAGATTGCGGTGAGTTGTCAATTCATTGCTTGCAAGCAAAATTTCTCCAGCCCAGCAGCAAGGTTTGCTGGCACCCACCACAGCCAGAAGACCCAACAAGTGCCACTGTACTCCCCTCCCGAACATCTAATGTGGCTCCCTTGAGAATTTGCCGTTCTGCGGCGGTGGAAGGATACGAAAACTGAATGTCCTCGAAAGTAATGCTGGTTCCCATGGTGACAGGGTCGTATGTGATGGCAGTGTCCTTGTCCACAATCCGAGGTTTTTGATCCAGCAATTCATACATGTTTTCCATGTCAATAAAAGACTGTCGCACTTCGCGATACACCATACCAATGAAGAAGAGTGGGACCGAGAGCTGGAACAAGAGGCCATTGACCAGTACCAAATCACCCACAGTGGCTGTTCCTTCAAGGACCTGTTGAGTTGTAAGCCACATGACTCCCGTCAAACCAACTGAGAAGATTGCTTGTTGTCCAAAATTCAACAAACTGAGTGAATTTTGTGCCTGCAAAGCAGCCTTTTGGTATCCTCGCAAGCTGGTTTCGTATCTGTTTCCTTCATGTTCGTGGTTTGTGAAGTAATTGACAGTTTCATAATTCAAAAGTGAGTCAACAACTCTTCCACTGGCTTCGTTCTCGAGTTTGTTCATGTCCCTCCTGAATTGCGTTCTCCACTGTGTTATTCCCAGAGTGAATCCAACGTATCCCGCCACAGTTACCAGTACAATAGCACTGTGCATGGGTCCAAAGGAATAAGCCATCAATCCCGCCACTAGTGATACTTCAAAAATGGTAGGAAAAATGTGGAATACCATGGCATTCAAAACAAATGTGATGGATCGGTTGCCTCGGTCCAAGACACGAGACAGTTGTCCAGTATTCCTCTCTAGGTGGTACTGCAGATCCATCTGATGAACATGATCAAAAGTACGGCGACCCACTTTTCGAATAATATCTTGTGCAACATGAGCAAAGACAGCATTTCGTAGTTCTTGTAGTCCAGAGGCAGATGCCCTTGCAGTGCCATATCCCAATAGCAGCAGTACAGGAAGGCCAGTAGCTGCAACAGTGGGATCACTCATAAAAGCCTCGCTTAACGGCAGACTGTCCACCAGATGCTTGAAGATATACGGTACTTGAATGGTCACAGCTTTTCCAGCCATCAGTAAACCCAGCGAACCCACAACTCTCTGTTTTCGAAGTGTGGCTCTAGCAATTGTCTCCTTGTCATCTTTGTCAGGGTCAACGGAAGGCCACAGAAAATCAAACATTTGTTTGGCAATTCGTATTTCCAGCTTTGTTTCTTCTTCTTCTCCTGGAATCGGAACATTCTGTTTGCTGAGCTTATTGTAGTTCTTTGAATTCGACTTGTCCAGACCGCTGGCAGTAGTAGACAGCGCTCTCGTTGCAAGATCCCTGGTGAAATGGTTCCAACAAGGAATAGCAGAAGCTACACTGGGCACTCGAAGCCTCTTTCGACAAGCCGTGAATGAGGATGACAGGATCCTGTTACCTCCATTGCCATGGCCATAGCGAACAAGCTGTCTCGACAGGAGCATCATCGTCGTATCCACACGTAAAGTTTGAGGCTTGAGGCGGAAGATCAATTTTAATTGACGTAATCTCGATCCCTGCTCTTTAGAAAACCCGGATCCATTCGTTCTCGGGAACGGGAAAGAATCTGATGTGATAATCCATTGGTCGAAATCCCCAAATTTGTGGAAGGGGCCCGGGGGCCTCTACTAGCTAGCTACTAGAGGTAGAGTGGGAGTTTTCTGCGGAAGCCGCAAATTTAAATTTTGGTGGGGGTGGGAGTCAAAAAGTGAAAGGAACCTTGCTCGAAGCGCCACTCATAATCCAGCTCGAATGATGATGGACTATAGGAATCTCCGCCTCGCCATCTGCCTTGGAACCGTTGCGGCATCTCTCTTGGCAGCTGTACAATTCTGTTTTGTCTCCACTCCAACCAAAGTCCTTGTTGACAAGGCAGTGTCAGCTATCAAGAGCACTCCGATCGCGACAGCGACTGAAGCAACCTTGAAGAACGGTGAGGATGGAGCACAACTGTTGGCCAGCTATGTATCCCAATCCAAGTCAAGCCCCATTCTAGAATACATTCGTCGACAACTAGACGATGAGAAGGAAAATGGTACTGCATCGTCCTACCAAAATTCCTACTGCGACCTGCAAGGTGGGGATTGGTGTCCAACAGGGAAGGATGCTTGGCAGCAAAAGGCTCCAGCTTTCATGGTATTGGGGGCCAAAAAAGCGGGCACGACATCTTTGTTTGCATCTCTTGTGCAGCATCCACAGATCATCCCTGCTGTACGAAAGGAGACCTTATTCTTCTCCCCCCGACGTTTCAATTTCACAAGATACCTTGGAGAAGATGACAAGAAGGTAAAGGTTCAAACCATCCGACAAGATTACTTGTCTCTGTTCCGACCAGATCCCTTGCAAAGAAAGGGAGAAGGCAAAGTTTCCTTTGATGCTACACCCGGCAATCTCTTGCATTGGGACACTGCAGCACGCCCCATCCTTTGCTCCTGTCCGTGGGTCAAGCTGCTAGTCATTGTCCGAAATCCGACCGATCGATTGTGGTCGAACTACAACTTCCATAAAGAACAAGTCACGAAACAGGAGGCCAAAAATGACACCAATAATAACTTCTATTCCTTTGAAGAGTACGTCCGGAATGAACTGCTGTTGATGACAAGGTATGGGCTTGTGGAGAAGAGTTCCCCTAGGACACAACAACAAGAACAAGAACAATCCACCACCACACGACTTCCCAGTCTCGACGATGCAGGCATGGCCAAGGCATGGTCGGCCTACACGGCGACCTGTCAGAGTGCGGTTGGGCGTGGTATGTATGTTCTCAACCTCTTGGGATGGTTCAAACAGTTGCGTCTGATGGGACGTGATCCCAAGGATGCACTTCGGATTGTCCGACTGGAAGATTTGAAAGGCAATGACAAGGTAGCCTCTCAACTCCTGGAAGAAGTCACGGACTGGCTTGTGTTTGATGGGGGCGTGGCAGCATCAGACGGGGTGACGAAGCAACCACCAAAGAACAAAAAGCGCAGCTTTGTGCATTTTATGGAGACATACAAACACTCTGTTAAAAAACCAGTCCTATCGGAAACGACAAGATCCATGTTGGATGAGTTTTATGCCCCGTACAATGATCTTTTATCACGTTTGCTGGAGGATGAGCGTTGGTCTTATCGACGGGGAGAACAGGGTAAACAACAGGGTGAAGAGCCAGTGGTTTGGCCTCGAAATCTGGGAATCCGAAATGACGGGGATGAGGGTCCATTTTACCATCCAACGTCGTCAGGCCAATCGACAGGTATTTGCAGTTCGACATGAATGAGCTGCTAGCAATTTTGATAGTTAGAGGTTGGCAAGAATGACCTCGATGGTATTACCGTATATATTAATTGTCCTGGAATGACCGAGCCAAGCGTTGGCCTCGTCATCCAAGAAGTTTTAACTCTTGATTGTTTGATGGTACGGTAGAGCATCACATAGATAGATCAAATACCGCAGTGAATAAAAATAGGGTTGACCTTCAGCAAATAGTAGTATAGAGAGTCGAGATCACTAGTTGGCAGTTGTTCGAGTATCCTCTGTAGTGGTTGATGTTCATGTTGATGTTGATGTCGATGTTGATGATATAGAGTCTGAAACCATTGCTTGCGTTGTCGATTTAATTTGCAGTGATAGTCCATAGAGTCTTGTAGTGAGTGTCTCCTGCAGCACGAGGATTGAATGGCAATGCGACGAATGTTCCAATTGCGTTTCGCACTTTGGACAAAGGCCTGGTAGAGTTTGTCTTGATTGACTAGTAGTGGATTGTGTGTGCTGTATGTGCAGTGATCAAACTCCAAACAAGAGAGAGACGGATGGTTTTGTAGTTGCTGAGCGAGTGGTTCCACCAAGTCTTGTTGGTCTGGAGTGACAGTCGTCAGAGACAAGTGTGCCATGTAAAACTTGATCTTTTCCATTTGTTTGGCTTGCTGCAACCACTGAGTGACGATCCAAATTGGAAACACATACACATCTTCGTCCTCACAAATGTCCGAGAGACAAATCTCTTTCAAGTGGGGCAAGTGGCCCACTTGCAGCAAAATTTGATTGAGCCTGGTCTTCATGTCCAATGGGTTATTTTGAGTTGGAGTTGGAGCAGCCGTTGGAGTCGAAGTAGTGATGGTGATTGTGACTCGAGTGATATAAGTGTTTCCTTTCCATGCTCGTTTCCATTGATCCAGAAAAGAGTGACAGTCTTTTAGAGTTGCGAGGTCATCGCAGTCAATGTAGAGTCGAAAATGGTCTTGTCGGTGAAACTGTATGGTTTCCATCAGGTCTTTCAACGAACAATGATCAGCATTGGCGCCGCCAAAGAATCCATGTTGACGAGTAGTCACTGACTTTCTCCTCTGAAACAACGTCATCAACGCCGACAGCCATTCGGACAAGAGGCGGCGTCCATGGCTCCACCAAAACAAGACAGTCATGCTGAAAACTAGCTAGTCTACACAAAGCACTCGATCGAAAGCAGTGAAGAGATGAATGGAGGGATGCCGCTGTGTCTGGCTGTGCAGAGCTCAATGGCACACCGGCAACGAAAATGGAACGATTGTAGAAAAATCCTCAACGGCAGGCAAGGCCTTTGGGTGTGCGTGTGACAGGCCACCATTTCTCCGAGTGCTCTTTGGTCATTGGCCGATTTTTTGCACGATTGGGAAATGACGTCAGACTCGCCTCATTTTTTCGATCATCAAATTCTATGATATCTTTATTTGTCGATCGAACATTGAAGCCGACTGGCCGAGAATCGAATCTCAATCGAATCAGAATCGAGAAGGCAAATCCTACCGCTATCCTTTTGCCACCCTCATCTATGACATACAGTGAGCGGCTACAGGTCAAGAAATGCATCCATGGCAGAATCATATTCAGCAACCAACTCGCTATTAATAGCTAGTTACTACTAGTACTGGTACGAGTAGGCAAGAGAGACCATGAAGACTGATCAAGAAGATTCTGCAGAAGAAGCCATGCCGGCAAGGCCCAGCACTCGAGTCAGCTTTGTGGGACAAGAACAACCGCTACAGGCGACCATTCCTGCACACAACAGGAGTCCTGCGAGTAGTCCAACTAGAGTTGGCGCTGCTTCCGTCCGCCAGAGTTTGACAATCAACGATGTCTTGGGAAATAATAGTCAGACTACTAGTATTGCCAGTTCCAGTTCGACAACTCAAGGTCCCACAGAACACGAAGTCGTCACCAAAATCCTCAAATCGGTCGAAACTCTGGATGTAAATGAAGGACAACCTCAACTGGATCAAGAAACCACACAGCTGTTGGCAGATATCATTCAAGAGGATCTCAAGGCTCGATCATCCACCAATCAAAAACATGACGAACCACAAGATCCCGAGTTGGTGCCTCTCAATCCTACCAATACTAATACCAATACCAATACTAATACCAATAGCAGCAATCCAGGCGTACGCGTCTCGGTCATGACCACCGAAACATACGCCGCCAGACCTGCCGGTACTCCACACAAAAAGATGCATCGAAAATCAGAAAGTGTCGAACAACAATTGTTTGGGTTGACGGCGGCTCTGGGGATGATGGATTCAAGATCGTCCTCCAGAAGAGGCAGTGAAAACTTTTTACACGACAACACGAGTAGTGACAGACTCGCCAAAACTGCCAATGTGCTCTCGGATCATGCCAAGAAACAAGCCGAAATGGACCTGGAAGCAGCAAACAGCAACAACAATAATACTGATGCAGGCGAATCGGGACAAGATAACGACAACGGCAAGAACAATGATCCTTTGCATCGAATGTTGCGAATCTTACGCGTCGAAATGACCGATGAAATGGAAGACAATTGGGACGTTTTCAAAGAATTTCTTGATTCCAGAAAGGATTACCGAAAAAAGTTTGCCAGAAAGCTGGGGTTGTACATCATGCTGCCGTCCTTGGCATTGGCCATTCTCCTATACCATGTCGGTGGCACTCCCACGGTACATGGCAGCGACAAGACTGCCTCCTTTTCATGGCTGTTTCTATTCTTTGGAGTGCGACAAGCAATTACCTACACCATGGCATTGGCCACTCAATCGCTCATCATTGACTACATCGTCCTCCGCACTAGAACGCTACTGAAATGGCTCGGTCCCATTGTCACGCTATTCTTTGTGCAATCGCGGGGATGGCCCTTTATTGCCACCTTTTGGGGCTTGTACAATCTGATACTCAATGCAGGCTCTTCCGGCTTTGCCAACAATTGGTTGTTTTGGCAAAGTACTTTTAATGTCTTCAACAGCTCAAACCCCAGTGGGGGAATCCCCGGCAGCTACGCCAATTATCTATTTATTGCGCTCTTTATTGTGGTCGGCCTCTCGGTCTCGATTAAACGAGTCATTGTCTCCGTGGCGCTGGGAAGGCAAACGTTTGCACACTTTGGAGATGAACTCGCGGCCAACATGAGGAACATGGTAAGTATAGTATACGAACGACATCAGAGGACGGATCACGGGAAGTTTAAAAGTCACGCCTTTCACTGAAGCTCATGCCAATTGAAATGTTCTCTCCAGGTTCTGGTCGGGATGATCGCGGCGCTGGCGAAGAGAATTGAAAAGGAACATGTGAAAAGTGCTGATGAGCCTTCAGAGCCTTCAGAGCCTTCAGCCGCACTCGGTACTAGGACGTCAGGAGGGCAAGATGGAACGAAACTGCAGGCTCTGGTGGAGGAAGAGGCGGAAGCAAACGAAAAGCATTTGAGCAGCACAAAAGATACAAACGCAGTGGATGCGGCCAAGACGTTCATCGAAAATCACACGACAACCGTCCAACGATCTCCCCCACGACCATCCTTGAGGGACAGCAGCAAGGACGAAGCTGGGAGCACTGCAGGCTTTACTCATTCGATGCATCTTCAGCTCACTGAACTTCTTGACTCCTGGGAAGAACCAGAGGGTGTCAAGACGAAAACAGTGAAAAAGATCACGATTGGATCCGTATTGCAATTTAAGCAGTCTCTTACTTTGATGTCTGCCAAGTATCCATTCTCTCCTGGTAAGTTTCCATGCCTTCAAGTCAGTATGGCTTGCAATCACCACTTGCACAAACTGAAACCTTTCCTGGCTAGCGTTTGGGATTGCGGATTCACGTGAAGCATGCATTAATGCTGCTCAAGAAGTGTACGATCGACTGATGCTTCGTACTCCTGGTGCCCTCGAGCTTCCGTTCGAGACTCTTGCTCTAGTAGCCAAGGATGGAGAACATGAGTTTGACGAAGAAATGGCCAAGGAACTGATCAAAATCTTTCGACCTGACCGTGCCGGGAACTTGACAAAGCTGGACTTTGTTCGGTCAATCGATGAAATTTACAAGTCAATTCGTCTTCTCACTGCCAACATTAGCAACAGCCGTCACACGGATGCCGCTGTGGAATCAATCATCAACTGTGTCTTTTGGTTCTTCATTGTAACTTTTGTGATGCAGGAACTAGGCATGGATCCGTGGGCCATGTTGGTTTCCCTGTCGACAATCTTCATTACGTTTTCCTTCATGTTTGGCAGTACCGCGTCAGTAAAAGTTGTCAGCAGGGGAGTGCTGCCATCCTTGTTGTCTCTCACAATAGTTCTTCCTTGCTCCCTCAATTTCAGGTCGAAGTACTTTGACGTGAGTCCGAATTGATTGACCTCCATCATGAATGTTTTGGTCCAAGCAAAAGCATTCACTCACTACATTTTCTACCCAAAATGACACCAGGGGATGTTGTTTGTTTTGTTGCAGCGCCCTTATGGTGTGTCTGAAGCTAGCTAGCTTGTCTCGGTGTGATTCTTGAGTGGCCGAATCTGACGTGTAACTCTCGCTGTATCTTCTTTCCAGGTGTTGGCGACCGCATCCACTTTTCGAATCCCGACACAGACACGAGCATAGATGGGTCCTCAGGTACGAAGAGAAAACCAGATGTTGGCCGCTCTGTTCTGTCTCTCGGTGGACGTGTTGTTCTCTCATTCCTGTTTGCCCTTTTAGGATGGATTGTGGAGGAGCTATCTCTGCATACAACCTCAGTGTACTGGGGTGCCACCAATGAAAGGGCCACTATATCAAATGGTGCCCTGTCAAACTATCGTGTGATCAACTCTGCCCGTTCACCCAACGCAACAATCTATGTCAACATGAAGTTTGCAGTAGACACAGCTTATGATAAAATTGAAACATTCAGGGCAGCCACTGAGCAGTTCCTAAAGGACAGGCCAAGGTGAGTGCATGAGAGAAGAGGTGATGCTCCAAACGTTGTATGCACCGCACCTCCTCATCCTTGCTTCTGTTGGCTGCCAACAGAGAATGGGTTGGGTTCGTGGGCTTTCGTCCCACTGAAGTAGCAGTAGACCGAGGGTACACCAACTATGTGACCATTGCACAGCACCGACAATCGTGGCAGAATGTTGGAGCGATTCTTTCGAGTAAGGCAGTGCTGATCAAATTTCTGATGGAGGTAGCAAAGCAACTTGACATGAGATATTCATCTCCGCCGTTGCCTGTGGAGCTTGCGTTCCAAGGACGCGAAGGGAACTCTGGTGAGCTGTCACCAGCCAACATTGCATCAGTTCTAGCTGAGTAAAAACAACGGCGACAGTCAAATAAATAGAATCTAGAATCTGATATTGATTGGTAGGCAGTGTGTCACTACAGTCTATCTATATCTTCCTCCTGTGATTACACTAGTACTGGTACTGCCTATCTTTGGGCATTGAACTTGCTGATTGCATCATAAATGTTGTCAGGTGACCACTCATCTCTGGGGAGAGCTGTGTCTTGTGTGAATTGTCCTTGTTTGGTTCGTTCTAGAGATGTCATGGTAGCGACCGAGTCCAAATCATAGGCAATATCCCGAATGAGTGACCTGACATAGGTTCCTCCCCCACATTCCATGTCAATGGAAAAGTTGGGACCATCCATGTGCAGGAGTTTGAGTGAATGAACCGTTACTTGTCTTGGCTCAATCTTTAGATCTTCCTGAGACACTCCCTGTCTGGCTTGTTCGTAGAGTCGTTTTCCATTTCTGCGGATGGCACTAAATATGGGTGGTACTTGTTGTATATCCCCCACAAACTTGGGTAGAGTGTTTTGTTCTAGATCCTCCAGTGTAATGTGCTCAAAGGGTGCTCGTTGCGTGATGTTTGCTATGGGGTCCATGTCCAAGGTGTTGGTTTCGAATCCGAATTCTCCAGTTGCCAAGTATCGTTTGGATCCTGTCAAGTAGGACTGCAATTCTTTGGTGCCTTTGCCTACTCCAACGACGAGTACTCCTGTGGCGAGTGGGTCGAGTGTACCGCCGTGTCCGACCTTGATGATTCGACTCTTGTTGCGTCTGGATCCCACCCTGACGGGCTTGGCTCCTCTTTCTCTAGCATCCCGTTCCAACATTTTTCGAACAAACGAAACCACATCACTGGATGTCCAATCTAGAGGCTTGATGACGGAAAAGAGTCCTTCGGCACGATACAAGGGCACCTGGACAGCGCCATCATCCTTTGTACTACTAGTACTGCCAGTTGCCTTGGTGCTACTAAAGAGAGCAGAGCTGGTTGGACGGATCATCTTCCGCATCCTACCATTCCACAAGATGGGTCTACTCGTCGACGTACCACTAGTACTAGTAATAGGAGCAACCGGTAGGACAACATGCTGAAAGGCTCTTGTCGAAGCGACCATCCAGGAAATCGTCATGATGAACATCATTCGAAAGAAGCCAGTTCCACACAAGATGCTACGCGTACTTGAGGCATCCCTTCTTTTGCAAGTGCTGTTCAGGTTTGTCCTGCGAGTATCAGCACCAGCGAGCATGGTAGTCTACTATTAGTCGAGTACAGTAGTAGAGTGGTTGACGGAGCAGTATCTTTCACCTTGCCATGCTATGGTCCAGGCAGTTGCATGTTAGGACGATTTGATGGCTGCGAGTGGCTTTCAAGAATATTCGATGTGCTTTCGATTTGTCAGCATTTGCTTGATCAGTCGAATCGATTCGAAATGATTCAAGCCAAGCTTTTTGTCAACCCCTTCCGCAATTTGTCCCCCAACAAAACTGTTCCGCCAGTTTTGACGGAACAGTCTTTCAAGTACAGATTTCTTTCCTGACCTGCTTCCGGGTCTGACGTCACTCCATCTCGTCACAGCGCGCGCAGCCGCTCTCATTATGCATACATGTATTCTTTCAAGGATCTTTTTGCCGGAACAGTTAGATTGTTGCTGGTGAGGCCGGAGTTGCACCTTGTGGTGGAGGCATAGAGTTCCAAGCCTCCCTACCAGTATCAATCATCATCATCTATCTGAGAAGGCATCTTTAGAAGATCTTATCTGTAGGTATCCTTGTATTGTTTGACATTGGGTTCATTCATTATCTTGCAGTTCAGCCTACTTTTTGCTTGCTTGCCAGCTCTAGAGAGCAGGGTAAGCAATTGCAAAGATGGCAGACAAGAACAACAACAACAACAGCAGCAAGAACAATGGCGAGATGACTGAGGACTCGGGCAACAGGACGGATGGACCTTCGCCTCCTCCCTCCCAGTGGACTTCGCCAGCATCCATGGATCCCTTCAGTATGGCAGTACAACAGAGTTTTGCAGAAGCGGCGAATGCTACTACTAATACTAGGACTAGTGTTACTACTGGCACCGTGCAAGGGCCCCCTGACAGTGTCAAGACGCAGCCTACCCCATCCTTAGGCAGTATTGGCAGTGAAGGTGCTGTCCCTACGACAAAGCTGGCGGATGATCCAGTCCAGCCATCTTCTCTCAAGAAACCCGTTCACAATCGTACCGTCTCGTGGGGAGTCGCTCCACTGCCTTCGTACGGCAATACCGGTACCGGTACGGGCGGAGACAGCAGTCATACTACCAAGCCCATTCTGAATTTACAGGATGTTCTGGGTGCCTCACCGGAATTGGAAGCCGAAACGTACATTCTACAAGCCGTCGAAAAGGTTGCCACTCATAGGGCCACCAATACTGAAGTTTCGGGATTGTATTCTTCCATTGTCGAGGACGAAATCACAAGAGATCAATTGGAAAGCGAAGACGACGACGATGATGAAGAAGACGAAGATTATTTTGATATCGTGACTACACCCTCCACGGTCAGCGCCGCATCTCCTCCTCCACCTGCTACTAATACTAGACCCACGCTGACTGCCACCAAGTCACAGTCCACTCTGAACAGCAAGGGAACGTTGCGAGGAATCATTAAAACTCATATGCGAACCAAAACGGTAGAAGGAACGTTGTTCGGACTTACGACTGCTCTCACACAGTTGGACGAAGACCATCAATTCGACAGCAGCCGCAGCATCACAGAAGGAGAAGAGGACGAGTTGAGAATCGATACTGACACTGGTTTCACCGCGGCAGACAAAGTTTTGGAAACCACTCAAAAGATTCTACACAAGGATGACCATCACAAGGATGCTGACATGGATATTGAGAGTGGCATCCCAACAAACTCGAAGAGCAAGACGAAGGACAAGAATCAAAAACACAAACGATTGGGAAACTTGGCGGGCAAGGCCGTCAAGGGAGCATCCAGTGGAGTGCGAGAAGAATGGGAGCTTTTCAACACGTATCTGACCTCCAGGAAGGACAAGGCACGAGCACGCTTGCGCAAGACACTCGTGGCCATTATGTTGCCGTCACTTCTCATTGCACTCTTCCTCTTTTACGTCGTCGAAAACCCAGAGCTATGTTCTGCCACCAGCGTACTCCGTGCAAGAAACAATGGCACATTAGCTCCCAGCGTCTCTCCAACGCATTCACCGACACTAGAGCCAACCACTGGCGAACCATCCGGTGCTCCCAGTTCCCTACTCCTAGAAGAGGACTGGCTAGCCGCGGACTGGCCAGCGGGAACAGATTTCCAAATTCACAATGTTGTTGTTGAAGAAGAAAGCAACTCAACCCTTGTTGGAAACGAAACATACAGTCCCACCGGAATGCCTTCCGTTGCACCTACCGGAATGCCCAGCGTCCAGCCCAGTTCCGCTCCCACGGCCGATGATATTAAACTCTTTGCCAAGGTATTCGTACAGTGCCCTGGACTTGGTGCAAGCATTTCGTGGTGGTTCTTATTTGTAGGCGTCAGGCAACCAATCACTTTCATCATGGCACTCCTCACACAGTCACTCGCCATCGATTACCTGGCTCTCAGCAGCCAGCTTGTATTGCGATGGTGTGGACCTATCGTCACTCTATTCTTGGTACAAAGCAAAGGCTGGCCATTTGTCCTGTGCTTTTGGTCCCTCTACAACTACGCAATCAATGCACGAGACACGCCCTATGCCCATCATTGGGGATATTGGCAAGAATTGATCTCCATATTCAACGACGAAAACCCATCCGGAGAAGTGGTTAATAACGAGTGGTACATCAGGTTCTTGGGGCTTGCTGCTCTTGTGGGTGGCTGCGTGGCAGTCAAACGGCTCTTGGTCGGCCTCCTTTTGGGCAGAAACAGTTACCGTACGTACTTACTTTACTACTTGATGAAATCCATGGGACCTTCTACTGCGGCAAGTTCTCTCACATTGCTTTTGGGTTTATCATTGAATGTAATAAATAGTGCACTATGGAGAACAATTGGCAGAGGTGATGAAGAACATGGTGTTGCTGGTACGTTAGTTGCCTCTCATTTGGAGCCGTTGTTTTCTCCCTTCATCCAGCCTCTCACTCGGTTGCTATGCCTGACTCTAGGGAGAAGTAGCCACGCTGGCGCGATACATTAAAAGTAACAAGGAAGACTACCAGTATCTATTGGATGACGTTACATCTGTCGGTACCAATCCGTCAAAGGCCAACAGCGCCAATTGGACGTCCAAGAATATCCAAGCCTTTGTTAAGAAACAAGCCGATGATGATGATGAGGAGGAGGAGCCAGAGGTTTCTGAGAGTGCTGCCGACGCTGCGAATGCTTTTATGGCCAACAAACGACGCTCAGTAGTAGCGGTGGACGAGAAAGACCAGCCACAGCCACCAGACAATCCTAACAATACAAGCATCGAAACTGTGAGAAGCTTTGAAACAGCTGTCAGTCAAGAGGACCCTGAGTTCACGGAGAGCGAGCAAATGAAAATTTCTGGTCTCCTGCAGGAATGGGAAGATCCGCATACGGCCGATGAGAGGGAGGTAAGCAAGCTAGTCTAGTATTGTGGAACTCACATCAGTGCTTCTTCGATGTTTTTGACGTTTTTATTTTTTACCTTGTTTGCATGCAGCACATGTCAGTCACCCTTGCAGCCGTCCTCCAGTTTAGGCAGGCTCTCACGTTCATGAAACGAAAGTACCCATTCCTACCCGGTAAGTTATCACCGAAAGGTGCATGCTAGCTACTAGCCCGTGGTTGTTCAATCTTTGAAATCTCACCACCCGTGCACTTCCAACCACTCCCCTCCCATGTTGCAATCAGCCTTTGGACCAGTACGTTAAGATACGAAGGTCTACGTGTCATTTTTCTCGCTAACACCATGGTCGAGCTCACAGCTATGGTCCCATACTCTCGTGCTGCCCACAGGCTGATACTCGTGAAAATTGCATAGAGTCAGCTCAAAAGGTGTACGACCGCCTTATTCTGAGGACACCCCACAAAGCTGATCTTCCCTTTGAAACACTTGCTCTCCTCGCGAAGAATGAGAAGGGGGAGCTTGACCAAGAGAAAGCCAAAGAGATTATCCGTGCCTTTCGCCCAGATAGGGATGGTACCTTGGGGAAGCTGGAGTTTGTCAGGTAAGTGCGGCGAAACCTGTGTTACCATTCCTTCCGAATACATTTTGACGTCGCCCCACTCTGTTGCCTGGAATTCGCGCAGGAGCGTCGATGTTATATACAAAGAACTTCGTCTGCTTAGTGCCAACATTAGTAACAGTGGTCAAATGGACAAAGCAGTGGAGTCCTTGCTCAATGTCGTTTTCTACACTGTTCTTGTTGCCATTGTGATCTACCGGCTTGGAGAGGATCCAATTACGCTGTTCGCAACGCTATCCAGCGCGATCTTGGCGTTCGCCTTCATGTTTGGCAGAAGTGCATCTAAATATTTCGATGGCATCTTGTTTATCTTGGTGCAGAGACCGTATGGTAAGCAGCTTCTACGAGGAATCGTCTGCTGTTGCAGCACCCTTTTGCTAATCCACGCACACGCCCGTCTTAACCAAGGCGTTGGAGATCGTGTTCACCTTTCAAACCCTCAAAACGAGACCAGTCCGGATGGCTCTTCAGGTATGTGCGGGCAACTTTCAGTGACGTCTTCTGCCAACTTTGCGGACAAATCTAAGCGTTTTCTCTTCCTCATTCAACTCTCAGGGTGGATTATTGAAAAGGTTACACTGTTTGCTACTCATGTCTACTGGGGTGCCACCAACGAACGTGCCACGTTGTGCAATGGTGCTATCTCTAACTCGAGGGTCATCAATGCAGCCCGTTCGCCCAACGGAACGATCTATGTCCACCTCAAATTTGGTATCAACACACCCCAAGCAAATATTGAAATCTTCAGAGCAGCTGTGGAACAATACTTGAAGGACCGACCAAGGTAGGTTTGACCATCCGGGGAATAATTGTGACGAAAGGTTGACATAGGTTTCCTCGGCATGCCCTGATCTTTTATCTCCCGCCACCACCATCAGAGAATGGTTAACCTTTGCGGGTTTCAGACCTTCCAGAGTCGAGGTTGAAAAGGGCTACATTGCTTACACAGTGATTGCCCAACATCGGAGCTCTTGGCAGCAAGTTGGAGCAATTATTGAAAGCAAGGCCAACTTGACAACTTACTGCCTAGAGGTTTCCAAGCAGCTGGAAATGAGATATAGGTCACCTCCTCTCCCTGTGGATCTGACTATTAAGGATGATGGTCTGGCAATGCCCTTGCTGGGTGGAGATGAGATTCCAGGCATTCCACCTGCCAGTAGCGGTGACAGTGTTGCCTCTACTGCTTCGCCAGCCGTCAGTCAAGAAGCCATGGCCGCTATCAGCGGTGCTGGGCTGCGGCGTCGAGGAGGCAATAGCAAATTTGCTGACCTGGTACGAATGGTAATGGAGAACAATAAGGACAAATAAGTGAAATGGACTGTCACTCATATCGAGCTGTGGATGATTCGATGCAATCGAAACGTCGGATTGGAGTGAAGAGTGAAGGTCCCAACAGAGAGAATAAAAACATACTAAACAATTTAGAACTAGTAGTACATGAGTAACTTCCGGATTAGAAACCCAGAAGGTGCTGGGCTGGCTCACGGAGAAAACCGAGCCGAGTTGTCACGATACCGTATGCTGGATACAGGTACCGTAGCTAGCAGATGGAGCCTCCAAGCTTGGTCGGCTTGCTTTACCGGCATCATACACTTACTTGTAGGACTCTGCTTCCAATCAGTGGTAGCTAGACTACCGTACCGGAACTCATCAGGAACACTCACGAGAAAGAAGAAGTACCTTTACGGGTACTGGTAGCCGTATGCTGAGATGGATACAGGTACATCGTACCTGGTACATTGTACCAGGTACCGTACCGCACGGTGTTATTCATAGATGTTCCGGGATTTTTGTGGGGTCGGAGTTTTGTGGGAACGGAACAAGCCGAAAAACGACTGAAGTCACCGCCCTCGTCGTAAATCTCAGCAATGCACATGAATGAGCTCGACCCGGTGGTGGTGGTCGCCACAATTTCAAATTTGTTTCGCACGACAAAGTCTCGAGCTCACACTTACAAAGTTTCTGAAAGCAATCACAGCACCACAGGAGCACTCAGCAGTCAGCCATGAGTGGTTACGATCAACAACGGAACGGTCATCTTGAAGACTTCGATTCTGCGCAAGGAGATGTCGAAGCAAGCCTCGGAGCAACAATCTCGGGGTCCACTCGAATCCGATCTGGATTTCTCACAGTATTGAACGACAATACAACTGTTTATGACGAAAGCATCCGTCGTGGAGTCCTGAACGCGCAAACCCAACCTAACGACGAAACGGAGAAGAGTCCTGGGGCTTTCATGGACGCTGTTTTTGACGGCGGCGGTCACTCTGTGACTACGGGCAGAATGGATTACATGATGGATCGAGGCCACAACAGCATTCCACCCACACAGGATATTGGCCAATTCTACGACGACACCTACACATACGATGGATCGACCATTACATCAGCCAATGACATCACTCACAAGAAAAATACACACGAGCAACATGTGGTAGACTTCAACCCTCAAGCAGCAGCTGCTGCCGCGGCAGCCTCCAGGTATCCTTATCACGCACAACCTGCTCAGCAAGAAAAACTCAGAATGGCGCATGCCAAAGAAACTGAGTTTACAAGTGTGTCGTCCAAAACTGCTTCTTCCAGCCGAAGCAACAAATCGGAGCAATCTCAAGTGGCCAAAATCTGTTTTGGCTTGGGGAAGTTGGGGCTTGTCTTGACTCTCTTGGCGATATTGGCCGTCGCCATTGCTGTCATTCTCTTTCTGGTATTGGGAAACGACCAGAGCGTTCCTCCACCTCCTTCGTCCGCGTGCTGTCACGGGCAATTCGAAGCGGGCTGGAGTGGCCGAGAAATCTGCAACCCTCAAGGAGGGTGCTGTGTTGTGTGTTCCAGCTCCATCATCGCCAGCGACTCCAGCGCTAACATTGGGGACAGTACTAGTACCACAGCACCACAGATTGATACTCCAACAAGAAGCCCCACAGCATCTCCGGAAGAAAATCCAAACACCAGAGCACCCGGCAGCGATTCGCAGAGGAAGACCCCTGCGCCGAGTGAACCATCGACCGTTGCCCCGGAAAAGACGCCACTACCTACAGCAAGCACACCAGAACCTACCGTGTCGCCCACAGATGCCCCTTCTCCGTTCCCTTCGTCATCTCCTTCCAGACGAACCCGTCCACCGGCATTTCCACCAACATCGCCACCAACAGCAGCCCCCACGTACATCAGGATAGTGGCAGCCACGATTCCACCACATCCCAAACAACCTTGCTGTTCCAATGGGCGCAGAGCGGGTGACTACATTGGTCTGGTCCGGTGTGCTAATAATGACCCCACAGCATGTTGTGAAGTTTGTTATTTGAATTGAAAAGGCTCAAAGAGTCGAGTCCACAGACACGATCAAAGCGGGCCAGTGTTTTTTCTCCTTCGCTGAATGACACGCCAGTACAAAATAATCACAATGTTGGCGTCTCAATATATTTGTCTTTACGAAAACACGCCAGCTACTACTTCATCTTCTATTAGTCAGTAATAGTAAACCTTTCTTACTATAGGAATCAAACTGTCCCACAAAAGCGGGTCATTGGGGATGTTGTGTCAATGGAGAGGCCGAGCGATCATCAAAAACAATGCCAGGAAAAGCACCATTGGCTCGGAGGCGCTTAAGCACGTGCATCTATCATTCATGCAAACCAAGGACTGTTGTGCCACCAAGAAGACACAGAGGCCATCCTTGGGCTGCTGATTTCTCTGCTATAAAGGAACGAACCAGGCCGAAGCTCGCTAGATCGGATGGTATCGTTGTCTCTCAAGCTGTTTTGGAGGAACGACAGGTTGCCCACTGCGAGGGAATGTCTTGGAGGATGCCATAGAAAATACTTGCCTTCCCGATTCTCTTATCGGGAGAGCCAATCTCATCCGCGATCACCTTGTCCAAGATCGCCAGCAAATCTTGGCACGAAGATCTCACAGTCCTCGTGCGGCCCCGCCCTAGACGGTTCAGCGCCAGGTAAAACTGAATCCTTTGATATTCTTCGTTCTTCTTGGCAGCAGCGTCAATGGGACAGAAATCACCAGAAGACAAGCACTCGATATGCTCCAAGGTAGTATTGTAATGCTGTAGCACTCTTGAAAGACCACCACCAGCAGGCGGCACTGACGCGGCATCAATGAGACCGGGGAGGGACATTGACTTGAGCTTGGTATTATGCATCAAAGCCTGAAAGACCGGGCTCTTTTGGAACTGCACGTTTTTCAAATAAAGCGACTGCAACGAACCGTTGCTCTGGATCAAAGCAGCCAAGGACTCGGTCACATCGCATTGATCCGTCGAGCAAGATGAGCAAATAATTTCCAGTCGCTTCAGACGCGACACTTGCTTTCTCGCAACTCTCAATATGGGTTCTGCGCTTGAAATGATACCTTCCTTCAAAACAAGATCGGTAAGATTTGTTCCCGAAGATGTAATCAATTGAGTAATGGGTATGCCAATGTCCAGAGCTTCATGGAGTTGCCCTGAATCCCTTGACTTTGCAGGTGAATTTGACAGGATCATGACCTGTACGCTGAACAGCTGCGGAAGGATCTCAGCAAAGGTGTCGTAAGCTTTGACATTCATTTTCGTGAACAGTTTGGATGGAAACTGTAGCTCCAAATGTTTTAGGTTGCGACAACTGGCCAGGCTGCTCATGATGATAGACCAAGCTTCGGAAGCATGATGTACGCCATCAGCGTCCGCACCCTTGGGTTTGAAGACAAGATGCTCCAGTTGAGGCAAAAATTTGACCAGGGCTTTGGCATAGGGAACTGCATGACAATCTGCGCCCCCAGCAAGCGATCCACCAAAGGAAAAGTGAGTGACCGCCTTGGGTACGTTCGAGAGAATGCACTCTGCCACTGTCGGATGGAAGCTATTGGAGAGAACGAAATGCAGTGGGTCGATGCCGCCAAGCTCAGGCCCAATGATGGTAGTACTTTCGGGGAACAACTCAACTAACTGCATCACTTCGCTGGGAGCATGGCCAGGAACAGAACTCGCCGTCAGCCTGTACCTCGACAAGAGCTTATGCAACGGTAAGCTGCCGTGGCTGCCAAATGCCCGAACAGCATCGGGGAATCTCGATGCCAAATGACAAATGAGGCGAACACCATATTGGTGATAAAGGAGCTCTTCGCACGCCACATGAAGGGGGAGGTTTCGTTGAGCATTCTTCGTCTGGAGAGCCATTGGAAAGAGCTCACAGAACAACTGAATGGTTGACATCGGCACTCTAATACGAATAAAGGCTTCCAATGGAGTGATCTTCTCACCAGTATCCTCGACTTCGAGTAATTCCGTTGCAAGGTTGGGGTGGATTTTGCAAAGATCCACAATGGCGGCAACATCAGAGCAGTCGGAACACTGCCCAATGACACAGTCCGAAGACAGGAAGAGCTCATTCACATGCCACGATAGCTTGTACCGCGCTCTTGCTTCACTGATTGGCCTTGTACTGGAAGTGATAGTCTCCATTGTTTTTCTTTTGATAAGATACTATTGATCCGCTGAAAAGAATTTTATTGTGAGATCATTGGTGTTGGCTTTGTATTATTAGAAGAAGAAACCAAGTAGTCTTCTCCGGATTTTGCCAAAAAATGTGAGCCATTCTCATTGAAATGAGCGCGTCTGACATCTCTATTCGCATGAGTCTCTGGGTTCTGTAATACTTAAGGCTCTGAGATGCTCACTTATGCACTGCTTGACATCCCTTCAAAAATTTGTTTAACGTCGGCCAGGGCAGCATTCGCTTTGTCCCCCCCAAACCTCAAGCAAGGACATGTGCAACTGCTACGATGTACAGTGGACTGCTAGCCGCACTGGTACCAGGTACCGGTATCTTTTGAAGCATGACGACGCAACCTACCGGTACCACTCCAAGTTGTACAAAGGAAAGAGCTCAGAGGCGATAGCACAGCTACCCTTGCCAATACTTCGCATTGCTAAGCTAGGTGAGAAGCCCCATTGACGCCAATGGCAACTTTGTCGCGGATCTGTTTGTTGCGCGGGAAGGCGTCTAACTGCTACAGCTGCTGCATGTTGTCCGCATCATGAGGCCCAGAAAGGAAACAGTCTGTACCGCCCTTGAAACTGTGATTAAAAGCGAAACGATTGGTATGGAGCTCGAGGAAAACACCTGCACCAACAAAATCCGGATGGTTTCCAAGTATATGTAGCTAGTTGCTGCTCTGCTAGCCAGCTGGGGAGGGGAAAGCAGTCACGAGATTCTCTTTGCCTCCGACGAGCTTCGCATCCTTTTGGACGGTTGTCAACTTGTCAGCTGCCCAGCCAAGCCAACCCACGATACTTCTTATTCGCATACGGGTAGTTTACTCAAGACTCTCCAGCATCCACACCAGTCGTCCAGCTGGTTACTCCACAACGACGTCGCCATAGTTGTTGACAACCGCATGGTGGTGGCCTGCCCAGCTATGGTTTGCCTGCCTTGCGGGCTGAGGGTTCAATTGCTATCCACCTTGCCACAGTTCTGATTGCCGCGTGTGTGAATCCTTTGCCTGAATGTAAGCACGAGCGACATCTTCTATCAACTCAAGGCTCTGTCAAACCAGTACTGTTGTCGTCAGCCCTCGTACTCAGAGTGAGCGATCAACCAAGGGCAATCTGTACCGTAGCCCGAAGGAATCTCTGCCCCTCCCATGACCCGTGATCGCACCAACCTACGCTGTAGCACTCTCTCGTTCTTGAAGGAAGCAAGGGAAGCGGTTCATCGAATCTTTAGTCAATCTGGCGATACTTTGACGCTTGGTTGGCTGGTGCCGATCCCACCCATCTTACCCTTTCTCCTTCGTTTCCGTGTGCTCTCTTCGACTTGGTTGCTGTCACCGGCGCCACAGCTTCCTTATCAGCGGCAAGTACCGTACGGTAAGGTTTAGCTTTGACTTTATGTGAAATAATATAAGCAGCTCTGATGGCTGGATACAGCTGCAAAACTGTTTGTTTATAGTCTACATGTACTAGTAGGACAGTCAGCCGGAGGCTAGTGCCCTCAACTTGCATTTTTCTAAAGGCCAAGGAAGCAAGGAAGGGTTTTGGAAGAGCACGGTACCATGTACGTGCCGGTACATGGTAGCCTTAACCTTGCAAGGGAAATCGCACCATATGTACGCGGTGTTACCTGGTAGCCTTAACCTTGCAAGGGAAACCGCACCATATGTACGTGACACAGATAAACTTCAAAAGGCCCTCAGCTTGCTAGCTAGCTGGTAGTTGAGGGCAAATAGAAGAAGGTCAGCAAAGCGACAAGGTCACCTTGATTTTAACTCTTATCTCGTCAAAACAGCGAATATGAGTCCCGGATGCATTTATTAGGGGCCTATTAAAATAAGGCACAAGTTTTTGAGTCACAAAAGCCCTCTTTCTTTAGGATCATATACTAGTAACCCCCGAACATAAGAAAGCTATATCATCTGTGGTTCGCCCCCCGTCACATCGTGGCTCACGGACCGCCAAGTCGCAGAGAGATCTGGAGAGAAAAGAGAAAAGAGATGAAGTACCGGTATCGTACGATACCACAATGTGACGCATGAAACTGCTCCAGAACACAAACTCATTTGCAACCTCTAGATCTTCTCCCTGATCGACCATGATGATAGCAAAGAGTTACCGGTGCCCCCATCTTTTCTCTGTTTTAAAAAGGCATTATTTGAGAAACAGGCGAGACTGATCTCCGTGTGTGTTATTGGGAGGCCCAATCGTACTATGCGTTGTATCAGCAGAACCTACCGGCACCCATACGGTACATGTACAGGTACGTGTAGTTGACCCATATTATTACCGTATGAAAATAGCTATTAAAAAACAAATGTAAATGTCATAAGCTTTTCCTACATGTATTAGTATCTTTGAGCCTGCTGGCTCAATAAGCAAGAAACATATTCTACTGTACCCGTAGCTGTGGTAGCCACCAGTAACAACCACCGGAAAATTGAGACGTCTGAGTATCTTATAATTAGGGTTTTAGTAGTGGCGTCTGAAAGGAAAAAAGCCTCTTACAGGAGCTTTGTGACCACTTCGCAGAACCGAGCAGCAGGGAAACAGACAGCCAGCAAACACCAACACAAACCAACACACAAACGCAACAGCAAAAAGCACAAAAGAGATTGAAAAGCGCCACCATGGTGATGACCTCGGTGGTAACGATAGGAGGTTCTGGGGCGCAGCAAGAGCAAGAAATACTGCGACAGTCAGTGGTAGAACCGTTGCTCCACAATGAGCTTCGTGCGACGTCTTCCATGTTTGAGCAGGAACCTGAGTTTCAAGCAGGAGCTCCCTTGTCTTCCTTGTGGAAAGCTAGAACGATGCACCAACCAGAAAGTAGTTCCAGTACCAGTACCAGTCTCACTACTGACACAAAGCCACACCAAGAGAAACAACAGCAAGATCAGAATGACGATGGCTGTGAGGAAAATCAAAGAACGACTGTGAAACGACCGCAACATCACCAGCAAGCAGAATCCACCTCTTGTTCCTCCTGTGCGTCCTCTTCATCCTGCCAAGAAGAGCAAGTTCTAGTAGCTTCAGCTTCAGCTTCTTTGTCATCTCCTGATGAAACATGTTCACATGAACGGCGATACAAACCTCCACTATCAGAGTCAATACACGTAATAGAAGACAAGACTGAATCCACAGATGCTTCTACGGCTTGTGCCGTGTCGCCACACTTGCCAGAAGCTTACAATTCGAGTTGGAGTTCTCCAGTGATAGTCGAGGAATTGGACAGACAACAAGAGCAACATCATCAACAACAACAAGACGAGGAAATACCGAGTGGTCCGTCGACACCTGATGACGATAGTGCACAACCAATAGAAGAGGAAAGCCAGAATCATGACGAGACAAAAATCCAGAGTTGTCGCGAGATACCGGTAGAGGTGGAAAATATCGATGCTTGTAACGGTGCCGATCCGGAGGATGCACAAGCACACTGCATTATTCGTGAGGCTGTCAGGCAAAGGACGAGCAGTATAGACGACAGCAACACATGTAGAACCAGCAACGACGAACAAGATGCAGAACCAAGTCGCCCCACTGACGAACAACAACAACAACAACAACAACAACACACCACCCGGCCGCAGCAAGAAGAAAGCATAGAAATTTCGCATTCAAACAGAACGACAACAACAACAACAACCAACGAAGAACCCGCTTCTCCAAAAATTAGTCGACAAACAGAAAAGAAACTTGACTGGAGTTTTCTGAAAGATGGAACGCTCTACGATCGAGACAAAGAGATCAAGGCTCTGCAAGATGCTTTCCGTCGCCAGATTCAGAGCGCGCCACCAGATTCAACTTACGACAATCCAGAAGAAGAAAGGCAACAATCTCTTGTGCTGGTCTCGGGACACTCAGGGACCGGAAAATCTGCATTGGTCAGGAATGCCTTGAAACCCTTGGTAATCAACGAGAGGAATGGTTGTTACCTCACTGGGAAATTTGATCAGCTCCAGCACAACAAAGAACCATATGCCCCCTTTGTCAATGCCATCAACGATTATGTTTACCACGTGCTCCACCAGCAAAAAGTCGAAAACAAATACACCCACATGTCCTCGCTTTCTTTTCTCGAATCACTGCAAACAGAAATACTCAGTGCCTTGAGGCCAGAAGGATGCAATATTTTACTGCAGATGATCCCTGCCCTGGCTCAGATTGTGCAGATGAACGGGCAAGCCCCAAACAACCTACAATTCAGTGGGACTGCATCAGCGTTCGCCTTTGTCAATGCCTTTGGAGGTGCGGGTGGAGCCATAGGTCCTATCACCAACACGCGGGAAGGCTCACAAGATCGGCTCAAGATTATATTTCGCCGGTTCTTGCGGGTGATTTGCAAGCCGGAAAGGCCCTGTGTTCTAGTGCTGGACGATCTTCAGGTACGTGCGTTGCGTTGCAGAATCTTGTTTTAAGAAACGCTTTGTTGTCATTGTTATATTTCTTCCACCACCGCCATTCTCACACTGTACCGAAAACCTTGCAGTGGGCCGACTCGAGCTCTCTAGACTTGATGGAAAGTCTCATTTGTGACGGTCGCAATAACAATGGATTGTTCCTGGTGGGAATTTGTCGCAGCAACGAAATTACAATGGGGCACAACCTAGCCGCCTTGCTGCGTCGATTAGAGGACCAGCGGAATGTTCACATTCACAATATTGTGGCACACAACCTAAGCTTCAACGCTACCAATCAACTGATCTGTGATGTGCTCAAACAACCTTGGGATATTTGCCTTCCTTTGACGGAAATTATTCATGAACAAGCTGACGAAGGAAATGTGTTTCATGTCGTCAACTACATGAAGGCATTGCATGCTGACAAGGTGCTGATTCAGGATGTGGAGTATGGAACAGGGGGGTGGTTATGGGACGAGGAACGATGGGAACGTCTCTTCAATGACAACAAACCTAGATCCAAACGGAGACGACCAAGACCCACGGGCAAGCAGCTACACGAGTCTCCTCCTCCCCAGCAGCAACAACAACATACATGCAAATGTGGCGATATTGGTGTCTCTCCAATGGAAGACTTGATCCTTCGTCAGATTCGCCGACTCCCACAGGATGTACAGCTCTTTCTCCGCACTTGTGCGTGCATTGGAACCGAGATCGATCTGTCCTTGGTGGAAAAGGTACTTGGAGAAGAGATATACCTTCCGATGACAGTGAGGGTTGCCGTGGAAGAAGGGCTTTTGGTAGCGTTGGATCGATCGTGCAGCGGGGACAGTTCTGGACGCGAAACCAGCACTGCTCGATGTTACAAGTGGGAGCACGATTGCTTTCAAAGTGCTGCGTATACAACGATTCCAGAGGAAAAGAAATCGGCTATGCATTTGTCGGTGGGTCGAATGTTGTTCAAGAACATGCCGTCAATGGAAGACTTTTACGACCACATCTTCGTGGTGGTCAATCAAATGAACCGCGGTATGATCCACATCGAAGATCAGGGTGAACGAGATGGCCTCGCTGCACTGAATCTTAAGGCTGGCAACCGTGCAGCCATGTCCAGCGACTTTCATTCTGCCATTCGATATTTTGTTGTGGGAACGACTCTCCTCTCGCAGGGCCCGTTTCCGTGGTCACGACAGTACGAGCTCAGCTTGGAACTCCATAGTGCGTTAGCTGAGGCCGAATACTGCGTGGCGGACTATGAAATGATGGATATTGCGATTTTGGAAGTCTTGGCGAACGCTGTCGCTTTTCCTGACATGATAAGAACATATGCGACAAAAGTGTATTCGCTTGGCGCACAATTCCATCTCCAGGAAGCGATTGACCTGGGGCTCAAAGTGCTGGAACGCTGCGATGAAGCATTCTCCGACCCACTTCCTAGTCGCAAAAAAGCCTTGTCTTATTTTCAACCACCCATGAAAACCAAGCGAAAGCTGCGTTTCAAGACCAAGTCTCAGTTACTCTACATGCCAGATATGTGCGACGAAGACAAGCTGGCTGCAATGGGAATCCTCAATCTGCTGACCACATATTCACTGATAGGAAGGCCATCCTTGTTTCCCTACATTGCCGCACGCCTCGTGAGACTCTCATTGGACTACGGGTTGTGCGCAATATCGGCTCCTGGTTTTGCCTTCTTTGGTTTGTGGTGCTGTTCCATTGGAGATGTCAGCAGGGGTTACCGGTATGGCACGTTAGCTCTAGATATATTGGAAGAACGCTACCAAAACACCATCTCGGAATGGGTACCTAGAGTCTACTCGATATTTTACGGATGGATCGCTCCGTGGAAACAGTCGCTGCAATCAACGTTTGAGCCAACACAACATGCACATCGAGTGGGTCTTGAGACAGGGGACATTGAGTATGCGATGATTGGTGCCCATGTCTACGGAATGTAAGTTCAAAAGGTCACTTATTTGTCGTTAAGCGAGCACGGAGCAAGCCCTCACCGCACTTCATATATTCTACTCTCCGCAGGAACGCTTTTTTTGCCGGCATGCCGCTCAATGAGCTGGAAGGGGAGATGCGAAAGTTTGTTTCGTTGATGAACCTGCACAAACAGGGCCCCTGGGCAGCAGCGACCTCTGTGCAACTTCAACTGATTCACAACCTCATGGGCAAGGCTGAAAACCCTTTGGTGCTGCGAGGAGAAATCATGACAGACGAAAAAGTGCGGGAAATTGCCAGCTTGCAAAACATGGAGAGTTATGAGATGTATTTTGTTCAGGTAATGGTCTGGAATATGTTGCTGGCTTACCACCTTGGCGAGATACGGCAGGCGCTCGTGACTGCCAGGGAATGCCGCGAAGCCATCAAGAGTTTCGGTTCTTCTTTCCTTGTGGTTATCCAGTATTTCTACGATGGCATGATCGCCTTGGCAGCCGCCGCAGACCCACACTTTGAAAATTCCAAGAAGGAGCATCTGTCCGTTGCCGCGAGAGCGATTGGGAAGCTCAAGAAGATAGCCAAACAGTGCCCTGAGAATTGCCTGCATAAGCTGTTTCTACTGCAGGCAGATTTTGAAGCCGTGAAAGGCAGTATCGACAAGGCCGTTGTTTTGTATGGTAAAAGTATCGCCAAGGCACACGAAAATGGTTTCCTGCAGGATGAAGCATTGGCGCAAGAGAGGGCCGGTGTGGCGCTGTGGCACGATTCTAACAATCCCAGGTCAAATCTCTACTTGAATCGGGCGCTCGAATTGTACTCAAAGTACGGCGCCGAGGCGATTGTTGACCGTCTGCATTGTCGTTATTTTCGATAATAACGATCATCTTGAAGCTACAAGTATAAACATGTCACATTTTTGTAATGCTTCGACTATTGCTGTGCGTGGTCTGACCTCGTCAGGGTAGCGTTCCAAATGACCCTCTGCCAGCTGGATCCATCGACGCTGGCAAGCGTTGTCTTGGGTTGCCAAGAGCAGTGCTCATCACCGGCCAATCTCCAATCATCCCATGACACTCTTCTTGACTCACCGGCTGGAGCAATGACATCCATGGATATCTGCCATGTGGAAGGGTAATTGTTGGCTACATACATATTGTAGTTTTCCAAACAGGAGCCCACAGTGACGTTTTGATAATTGTCATCTTGCCATTTCGTATTTTTGACCAATCCCATAAAGGGCACCCTCGACACAACTAGTGACCACCGATTGGGATGAGCTCCAACAACACCCATCTGAAGATGCCATTCCCAATCATCGACATTCGTTACTTGAACGAGTGTGAATGTTGTCTCTACAAGCTCCCCTGGTTTGACAGGAATGAGTTTGCCAGTGGCAGCCTTGGGTTTCCAACAAGGTTTCCTTTTCACACTAGCGTTTTGATCTGACGGTGCAACTTCCGAAGTAGTGTTGCATGGCAGGGCAAAGAAGTATTGAGCTCCAATATGCCATTCATCCAGGACCAGCCACTTTGGTTCATAGTCGGGATAGTTGGACGAATTTGCAAGCACATTTCTGACCAATGAGAGTTAGAAGCAACGGCAACATCAAACGTGAGGGGAAAGTATGTACTGGTACCACAATGTTTCTTGAAAAGCAGCTTTCTTCGTCTTCCCACGTACCCCAACATGAGCTGCGGAACGAACTGATTCATAAATCCTCCCTTTGGTTGTTGCCTCCAAAAGATGTTGAAGTAATCATAGTAGGTCATGGTCTGGCTATTGTAGGACTTTGGTAGAGGTGGCACTCGAAAACGAGCAGTGAAGAGAACGCCTGGTTCATGCCCAAGGGGATAGTGATCATGGCTGGGTCCCACACAGAGATGCGCCTCATGGTTACACTCTTTCTTTCTGGCGTCAGAACTCTCAGACCATTCTTTGGGTGAAGCAACCGTGAATTCATTCGATTGACCCTGTGGACGCCGCATCCCCAGCGGAGACGAGAGCCATTGTGGCTTGTGCTCCTCTTCTGCACATGCAAGCCAGGGCATGCAAGACGTGGAGACTGCCAAAAGAACACAAACAATAGAGATCATTGCCGACATTGTCATGTGGTCGTCATTAGTCTTGTGTCGTCGTCTGGGGCAACAGTGATGTCCGAAGTTTGAAATGAAATCTATTGATTATTGATACTTCTCACTTATTGCAAGCCTTTTCACACTAGAGACGCTTCTCAAAGAACACGTCACACGGAACACGTTGACTCACAACCTCATCAGGCAATGACGGAGGGGTTGCTGCTTACATGCTGCTTTGTTGAGACGGCAGCTATGTTGAATCACAAACCCTGACTTGTTTCTTGCAGAGCTTCCACCATGGTGTCGCATCGATTCGCTCTCTTTTTGCTGTTTAGCACAGTGGCTTCTGGCTTTTCACCAACTTTCTTGTCACATCCACCGGTTCGACAAGATGTCTCTCTGTGGAGCAGCACTGCCGATGAGGCTACAGCCGTTTCCATTGATGCCAAGGAAGCCGTAAAGTTGTTTGGTCGTCTGGCAGATAAATACATAATGTTGGATTCCAGTGGCGGCATGTGCTGCTACTCCGCTTGCAGCGATTGCGAGTATCGACTGCCAGGAGGAGGATACCGAATGGCGGATCAAAGCTCCAGTCGTCCAAAGTGGATCTGTTCCTACGATGAACGGAATTTTGAAACTTTGGGCAAAGAACACACTTCCAAATGGAACACCGATATATTCACCAACGGACCCGCTGTCACCAAAGAGGAGTTCATTCAAGCCATGGTGGACATCCCCTACAATCCACCTCTAGGAGGACCGTATGTAGGCGCCTCTTCGGCAACCATCGAAGATACCACTGGAGCCTCTCTTCTCTTTGATCTGCTTGCTGGAAAGAAGGAAAAACTCACCAAATATCGCATGGGCACCCGTATTAAGGAGCTAGCTGGTGGAGAAGAGGGGCTGACTTGGGCTGGCTTCAGTGCTGCAATGATGCCGGAAGCCTGAAGTGAAGAACAGGAATACTCGTAGCACTATTTCGCAGACACGCATCATGGTTAATGGAACGTCCAAGTGTTGTAAATGTATATAGCAGATGTTTTTTCAATCAAAACTTTTCGTGGATTCTCTTCGTCTTTGCAGCAACCACTCCTTCAACCTCCCAACAGTTTCTTTCGAACTTGGCTTGACGAGCCGTGGTGCGTCTACAACTACCTCTGTTAAACTGCTAATAAGTGTAATATTTTTTTTGTTTGACCTAGCATTGCTTGTTGTGGTACCGGTATAGGTTATGACGGAACAGATTTGGCTGAAATACTCCATTAGATGATCAGAAATTCAAGAGTTTTCCGTTTTTCTATCCTCAGAAACACTGGTGTCTCCCAACACGAGCCGAAGAATGTTTGGGTGCTTGACAAAGTCTTTTGTCCCGGCACCAATCCCAATACTACGGATTGTGAATGCTGGCGGGCGACCCTCCACTTTCACATTGGGAGGCCCACAAGACTTGACCAACGTCTTGAGCAAAGCAGCCGCGGTTGGGGTTACCAATTCACCAGTAACTCCTGGAGGACCCGGACAGGTTGGCATATCGACCAATAGCCGCAAAGTGGCAGGGGCCGGTACTGGCAGTAGTCCGTGATCTGTCCAGACGGTGCCTTCACCCAGTGGGAGTCGACTGCAGGTGACGGTTGTTACTCCCAAGGCATGTAGTGCAATCAATGTTCCAACAGTATCTACAATGGAATCCACGGCACCAACCTCGTGGAAATGAACATGATCGGGACCAGCAGCACCATGCGTATGAGCTTCTGCGTGAGCCAATAGAGTGAAAGCATCAATGGCATGTTTGGAGACCCAAGAGGGAATGTGTTTCGTCGGTGCTTCCTGTAGCATGCGTCGAATTTGAGGCAGGTTTCGGAGTGGACCTATGGTGCTGGATTCGTGACTGTGTGTGTGGGAATGTCCCACTGCCTGAGGATCCGCTGATTGCTGTTCCGACTGATGATGAGAGTGAGAATGGTCATGATCATGATCATGAATTGTGGTGGTGGAGCGTTCTTCACTTGCAACTTGTGCTGCTGTTGATGGATGACTGTGTGAATGATCGTGATCGTATGAGTGGCTATGACTGTGTGAATGATCATGATTGTGTGAGTGGCTACCGGTACCGGTATGACTGTGCGAATGATCATGATTGTGATCGTGCACGGCAGCTATGGCTTCTAGCTGTGTTGTTTTCTCATGATTTTCTCTTTTGGGAACAGGTGCTGCTCTATGGTTGTACTTGCTCGAAACAACGATGTAGTTCGCTGCGACAGATCCCACTCCACGCCACACACGTGTAGTAATCAACGAGAATTCGCCTCGCAGCTCAGGCAGTCCACATTCGATTGATCGGACGACATGCCGCAGCAACAACTCCTTCTTCTCACCTTCGCCGGCAGCGTCGAGACAGGCAGCTAACATCATGTCCCCTGCAGCACCACTGAAACAATCAAAATGCGCATGATTGTTCGTCGGTGAAAGAACCCATGAGTCTCCTGGTTTGCCCTCCACAAGCGTCATCTTCGTCGAACTCTTGGATTGGATTGGATTGGATTGGTTGGTGCTATTAGTCTAGCTAGCTAGTAGAGGTGTTTGTTGTGGTTGCTGTTAGCAGAAAAGCAAGTACGAGTTGCCCTCAACGGACTGAGGGTCTTTCACACTTTTATCGCTGTATGTGTGTGTGTGTGTGTGTGTGTGTGTGTGTGTGTTTGTGTGTTTGTGTGTTTGTTGCAGCTGTTTTCGTCGCTCGTTAAGGATAGGGATTAATCTTGTGTGTTCTGTTGGACACAGTAGTTTCTACGCATGGGTACAGTACTGGCTGGCTATGCAGACTCGCTAGTGTGTCCAGATAAACACGGTGGAGGTTTTGCCAAAGACATAAGGGACATTTTCCTTGTTAAGGATAGGGATTTATATTGTGTGTTCTGTTGGACACAGTACTCTGGACCCATGGGTACTGATATCACTGTGCCCGTACTGGCTGGCTAAAGAGACTTGCTATCAATAGTGTGTCCAGTTGAACACGGTAAATGATTTGACCAATCAAATCTCTTTTTGACAGTTGAGGGCATCAGCCTCCGGCTGCTTGTTCTATTGGCTATTTGGGTTTCCTTGTTGTTTTGCACGAATGCTGAATGACGTCATTAAAGCTACTACGGTTAAGGCTACCGGTACCCCAAGCCCTCAAAACAACTGGTACTGGGGTAAATGACTGATTTTTGCGAAAAGCAAACATTCTAAATGTAAAAATTAATTGGCGACCTTCCAGCCTTCGAGGAGTCCTGCTAACAGTCATTGTCTTCTAAGTTGAAGATGCTGTCTTCTGAATAGAAGAGTTAAAAGACAGAGTCTTCTCTTAGAATACAGAAAGAAGACTTTGTCTTCTTTTGAAGACCAAAAGAAGACAGCAGACATCGTCTTCGTTGAAGTAATAAGAACGGGGTAAATATAATAAAACAACATTGAAATACTACCTCATCCCCCGTGAAATTGAAGCTTCAGTCTCCAATGGAAGACCTGTCTTCTTTATGGATTTAAAAGACAGAGAAAAGAAGACAGTGGATTTAGAAGCCAGTGTCTTCGAAAGAAGACAGCGTCTTCCATTTTGTTAAAGACGCCTACACTGGCACTGAACTGATCCTAATTTGACTTTTTCAGAAACATCTATTTCCTTCTTTTTTATCTTTTGCCTCAAACCGACTCTGTTACACCGAGGTGCAGTACTACTGATAGAACCGCTACAGTACGTACAGTGACTTGGCTGGCTTCAGGGGAGTGCCATGTATGTTTTGTTTTGGAGTAGCTTGCTATTGTCAAGGTAAGCCACGGCCGGAACAACCACAGCTTGCGATGGTCTGTCATTCCTTGAAAATAGTATGTATTATAGTTACAAATTGACCGCAAAATGTAGAAGGGCGGATGTAATGCACCTCTCTCATTTTGCCCCGATTTTCATGACAGAAGAATGTTAATGTAGTGATCTGTTGCTTGTTCCGCTATGGCGCGGTTTGTTTCTTTGCTATGGTTTGTGTCGGTTTCCGCCCTATGTGTTGCGGCATCTCTGCTCTAGTGAATGATCCGCCTGTACAAGTCCCTTGAGAGCCTTACGTCAAGAGGGAACCCTATCGACGCCTTTGGCCCCCACTTTGATTGGTATCCTCATTGGCTTTTCGCTTGAGCCCCCTTCCTGCCGATTGGTCACTTGTTAGTGTGGGAGAAGAAGTTCTCAATTGGAGCCACGTGTACAGTTCGGAAGGGGTCTGCTGCACCATCGAAGACGACGCATTGTGTCCGAGAGATGACAGTGCTGACTGTGCTGATAGTGCTGCTGCCAATGAGCTTGGTGGGGCTTGCAGCAATCGGCGGGTCTGTTCATCTACCGTACCCGCCCGCGACACAGTAGCAGACGTCGACGTCGACAGCTGCTGTCTTCCATCTTCGTCGTTGATCTTTTGCTCTTGCATTTGTGCGATTCCAAATCGCTGGCCAAATCGACTACTAGAAGATGAAGTCTGCTGAGCTTGCAGCTGCATTTGGATTAAGGAATTCATCTGAAGATCAGATTCACGGTCCAAGCTTGCCGCTGACACAGGCGGGACCAGGGAAGATAAGAAGGGAGGAGTGGTGGTCGATGAGGCCCGACGCGCCGGATCAGGCAGCGCAGCCCGAGAAGATGGCAATGGCCTTGCCGCTTCTGGGAATAGCACTGTCCGCGCTTCTTCGGCCAACATCAACTCCTGAATGTGGGCGGTACCAATGTCATTGGCGGCAGTGGCTTGCCCCGTTCCAAAGAGAGAAGAAAACCGACCACCCAGCAAGGTACCAGTGGATGCATCCAAATCGCGATGGAGCAACGAGCTTCTCGAGCTGAATTGTTGTTGCTGTTGTTGCTGCTGCTGTGATGGTGGCTGTGTATATACAATTTGCCCCGTTGCCGTGGTGAGCCCTCTTTGGAGTTCCAACAGTCTGTTGAGACGCTGAGATTCAGCTTGCTGGGCACGAAGCTGGACAAGAAGTTCAACATTGAACTGAGGTCTTTGGTTGAAATCGGATAAGAGGATTTCATCAAGGACAGATGATGACGGAGCCAACGCTTGGCCAGCGTTTAACAGCGATGACGATGGTAGTGACGGTCTCGTGCTCTCGAGAAAGTTCGGACGATTGTAGATCGACTGGTCCAATGCCAAACCCCTGACGGATGCAGGAAGACCTGCACCGTCACTAATGCCCACATTGCTGGCTGCCAAAGGAACAGATGATTGATCAACTCCACCTCGGCCTGTTGTGGTGCTGGCTGGCATTAGCGGGGCCTTCTTTTTCCCGTTGGTTTTGGGTTTAGTTTGATCCACCGGGTCGTCTTGAGAACGATCCGCAATGAGGAGGTGGGGGATTTTCAGTTGCAATAGCTTCTGTTTGTGTCTCCGCTCAAGTTCTTGAAGATTGGAACGCCTTAGCTGGGCTTCGGCAGGCCCTAGTTGCCCAGCACTCTTGACGTAGAACTTACGTCCCTTGGAATAGTTGTTCCCCTCGTATCTCTTGGAGATTCTCTTTGGACTGCAGTTCAACATTTTGGCCAAAAACTGGCGCAGAGATGTTCCATCGGGAAGTGCCAAGTTTCCCTCTCGGAACTCATCGATGAGACCTTCCGCGTAAGCCATTTCTTCGTCGGTCCACTTTCCAGTGTGCAGCGGTTCCTTTTCGTTCGCGGCGGTGGCATAAGACAGAACGAGTTTTCCATCTTCCAGAGTTTCGAGGCACGCTGATTTGAAGAAGGACTCTTCGTCCAGAGTAGTCGCGCTGCCGGAATCGTTGGCAAGTCCGCTGGGAGACTGTTGGCCTCCACTTGAAGGCTTGGACATCATGACTGCTGATATTTCAAGAACACTGCTGGGACCAAAATGGATTTGTGAGTTCCACCCTCAACCTCGAAGCAAGGCACACAGCAACAACGACAACAGCATACGTTACCTTGGGCTTACGGTGCTTTTCACTTCGGTTTCAATGGAAAAAGTGAGGGTTTGTGAAGAGCAGAAAAGAGAGATTGAAGGGTTGAATTTGCAATGTTGTGGTTTTCGAGCAAGTCACTTCCACAATCCGAACTTCCAGAAATCCACTGAGGACTGACATAGAGGTGCAAAACGCGAAGGGAAAGAAGATTTAAACGGCATCTTGAAGTAGCAAAACCGGGATAGAGAACATGCTTACCGTATAAAAGCTTTCGTTGCTTTGTAAGTTTCATGAATTCAACGTTTCTATCTAGTTTGGTTTCTTCTTCAGTGTATTAGCAAGCAAATAATAGTCAAAAAATGCTTTTACGACTAATTTGAATTCAATGATTGCTTCAAATTAAATGTTTATATAGTTCACGGTAATGTAATTCTTCTCATTTTGTACTTCAAGGTTGGCGAAGTCTGACATGGCTTCTAGTAGAAGAGAGGTGGAAAACGCTGGAAACTCGGAAACTCTGCTTCGAGTTGCCCCAGCCAAACAATTTCTCAGGTACACGCAGCCTTGAGTGAACTTCAATGGGATCCTTACCGTCTATCCAACATAAATATTTTCGCCGTATTTGAACGCCGGAAGCACGCCGGAGTAATGGTAATGCTGAAGTAATAGAGCTGTAATAGTCTATTTGATCACTGTTAATGCTTCTTCATTAACCAATAATGAAGATCCCAAATAATATTTGAGAAACGGTAGTCTTTCCTCAGTAACCTCGTGATTGTTATTAAAAGCAAAAAGAGCCTTAAAGTTGAAGCAAAAGTTGAGAAAGACTGCTCAGCGTGAATGTAGTACTACAGTAGAAGCAGGCGGCCAGTCACAGTTTCACAGTTAGTTAGTGTTGCAACCTGTGTGTTGAGAGATTCTTCCTACAAACTACTGCCACAACCCCACAACTGCGAGCCACGGTGGATAGGTTGGTGAGCTGGTTGGCAAACGCTTTAAAACTTTTTGGGTTGCTGGTTGCTCGTTGCCGGTTGTCAATGTTCACAATGAAATAAGAGAAGTGAAAACACTAATTCAGTGGCCGTTCCGTTCCCACACGAAGCCTTGCTCCTTTCACAACACTCCGACCCCAAACGTTCAAGTGTTCCAAAGCTCCGGAGCTCCTCTTCCGACTGAGTTTATTCTGCTGGCAGCATCTTGTCAACAACAACAAAAGAGTTTCACGCAGCAGGCAGCAGCTTGCAAGGATGGCAGTTGCCAAGTGAATCGAATCAAATTTTCGACGTAGCACTTACTTTTACTACCGGTAGATAGAAGAGCTTCAATAGAACCCTTTTGAGGTTTGGAGGCATATTATTAATATTATGGCAAAGCCACGGCAAGCAATAATAGCTGCAGTAGCTACCTTACATAAATTAGCTCATAAATTACAGGAAAAGACAGTACCCCCTTAACTTCAAGTTGAAGTGGCTCCTTCACTTCAACTGTCGTAAAGAGAAGTACTAGTACTAGACTAGTAGATCTATCGATCTATCGAGCTATCTATTATCTATCTATCGTACTGGTACCGGTATCGTCAGTCATGTACTGGACTGGCTAGAATAATACTCTGTTGCTCTGTTGCAGTGTGGTTTAGTCCTCCCGTAAAACATCCAGATCAGTTCGTATCTTCAATGCAAGTGAACTCTTTCTTTTCCTTCTGCTCTGGTAGTTTCCTCTGGAGTAGACTACAGAAGGGGATGTAATTTCTAAAACTGAAATCTAATAGTAGTCTAATAGTGGCTCTCTGCGTAGGTAACTCTAGCTAGCCAGTGCCTAGTAGCTAGCACCTAGCATTAGCTACGATTGTAATAACAGGGCCTACCAACGCAGGAGGTTGACAGTCTCTACGGCTGCGTCTCCATACGTGTCCTTCCCACGCAGCACTGCTATTCAAAAAAAAAAAACTGAACATCTAATAACGGATTCAGACGAGATGTGCTTGGGGACTACCCACGAGCTAGGGCTCGGGTATTTCCCACAGTCAAGTCTGCTCACGCAGCACTGCTATTCAGTATGCTACAATAGGAGGTTGACAGTCTCTACAAGTGCGTCTACGTATGCAGCATATTATGCATAGGTGTCCTTAACACTCAGTACCAGTACCGCAACGCTACTAGCTAGTACAACAGCTCCGCATGCGCAGCCAACAGAGCGAGCTACATGTTGTCTAGCTAGCTAGTAGCTAGATAGTACCACTACGGTACATTAGCTACCTGGAAGCTAGTAGCCAGCCAGACCAGTGCACGGAATCGAACCCGAAGGTGCCCAGTGAGCACGTGACGAGTTCGGATGCTGCCAGTTGAGTGTCGAAAATAGGTGGCTGCTCTTTCTTCGCTTTTGAGCCTCCTTCTCATTGTGGAGAACAAAAGTTGGGACTTCCATGTACACGTACCGGTACCGTAGGCTAGCTACCGGGAGAAGGAAAATGTGAGTTCTTTCTTCGCTGAAAGTGGGACTGTGTGCTTGCGAGGACTGTTTGCTTGCGAGCAGTCCCAAGAACGATTGTTTTCCGTTGATACCGTATTTATTTGAGGGAAATTGGAAAGAGGGAGAGCACACGCTACGACGATGATGATGTTTTTACTTGGGTCTCCTCAACTTCTCCAGCCGGTTCTATGCATACGGCCAGGAGAATTGAGCCTGTTTGACATAACGACATAACTGACATGACATGCCCTGCAATTGGAGGAGTTGTCAATGAGGGACCGGAGCGTAAGTTTGAGAAGGAAGCGTACACATACAAGAAAAGCTAGAAAGCAACTGATCTGAATCGCTGCTGAATCTAACCGTTTCTTGTCCGAGCCGAGTTGAGGTTGATTGCTTCGTGTCGGTTCTGGGGAACAATTGCGCCACTCGTTGTCTCCTCTCGCCCAGTCATTTTCATCGCCGATCCTTCGGACTGAGCTCAGTTGATACGCGGATCTTGTGCTTGGAATCACTCGCCTTATCGGGATGTGTTAGCCGCAGCTCAACTAAATACCTTGCAAGAATGATTGGATGGATTGAGACAAGAAGCAAAGAAATCATCACCAGCTTGAGAGGGCGGCCGTCTTTGAAAGCGAGAGTTCTTCAGCTCTGCCTGCAACTGGTTGTGGGCAATGCAATCAGAAGTGCGGACGAAGTCATCAAAATGAATAAGGGCCAGCTTTGAGTGGGGCCTGCGAAACACCCTGGTAAAATTTACTTTAAAAAGTCAGGTACCCTACTATAGGAGGAAGACCTTGGAATCTCTCTTTACCGGTAAAGGCTGCTAGCTAGCACTGAGAATTAATTATCTGGCCTGCAAGACACTTGGCCGGTTGAAACATCCAAGTGTGAGACATCAAGTATTTAGAATGAAACCCAATTTGTGACACTGAAAGTTGCTCCCTGTCAAGGCATTGAAAAGGTCCTCCAGGGCGTGTAGGACTCCCAAGCCCACGTGTAGTGTAGGTCCATCCAGGCCCAGGTCCACGGGTGCGTGCGTCCTGGTGTTAGTCGAGGCATTGATAGGAGATTGGGGCCAGGCGATGGGCTGGGGGTAGGTCCGGGTGGCCTATCATACTGTTGTCAATGGGTGGGGCCTGGGTTTGTCCTTGTGTCATTGTGCCTGGGTCCTACCGGTAGGGTAACCCTTTTCTTTTAATTTATAAAAAATAAATAAATAAAAAAACAGGTAAAGAAAAACGTTGCCTCAGCCGTCAGCACTGCGGATGACATGGGCAGTTCTGCGACGGGATACAGCTTACAATTCAGCTTTACAGCTTTATAAATTGCGGGCCTATTCTAGAAAATAATCAATAACTGCTCACTTATTTGGAAATACAAACTTTACATCTCTTAGATCGTTAGATTAATCAATCCACAATGGTATTGTCGCATGGTAGCATGCGAGGTTATGAGATGTTACTCATTCTTATTCTTATATGTCTATCCCTTATGGTTGTCAATGGAATGAGCTATCCCTTGGTGCAGAGTCCTGAGTTTCCTCTCATTATCTTCATCAGTAGTCCTTCCCCTTATTGCAACTTAATCTGTTGATTGGATCCATATGATCCCTTTGTCGATACCTTGGATTCGCTCGCAAGCAATCCCCTTTTTGTTGATTCGCTCGTAAGCAATCCACTTGTTCCCCTTGTTCTTTATCCTGTTGTCGGTCGAAATCGCGATGAGGATCCTATTATCTTGACGACTCGGCTTGTGTGTCATGCATTGAGTCATGCTTCTGGAGCCACTTTACCCCCTATTATTGGCCGTTCCTCCGGTTGCTGGCTTGCTGTTGCAGTCGGTCGTTTGAACTGGCTTGCAGTTGGTCGTTTGAAAGATAACAACGCGCTGTCGCTGTTAAATTTAAATTTGAATTTGCCAAACAATTCGGGGTGGGCCTCACCTCGACGTCAGATCCAACTGCTCATTATCCACCGCTCTCCTCCTCCTGTTGCCATTGCTCTTGTTGCATTGCCGCACTGTTGACCTTGTTGATTTCACTGCCTCTATTCCATCAGCTATTATGGACCTTGACGACGCTTTCTTATCTTCAGCATCCTCTTCATCATAACTCCTTCAACAGTACCAGCGCCATCCTTGTTCAGTCCACAGGGATTCAACAAGCCTTCTTTGAATCTGATCCAGTCATCCCACATCTGATCCTCCAACCATGATACAGCACCCTTGACCACAGCTCAATTCCAGGAGCTCCTCCAACACATTGGGAAATCAAGAAAAGACCAAGCAGTTACAGAAGTCCCTCGGCTTGGAGGTATCAACCACACTGGAGCCTGGACAGGATCTGGCTCAGATGGACTGGGAAAGGAACCTCAAAGCACCCTATAGCCTCAGGGGTTTCATGGGAGACCATTAAAATCACAACACACTCCAGCCAATTGAATTGGCATGCAAGAAAGGACTGAAGGATTCCTCCAGTCTCCTCTTCTCTACTTTGACTGAGTCCAATGCCTCTGGATCCCATGTTAGCCTCTCTTATCGCCATTTGAAAGTATGATGACTGAGCATGGAATGGAGGGATCTTTGAGCTTGTTGTTGTGATCTTAATACTAATGCAATACACGCGGTCTTAGCCTTATTCGCGACTCGATTAGATAGGGTTTGAGTTCGACTCATGACTGAGTCTTTCGTGAAAGTCATTTGAGACAGGGTTCTCATGACGCTAGTCATCTAGGTCGATGGTGAAACATCGAGCTAGATATTTAGCTGGCGTGAGAGATTCCACGCTACTAGATAAATGTAGACGAATCTTCCACGCGTTCCGTT